GGAATCTGAGTAATTCTAAACAATTTAATGTGTGGTGGTTAAGTATAGGCCGATTATGTTGAGGTGGTCGGGTTGGAGTGGCCAGCTCGCTTATCATCCACGTTAAGTAGTTATAATAGTTATATTTATATCTTTATACTTCTGATATATTCTTTAGTCTCTTAATATTAGTATCTTTTCGATGTTAAAGCGATTCTATTATAAGAAGATTACTAACTTATTAAGATATAACGAAACGTAATCTATACGACGCGCTTAGTTTATTAGATACTATATAAAGACGAGAGGATATATTCTCTAATCTTAATATATTAAGGCGAGCTAGAAAGGAATAGGATTAATCTTATATAATTCGAAGAACAAATTAAATTTATCTTAAGTTATTTAGAAGGTATAATCTATTAAACTAATACTATAAACTTCGCGTATACGTAAACGAAGACTCTTAATAAGTATTACTAAAAGTATATCTATAAGTAGATAATATCTTTAATTATAGACGTTTAATACTTATCGAGATATACTACTTAATAGAGGATCTCGTTTATTACTTAATAAGACGGTAAAGACGATCGACGTACTTCTATAAAAGACTATCGAGTAATCGCTTTAATTATAATAGTTATCCGTTAGTCTATAGAAGAAGAGTACTACGAAGCGTATAAAGGTCCGAATAGACTTAAATAAGGTATTTACTTCTATCTTAGAGATTAAGAAGACTTAGAAGCGAGTTACGCGACGTTAAAAGGAGTAGGATCGCCGAGATAGGGTTAAGGAGGTATGGGCCGCGTCTAAGGTACTCTTAAGGACTACCTTCGAGAGCCTCTATATAGAGTAGTATATAAACGACGTAGTGTAACACGTACGTTAAGTATAAAGAGGTGGTGGGTGTACGAGGAATAGTTATATATTACGTAGGTTGTGCGTTACGAGGTGGTCCGACTTAAGATATCCTAATATGCTGAGTGCAGTATCAAAGATGGCAAGGAGACTACCTAGTAACCGACAACGTCTCGGGGACGGTAAAAACACGGTTTCCTTCCTGGCTGATACACTATGAACATGTCGTTGCCGTTGCACTTACGTTACCTTGATATCGCTAATACCGGGTGTGCGGCTAAGTAACGGAATCAATAGTGCCAAGTGAGGCGTTGGTGAGAATAACATGCAGTAGCAGTACTATCAGAAGCCCCTTACTGACGACGATGCCCGTTGCCATCTTAGTGCTATTTTACATTGTACACGTACTATCGGGCACTCCCTGAGCCTCGCCAGCTTGCTGCATGAACTCTCTCCCGCGACCCGGCTGCCTAGGCCACAGTAATAACAGGATGGAAGTATTCATGTGAATTCTCACCTGATGTAATCTCTTGTTGCCTCCAGCTCTTCTTTTTGTGTCTTTGAAAGCATTGACAGACCCTGTGATAGTTCCATTCTGCAACTCCGCAGCAAGGCGTGCAATCGGTGTGATAGTTCTAGATATTGTGGTCGACCGTAGTCGTCCAGAGTGCTGGTCTGCACATGCCAACCATGAAATGTAGGTGTAAGAATGTCATACTGGAACAATGTGACATCCCAAGGTGCCTCTTCCTCCCCAATTTCCTCTCGGGGTAACTCTCAGGTCCAACTCTTGCGCTTGAGGGCCGTTTCCTCGAGCAACTTTGACCAAGATCGGCCGACCCAAGTTCTGGCTCACGGCTTCTCCGACTTTGCGTAGTCTTTCATGGTTTGACCAGATCACACTCCCGAATCGTCTTATCAGATCTCCGGCCTTGAGGCCAGCCTCGTTTGCGGGACTGCCAGGCTCGACACTGCTGACTTTCGCAAAAGGTGTCTCGGGAATGGCGGGCGTCTGTGAGGAAGAAGGAGCAGATTCGGGTTGCGGTTGAGCCAGAGAGTTCTTGTATGCATCTGACGCCTGGTACTTAGCGTGGTGTTCATGAAGACCTTTCTCAATCTTGTCCATCAGCGCTTTCCAGTCGTTGCGAAGGGCGATGATGCGTGCTCTGGTAACTCGAACTTGTGCCACGTCTATATCTGATCTAGGATAGCCATCAAATGTGGTAAGACTCGTGTCCATGGTAACTCCATGGCTGTCCAGGACAGCGCCTAAGGCTTTCAGCTCTGCTTCAAGGTCATCCTTCCGGGAGATTAGTTGTTGTAGGGTAAGGCCGTCAAATGATTCTGCCTGGCGAATGGATGTGGGGCCGCTGGGGACATGGATTTCAGCGAGGTTAGGATCCATTGGGAGGCCCATTGTCATCTGAACCAGGAACCGACACCGAGGCTGATGGATGTCTGGCGATGAAAGTGGCAGGCCGGCGCAGGCAACTGATGGAGGCTGAAGGCTGAAGGCGCAGTTCAAAAAGGTGCAAACAAGCCAAATTAATTAGGCAACGATAATTACCGCATCTCAGTCACGGGCGATGCGGGGAAGATTGGTTTATCCGACGTAGCTCCGTCAGCCTTGCCTCAATCAGATGCTTCCCACTGCCTGCGTGTCCGCAACTTCGCCTCTTCAAAGGATCATCTCAGCCAGTCCTTGCCCCGTCATCGCCTTCAGACTCAACATGACCTTGTAGCTACCTATATGCATCTGTTGTCGTCAAAAGCCTCTCTTTGATCATCAGTCCGCCCAAGGAGAAAGTGCAAGCCATCGCGTTTTCCTCTTATCAATCGTTCCTGTGGCTTGGGCGCCCATGTTTCACAGAACAATTTCAATGTCCTGTTGTTTTGTTTTGTTCAATCTCTCAAAGCTCTTTCCGGCAGTATTGCTGGTGGAACCCGTCAGGATTGGGGGTGAGAAAGAAGAACAGGTCATATCGTTTTCGGCGTGAGGACCCAGCAATATTGTTCGGTCCAGCCCCTGCTCTTTCCCAGGCCTGAGCACCTTCACCTTCCCATTATCAGCCGCATTGCAAACCGGCCTGCTCAAAGTCTGCGTCAGCTCGTTTCTTTGCCTTTCAAGTTGTCACCGTTGCCATGCTCTATCGCTCAACTTTTGGAACGTCTTCGACCTTGGTCGCTTGGTCATCCCTCTGCGGATATTTGACCGTTGGCTTTCATTTTGTTTCCCATTATTGCTCTCCTATCCTTCGCATAGCTCGGGCTACCCTTTATCAGTAACTATGACGACTCAGCTGTTGCCCTCTATTGTTAGCAGTCCATTCAGCAGCCATTTTGATCCTGCACCGAACATCTTCCATGGTTCAGGGTTCGCCAATTCCATCACTCCAGCGACTTCAGCGACCTCCTTGACACCTTTCTTCATTCATCAAGATCACCAAACATCATCTGCTTCTGTCTTATCAACGACGTCAGCCCCAGCCCCGACAAACAATGAGAATCGGCCTCCACTGTATGCCGACGCTGATATCCTCAACTCTTCCCGCTCGGGATCCGCATATCCGTTATCGAAGCCATCAAGAGGACTTGCACCTGTTCATAATGGCCGATCAAAATGGGATGGTTCGGGCTCTACCTCCTTTGGTCCTCTACTTTCTAAGTCACCCGCAATCATATCAACTCGGAAACTGTCTTCTGATGCAGTTGGCATCCGCCGAGCATTGCTAGAATTGCCAAATGAAGAGAAACGCGCAGCGGCTCCAAATTGTCAGTCCCGGTTAATGCTCCAGGGTCCTTCGAGGGCAGGGGTCTCGCCGGCGTTGGTCAAGAGGCAAGAAAAGTCAACCACACAATCTGCGGACGAGACACGAAAACTGGATCAGCCTCCTCAGCCTCCTCACTACCAGCCTCCACCTCTTTGCCTCTTCGCGCCGCAACACGCACTGGAACCTGTGGAGACGCCTCATCCTTGCCACAAGCACCGACATTCTACTGCCTCGTCCGCCTTCGTGCACACGGTGAAGACGGCGAGTCTGAGCAACGCCAGCTTTACCATCCTCCCTCGATCATTCCGGCTTGGCCGGTCGACGGATAGCTGCGGAATGTTTGAGTCACTTACGAGGCTGTCAACCGACAGCGATCGGCCTCCTACAACCTCATCCATGGATGAAGCTGCCTTCCGAAGAGGCATGAAAAGGAGGCAAATCATTTCCGAACTCCTGTCCACCGAAGAAAGCTATATTGCTGACTTGAAAGCTCTCATCTATCTTTATTCCACCCTACTCGCAACCACCATGACGGCGTCAAGTCGAATTCGGGCGTCTATTCTGCGAAACGTCCACGACCTTCTTCATATGCACGAAAGGCTGCTGGAACGACTGCATCAAGCTGCCTTTGAAGCAGCAGCGCGCAAATGGGCAGATACAACTTCATGCCGACATCTTGGATCCCCACGTCAGCACAAGCGCTGGCGAAGCTTGGAGTTGAATGTCGCCGGTAAGTTCAGCCGGAGTCAGCGGCAAACACGCAGCTCGGTGGACTCATGCGATATGGCTCACAGCCGAGTGTATCTAGTTTGTGCCGATCCTAGAGATGTTTCTGACGTGGCGGCGATATTCAAAGACTTCTTGAACGACTTCCTCGTCTATGAGGAATATTGTGCCAACCATAGTCTTATCGCCCACGAACTCCAGAGGCACGCACCAAACCTGTGGTCAGCCTACGAATCAGGGATCGAGTCGCTCGCCAGGTCACTGGTCGCTCTTAATCGCAAGCACCAGCATGAGAGGAAAGGACTTACAGTCGGCGATCTCTTGATCAAGCCTATACAGCGTATGACCAGATATCCTTTGCTATTCGACGACCTTCTCAAACAAACACCTGTCGCCGACTGCCCAAGTGCTCACATTGAGTTGGAGGCAACACTGCAATGTTTACGGGAAGTTGTGCAAACCGCCAACCACGCCACGGACAATCGTGAAACTCGAGTCCAGGTTCAACGACGGTGGTCGCTTCAGTCAAGACTGAGCTATGAGAAGGTGTCCTTGAAGGCGGAGCATTTTCGCATGCTGGGTAACATCCAACTGTGCGGTGTACTGCATGTGACGTGGCAAACAAGGAGCAAAGTTGATGGATGCTACGCTGCCTGCATATTATTCGAGAGAAGCTTGGTGGTTGCATTTCCCGCGGAGGCCAGTTCTCGTTTCGAGGTGGTGGCGTTCATCCATTTGGCAGGTCTCAAGGTGGAATCTCCCAGCGACGGACGAGGTGAGTCGTGCTCGTCGCCTTACAATTTGTGACTGACATCCTGTAGGTCTTCAATGCCACTCAGCCTTGCACACCTGGAAAGTCTGCTTTGAAGTCAACGGTCACCTTCACGAGTTTATCCTGAGCGCATGCTCTGCAGCAGAAGAAGAAGTGTGGAAGGACGGTATGCAAGGCAAAGGTTCTGGGGTCCGGCGAACACAGGAATTGTCGACAGACACTCCATCTTGCATCGGTCTTGATCTCAAATCTACTGGAACGGTATACGGCCCGCAGAGTTCAACTCTCTCTCGGCATCCTTCGGTGCAAAGAGCAGCAACCGTCGGGAATCGTTCCAATATTTGTCAGGTAATTGTACGCAACACGCACAATCTGCACGACTTGCATGAGTTTCGGCAGGCACCATCCTCGTCAATGAATAGATCACAGTCCCACATGGCTTCCAACCGAATTGTGGTATTGTCGCCGAAACGGTCAGAACGCGCGCGACTCGAGTCGGCACTGAGTGATGTATGGACCAAGGACAAGCTCGCATTCCCCGGAATGATTGGGTCTCGAGGCGGTCAGATCATCCGAGCTTCAGCAGGGACATTGGTGCGAAAGTTGAGTCTGGCATCGATTCACGCTCCATTCTCGAGACGCTCGGGGAGCGTGTCACTGGCCAGTCGAAAATCATATGATGGATTCCCGGAAAGCCGACGCAACCGGATCAAGCATCCAGCACCGGTCTTCGAGGTACGCAAGGAAAGTTTGGATGAGTTAACACCAGCTAGGAAAAAGTCACACGACCTACCGGAACTTGATACGATGGACAGCGTGATCAGTCGTATGATTGGAAATCATGGCACGAAGCGGTTGTCGTTGTCTCACGCCGACCATGGCCTTGTGAGGAAAGTGACCAAGAGCAAAAGGACCGGCCAGGATGCTGGAATCGGAGTGGGTCCCGAAGACCCAGCGGAAGTCTTCTACAGTGAAGAGAAGGGAATGACGGAAAAGGAAGAAGTTGTAGAGGATGGATTGGCCGGTCGTAAGAAGCGATGGAGCAATCCGCTTGGAATATTGAGAGGGTTGTCGGCGGAAGGATTTCGACACATGTTGTATTCTAGTAAATAGATGCGGACTATTGGGCCACAGATGTCTCTGGGGCTGTATTGTTCAGCGGTAGACTTGTATACATGGTAATGCAATGACAGCGTACGGATGCTCGGTACCGAGGTATGGACTGGCCTCAAGATGATGAAGCATGACTCTAGAGTGTAGACCTGCCAGGAAGCTTTTTAAGATAAGGCTTGTTATGCACCGAAGGGGGAAGACAGGGTGAAAAAGGCGGGTTATTCATGCTAGCAAAGCATATGTGGAAGCACTCTGCTGATGACGAGTGTCGACGCCTCTGCTTCGGACCTCCGTAGCATTGTGCAGGATCAAGCCTGAATGATAATTACCCGCGTACGTATCCATGACTTGGTCTGCACCAGCGAAGCTTGTCGATTAAGGAGTCGGCAAGCCTCGCGTGGCGTCCTGTGATACTAGCCCTAAGGCACCAGGAGAAGCCGGACGTCGCGCTAAGCTTCACCATGAAGAGCTTAATTTCAGCCGGTGGGCGCTGATTCGGTCGGCTGGGAAATGGGGAGAGTGCCAGTTTCCAGTGCTGCGGAGATGGGATTAATTTTAGAAAAGTCGGCCCGGGCACCAGGGCTTGTTTTGGTGGCCCGATCGAAAGGAAAGAAAGAAAAGATGGGAAATCCCTGGCCCCTTCAAAGCCTAAAGCCTAAAGGGGGCAATCTCTGCGGAATAACAATAACAGCGCAGTGTGGAATTATAATACGGAAACCGGCTTGGTGCTGGATGAATCAAATGGCCTGGATCAGTCACGGTTCAGCGAGATACACGGTCATTATGAGGATGGTGAAGGCGCGGACGAACATGTTGCATTTCTCATTCAACGGGAACGCCCAAATACACCCCTCCCCCCTAAAACGCACTGTGGCAAGCTCCCATGTTTTCTTTAAAATATATACAGCAGGTCAAGGACAGTACTCCTGCCTAGATTTGGAAGAGATTAGAATAAGCACACCCATGCTCCCCCCTCCCTCCTCTCACCAAAGGACCAATCCCTCGTGGAACGACGAAGAGTGCTCAATGGTCCCCAGTCCCCCGTCCCCAGTCTGACGAAAAGATGTGTTTCTGCGGTGTTTTGTGGCCCATTGCTTGGTTTCAGAGACGGAAGCTTAAGGTCGAGGAGAGGTCAAGAGGCCGTGCTTTGATTGGACTGACTGGAGTTCGTAACGTTCGAGTAGTATGCAGGTGGCTTTGTTGTCGAGAGCGGGATCGTAGCTGCCTGCATTTACAGAACCAGAGCCAACCCAGCCATTGCGACAGCACCCACGCCGGCCAATTTGCCGTTCACATTAGGAGCGGCAGCCCCGGTGAAAGCAGATGGAGACGCGCTGGTCGAGGAGGCCGGAGCAGAGGTAGTGGGGGCAACAGTGGTTGACTTGTCGGCAGACTTGGTCTCGCTGCTGGCGGTCGAGGAGGTAGGAGCAGGAATCATGCTGGTCCAGTCTTCGCCGACGCTGTAGGAGACGGCGGTGGGCACCCCCCAGGTGGATGTGCCAGAGCTGAACACCGCAGTGTAGGAGGTGGTCGAGATCCATTCAGTAGGACCAGTCCACGCGCTGCTGGCGGCACTGGCGGTGGTGGTTGCGTTGGGCGCTTCCGAGGCGTACGTGAAGGAGGTCCATGTGCTGTGGGCGTCCGAGAAGGTGAAGGTGAATGACCATTCGGGGGCCGCGAGGGCAGAGGCTGCGAAGAGCGCTGGAATTGCGATGAAGGCCTTCATTGTTCGTAGCTGTCGGTTGGCAGTCTGGTGTCTGGTCTCCACGAGTTGAGTCTGACGCGAGGACTGAGGGTGAGGGTGAGGGAAGCGAGTGGATGTGTTCAACAAGGAAACACTGGAGATGCTGGAGGAAGCGAGGACCGAGGGAACGTCGATTGGAGCACAGAAGGGAAATCAGAAGGGAAAAGATGGCAAAGACACCACGGGTAGCCGAGAGGGTATATAACACGGGGGAGAACAGTGGCGGCTGTCTCCCACTTCCCACACAAACATACGGAGCATGGTCCATAGCCGGTCTGGAGTGACAGCCAGTGCCACGAGCCTGGCATGGACGTGTCAAAGACTCAGCCTAAGCTGGGACAGCCTCGCGCGCCGTCCGACGTCTATTGTCGCATCGGTTGCACTAAAAGGGGGCAGGTGGGCGGGTGGAAATTGGCAGACCGGGGCTCACCCGTCCGGCGCACGCCCGCCACCTACCCGCCAGAACACTCACTGATCTTTTGATGCAGGCTCAGGCCCAACGCAATTTAAAATTTGCACAAGCTTTGAAGCTTGCGCACTGATAGGAAAAGGTTGACTTAGTGAGTGGTGACTGTGCCGTCCGCCGAGCTGAGAGTTCACGCGGCGCAGTGGTTTCAGCCATCGAGCCAAGGCGTAGACACTGGACAAGCATCTGGAAGACATCTGGCGCTACATGTGTCCGTATGGAGTAGAGGTACTTGGGTACTTCAGTACTTCAGTACGGATACTTGCATGACAGGGCCATATGGCTGTGGTCCTGGGGAGGATCATCGAAGCCAGAAGCCAGAAGTCAGAGGCCAGAAGCCAGAAGCCAGAAATTAGAGAGTAGTACAGTGTACACAGCCGGTGAGAAGATCAAGTTGACAGCTGCCATCTGACGAATCGTGTCGTATTTATTTACAGTATGTACTCCGTACAGACCACACGGCCCAAGGTTCCTCCGCTTGACCAATACATATGGACTCTGCATACCGAGTACCTGCACAGTGTTAGGTAAGCCCGATACTGTCACAGCTAGGCGACAGCACCAACAGGATGATATTCAGGTCTTTCTTAGCCTTGCGGTGATCCTGACTTCTGTCTTAATTATTGTGGCGGGCAAGGCCAGCCTTGTCGGTCTAGGAAACCTCGCCCGAGGCCTTACCAGTGTTATCCCTTCTAATATACAGTATCCGTGCACCTTAGCAATATGCCTCCTATCGAGCCTCTCCCTGGTATCCAGACTGGATGATGCTGCGGTGATGTGAAGTTCTAGGATCAACAGAAGACGATCAAACTATTACTGAGTACGGAGTAGTAGATGTGCACTGCAGTGCAGCCTGGGCACTATGTACATGTAATTACTGTAAGTCTACCAAGTTAAGACGGCTTACAAGGCTGCAGTGAGGGGGTGCCCCAAATTCAAGTTGCACATACAGTTACCAGTACAATACAGTACTGGTACAAGTCGCTTCTCAGGGGCTCTCAGGCTTAGGGCCCTCAGTGAAGTTCAGCTGCAGTTTGGGTATACATACCAGTCATCGACCATGGACGAATGCAGTTCTAGACATAAGGACTCCGTACATAATACTCTGTATCAACACACAAAACTGCAACTGCGATATCACTGCCCACTATTCTCGTCAACCTATCCAACACTGCTCGTCTGTTGACCTGGACCGCCCAGCTTTCACAGGAATATTCCCACCTAGAACGCAGCGAACCGTCTTCGCTTCAAGCGCTTTAGCCTTGCATCCCCTGTGTGCGTGCCTCAAAAATCTCGGCGGTGACTTGGTAATCTACTAGCACATGATATCGAGCTCACAGCCACAGGTACGAATTCTACAGTGACGGTCGGTCCTACTCCTGATGCACGGATGGGTTCCTCCTTGTACCTACCCGACCGTGACCTTTTGATTCCATGGTCGTTTGGAGTATCAACATCGATATTCCTGCGAGGAAAAGACTCGAATGGCAAGACCAAGAATGCAGACCCTGCACACTGCACTACACACGAGGAGGATGGCCCGAGGGCACTTTCAAAATTGCTGTGAGGCGGAGACTGGAACTTGGGTTGTCCCTCTATACGAGTAGCAATCGAGTGGTCGATTCAATCTCGCTCATCGGACACACAAACTGATTGTTTCCCCTCCGTATCCTTCCACTCTCTGTGCAGCGGCCATGGCCTTTCAACGCAAACACGCTTCCTGGAGTGGGATCAGCTCCTGCCTGTCTCAGGCTTCTAGTTTGGTGGGATTTCGTACTTGCGACTACGATTCTTCTCCGTGCCTGACATTGAGGGTCCGTCGGAAGCGTCTTAACATTACTGACCTCTCATAAACGGCGGGGATAGCAGAGTGCCTACCAACTCTGATTGCATGGAGAGCGATCTTTTCAGCCCCGACCGTGCATGGATTAGCCTAGCGGCCGGACCCTTAGTCTCGCCCGCCTTGACAGCAACAGGCAGACCAGGAAACTACACGTTCGATGGGCGTCGAAAGAAAAGGATAATGATTCATGCCGACATAATATTCATTCGAGTGATGCAACAGTTGCAACCGACCGTCACTTTGGTCCAAGGTCTTCAGATATATCGAACACGGTCCCACAATCTTCATTCCAATTGACAACATTTAGCATACGTCCTTCTTTATACTTTGCCACGTCCGGCACCCGCTCTCTTTGGGACAGTCCAAGGCTCTGCACAGACAGTCTAGACATTCCATGTCAGTAAGGATTGTTGGAAACAGGTAAGTGGGGAAAAAGTCTTACCTCTCCCTCTGAATAGGCCCAGAAATACACCAAAACTCCAATGATATAGTACAGCGCTGAGTTGGTACCTTGATATATCAAGACCCCAGCAAGGGCTGCTAAGGGATAAACCACCAGCCTCGCCTCCATGCTGCGGTGCAATCCAGGTAATAGCTTGACCACCGGTCGGAAGGGCCATTCCCAAGCAAAGATCAATATAGCCAAGACGACATTGACGATTTGTAATGCTGGAAAAGGTTTGACTGCTCCGTCGAGGTTCTTTGTGAGGAAGTCCCAGAAGATTTTGGGCCAGAAGAAGCCCTCGATGCCGGCGGCCAGTTGATAAGTCGCTGCGGTCAGGACGATGAGCCGCGCCCAGTGGTTCTTGATGAGCTTGCCCATCTTATGGACAACGTTGAAAGGTTGAGGTGAAGTACAAGGTGAAGAGGTCGTTGATGAGAGTGACTGTTGGAGATGCAGAAATGAGAGTCGCCGTTGAGTCAAAGAACGGAACGGAGAGCACCCAAGAACGACGGCTTGCCCCTGACTGTCACCAACGGCACATCTGGGTTGAGAACGTATATGAGGAGATTTCGCGGCACAATATCTCAAAAGGGATTGTCTCCCTTTCCTCGGGCAGAAACAGGTGATTTCGGGGACGGGGTGAGCCGATGACAAGCTGCCTAGGAGAAGTGTCGACGTCGAGGGATTTACTGTCGGAGCAAGGGTTTAAGCTGCTTGAGAATGCCGGCTGCGACTGTCTCAGCGGCGAGAGTATTCTGGGAGTGGGTTTGGCGCGTATGAGATTGGTCACAGTTGTCGTGTCGTCTCAGAGTGGCTGCGGCGGTTCGGAGACAGTAAGTGTTACAGATGTGGGTTGAACGCAGCAAAACGCACGTCCACCACCACTACGACGTTGACAACGGCCAGGTTTGGATAAGAAGGTTATTAACAATGCTTGAGGAATGGTTCACAGACGGTTGACAGGAATCTGGTCGAGCGATAGATAGAAGTAGACAATGTGATTACCGTCTGGTAAAGAGACTTGCGAGTTTCTCCATCCAATCGAGAGACGAAGAGCTAGGAAATTTACCTTGATCACGGCGTCGAGGTACAGCGAAGCGATTAGGAAGGCTCATCTTGCCCATCTCTCACTCCACTTCCCAATAGTTTTCGTGCAGTCGCCAGATCCAGCGCTGTACCTCGCCGCGCACAGGTGACGATTGCTGAAGTCGAGGCAGCACTGCGGCTCTGATTGGGTCGGAGGGGACTGCTCACCTGAGTGGGATGGGGTGCGAAGCGCTGAAAATAGATGACCACCAGCCATGGCAACCATGCAGGTCCATCATGCATCTGTTGTCTACCACTAGCAGTTGGTCCGTCGGCAAGGTGCTGGCGAGGGCGGCAAACGAATGGCGGGCGCAGGACATGGATGTGATACAGAAACTGCAGCGGAAACTAGGCACGGTAAGCGAGTGATTCGAGGGAAAAGAGTCTGGCGCAGTTTGCGGGGAGCGCAGCAGCGCAGGTTGCTGCTGCTGGGCGGTTGCAGGTGGCTGCTGATACGCTCATCTGCCTCACTTTCCCTCCTCTCGCCGGGATCTTTTCTTCTCGACATGCCAGCCTCCCCACGCCCTGCTCGGCCAACTTGGCTACCTCAACCAGAGCTGCAGTGACTCTCGAGTCCGTCACCGTCACCGCTCGATAGTGGCTATTCTCTCGAAGCCTCGACGGAGATATTCCACCCACGAGGTGCCAGCCCATCGACCTCTGCTTGCTGTGGCTGGCCAGCGTGTGGTCTTCTCGGCCCGGCTCCATGGTCTTTTCCTCATCACCATCCAATAACCGCCCATGGTCCTCGAAAAGGTAAAACGTACGACGTATCTGAACAGGGGTCGAAGAGATGGGACACCAAGGAGACCAGGGTCTGATGCATTTCGACTTCGACTTCTCCACAAAGACAAGCGCTCTCTACCTACTCCGTATACAGCAAAGCAATTGTTCAACGACAATGTACTCTTCGTCCTAGTCTCATGTTCACATCTTGTGCAGTCTGTCCCCCCTTCCGCTCATTCTGCAATTGCTACTTGAACCGTTCAGCCATCCTCCAGCACTTGACAACAAAAATCATCTCTCGAGCACGGTCAGATCTCCTGTTACAAGTCCTGCGCTAGGTTCCACTTGGAGTCTGTTTCGACATCAACAACGTCCCATACTGATACAACTGACCTTCTCACCCTCACCACTACTGTGTTTGAGCTCCTGCTTCATATCCTCGGTCTTTGCGACCTGAATCTTAATTTGCCATCAGTACCACCTGTTTGTATGATCCCTCGTATGATCGACCGAGCAGACAGCTTATCTCGGATTACTGGCCTCCGAACATTCTGACATCGTCGCACGTCTCTATTCTCAAAAGGAACATCTCTCGGCTTTCCACTAACCTTGTTTCGCCCTCATTGTTGACCTGCTCCTTCAAAGTTCACACATCTCTCTTCCTGCTAGGTTCTTGGAGGGCCTACTTTCATTTGCTATCGTGGTTCTTTGGCTTTGCACCGGACACTGGAGATGCAGAAGAGATAGCAGCTGCATGCGATTGGGAACTTCAGCTATCGACACCTAAGTCGAGGAACGCAGATTCATTGCCACCGTCTACCAAATCATGGCCACCCTCAAGTCTCATTTCGCTCCGAGCAAGATCATATTCTATATTCTTTGGTGGGGGTTTCATTGGGGTCTATTTGCCCTCGGCTGGTAAGCATCGACTATGTGTATACAACGCGGTACGTCGCTAATGGAACAATTCAGGTGGAAGCAAGCACAAGATCCTCGTTTGGCTGGCCTGAACACCCTCACCTTCTCAGTATGGATGTCTCGGGGCGCCGGCCTCGTGCTCTCCGTCGATGTCATGCTCATCCTCCTCCCAATGTGCAGAAACCTGATGCGGTTTCTTCGGCCAAAGTTTAGATGGCTTCCTCTCGACGAGACACAATGGTTCCACCGGCAGTGTGCGTACGCGCTGCTCGTCTTCACCTGTATCCATGTCTTGGCTCATTACGTGAACTTCTTCAACGTCGAGCGAACTCAGATACGACCCGTGACTGCGGTTCAGATCCATTACGCCCAACCAGGCGGCATCACAGGGCACATCATGCTTCTATGCATGCTTCTCATGTACACCACAGCTCACCACAAGATCCGGCAGCAGTCTTTCGAGACCTTCTGGTACACCCATCACCTTTTCATCCCCTTCCTCCTCGCCTTGTATACCCACGCAGTGGGGTGCTTCGTCCGCGACACGCCTGGGCCGTTCTCCCCATTTGCTGGGAAACCGTTCTGGGACCACTGCCTCGGCTACGAGGGTTGGCGTTGGGAACTGGTATCAGGCGGTCTGTATCTTGGGGAACGCCTGTGGAGAGAAATTCGCGCCAGGAGAGAAACCAAGATATACAAAGTCATCCGCCACCCATACGACGCAATGGAGATCCAATTCCAGAAACCGAGCATGAAATACAAAGCCGGCCAGTGGCTATTCATCAACATCCCAGCAGTCTCGAGTCAGCAGTGGCACCCTTTCACCATCACCTCGTGCCCTTTTGACCCTTATATCTCCGTCCATGTACGTCAAGTCGGCGACTGGACCAAAGCCGTCGGTGATGCACTTGGGTGTGGTCCCGCCCAGGCCAAGGAGTTTGACGACCTGGACAGTAATGGGATCTATGAAATTGCACTTCATCAGGGTCAAGAGATGCCCGCTATCCGCGTTGACGGACCATACGGTGCTCCTGCGGAAGATGTCTTTGACAACGAAATTGCCGTCCTTATTGGCACCGGCATTGGCGTCACCCCATGGGCATCGGTGCTCAAGCACATCTACAACATCCGCGCAGGACCCAACCCCCCTCGTCGTCTCAAACGGGTAGAGTTCCTGTGGGTCACTCGAAGTATTGAATCTTTCGAGTGGTTTCAAACTCTGTTGTCTTCGCTCGAACAACAGTCCGCCCAAGCCGCAGAGTCGGTGGGCGGACCAGAGTTCCTGCGCATCCACACCTACCTGACGCAGCGAGTGGACGTCAACATGGCGGCCAACATCTACCTCAACACGGTCGGCAATGCTGTCGACCCACTCACCGAGCTGCGTACCAAGACGCAATATGGCCGGCCAGACTTCACAAGACTGTTTGGTGCCATGCGTGATGGGCTTATGGACCAGACATACCTCGATGTCGGCAAGGAGGCTAGCATCACTGCTCAGATGAAGGCCACGGTTGGCGTGTACTTTTGCGGCCCCAGTGCCGCAGCTCGAGAGATCAAGTCCGCTTGCAAGGCTACGAGCAATGAACTGGTGAAATTCCGGTTCTGGAAGGAACATTTCTGAGTGCTGCCTTTGGTTGTGATCCTGGCTGGACCGACGACATCCAAAATGGACTGGCTTCGCTTTTGGAGGTGCTATTGGCTGGAAGAACGCGATGGCATGGCATGACCTGGAAGATGCTCAGATCGAAAACCTTCCACCTTTTGGATCGAGTTTAGGATGTACAGAGTTGGGGTTTGGTTGGCTTGGATCTTTTATGAGCGAGCAAGCAAGCGAGCAGTTTCAGCAGTTAGAAACGGTGCAAGCGAAAGCACAGAGGGAGGTGTTTTATGTACAGTAGCAATGTTTCCGCAAGACTGTTTAAGCTGGACGCGAGACCATGTCCTTTGATCTTTGACCCCACTCAACATGATTGAGGAGAGTGAGGGTGAGGTAGTCATCGAGCTAGAGCAGTGCGAGGAAATCGTCTGTCGAACTTGGGCCTTGGTTGTGGAACATCATTTCCTGTCCTTCGATCTTTCCCAGCTGCTCCGGGAGCTGTAATTATTAATTATCGGGTGGACAATGGGAGATGGGAGGGTACGAGGCGGATTGGTATCCAAGAGAGTGCACAAATCCTGTTATTGTGACGAATGCAATTGCCTCTGGATTTAGCTTGTACTTGCTACAGTATCAGCCATGCTATCTAGCGGTCTCATACTTGTTGTTGTCATCTCTCTCGCACTAGGTGGTGGAGAGAAGAAACACTGACAGTCCCATGAAGTGAGAGCGCTGAGTATCTGTAGCACAGCACTTAGGTGTGCAGTGAGGTAGTAAGCTTGTCTCCCGCCGTCTTGTTCCCTGTGTCTCGCCTTGCGCGTCATTCCAGCCAGCAAAATAATCTCCTTCCTAGCTGTTTTCTTTGCAGGACCATGCTCTGGTCGAAGCAGCATAGATCAAGGTACAACGGAGGGCTCCAGAGTCGCAGACTCGCTAGTGCATCTATGCAGTAGGATGTCCTTGTCTGGTACCCTTACTCTCATTTCGCGTTCCCGGTCTCTCTGAGGCCTAAAAGAGCAAGCAATCGGGTCAGTGATTATGTTTTCAACATTGTCTAGAAGAGGAGGAAGGGAGAATAAGGTGAAAGGCTTTGTGGAAATTGTACTTACTGGAACATTCTGAGGCTGGCCCTCCTCGAGAATCTTCTTGATGATCTCATCCTCATTGTGCGTGCCGAACTCGTTCTCCAGGCTAGCCTTGGAAGCAGAGTCCAGTTGGCCCTGCGCGCCGTGCTTGTGTGTGACCATGATCTGGAACGCATCCACCACCTGCGCCAGTGGAATCGACTTGTCTTTCTTCCATGCTGCCAGGTCGTCAAGGGATTCGACAAAGACAATGAAATCGTCAGTTTCGCCCTTGTAGAAGACCTTGGTAACGTTTCCGCGACTCATGATGCTTGAAGGACTTGTTGGTTTCTTCTAAGAGTAAGGTTCGATCGAGGTAGAATGAAGTGCGTGCACAAGAATCCGCGCAGTGGGATCACACGACTGAGTTGCTGGGAGGAACAGTGGTGTGCTTGATTGCTGAGGACGAGTTAGAGAAGGTGGCAATAAAAGAGAAGGGAGGACTGCGTACCTTCTTTATTGGAATCTGGAAAGTGAAGTTGGTATATTCGTCACTGAGGAAAGTTCTTGCTGGAATGAAGGAGGTGCAATGGAGCTGTGTGGCCGAGTTGTGTCCTTTTTGAATTGACGTCTTGGAGGCACACAAAGAAGGCGCACGAACAGAATGACGTCAATCGCTTAAGGTACGGGAGTACAACTGGTGACAGCCTCCACTTGGTTGTATGGAGTACCTACGTAGTACGGAGTACGGAGGTACATACTACGTACTACGTACTAGGATACCTTAGTAAGTTAGGTACCTAGGTACTGCAAGGGCCGCAGCAGCATCACACCATGGGAGCCTGAGCCTCTCTTTTGGGACGAGGATGATGCCGCCTTAGCCGTGTCACCCCCAGAGCTGCACCCGCGTCTCATCGTCCATGGATAGCTTTCAGCTTCAGCTTCAGCTTCATATTACTCTGTAATGCCAGCCGAATCAAATAGATTGTGGTCTCAGATCTCTGGTTAGATGATGACCCCCCTGGTCTGTAAGTCCCACCCCTTTTGGATGTTATTAAATGGTAAGAGGGCATTCAAGCATTTATCGCCAATACGACTACCGTCGCCCAACTACCGTTACGACAGAGCCTCCTTACTCCTCCTATTCTTCTCCCTCTCTCTCTCGTGATCACACAACTCCTGCGCGTGGGGATACTCAGGAACCTTTCTGCAATTGAAAAAGCTCCAATACAGCTTGACTTGCGCTTGGTGTTTATCCTTTGTGCCATGGACCCCTATGAGATACACGGGCAAGGCGAGGTGGAGATAGGCTTCGTTGTTTTGGCGAATGGTCGAGATGATGGTGCAAAGCTTGTCGATAACCATGGTGACGATGAGAAGACATTCTGAAGAAAATGCCGATCGTCCTACGCAGGCCAGGACCGCGCCTAAGCGCCAAGCGTCCCGAATGAGAGACTGCTGGGAGGAGTCCTGGTCGTCGTGCTGGGTTTGGAGCTTGAGGAGCTGGATCACGGTGAGGTGATATAATTTTTCCATATCAAATGAATGCGGTTCCCGTCGATGCACGACGTTGATGTAGAGCTGAAAGGTTTCCCTCTCGCACCCTGTGAGCTCGAACAAAGAGTCGTCCATATACTCGCGGTGGAAGGCGTCGAAGACCAGTTGTCTATCTTGATGGACGACCGATCCCATGACATCGTACCAATTCAGGAGAGATACGGCCTGCTGCAAGCCCGGGGTGGAGTCACACACTTGGGTGAATTCGGCGAGATTGCCACAGTGAATGTTGAGCAAGGCACGTGCGCCTTGCAGATGGCGGCCCCAATCCCCGAATGGACCTTCGCGGACGTCGAGAAAAGCGAAAGTGGTGATACCGAAGATGGCAAAGATGTGCCCTGCTCGAACCATCCGGCTCAAGGCACTCAGTGCGGCGAGATGCAGAAACTGAGGGTCGTCGTCGTCGTTCACATTCTTGTCAGGGCGGCCGACATGCGACGCCGTGCGCTTCCAGGCAAACTTCCAGATATCGGACATGTCGTCTGTGTTTGGCGAGGGAGCAGACGTTGGGGAGAGTGCAGATTGACAACGTCCCAGATCGAGCTTGGCTGCAAAGTATTGGAGAGCGCTCGAGATGTCGGTTGTCCAGTTGATTGACTGAATGTCCACGTCATCCACTGAAGAGCGCGGTGATGTCGTGTCGGAGGACGCTGTGATGGTTGTTGTGGTGGTGGTGGTGGTGGTGGTTCTCCTACTTCGTTTACTAGGACGAGGCGCTCCTCTTTGTTGCTTTCCATCATCAACCCATTTGACAGTCACTCGATACCCTTGACATTTCAGACCGGCATCTTTACATATCTCGCAGCCCGGTCGGTTGAGGTCACACTTGACCTGTCGACGTTTGCAAGTCAGACAATCCCGGTCCCGTCGAACCCCGCGAGGTTTGCCTTTGAGACGAAAGGTCTCTGAGGCCATGAATCGATTACTTTCCTCTACCAGGCAGAGAGATATGGGGTGGTCCGGGGTGGTGGGTATACTTAAGGACATTGGGAAATGGGGGAATAGGTGGGACTCTTAGATAAAGTCGAGCCAATGGAAGCGTTGACAGATGAACGTTCGAGATAAGGAGTGGCATATGATATGTACATGTACGTGTACAGTAAGTCCAACTCAGTCGATGCACATATCGTGCTGGATGGATACACTGACATCCAAGAGGGATTGAGGAGAAGAAGCAAGACACCCCCGATTGTTAGATAAAGGAAGCCTGCTGCACTATGGAAACCCGCAAGCATGTATATCAGTTGACCAGATGGACGTCCAATGTGCGCTTGATCTTGGGAGAGCGATTGAAACATGATCATTTCAGCAATTCCTGAATGACCTTGGCCACTGCAATGGCTTTCTCGTCTCCGAATTTGCCTCCTACAACTTGAACGCCGACCGGCATGCCCTTGACCAGCTCAGGATCGTCTGCAGTAAGGAATCACGTCAACCCCATATCCACACGGCTGTCCAGCGACGCGGGAATCGACTTACATTGTTTCCAGTTAAATTCATCCGATGGATTCCTCGGCTTGTGCGTCAACCACTCGTGATCCGGCTGATCCTTGTCCACGTCGACCGTGGTGACAGGAATGGTGAGCGCCGCGTAATTGACGAAATTCCAGATCGAAGTGTATCCCACGTATTGATGGCTCTTGACCCACGTCCACGGTTTGTAGCCAACCCACGGCGTCACAGGCATGATCAGTGCGTCCAGGTTGGCGTCGGCCCAACGCTCGAGGTAAACACGTTCGTATTCGAACTTGTCGAGGTTGAGCTACAAGGAGGGGGATGGTTTAGTATCAGGAATAGATGAGGAGGAATATCAACGAGTAGTGAGTGGGTAAGTCAGAGAAAGAGTGCAACGCGCGCTGGGTTCCTCACCTGATGGAGTTGAGTGGAAGTCAGCAGATCCTTTTCGGTGCCGACCAGCATGCCCTGGACCAGGGGTTCGCCGCTCAGCTCGCAGAGTTTGCGACAGGCCTCGCCGCCGTCCGAGAGGATGGCCTTTTCCCAGAGCTGGTAGCAGTGGGCGTGGGAGCTAGCATCCCATTCCAATACTGCCGGTTGTTAGCATCAGCATGAGGGATCGCGGGCCTCTGCGAGTTGGGATCTCGCTTTCGCTGACCGTCATGACCCGCCGCTCGTAGTCGCTCGACCACTTCCCGGACGGCTCGAGCAGCCGGAGGTTGGACCTTGACAAAGCCATCATCAATCACATAGCCAATCCTCAGCTTGCCGGCAGATGTGCATAATTCTGTCCGCCATGGGACGGGCACTATATGGGGATCCCGCTCCCAGGGCTTCGCAGAAGCAAGGGCCGACATGTATGTCTCGACGGTCGACAGACTACTTGCCAATGGTCCAGCCACCGGTCTTACAATGTCTTGCCGTGTCCTAGAAAGCCGTGTCAGAAAGCGAATAAGGTCGTCCGTTCTCTAGGGTAGGGGTAGGGGTTGGGGTAGGGGTAGGTTTCGCATCATCTCACCCTTTCGGCTGATAAGGCTGCCTCCCGAACGTCGGATTCAGTCCGTATAAGCCACAAAGACCAGCTGGGATTCTGATGGATCCGCCAATGTCACTTCCGAGACCTAGGATGCTGGCTCTTGCACTGACCAAGGAACCCTCTCCACCAGAACTCCCTCCAGAGATGAGGTTTCTGTTCAATGGGTTCACGCACTGGCCAAATACGTGGTTGTAAGAGTCCGACATCTACTTGACATCAGTTCTCGGCCAAGTCGAGTGGTGATGATCAAAACACGCACCATCATTGACTGGGGGATATTTGATTTGACGTAGAGTACTGCTCCAAGTTGACGAAAGATGCGTGCTGGGTAGCTGTCTCCAGCCGATGGTTTCCCAGTCAATCCAACCCATCCTGTGGCGGGTGGCGGAATTCAGCCTCGAGTCGATTGTCAAGCAGGTACCAGACAGGGGAAGATACCTATAGAGCTATCGACGCCTTTGACATCGAATTGATCCTTGATCGAGACGGGAAGGCCATGAAGGGGCCCAATGGTCCTGCCAGTCTTCTCGAGGTGCTCATCAAGTGCTTTCGCAGTCTCCAGTGCCTCGTCGAAGAACATTTCGGTACAACATGTCGTGAGTTGGTGAGCTAGAGCAGCCCTCTTTGAAAACGCTGTGATCACATCCACAGCCGATAGCTTTTTGCTGGCCAACTTCTCGAGCAGAACATCCGCATCGGTCGTTTCGGTGATCTCGAGCTCTTTCGGTGAGAGCAAGGCGGATTTGCGAATGAAATCCAATGCATTGACAACGTCAGTGACGGGTGGTATCTCTCTCAGCCGCCATTCTTGAGGTATCGAGGCGGCTTGCTGTGCCCGCTTCTGGCGTCCAGTCTCTTCGTAAGACACTGCCATTTGAAGGTACTTTGTCAAGATGTCCCTGTGTGAGCCTTTTATATATCCTGTTCAGCTTGGCTCCCACACATTGAACAGAGTATGTAGAGGACTAAGATCGAGAGCTGCTGATCCAGCAGAAGGCAGTTTATAACGCCCAGACACGACCCAAGACCCCGAAAGCACAGCAGCAGCTCGGAGACAGCCTGACAGATGACTTACCGGACGTAGAAAGCAATCAACTGATAGCTGTTGGTAGAGTACTCCATAGAAATGCCTCCGGATCCAGCAGTATAGCGTTATCGGCCTCCTTCGGATCGACCCTGCAAGAAAGTGTTGTTTTGACAGCCTGAATAGGAAAGCAATCTATTGGACCTGTTAGGTGCCTGTGAGAGGAATGAGGGTTCAACGTTCGTTATCGGGGAAGTGGACTGCCATATTATGTAGTATGCATGTAATTACTTAGTACTAGCATGTACGGATAGTCGGATACAGTTGGGGAGACACTTGGGTCCTAATCCTGTGGGGAGGGACGAGGAGCACTGACATATTGCTTGATCTTGTCCCACTCGGTAAGCTGTAAGCTATCACGAAGCTGATTGATATGTCTTGTACATACTTGTCTCTCACCAATGGCAACACCCAGCTACTTCCTTACTATCCTGAGGCCTCACGGATCGAGCTGGCTTGACCCGTGAGGCAGTCCCCAGCTCGTCCAAGTCCGCGCTTCTCCATCTACTCGAATGGGCAACGAATCTACGAGATAAGGCGGCCACCATGAGGTGGGTTTCGGCTCTTCCCACGTACAGTACGGAGTATGGAGTACTCTGAACCCTGTATACACCTGGGAACCAATTATCAATATGGGCGCCGACGTCTATGGCATACTGTACTAGTTTGACATCTACGGAGTACAGCTCTGACTTTACAAGATAAGCATCTCAGATGCTCTTGGCCGTTAGTGGGCTTAAGGCTGCGCGGTGGTCTCCATTCCTGCTCCATTTCTGATAAGAACGACAGCGGTGTCGCTCATTTCCTAACCGCTGACCCTGAACTTGTTGCGGCCGAGGGTTGATTCCCTTCCCTGACAGGAAGGTGATCAACTGGTATCCCAATGCTGGCCATACCTGACGTTGACCGTCGAGCCGGTGGATGGCCGGGGCTCTGATCATCAGGCACATTCACAAGTCCGCCTGTGGTGATGGGGAAAACATATAAGGTGTCAGACAGCTACAAATGCATTCGAGAGGAGACCTCTGAGAGAGGTGAGCCAGATCAGATCCGATCAGACCAACCCGTCTTGTTGTTGATTTGACCCTTCGACACCATGGCCGAAACGATTGCTATGCATCGGGAGGACGTTCTGCCACCCGGAACCGTGCATCTCCTCCATTTACATGCTCATCAAGCCGACGAGAAGATTCTGGTGCCTAAGCCGTCCGACCATCCAGATGACCCTCTCAACGTGAGTAAACATAGCGTGGCATCTCCAGCACATGACTTCAGCTTTCGTCGGGCCCAGTCCAAACAAGACCATGCTGACCCCGAAGTGACGATCTAGTGGACTAAGGCACGCAAGATGCTGAACCTCTCTCTTGTGCTCTTCTATGTCTTCACCACCGGCGTCGGGGGGACATCGGTGTACTCGGTCTTCACGCCAATCTCAGAGGACACGGGGATCACCATCGCTCAGCTCAACAACGGGACAGGCTATTTATTCCTCCTGGCAGGCTGGACCAATTTGATCTGGCAACCGCTCGCGTTGACGTTTGGAAGACGACCTGTGATCCTGCTCAGCCTGGTCTTCTGCGTGGCCATCACCGAATGGACGGCCTGGATTGACTCGTATGGGCCCTGGGCCGCTGCTCGCTGTCTCTATGGCTTTGCCTGTGCCCCGGTCGAAGTGCTGCCGGAGATTTGCATCCCGGACATTTTCTTCGCCCACGAAAGAGGCGGCTATATTGGAATCTATATGATGATCCTCTGCGGAAGCAACTTCATTGCTCCGCTGATCGCCGGGTTCATGAACGACGCCTATGGCTGGCATTGGGTTCAGCATTGGGCTGCCATCTTACTCGGCGCCAACTTGGTGCTGTCATTCTTCTTCCAAGAAGAGACCCTCTTCACTCGCTCCACCGTCGAAGCAGAGAGGGTAGACGAACTGTCTTCGCCGGTAGAAGAGGAGCAGGTGTTTACCGGGAAAGGTCCTGCTCCAGACTCGGCAGCACCAGCCTCGACGCTTCCCGTTAATTCCACCATCACCTCCTCTTCCCCCTACAAGCTCAAGACATTCTGGGATAAGATGTCTCTGTGGACATACAGTGGGATATCTACCTCACAATTCCTCAGCATGATGTACCGGCCGATCCTCATCTTCTTTCAATTTCCAAATGTCATGTGGGCCGGCTTCATGTACGGCACATCATTGTCATGGTAAGTGGGACTGACTGATGCCTCCCCTCCGAGTGTACTCCGTACATACTCGTACTCGGCCTTGTCTGCGGCTGAGCTGACCCCTACTACCACAGGTATAACGTCTACAATGCGACCACGTCCGTCATTCTTTCCTCCGACCCTTACAATTTCTCTCCTGCCATGGTCGGGCTGAGCTACGTCGCACCACTGATCGGGACCCTGATCGCCGGCGCTCTCACCGGACCAGTATCAGACTGGTACACGTTGAAGCTGGCCCGACGCGCCGACGGCCTTCGTGAGCCCGAGCAACGACTCTGGGGTCTCGTCCTCTACTGCGTCCTGATGCCGGTCGGACTGATTCTCTGGGGCATCGGCGCCGCACACAAGCTCCATTGGGCCGTGCTCCTTCTCGGCTCCATCCTCAATGGCTATTGCAACGTGGCCGGTGGCAGCTACGCCATCGCCTACAACGTGGACTCGTTCAAGGAGATTGCCGGCGAGTCCATCGTCTCGGTCATCTTGTGCCGGAATAGCATGTCCTTCGGCTTCAATTACGCCATCACCCCGTGGATCGCTCGCCAGGGCTTGCAGAATACCTTCATTGCCGTCTCCATCTTGTCTTGCGCTTTCGGCTGTACCTTCTTGTTGATGGTCTGGAGGGGCAAGTACTTCCGCACCATATGTGCCGATCGATACTGGCGATATGTCGCTACCCAGGTGGTGAAGCATGAGTGAGTAGTTCCTACTTACTACTTACTGCCTTGGGCCCGTCGTCCGCTACGAGTAGTACATATTGTACTACTTACTACACCAGGGTCGCTCGGTTCTTTCTAGCGGGCCTACTCAGTTTGTCTGTGACGGCGACGAGTCGTGAGTCGCTGTGGGCATGCAGTGATATTGATATTGATATTGATATTGATATTGAGCGGATCTTAGGATATGATTGGAATTGGAATTAGTCTTATGGAGCTTAGTCGTATTCCGTTGAAACCCAGTCTGTCAGAACCCACCGTAGCTATACATTATATCGAGGACACTGGACGACTCGCCTAGATGGAGGCATCATTGTCATGGTGCGGGTGACCTAAGCCTCATAGCGAGACTCCAAGAAGTTCGGCACAGCGCGGCGCAGAATTCCCGGCCCAGCTTGAACGTGGTGGAATTGAAGTCTTTTCTCGGCAGGAAACATGATCAGGCACCTGCACTTGCCTGAAGAGAAACGTTCGTACCTCATCGCCAGCCTGTGGCGCCCGGGATCCTTCGTAAGCAGTCCCGCCCTCGGTGGAAATGAAATCACGAAAGACGCGTCAGCTCCGCAAGCAACTGCTTTGTCTCGGGTACGTCTTTCTCCAAAGCAGCCAGAAGTTCATCCCACACCTTGTCCACAGCCGGCTGGCCGTTATCGGGCGAAAGCAGTGGATGCAGCCTGCACGATTGTCAGCCAGCCTGGGTTGCAATGGAGACATGATAGGTAATAGGTGATGGGGGGACGGCGGAGAGGAGAGGAGAGTCTCTTACAAGTCGTGAACTCCGTCGTCGTACCATAGCCGTCCATGGCCCTCCGGTCCGACGGCTGCACCGGACACCAGTGCCCTGGATCCTTGTTCCGAGGTGCGCAGAACCAAAGCGTTGAGCACCGCTCGGACTAGATCCGCAAAGAACCCTTGGTGGCCTCGACTGAGATTCGACTGGCAGAAACCGGGGCAGACTGCGGTGATGAGCACATCGGACTCGACCAGCCCGGCCAACTTTCGCATCACGCACATCAGGAAGAATTTCGACGCCTGGTATTGCTTGCTTGAGTTGTAGTTCGCAGCCTGGTCGAAGGTCTCGAAGACGGTGCCGGTGTTCAGAGCTGCCTCAGGCAGGACGACCTTCTCGTGCCGTCTGGAAGAGACAAATTCCAGCACCGGAGATGAACCGCCGCCACCGCCTTGTCGAGCAGTCTCTTTCAGCTTGGGAAGGAGATGGAGGGCCAACAACGCCGTCGACAGCACGTTGACTTGCATCGTCTCCTCCCAGCCGTAGCTGGACGTCTCGTAGCCGGTCATGAAAACACCCGCGTTGAGCACAGCAATGTCGAGACGATCGAGATCTGACGAGGCACGGGTCGCGAAGGCTCGGATGCCGGAGTACGAGTTCATGTCGAGCTGCCACACCTCGAGGACGTCCGTTGTGCCCGCGCCCGTGCCTGTGCCCGTGCGTGATTTAATGGCTTCTTTGGCCTGTTCGCCTTTGGAGACGTCGCGCACGGCGAGGATGACACGTTTCGCACCCAGCGCCGCGAACTTGGCGGCGGCTTCGAACCCAAGCCCCGAATTGGCGCCCGTCACCACAATGGTCTTGTCGGAGAAGCTGCTGTGCGGCTCGGCGAGCGGTTTCTGGAGGTGGAAGGGGAGGTGGAGTCCGCCCATGGTTCTTCGCTCTCCCGCGCGTGCGTGTCCGGCTCGATGATGCCTATGCCTGCCTAGCAACGGGCCGGAGGTGCGGGCCAGGCGAGGGCACGGAAGAGTAGATTCAATCCGACGGACAAGAGACGCGACGATATGTCGGGCCCGGTCGACCAGGACCTTGAATCCTCTGGTAGTGCTGGTTACAAGGAGGCCAGAATCGCCGAGAGTGGAAGGAGATGGAAGCGCAGATCAGACTGGCCACACCACGACTTATGCTTATGTCCTAGTAAGGATCTCGTCCAGGTAGGAGGTAGGTTGCAGATCGGGAGGGAGAAGGTTCGTGAAAGCTGCCTGTCCTACCATATATTATTTCGGGTTCTGCTTGACTGAAAAAGCCTCACCTCTAGGCTCTCAGTGCTCGTCGGTGCTGTCGAACGAAGTTCAGGCCCGGTTGAGGGCCCAAGCCGGGCCGGTTCATTTTATGTAGCCCCCGGTTCATGTTCAGTCGCACATGCGGAGTAACTGCTGTGATAATAGATAAGATGAATGCTGTGCTGGACCAATTCAACTAATTAAATAAGTACAAAAGGAAGCTGGAGGGTAAATATCCAAGCCTGTCAGCACCAGGAATAAACATGTATTCGTATATCGGGATACAAGCCAGTGTTACCTGACAGTACAGAGTATCTGTATAGTTCTTACCTCAACACTCTCCGGGAACATCGGGCACTCTTACGGTGTACCTGGTAGAAACTGACGGCATGTAATACGGATACCTGGTCTGGGTCAGTACCGAGTGCCTACCTCAGGTATCTCTAGGTACGGAGTCACAGTGCAGAGTACTCCGTACTATGGATAAAAGGTACAGTATCCAACCTACTTTACCTGAGGTATCTGTATCTAATGATGCATATAATTACAGTATATTATACATCAACCCAGTCTGTCTCCGGCGCTGGTCTGTACGTCGTCATTGTCGACCGATGCAATCAGATGGGGAGCCAACCTTACACAGATTAGTACCTCAGGTACGAGTACATATCAAACCAGAACCCGCACATGTTCTATCTTGTTGCACATGGCATCGCACCCAAGCATCTAAGTGATGACTCAGTCATCCGGCCACCTTTTCCAGCCCGAACGTTGTATTTGTGACACGGCAATCTGACCCCAACACCCAAGCTGGGAGCGATCCGAGGCAAGGCTGGAGACCATTGGCGACTGTGGAAGGAAGGTCGCATTTATGACCCCAGCAAAGAGCTTTTAGTCGCCCGGCTTTGAGGCTTCGGCTTCGGTTTCGGCTTCAGCCTCTGCGGGGGATCTGAATGTTCCCGGTGCCGCCTGACAACAAACAGCAAGTGGAGACTGGAGATTTTGGAGATTTCTCAAGGATCATCCCCGTATTGAGACGCATTGAAAGATACATCAGTCCTAACTATCTGCTTTGCTCGACCTCCCTCCTTTCAAGTCACCTCTTGGCCCTTGATCGCTAAGCTGACAGTGGGCAGTGGTGCCTCACTGATTGAATGCACCATCATGGTTGACCACGCCTCTCAATCGTCGATGCTGCTCAGATACGCTTTGTGGCTCGTTGGCCTCCTCTGCACAGCCCGGGTCCTGCTGTTTCTGTACATGTCTCTCACCTCTCCGCTCCGCTCCGTACCGGGTCCATTCTTTGCTCGCTTTGGAAGGGTCTATTACTTCTGGAAAGTCAGCCGCGGCCATTGGGAACATGACAATCTGGCGCTGCACCGAAAGTATGGCCCCGTCGTCCGCGTGGCGTCTGATATGTACAGTATCGACTCCCCTGAGATCGTCAAGAAGGTCTACAGCGTTGGCTCCAAGTTCCCCAAGTCGGACTGGTACGATGCATGGAAGCATCCAGATCCCAGCCGCTGGTCGCTGTTTCCAGAGAGAGATATGAAGAGACATGCTGAGACGAGGAAACGATTCCAGGCAATGTACTCCATGTCAAGCCTGGTGAATTACGAAGGATATGTCGACGAGTGTGCCGAGATTTTCTGCAAAAGACTGGCTGGGTTCGCAGCCCATGGAGATACCATTGACATGGCACATTGGCTTCAGTGTTACGCTTTTGATGTCATCGGCGATATTACTTACTCCCAACGATTCGGCTTCCTGGACAAGGGTGAGGATATTGCTGGATTGCTGAGGGCACTGCACGGAGTGTTAAAATATGGAACCCTAGCAGGCATCTATGCTCGTTGGCACCCTCTCATCTTCCGCATCTCAAATCGTCTTGGCTTGGGCGGTGCCACAGGTCGAACGTATCTGATGAAGTTTGTAGGAGAGCGAATCCGACAGAGGGAAAAAGAGACCAAGACCGGCAAAGATGTGCAGAAAGCAGGGCAGAGAAACGAAAAATCCCCCATGGACTTCCTGGAAAAGCTTGTGGTGGCCAATAAGGAGGATCCCGAGAGAGTAACACCGTATCACGTCTTCATGATGGGCTTGTCAAACATTATTGCAGGCTCTGATACCACCGCCGTCAGCCTTTCATCGATCTTGTACAACCTCCTGAAGCATCCGGCCAAGATACGAAAGCTCCAACAGGAGATCAAGGAATTCGACGACCAAGGCCGGTGCAGCAACCCGAATGTGTCGTTCAAGGAGAGTCAAGAGATGCCATATTTGCAGGCTGTCATGAAGGAGGCTCTCCGGGTGCACCCCGCGACTGGCTTGCCCTTGTGGAGAGTTGTACCTCGTGGAGGTGTCGAGCTCTGCGGTCAATTTTTCCCCGAAGGCAGCATTGTCGGGGTCAACACCTGGTGTGCTCATTATAACGAAGTCGTTTTCGGTCCAGATGCCAAAGAGTTCCGGCCGGAAAGGTGGATTGACAATGAGGAACAAGGTGGCGAGAGGTTGAAGCGCATGGAGGCGTACTACATGCCAGTAAGTCTCGAGGCCGCAAACAATATGAATGCCTTCCTGTTCACGGCTGACAATCCTGCTAGTTTGGGTTGGGGTCGAGGACATGCATCGGTCGCCATATTTCTTTCTTGGAGATGTCCAAGTTGATTCCCCAGATCGTCAGAAGGTTCGACTTTGAACTCGAGCATGCTGAAAGACCATGGAACACTGACAACAACTGGTTCGTAAAACCGACCGATTTTCAAGTCAAAGTCAAGCTGCGGAATGAATAGAAAGACACAGTTTTTGGACATATCCGTGTCTTTGACAGATTCGGTTTTCTCACATTGAACGAGGCCAAGTTGGACATCTTCACTGCCATCTCTGCGTCAGTCAAAAGCTTTGTCAGTGTTTCCAGAATGAACTTGGGCGAAAGGTGTTGATGTCACCGAGGTTCATTGACCAATGTGGACAGGATCCTGAACGCTGTAATCAGCAAATGGACCAATAACCCCTTCAGAGATAAGGCCAAAAGCGTTGCTGGTTTGACCAGGGTCTGCGTTCCCAATTGGCGCCATGTGGTTGACATTCGTATTCCAGACACCTAGCCACATACTCCATACCGTAGTCCGGATACTGGATTGCCTTTTCCTTGTTTGCTGCAGCGAATCGCTTGACTCATGGGAAAAGGCTCCATCGAATTCCCCCTCCTGTCCAGCCTGACCGTGTCATTATTGCCGAACTCGTTTGATCTCAACAAGATTTACCTTGTGAACGCGAAGGAAGAATCAGGGTGTGGCGGCGGCTAAGCAACAAGAGAATCGGTATCCATCACACACTAAAGGTTGATGGTGTGGGCAGTGGTTCAGGTTGGCGGCCGAGCGATTGACAGGGGACCGAAAATGATGCCGACGTTTGATCAGACCGTGGACGGCGAATACAGTACGCCACAGCTCTAGCCTCTTTGTTTCTCTACTGTGTCCACCGTTCACAGTGTAGAGCCACACCGGGCTGCCTTCAGCATCCAGAGAGCGCGATTCGCGGGTCTAGCAAAGTGGGAATTCCACATGCCGGTGCCCAATTTCCGCCCGAGCGCTCACCAGTAGCTCGATAGCTCAGCTAATGGCTAGCCCCGACCGGGTATCATGAAGCCTCAGGAGCCCTAGAATCGTTCGGCCGCTTGGTGGAGCCGTCAGAGGATGGATGGGCTAATGGGTGTGTGGCAGAAGACGGAGAAGCGAGGTGTAGACAGCCGAGGGAAAGGAGGAATGGCGCCAGAGGCATTCGAACAGCAGATGCGGCCAGGAGGAATGCAGAAACACAGCTCTGGTGCCGATACGAGTACTAGGTGCCTAGGTACAGGATAGCAGAGCATGGATTGATGATGGAGGGTCGTACTGATACTGTATCAGTTTCCTGCGTACTCCAACCTAGATACCTTAGGTACTACCTAGGTCAGGTACTGTAGGTCCTGTAGGTCCTGTAATTAGGTATGTACAGTACTCGAGTCCAAGAGCGAGCGGCTACTACTGCTGCCCGTTACAGCCCATAGGCCGTAGCCCGCAGGCCCTAGGCCCCAGACGGACCTGCTACTGGACAGAGGCTCAGCGAGGCCCCAGAACAGCAGGGTCACCCGTCTGTCGCCCGCCCACCCTCAGCAGTCCACGGCTCATCACTGGCAGATGGCAGACTGCGACTTGCACCTACGCCTCTTCCAGTTTCCGCTTTCCTTGCTTGCTGATCTCGAAGCCCGATTGCCGCTGTACAGAACCTGCCTGACTTCATGTTACCACTTCAATTCTTCTTCCATCACCTGTGCCTCGAGTAACACTGTATCACTGGCAGCTCATCTTCAAATCGCCTTGTCCTGCGACGCCCATGCGCTCTTCCATTTATCCCCGATCTGAATCACCAGACTAATCAGCGATCGCTTGTGCCTGCGGACCTACACTCGACCAGCCACACCCTTCTGCTGTCTAGTCATCCTCCCTCCCCCCCTCGTGCAGCCGCCTGGTCGACTCCCGCTCGTTTGCGACTGCATCCAATCCGTCTCCATCAAGCATTCTGAGCGCTGGCCTTGATAAGTTTGAATGTATTTCAAGCTGTCTGTTCTATCTCGCTGCGCGCACGACAGAGAGAATAGGTCTTTGTCGGCCACCACTCGCCCCACATGAGTGGCAGCGCTGCCGCTCAGCCCTCATCAGGTATGGTCCGACCCTTTCTCGTGTCGAACTGTCTATCGACCTTTGCCGCGATGGCGCACGCTCGTTCCTAACATCTTCCACCCTAGGCACCCCCCCACGAGACCTCGACCCGGCCGATACCTCGATCAACTCAACCACAGCCCCCTTGAGCGAAGCACCCCAAAGCGATGAAACGATGACAGAGAAGCCCAAGCCTTCGCTCGTCAAGATACCTTCTCGGACATCTTCTCACCAGAGACCGTCCGAGACCACGTCTACTACCACGCCTGTACCGACCATACCGAATGAACAGCCCCCGGCTCCCAGGCGCGGCTCTAAACGAAGCCTCCTGAGCAGAAGTAGGAATGCCAGCCGTAGCAGCAGGAAGTCAGCTAAGCCTGCTCGGGCTGCTGACGACCCCAAGGAGCCAGTGCCTCCCCCGGCACAGTCTGGCGCTCCCAGAAACGAGAAGAAGCCTCGGAGCGGCTTTCTTGCCATTTTGAACTGTTGTTTACCACACCAACTGCCTGATGATACAAAGTCGGACGATCCTGACGTCTCCGCGAAGAAAGTCAAAATACAGCCTACACCGCAGAGAACATCCAGGCCACCGGAACAGAGTGAAGTCGTCGAAAACGAGAAACCACTGGAAGGCAGGACGCCCGCGGCCGAGCCGTCTTTGGAGGGTCGAGGGGCTGAAGAAGAGAAGGCTGCGCATCCCGAGAAAAGGGCGAATGACGATGCCAGACCAAGAATATCACGAGAGCCCGTGGCAAGTGGCAACGGTGCGGGATCTCCCACAGCTGAGTTGAATCCCGAGGACCATGGTGCAGTTCCTGGCCGCGGTCAAGACCAACTACAGACCACAACTGCCACTGCACCCGAATCGTCTGCCAAACCAGAACCAAGTGTGACGGTGGCAACGCCTTTCAAACAAGACACCCCCATAGACGCCCAAAAGCATGGAAAGGAGAACAACAGAAACAGTGATGTCGAGATGGATGATGCCCCTCCTGCAGTGCCAAGTGTCGACGATGAACCCGTAGACGAGCCCCCTCAACCTGCAGAGCAACAACCTCAAGTGTCTCTGCCTCCACCGCCACCCTTGGAGAAACGCCAGGAGCAGATATCCACCAAGGAATTTCCACCTATCCCAGAAGCGGCGCTCGAAAAGCACTCATGGCTCCTGCCACCAGTTGACCCTCACCTGAAGGGAAGGAAGTGTTTGGTTCTTGATCTTGATGAAACGTTGGTACACAGCAGCTTCAAGATCCTCAACCAGGCAGACTTTACGATTCCGGTCGAGATTGAAGGCCAGTACCACAACGTATACGTCATTAAAAGGCCAGGCGTGGACGCCTTTATGAAACGGGTTGGCGAACTGTACGAAGTGGTCGTCTTTACAGCCTCAGTTTCCAAATATGGTGATCCATTGCTGGACCAGCTAGATATCCACCATGTGGTGCACCACCGACTGTTCCGGGAGAGCTGCTATAATCACCAAGGAAACTATGTGAAGGTAAGGCCGCCGCTGCAGACAAGAGTTTGATGGAAGTCGCCGCTAATGTGCAAATCAGGACTTATCACAAGTTGGACGGGATCTGAAAGAAGTGATCATCATCGACAACTCGCCGACGTCGTACATCTTCCATCCGCAACATGCGGTTCCAATAAGTTCATGGTTTTCGGATGCCCACGACAATGAGTTGCTCGATCTGATCCCGGTCCTCGAAGATTTGGCAGGGCCACAAGTGCAAGACGTGAGCCTGGTATTGGACGTGGCTCTCTGAGCCGAACATTTATCGCCCCACGTTTGAGTGGACATCTTCGCTTCTTATGTTCCTATTAGAAACGGCATATCAACCAAAAGTCTGTTGGCATTTCTAGCGAGGCGTCCTTTCTCTAATGCTCTCGATGCGGGGAAATTCGCCGGAGTTCGACTGGACCTCTCAGCGCATAGAGTGCCAGACCCGGGAAAAGGGGGATAAAAGGGTGGGCTTCAAAATAAACAATCGAGTTTAATAGCACGGGGAAGGCTGATTGAGTGCCTCTTAACTAACCAGAATTCTGACGGGTCTCTCAGAGTGTGCCCGCCACCGGCAGACTCGCAGATTGAGATACCCAACTCCACCAAGCTCCTGTTTCCTTTGTTTCTTTCAGTTGAGGGGCAATTGGCATATTGCGGGCATGCATTTGGCTTTGTGGGATCCAAGGGCGTGGGCAGAACATGGAAGCGAGCAAGCGTATAGTCTTTTGTTGTGAGATGTACGGATGTACAGTCCACCGACCTCCGCCGAGATTCCTCGAACAGACAGGAATGAGGGAGCGCAGTCGACTTTGATGCAGAAAACAGGTCGGATTCGGTCGTATAACATTGCGGGAACGGTACACTTTGGTGTGTGAGAAATTACGCAGAGCAAACAAAGCGGGGAAGTACAACATTGGCCATCTTTACCAACATTGTATTCTATTCACCCGGCCAACAGTAGTGGTTGGGTCGAGATCGTCCATCATTCGTGCCCTATTCAAGGGTGACTTTTGCCTAAGCCCTGCACTATCTTCCCGCGCCATCATATGAGCTGACGGCAGAAATCACGTACCAGAGGACCGACCTCATCTGGTGCTTCGACACAGTGCCAATGACCTACGCCATGCAGGACTTCCAACCGTTTGTTCTTCTCATGGGTGCCTAAACTGCTGAAAATCTCCTTGCATCCGGCCAGCGGCGCACTCTTATCTTGATCACCGGCGATGATCAGGACAGGGCATTGGACCTTTGCATATTCCGGCGGATGTGCCGTCTCGATAGCCCTACAGTTTGCGATGTATCCCTTGGGGGTTTGCCCCATGATCATCTCCCGGATAAAACCCTTTTGGGTGGCGGTGGCTTTGCTTCCCGTTGCGGCATTGGGAATCGTATTGGCCATGGTTTCGATGCCACCTTGTTTAGTGGAAAAGTCATTATGGAAACTTCTGAAGAAGAGAAGAAAAGAAAAGCAAAGCAAAGAGGACAATGGGATTTGAGCGGAAAAGAAGAAAAACAAGACTGGTAATCAAGGGGGTCCTGTCTTCTCTTTGGTCTTACCTTCTCTAACCGTAGCAATACGTTGCTTGAACACGTTGGCGATACCTTCGCTGGGATGGACCGGACCAATGCATACTCCTGCCACCACTCTGTCGGGCGAGGTCGCTGCAAGATAGGTTGGGACGATGGCGCCCATGGAGTAGCCTATCACGACAGCATTATGGACACCGAGATGGTCCAGCAGGCCCAGGACGTCTTTCCCGATCGAGGGGATCGAGGTCTCCCCACCGTCATACTTGGAGCGGCCAGCGCCGTAGTTGTCGAAGACGATGCACCGGTACGCCGCCAGATAGGGGAAGATGGGGAAGAAGTAGTTCTGTGTCGAGCCCAGGCCATGGATGAGGATCAAGGTGAGTTTTGGTTCTTGATTTCCGCTAGGTGCGATGTCCGTGTAAAGTAGGGAGTGGCCGTTGATGTTGGCGAATGGCATTTTTTCTGGTTTGGTTTGGGTTGGTCTTCCCCCTTTTGGGAAGAGATTTGGTTGTGTTAGGAGTATGGGCGTCAGTGAGGCAGCTTGAAGAGTTTGGGATAGAACTGAATGACGGTGGCTTTATGCAAAGAGAGACCCCGAAAATCGAGAGTACACATGCAGATATTAGATAGATATCCATAGTCGGACAACCTCCCCTTGTCCCATCACCCATAATAGAGGGGACGTCGGTGACGATGTTCGGGTCGGGGACTGCGGGAGAGAGGTCGGAAGCATGAAGACAAGTCAAAGGGTCGGGCCGAGCACATGCCTTTGGACCTCCATGATTGAATGACTGATTGATAGCTGTCCACGGTTTGATTCTTGATGTTCCTCAGCCTTGAGTCCAGAAGATGAAGTTTCAAGGGGCTCAGGCTCTATAGTACAGTAGCATCCCTGCTCGAGGACAAGAATACGGCAAATCGCTGTAATTCGCGAAAGATGGGTACCTAATTATAGGAGTACTTAAGGTACCTAGGTACCTACCTCTGGGTACCTACATGTCGCTAAGGTACTGTACTGTACCTAAGACATCCTTACTCCGTGCAGAACATGTTGTCTGAAGAGGAAGTACCACAAAGCAACCGGACTGGACGGGACAATAAATTGATGGTAGCGATAGGAGGTTACACGAGGTATGAGACCAAGTCTGCAGGCATGTTTCAGACTGTCCGGAACATGGTCTTGGACTGTACTACACTCTGTACGTAAGGTTGAAGAACAAAAATACTGAAATAACAATACCTACCTACCTTAGGTACCTACCTCCTAAGGTAGTGCAATTTATAGTTGATTTTGTCATCTTTGCTTCAGTATAAAACTGTTTTTTTGTGCTGGACCGACAGTCAGAAGTCAGAAAGTCAGGAGTCATAACGTTATGGCGTATTTTAAACCGGTTTTACATGCCACTGTACGGAGTACTATACCTTTAAGGTAATAATATTTCATGCTGGACGAGCTAGACCGCCTGCTACTGTTCTTGGGCGAGATTCGTGCCCCTGTACTCCGTACGGAGTGGTACGGACGGTACCTCCAGGGTCCTTCCGGACTGCAGGCAGCCCCAAAATTGCTTGGCTGCGCAATAGACTTATGTGCTAGTAGTTGACGAGGGTTGACAGGGGCATCCTGATCATGACTGCCAGTGGTATATCACACTGCTCTCGTAGAAGTACTCCGTACCCAGGTAACGTGCGGTATTACGCGTAGTAGGAGATACTTGTATGTACCGATAGATCGCAGAAGTAGAAGCGTGAAAGATACCTGACAGGCAAAGGCCCCATAGTCCAGTCCACAGTAGCATCGAGAAGGTTGACAGGCTCCTCAGGCCCGGAAATAATAATTACTAGGCTATTACTGCCTTAGGACTAGGTGCCTACATGGGTGCCTCCTAAGCATACCCAGGTGTCTACCTAGGTCCCCCTACCTCCTGTACCACCTATCATCAACCGTCTCGCCCAGTCGCGTGGATCAGGTCTAGTCCTGTGGTAGTCGAAAGAATCGACGCAAGTCACGGCTTATCACGCATGCTTCTCGCGGCTCCTACTGTACATACTGCCACCAGGACTGCGCATCTGCTTCTCCAGATGATTATCTGATTCTTTCCACCCTTTGGTCTCACTGCGGCTGTTCTTCCCTTTGGCTTTACTTCTTGCACTGTCTCCCGGCCCTTGGTGCCGATTTCCCTCGCTTTTGAATTCTGAACGACACAATGTCCCCTGACATCCGGCTCTCCACCTCCTGGTTGAGCCGGGTGGTTCTGCTCTTCGCCTGCTTCTCACATGCCTTCTACATCCCTGGTATGCCGGCGGCTTTCTTTGACCCAATATCCCGCAATGCACGAGGTCTAACCAGTGGCAGGTTATTCAATACGGAGCTATCGAGACGATGAGAACATCCCCCTTCTCGTGAACAAGGTCTATTCCGACACCAGTCAGCTCCAGTATGCTTACTTCGACCTCCCGTTCGTCTGCCCTCCCACCGGCCACAAGCATCATGGCTCGTCCTTCGCCAGTGGCCACAGCCTACCTCTCAACCTGGGAGAAGTCTTGAGAGGCGACAGAATCAAGACGTCGGATCTGGAAGTCAACATGGGTCAAGACCTTGATTGTCAATACCTGTGCGACCGAGTCATCGGCCGGGAAGAGATGAAATGGGCGCAATCGCTGATCGAAGGCGATTTTCTCGCAGAATGGATCCTTGACAACCTCCCTGGAGCTACCTCGTTCGTCACCGTGGACCGAAGTCGGAAGTACTACTCTACCGGGTTCAAGATGGGGTATAAGGATTTCGACGTGGCCACGGGAAAAGAGCGATACTACCTATATAACCATCATACCCTGGTCGTTCGCTGGCGGAAGGCTCCCGGTAAATCCGGAGATAATGGGGGTAAGGTCATTGTAGGATTTGAAGTCTACCCGAAGAGCATCAGCGGAGGGCACCGCAACGAAACCGGATGTCCACTCGACGTGTCGGGAGAGCAAGACTCCCTTGCTCTTTACATTCCCACGAACAGCAGCAAATTGAGGGAACAATACGCAGACTCGTCCTACGTCCCAGCCGAGCCCACTGATGATGTGGATGACGATGCCACCATGACCATTCCATATACCTATTCAGTCTACTTTCGAGAAACCAACGATATCGAATGGGCCAATCGATGGGATCTCTACTTCAGCGATCAGACTGAGAGCTCGCCCACCCACTGGCTAGCCATTGTCAACTCGCTGATTATTTCCGGCATCTTGGGCGCGGTCTGCATCGTGATTTGGGGGCGGACCATGCAAGGAGACGTCAGAGGTCGAGGCGACGGTGTGCTAGAAGAGGCTCGGCTACGCATTACCAAGCGAGCAGAGAAGAAGAAGACCGGCAGCGGTATCCTTGAAAAAGGGTCTGAGGCGGGCCCTGAGGAAGAGCTCTTGTCCGATGAAGAGCCGCTGGAAGAAGTCAGTGGATGGAAGCTTCTGCACGGTGATGTGTTCAGGCCACCACCATATGGTGGACTTCTGGCTCCTCTGATCGGTTCTGGGATGCAACTTGTTTTCATGATCGTCGGCCTCCTGTCGCTCAGTTGCGCCGGCATCTTGAATCCCAGTTGGCGAGGAGGATTCTGGAATGTCGGCGTCGGGCTCTTTGTGTTGGCAGGCGGGTTCTCGGGATATCTCTCTGCGCGAGTTTACAAAACCTTTGGGGGCCAGAACTGGCGCAAGAACACGATGATGGTAAGTGCGGGTGGATGTGGCCAAGCGTGGGTAGAGCTAACTCGGTTCTAGACTGCCCTACTTTTCCCCGGCTTACTCTTCACCCTTGTCTTTGTGCTAAATCTGTTCACCTGGGCGCAAGCATCCTCGACTGCCCTTCCCTTCTGGACCCTGGTGGGATTGGCCTGTCTCTGGCTTCTTATCCAGCTTCCGCTGGTTCACCTCGGTTCGTATATCGGCTTCTACAGATCAACAGCTTGGGAACATCCGACTCGAACGAATCCCACACCTCGACAGATTCCGCCGCAGGTGTGGTATACGAAACATCAAATTACCCTTGCCTTGGGAGCCGGTCTGATCTCTTTTGCGGTTCTCTTCATCGAACTCATCTTCGTGTTCAAGTCGCTCTACCTTGATAAATCATCTTACTACTATGTCTTTGGCTTCTTGAGCATAATTTCGACTTTGCTCTCCATCACCATCGCCGAGACGGTAATCATCACGACATACATACAACTCTGTGCCGAGAACTACCACTGGTGGTGGCAGTCCTTTTTTGTGGGAGGAGCGTCTGGGTTTTGGATCTTTGTCTATTCGATGTGGTATTATGCGACCCGACTGCATATTGAAGGGTTTGTCAGCAGCCTCCTGTTTTTCAGCTACAGCGCGCTTGCGTGTACGGTGTATTCACTGGCGACGGGGACGATTGGCTTCCTGACGGCGTACATGTTCATCCGGCGGATATATGGGGGGGTCAAGGTAGATTGAAGGCCAATTGGTCATTCGATCGGAGAATTGGGGCCTCTGTCTCACGGCCAAAATCACGATAGACGAATTCGAGCCAAGGGCTGCTAGATTTGTACAGCATAGCAACCACCAAAACGATAGTAATGCAAGCGAACACCACGTCGATGGCCATTTAACTCAGTTCTGACTCTTGTACGGGGAATTCGGGGACATGGGCCGGGGTAGACCATCTGGCTGAATAATCATGGCGGTAGATATTGGACTGTGTTCTGTGTTCTGTGTATGTCCTCATCCGATGCCAGAGATGGCACAATTAGAAATGGCGACCATGTTGACCGGAAGGCGCGTAAAGGGGAAAATATGGCCAGTGACCGATAAGGACTATACTCTGTACGGACTACACCGTGCCTAGGTACCTAGGTAGTCAGTCAGTCCGTGTCCTTATTTTTGCGTTGTGCATGCACTCGAAGGGCGCAGGTGGATGTGTGGATGGTGGATCGCAAAGTACATTGTATCTACATATGTGTAATATTCTCCACACATGGCAACCGGGAGCGAGGACATGGCATTCTGTTTTCTCCGGGTTGAGCACGTAAGCTGGCGTACCGGGTCCCCATTTAGTCATTGTTCGATATTATATTAAAATTGTTCGGGGTGACTCACTTTTTTTCACGCCTTTCGTCGACATGGTCAACCCAGGCCGTCTTGGTGTCGGCACTCGGACCGCTGGTGTTCTAACTTCTGTGGCATCTTCATGGCCCATTGGATGCAATTACCAATTCCCAATGTCGAGGTTTTCTATGACTTATGACTCGATCTGCCCGTCGTGTCGTATATAAGGCTAAGCACCACGCTGAGTCCGGAGTGCGCCCTCCCCCTGTCCGGTATGTTGTCTCGTTATCAGTACTGCTAGTAGGACCTGTTGTCGCTGTGCTCCAATCACTGGCAGCCTTTCGCACCAGATAAACCACAACTTGAATCTGAATCACTGGCACCTCTAAACCCCTCCTCTCCCTCGCTTCCTCGCTTGTCACAAGGACAGGTACCGACCCCGAGTCAAGGGCCACCTTTTTCGCCGCATCTTGTCGCCGGCCTCCCACCCTTCCCCCTCCCCCTCCCTCCTCTTCCATAATGCAGCCATCCCGCCAATTGATATCTGGCGAAATGCCTTCCTTCAATACCTCCACACATACAGCGCCATCTTATTCTGCGCGACCAATGCCGGGCACTGGAACCGGGCGGCGGGGGTCAGCCCTGGCGACCGCCATTGGACTGCGGAAGAAGACTGAAATCGATATTGTGCTAGACGGCGAGGCGGAACTTGTCCACTCATACTCCACCCATGACAAGATCCAGGGTCGCGTGGAAGTCAAGTTTGAAAAAGAGACATGCTTCGACGACTTCAATATCACTTTCGAGGGCCAGAGCTCCACCTACGTCGAGCGGATAGCCACCACAGCCCCTACCACAGGCCGTACGACAGGAAGGCAAACCTTTTTGAAAGTCCAGCAGCCAATCAATGAAGGGTTCCTTCCACCGGACGGCGTCTTTCGAGCGAACGTGACCTACACGATTCCATTCACCTTCGTCGTTCCCTACCGGTTACTCCCCTTTGTCTGCACTCACAGGGTCAAGGATGAAGAATGCAGAAAAGAACACCTACAACTACCTCCGAGCCTGGGAGACCCCAGCGTCTCCGGGGAAGGTCGCACGCTGATGGATGATATGGCGCCCGACATGGCCAGGATCATCTACTGCGTTCGAGCCAGAATCACGAGATGGAATGCCGTGGGTCGACTACTCGAGTTGGCTGACAAGTCAGAGCGCGTGAGACTGGTGCCAGCGCGAGACGAAGCACCGCCTCTGATCATCGAAGACACACAGCTTTCCCACCACGTCATGCGGAAAGAGAAGAGCGTGAAGAAAGGACTGTTCAAGATTGGCAAGATCGGCCGTCTAACAGCAGAGACGAGTCAGCCCAGGAGCCTACGGATCCCGCATCCACAAAAGCGATCAACCGAACCCATCTCGACTATGACCACCATCAACCTGCGCTTTGATCCTCAAACCCCCCAAGATGAACCACCACAACTCGACTCGGTGGGGACCAAGTTGAAGGTCTACACCTTCTTTGGCGCCGCAGCTTACAGTCAACTTCCCGAGGCCGGAAAACACGACAACTGGTCGACGCTGCATGGAGTCTATGCCGAAACTGTCCCCTTGGCATCGCGCCGTGTGTCCACCGTTTCGTGGCTCCGTCACGACCCGGCTGAACGGGAGATGAGCTTCTCGTCTTCGGATCTTTCCCGCCGCCCTTCAGCGTATTCTACATCTTCCACCGCTTCGATCCCCGAGCCATCATGTTCCTACCAAGCCGGGATGCCCTTCTACACTGCAAGTGTGCTTACCCCGATTGCTCTGCCCCACGCCTCCAGCACCAATCGACCCCGAGTATTTGTGCCGACATTTCATTCCTGTATCGTTTCCCGGGTTTACTCCCTCGACTTGGATGTTTCCTTCCGCACTCCCGGGGCGAACGTTGCCAGCAGTCATGTCACTCTCAAGACTCCAATTCAGATCTCGGCCGAGGGAGGCGCACCACCGGCTCGAATGCATGAACCAGACGCGGCCATCGTTGCCGAAATCGAACAACAATTTAGACTCTACGAAGAAGGCCAGCTGCAACACCACGACCTCGGGATCGAAAGCCCGGTTTACGAAGAAACGAATTCGAGCCACGCCTTGGCGGGGACAAGGCATATGAGTCTCGTGCCAGAGCATGCCTACACAGCGGCGCGGTCGGACAGTGCGCCCGCCCTATTGTTAGATGTCGATACCAGCGCACCACCCGAGTACCACGTCAGTTCTGGTTTCAGCACGTACAGCGCTATGGACAGGCCGGGCGGACCTACAACTCAAAACGTGAGTCTTCGACTTTCTGCCTAAAAGATTCGATCCTTGTCTCTCGCTTCTTTTCTTTTCAATCCATGTCTTACCATCTTTCGTGTAAAGGCGAGGAGTGAGATGGACCCTGAGATCCGGCGTCTCGAGTCTGGGAGAGAGGTGCAGTCGAGTGAAGACGAGACGGAGACGAGAGAGTGACAGAGCGGAGAGGCAGCATGTTAGTGGTTGCATCCTTCCACGTGCAGGAAGAGATGAATGAAGCAACGACCGAGATTTGAAGCAAGCAAAGCATGAAGAAGATGAACGAACTAGCCACGCAGTCCAACGTCCAAAGTCATAATTCATAATTCATAATTGGCACTATGTGGAAGGCTTACTGTTTGCCCTGCCTACTACAGGAATACTACTGGCCACGGAGAAGCCACTCCAACTCCCGCATGGCCAGAAGGCCACCGATTCCACTGGCAGGGCTGATGCTCCTCGCTCTCTGAACGTTACGCCGACTCGCTCCGGCAGACAACGAGATCACTACCCTGGGCGAGCCACCAACCTAATCAATCACTTGACGTCTAAGACAACTCAATATCCTCCTCTTCTCTCTTCCTGTCTACCGTTGGACATGGTCAACCATAACCATGATTTGACAAGTTCGAAACATTACAACCCCCAGCAAAGGTGTGGGACTGTTAGGGTTGCCACAGCAATTGGGGATTGATGGCTCCTCCCATTTTTTCCATCCATGGCCTTGGTCTGGCGGATGACATGGCTCTTCAGTTTATAATGATCCTTTTCCTGTGTGAATGTGGTGGATAGGCTGGAAATGAATGAAATGAATGCATTAATCAGGTCTGACGAGAAGTGAAAGCGTATGATACCCTTTGTTCACGATATCTATCTATCTATCTATCTATCTAATCTATCTATATCTGAATAACTGCTAGCCTTGCGAGACGGTCTACATAAGTCTGTGTCATCTATTCATTCTTCCACGCCTTATGTCTGGTACGTAGCCGCTTTTGCGATCGCTGGCATGTATCCGCATACCGTACTCCGTCGTATGCTGTGGTACGTGCGCCTTAGGGTGAGTATCAAAATAAAAAATAGATGGCAGGTTCAAAATTTGAAGCCAGCCGGGCTTCCTATTAACCGGATTACTACCATCTCTAGAGTCTAGATACAATATGTATGATGAACAATCAAACATCAAACATCAAACATCAAACCAAACATCTACTCTAGAGGGCTATAGAGTACATTTCATAGTTACCTGGCAGTATTCGAATAAACCACCATTTGATGGATTCTGGCACCCCACCCTGAGGCTAAGCCCATATTTCCCGTCGCGTCGCCGGCTTTACGACCACGTTCCTTTCTGTCTTCTCCAACGCGCTCTTCAACTCGACTAGTATATCCGTCCTCGGACCTGATCCGCCGCCCCGCTGTTTGCTGTCTGCCATCCGCCATGCCGTGCCACTATCTACGTGGTATCTAATGTATGTATGCACCATTAGGGTCCGGCAGTTTGCGGATGCTCCGGCCGGGGCTCAGGGCTCAGAAGGCCTAAGGCTTATTGTAGCCTGAAGCCCCTACATAAGCCCTCAGTGAGGACCGAGCGGCACTCGGATATGTTCCGCGCATACAGGACACACTTTTCAAGACAGTGCTGCAAATGCGAATTTAATGTAGGGGGCATCTACGACGACTGACTGATTGTATATCTACGCATTCACACCATGGAAACGAGTGAGTGGCAGTGGCAGTGGCAGTGGTCGTCGTTGTCGTCGTCGTATCTTTTCAAGTTTTGTTTCTTCCCAGGCGGCAAATCCTAGCAAGTGTTGCCTTTGTTGTATACAGTCCTGTACGCACCGCCCACGACCGAAAGAATAGGCAAGGACAATGTACAACGACATCACGAAGCCTCCTCCACCGCTGCCGACGCCTCGCTTGCAGCAGTTGAAGCCTGGGGTTTCGTTGTTGCCGCCGCTCTCTCGCCGGGGCCATGGACCAGGACTGATCCTCTTGACTCCCGACGACAGAGACATAGACACAGACACAGACGGCAAGCTGGCCCTGGCCCTGGCCATCAAGAAAGGCGTGCCGTCTCTTCTGGTCAAATGGGCCGAAGAGGGCTACGCGGTGGTGGGCATCCAGGAGCGGGCGGCTCTGGCTGCTGGCTCTGGCTCTGACTCTGCTTCTGCCTCAAACATATCGACGCTGCTGACCACCGCCATCGAAGCCCTGTCACGCTGCGAAGAATGCGACGACCATGGTCAAGGCAAACTCAAAATTGGACTGGTCGGTTCGTGCTTTTCCCGCTTTCCCTTTCCCTTCCCATTCCCTTTTCCTTTGAAATGGCTTGTACAGCTAGAGCCACAGCAACCCTCGAGATTTGTTCCCCTCCCCTCTCCTCTCCCCTCTCGTTCAAGGCCAGGTCAGCCTTGGAATTGGAAGCGAAGTCATGTTAACCACTCCATATCTCTTTGCTGGCTTCAGTATACCATCCCAAGCTGTGGAATCTCGTGGCCCCGGCCTTGTCGGACAAGTCGGAAATCGTGGCTGCCGTCATCTACGCCACCGCTGCCGATGAGGCGAGCCTCGCCGCCACCACCGCAGCTCCAGTTCTACGACACCTGGCTGGTAGCTTTCGCTCCGGCTCTGGCGCTGACCCTGGCGAGTCGGTTGCCGTTCAGACGAAGCGGGCGTCGCTGCTGCCCTCCTCCTCCTCCTATTACCATCCAAAGGCCAAAACGCACGAGTTCGCCATTCCTTTCCAGCCATCTTTCGACTACGGCACCGAGGCGCTCTCGCACACTCGAACCCTGAGCTTCCTCAAGCCTTTGATGGGAGGGCCGTATTTCGACCTCGAAGCCATTTGGGACGAGCACACTTACTACGAGTTTGCCGATCGCTCGGTCGAACATACCATGAGCACCATGGTTCAGGAGCCTTACGTCAACCACATCCCCACGGTAAGTCTTTTCCATGTTCTGTTGGCGTTCCCGTTCTGTTAGTGTCCCGTATTGAGAGAAATCGTTTTGTTTCCCCAGATGAACGGAGGCATCGGCCGCGAACCTTTGACCGACTTTTACCGCCACAATTTCATCTTCAACAACTCAGCCGACACGGAAACCGAGCTCCTCAGCCGCACGCTCGGCATCGACCGCGTGGTCGACGAGTTCCTTTTCAAGTTCACCCATGACAAGATGCTAGATTGGCTGTGAGTGCTTGTTCTTGTTTCTGGTTCCTGCTTGGTTTGGTTTGGTTTGGTGTGTTTTCCTTGTTTGCGAGCTCCCCCCCCCGTTTCCTTTCCTTTTGCAGAAACTTCGTCGACCTAGATCTAGATCTAGAAGCAGACTGTGATCTCAGCTGACCCAAACCTGGAATTCTCTCGACCCAGACTTCCCGGAGTTCCGCCTACGCACCGAAAGGCCGAGGTCCCTTTCACAGCAGTCGTCAACATCCGAGGAGACCGCTTGTATCACGAACATATCGCATGGGACCAGGGAACTGTGCTGGTGCAACTGGGCCTCATGCCGGAATACCTCCCCTTCCCTTATCCGCTGCCGCCGGGGTCCACCGCTGCCACGCCCGGCAAGCAGGTCCAATATAGGGTGCCGGTGGCTGGTGTCGAAACTGCCTTGAAGATGGCTGATCGGAATTCGGTGCCGTCCAATGAACTGTTCAAGTATCGCATTAGAGAGGTCTGAGAATCTCTCTCTCTCTCACACACACACACACACTTTCTCTCTCTCTCTCTCTCTCTCTCTCTCTCTCTCTGTGTGTGTGTGTGTGTGTGTGTGTGTGTCTGTGTGTGTGTGTGTCTGTGTGTGTCTCTGTGTGTGTCTCTGTGTGTGTCTCTGTGTGTGTCTCTGTGTGAGAAGTTAGCCTTAAAAGCCCTTCGGGATCTTGTATAATACAGCATGGAGTACCCAGTTTCTCTAGGCATCCTGTATCCGTACTCTGCCTCTTTTCTCGATCCCTATCGTCTCTCAAGATTGCCTTTACCTGAGCGCTTCGGAGCCTCGTTATTGTTCGTAAGCGTGCGCACCTCCCCATCCCCCTCCCCCTCCCCGTAAGAAGGTCGTTTAAGAGAGAGATTACTCTGATTTTGGATTTTGGATTTTGGATTTTTTTTCTTCTTTTTCTACTTATGTTTTTTTTAATATTATTCCTTACTCCTTCTTTCTTCGTTTCGTCCTGTTACCGTGGTTTTGTGTACCCTTGCGGATACTTCTGAGATCATCCTTCCTACCATCACGTGTTCTTCTCCTTCTCTTTTGATGATCTCTGAAGTATCCATTAGTTTCTGCAGCTTGTCGAAGCTTTCCGTAACCTTTCGGGGCTGCGGATTCTTGCTGGGTTCTACTTGTGTTACTTTTCTAATCCTGCATGCTAAGTGTATTGCCGGGCCTTGGACTAGGAGTCGCGCTCGCACTCCGCCTCTTGTCAGTTATGTTGTCGATTGTTATCGTCATCCCTTGCCCGAGTACGCGGACGAGAATATCGCATATCCGACGTGGATCGCGTGTTAACCGTCTTATGCCTTCCCAGGCCGTCCAACGCTTCCAAGCCTCAGTATTCGAAACTGCCTCCCTCCACCACTCCCAACTCGTGCTGCGATACCAAGCAGGAGTACGGAGAGACAGTCGAAAGACCTGCTTCGCGGCCACCGAACCAGTGACCAGTGACCAGTGACCAGTGACAGCCAGTGAGCACGTAACGAGGGAGGCAATGTCGGAATTCCCCTGATAGTACTCCGTAGAGACACAAACCTCGTGACAAGACACACCAGGACCCAGGACCCAGGATCAGAGAAAATGTGCACTACTCTGATCCTCTCTTCCTCTAGTATTCTCCTCTGTAGCTAGCTCTACTGTCGAGACGTTATAAATTGACCGAAAAGGACCAGCTCCAGGTATAGGGAGCAAGGATGCCCTTTCTCAATAGGGCCTAGGTGGCTCGATTTGGTTCAAATGTTGTGTACGTCTGAGCCGGGCACAGAGCGAACAGGCAACCTGACCACCTCCCACCAGACGCAAGGCAGCATCAGAGAAAATGTGCACTACACTTTCTCTTCCTGCAAAGCGCACTGGCGCTGGTCACCGCCTCAGGAGAATTCAAAGCTGCATGACCATGAGTATGAGGCGGGTCTCATGCACATGTGAGAATCAAAACTTGGAGGTATGAAGGTCACCAGGCTGGGTGGATAAATTTTGTAATTTCGGCTGGCATCACTAATACTATAATTAGTGATTGCTGTATAGCGAGTCTGGTCTTTTTGAGTGTCTTATTGTCGTGATATCCCTGATAGGGAGACGTATAAGTTTGATTGCGAAGATAGAGTTAAAGAGTCGGCGCCCCAGGCACCCTAGGCCCATTGAAGAGATTGTGTCCGTGTAACCGAACAATTGAATGCATGATGCATTGGAAGAGACCGCCCCCTAGGGGTAACGATACAGGCAAGCGGGAGCGTGGCCGACATCTGCAATGTGTTTGCGGAAACCGCCAGTGCAAGATCCAGTCTGCGTCAGCTCAGTGCCCATAGTGGTGCAACTGCTTGCTCGGTCATCTCTGCCTCAGACTATCGGGTTCGGCCCATAGTACCTTCGGCGATACTTCAATCATCTTCGTGCGAGCTCTCCAATGGCCCTCGGGATGCCGGGTGAATAGGGACAAGATTTGGTTTCGCCTAATGGATAATTAGGGTACTCACACCCTGCACCGCGAGAAGGTACCTGTCCATTGCAGGGCGTTTGATGAAGATGGGGACGTGGTCTGTCGACTGTATAGGGATTGGAGCGAGGATCATTGAATGCCAGCCTTTCAATAGCTCCAAAGCCTTAGTATCAGTGTTACTTTCCTGAGACTCGCCAGCATCTGAAGCTGAATTGAAGGTATGCGTGATATGCTGGAACGGGCAGTGGTCAAGATGGTTTCATTTCATCGGCGGACGGCCCCAGGGCGCCCCAGGGCGCCCCAGGGCAGAGAGCATGGACCCGACGCTCAATGTCGAGTTCGGTTACCGCCGTATGAGAACCTTGCCGGTCGCTTTGCTAGAGCGGACATTCGTCCGCAGAATCATGGGCGCTTTGTCAGGGTGCTGAACGTTAGAAAAAATGGCATCTGTCTAAGTTTAGACGTGCTGGAGGAATGCTTGGAATTGTGCCGCCCTCTAACCGAAATCCTTGCAGTCATGCCGCGGGCGAGCGTCACCTTAGCCGTGAGTCGAGGCATATGGACCTAGAATGATCCTTCTACCCGAATGTCTCAAGGGCTTGCTGGAATGTCCAGATCCACGCAGTCGCTATTTGTCTTTACTTCTTTCATCATATTCGACCGCAGAACGAGTCCAATTGCGATCCTCTCCTCCTGATCGATGGCTCGAGGGTGGAGATCTATACATTGTCGTTAAGTTGGGAGGTGCTTCTGTGAGGTGAGCGGTCGGTAGTATGTCTGGTCTGTCTGTCTCCAACACACCCAACCCGTCCATAATATTAGGAGGAGGTTTGACGTCGAGTAGGCTTTGGTATAGCCTCGTCCGGTTGCTTGGTGAGAACCCGCTAGAGAGGATATTTTGTCCAGAAAACAAAGAATCATCCAGCTCTTGGAGTCGGACTCGACAGCTCATAGAATTTGGCTTGGGCTGCCGTCTTGACTGAAGATTTCGTACATTATAAGGATCGGCAACGTGAGGATCTGGGACATCCTGGCTCACCATCACAGTGAAAGGACTTGCGTCGCAGGCTTTCTGGACGGTCTCTGGAGATGAGAAGACGACGTCTACTTCTGTTTCATCGGTGTTATCCGCATTGACGGTGCTGCCATTCTTAGGAACGACTTTTGTGAAGGAGGTTACAGGACCGAAGGATTGAAGTCGCTTCAGGACCGCGGTGGACTCGGAGAGGGTGACAGGTGAAGGGGTAATCGTCACTCGGGCGTTCAGATTCTTGAGGAACGTCTTGGTGATGGACATGACTTGCCATACGGCAAATTCAGAACGAAGGTGGACTCGATACAGAAAAGGCAGAACATGCGTGTTTGGAGGATGCACCTTTACAGAGTGTGGCTGGGGTAGCAAGCCCGACTAGGGCTTAGGCCGTAGGTGGGCCGAAAATAGAGGCGCAGGGGGGATGCACAGTGCACACAACTCCGTTCTGCTTGAGGACAACACTGCAGGACGGAGTGGTCTACGGAGTGGTCTACGGATGTGTACTGTGTACAGGGGCTGAGGCGCAGCTTTGAAAGAATTACAGCTTTGTGAGCATCGCATGACAATCACCTACCTAGGCACATTGACGAGCCTAGCTTCAGGAGCCCTTCTGTGCTCAGACAACTTCGATACATTGTATGTACTGCCTGGTGGCTGCACGGCTCACACGCAGACTGTAGACTCGGAGGCATCAAGCCATGCTCACTGGCTGGAGCCGTGGGGCGCAGAAAGGAGGAGCAGGCTTAGGTTAGGCCCGCCAAAGGGACCCTGTGGCTGCGGCTGCTCGACGCCCAGCGCTACCCCCTGTACCCTGCTGGCGGCGCGTCTGGGATCCATATCCGGGTCAGCTTCCGCCCAATTCCTCGTCTCAACCCAAAAAGCCGCAGTCTGCCAAACCCATGAAGTGAGACTGCTTCACTGCCTTGTACTGCTTCCAGAATCCGTCTTTCTACACACGACGTCCTCTCAGTCCTCAAGTCTGCTCTATTACACATTCGTTCGTTCCTCACGCTCCTGCTAGCCACAAAATACATCTCTAGACGCCCACCCGGCCGCAGTCACCTCAACGGACACTTCGAGTCCCTGGACTTTTCCCTTCGCTTAGGCACGCTACTTCAAACGTCTCAGCCGCCAATCCTCTTCTGTCATCCCCTCTCCTGGCGTTTCAGCCGCAGGAAATTGAACTACAGCACAAGCTCATCACTCGGTCCTTCCTTCTCCGCGTTCTCTGCCATCTTCGAATGTTCTCTCGAGCCTCCACTGTGTAACGAACTTTCTTCAACCCCATATTGTCGACGTCTAGACGTCGTTGAGCCGCGCCACAGCCATCTAGTTGTGGTGTTCTTTGTCGAACCTCCAGAATCTCAAAACATTCGCGCCCTCAGTCGTCAAAATTCGTTCCCACGAGGCCCGGACCTCCCTCCTTGGAGGTCAAGCCGAGACCTATCAACCCCTACCCGGGGGCTTTCACCAGCGTGAAGGACATGTCGTGAACGACTTCGAGAAACGAAGATCACGATCGATCATGTATAGACCAAATTCAAAATGGACCTGGACATTCACCTTAGTCGCCCTTGTCCAGGCCGGTATAATCCTCGCATTCGAGAGGTAAGCAACCAACTGCGTTTGTTCTTCCTGCTTCCTGCTCTGACATTGTTACCAGTTACGTCTTCGCCCACTTCCAGATCCATCTTAGAGGAGTCGGCGCGACAAACACGACTGCTTCGCGTACAATCCCCACCTTTTTGACGCTGTACATTTTCGGATTCGTTTACCAACTTGTTCTGGTCTGGGACGCCCTCCGAATGAAAAATACCATTCAAGTCATTGGCCTGATCATGTACAACGTCGGACTTCTCATCTATGGCTCTGTGCAAATGGAACAGATCAAGGATGCGGTTTTCCAGTTGGCAGAAGATGACTTTATCCGTCGGGAAATCTGGCGAGACACCCAACCATTCTTGATCGCCATTCCATGTATCTTGGCCTTGGGAACTGTATTCATGTCAGTCTGCGCCTGGAAATTATACGACGAATTTGCCTGGACGATCTACAAACGCATCTCGGCTGATCTGAGGATGAAGCGTCGCTATCTTCAGTACCAGGTCTATATCGCGTTGTTGAAGTTCGACTTTTTCTTTTTCCTCGGATTCACAGTTCAATTCGTGGTCATTGTCACGCAGCGCCAAATCGAATTTGCCTTGACCATTGCCGCTATCCCGGTCACTATCCTCATTCTTCTTGCCGCCGGTTGGTTCGTCCGCAAAGAAAGTCTCTGGGGTACCATTGGAGTTATCGTGAGTCTTGTACCCACATCGAAGTAGTAGGAGTTATGTGCTAACGTGTCGTTTCAAGATCCTCTACTTTGGTGGCCTCGCTTACTTCATTTTCAAATTGGTCCGCATGTACTCGCCATCCCATCGAGATGCCTACCTCCCTGCTAGGAAAGAACTCACCACTTTCGCCGTCTTGACCCTCGTTCTTATAGTCCTGACCATTATTGGCGCATGCCTATGCGCCAATAACTACAACCGCGGTCTGAAACCCTACGTGAACAAACCGACAAGCATTGACGACGACGAAAAGCCCATGGGAAGCGCTTATGCCCCGTACGCCACCGAGATGGAACCTGGTGTCAATGGGAAGTTACCGGCAGTAAGGCCTTCAGCGAGCAGGATTGAGATTGATTGAACACTGGTCTGGAAATTCCCTTGACTTGGATGGTGGTCAGCCGGCGTTTGTGTTGTACTGTACACCTGCTCCAAGCAGGATTGATGCCCATTATGAGGAGTTCTAGGCTTTGGGCGGAGGATTTTTTGGTATGAACTGGGCTGGTCCGAGGACGTCTGCGACGAACAACGAACCACGAAGGACAGATGTGGCATTGGATGGATCTGATCATGAACTACACATATAACATGCCAGACTGGCCCATTGCTCTAGTCTACAGGGTGGCAGGTTGCTACAATGTGAATTTCAACCAATCACCGGAGTGCCAGCTCATATACTCTGTACCGTGGACCCCTTCGGCGTGTTTCCTTTCCTGCGCCGTTGTTGGTAGGGCTGGACAATCTGTCTTGGACGGCAAACGGTTTATATGGTTGATATCATGAATCTCCCTAGTAGATGTAGCTCTAAGCTCGGATTATGAATTCAACAGTGATACGATGTCACGACTCGAGTCATCACACAAGCTGTATTCTGCCACAGTTGTCACAACCGCCTCAAATTCCAAGGACCCGAAATGATGATTTGGTGATGGAAGGTTCGGTGCACTGACTGGACAAGTGACGCTCGACAAGCAACAAACAAACTCCTTCTCATTGATCCAACGACCAGTGTAGCGCCATGTCGAATTCCCGCTCCCAAACTCTTGCGCCCACAGCAAGCAGCAAGACATTACGGTTGGCATTCGTCCCTTCGTGCGTTCGTCCCATTCATCGAACCAATCAATCATCCATGAAGATCTGTACAAGCTGAGTAGCTGGGCGCTTCTCTTCTACCATTTCGTCGCTGATCTTCCAAAACGCCGTCGGGCCCGCCGGGCCGTGGGCGTCGTAATCCTTGTCGAACCAGTTGCCGAAAATACCTCGAGCGGAGCGGAGACCTCCGACCTGCACGCCTTCGCTCCGCCATCGCTCTTCGCCGTGGAAGACGCTGAATGTCGTCCAGCGGATTGCGCCGCCGGGTGTTTGCCGAACCGTTCCTGTCGAGCATGTCAGCCGCGAGCATGAGCGAGAGAGGGCAGATACAGGAGTCGACGAGTCAGAGGAGACACTCGCAAGATAGGTAAACGAAGTGGGCCAATTACCTTTGATTCTCGAATTCGCGTTAGGATCCCAAGCCATGAACGTCGAGCGGCTCGTTCCTTCGAAATGGACGACGGGGAGATTCTTTCCATCCTCCTCGCCGGGTTCCTCGATCGCATTCACCCTCAACTGCAGCCTGATCAGTCTGAATGCCTCCCGGGTAGTGATCGGATCACGATCTCGGTCGGGTGGCACGCGGCCGCCTTCAAAGTTGAATGAGAACAGGTCGTTGTAGTCCAAAAAGCACACGATCCGCATCCAAGTCCCCGTCACACCGTACGGGTCTATGGCGTCGAGGTCCGGCCGGAGTGTGGGCGTCGGTGTCCCGGACAGAGGGCACGACACGAAACTGTTGGGTGCGATGCCGGAGAACGCATTCTCCCACGGTCGAAGGATTGAACTAGATCCGCTACTAGAACCTGCAGCAGCAGTTGCTGAGGATTCGGACGTGATCGCAACGGGTATGGGGATTCCAAGCCCACGCCGCTCAGTGTATATGTGATGGTTGTAGGCCAGAAGGATCATGATGGCTAGGACTTTCTCCCAATCCACGCGCTGGCTGCCGTCGTCCAAGAATGGACCCCACATATTAGCCGCCGTGTAGCGGCGTAGATCGTATACTCGCGCTCGCGCATACGGGTGCACATGCCGGACAGGATGGGGGGGGATACTGGCAGCAATTGTTGCCAACGTCATGTAAAGACAGGGCTCTTCTTCCTCTGGCGGTGGGGGCGATGGTTCAAGATTCATGCCACTGAGTACGTGCAGGTGCGCGGACAGTTGACAGAGGGCCTCAGTTGGTGCGACGGTCCATGACTCCGGCCGGGCTAGCGAGAACAGACTTGATTTGCACAGGAAGTCATTCGCATTGTTGGACTTCTGGAACAGGTCGGCTAGAAAGTCGGTGGTCTTGGAGTTTGAAGCGGCGGCTTGATACGCAAGCTCCACAGACTTGGTCAGCACTTCTTCGAGGCCTTTAGCCTTGGGGTGGTAGACGGCTAGTCAGCATCGACATCCAGTACCACGGTGGGTAGGGGCAGGGGAGGGGAGTACTTTGATTTCAGCGTCTTCCGATAGGAGTATCTTTTGCATGTTCACAACTTTAGCCATCCTTTCTCGCCATGATAGAGGAGCATCTTCGGCATCGGCAGGAGGATCCTGTAGTACATAGAAGTGAGTGGTGGATATCACGATATCACGAGTCGGCCCCTAGCGTCTTACAAGTCGAGAAAGGTAGATTTCTTTCCATAGCAACTCGTCGGCCTGAATGACCCTGTGTAAGTATCGACATGTCTTGGACAGCGAGGCAAGGTCCGTAGGCTCGACGTTGAGAAGAATGTGGTGGAGGACTTCCGGAGGCTGATCCAAGAGTTCGGCCATGGCGGAGTTGCCCGTGGGCTGCTGAAGGTGAATGGTGTGCTCGATGGCGCGGGGTTGGGCTAGAAATGGACCCTGAGAAGGAGAAGGCAACACCTATTGCTAGAGAGGTAGACAAATATCGAGGAGGGAGAGGGAGAGGGCGAGGGCGAGGGAGGTGAGTGAAGTGTACTCCGTAGTGGTAGTAGTACTGGTCATCTTGTATCACGCGAGATGCGCCGGAGATAAGAAATCGGTGCCTGCGTACCCGGTATATTGTTATTCCAGCTGCGACATTGGCCTGGCCTGCCCACCTTGCTACTACTACGAGTACCTAGATCAAGGTACTAGGAGAAGGTATGTATGTACGGAGTATTCTGTACTTTGTACTCAGTCTGCTCACATACACATACGCTCACGCCAGCTCCTTCGTTTCCCTGTCGTTAGCCAGCCTGTCTACCACGCAATAGTCATCTTTCCAGCCTGTGAGACGGTCGGAAGTCACTGCTCCGAGAGCCAAAGCCTTAGCCGACGGTAATCCGGTCTGTCCGATGCATTTTGAGCTCCAACTCCAGCTATTCAACCTTCCCGTACTATGTCTATCGATGATTACCTACTCGAGATGGCATGGCATCTGCTTTTGAAGCTCCCTGCTAGCTTTGTCGGTGCAAGTCATGAGCGCACCAACGCGTCTAGGGCGTAGGGCCACCCAACATCAAATGCCACCCGAGAAAAAGACCTTGTATAGGCGCCACTGCAAAGAGATGGCCCTTCAGCGCCCTGTACAGTTTACGCTTCCGTGGTGGGTGGACCTCCAGTCACGCATTCGAGTACAGTACGCCCCAGACGGCCCGAGAAACCCTAATTTTAAAAAACCCAGAGCAGAACCAGAGACATAAGAATTATGGTATCTTGGCTTGCGAGAGACATCGTTGTCGAGAACGAGCAAGATTGATGAAACTGTGGTAGGTTCAGGAAAACGCGGCTTTGACCCTACAATAGCTGAAAAGACTCATCCGACGGTACGCCCACCGTTCCCCTAGCTGTGCGCCTTGCCTAGCGGACGACGCCTTGAGCCCAGCAGGACAGACTTTGCAGGCAAGTACTAATAAAGGTGGCCGTATTCACCCAAGAGCAAGTGGCAGGGCCTTTGTCTCTCATCGCAGTCGCTGTCCATCCACACCGCACTGTCCAGCTTCACCACCACTTTGGATTTAGCATCATGTACCACCTACGTCGCTGCATTCTCGCCCTAACACTGAGCTCCTACTTTGCGGTGGCCTTGACGTTGAGTGTTCTACCAGCGCAGCGGATTACGCCGACCTCGGTAACATGGAACAAATGCCTAGATCAGACTGATGGTCTGGATTGCGGGACGTTGGAAGTGCCAATAGACTGGGACGACCCTTACGGACATACAATCCATCTTCACATGAGTCGACTGAGATCCGTCAAAACGATTCCGCTAGGAACACTGTTCTTCGACTCGGGAAACGTTGATAGGCCAGGGAGCCTGCAATGCACTGACGGTTCGACATTCTACTACCGCTTCAGCCCGAGACTACGCTATAACTTCAACATCGTCTGCCTCGACCGTCGGGGCATTGGAGGATCCAATCCCGTTAATTGCGACGCGGCGCTCTGGAACGAGATCGGGTCTTTCTTCCCCACGGACCAAGCGGGCTTCGATACGCTGAACAGCTGGAGCCTGAAGTGGGCAGACAGCTGCTACGAACGCAGCGGCCTCGGCATCGGTGTAACCGACGCCACCACGGCCGCCCTAGACTGGGAAGCGGTGCGCATCGCGGAGGGCGAGTCGAACGGCGACAGCATGATGAACATGTTTGCACAAGGGCACGCGACGAACATCGCCACCCGGTACGCCGAGCTGTTCCCGGAGAAGGTGCGGGCCATGGTGCTCGACTCGCCCATCGACCACTCGCTGAACCAGAGCGAACTGCTGCGCACGGTCAGCCTGGCCAACGAAGATGCCATCCTCCGCTTTACGAAGTGGTGCACCAGGCACCCCCAGTGCCCCTGGCAGAAGCGCGGGCCGTTAAACCTCTTGGAGGGTCTGGTCGCTGCCCTCAATCGCAGGCCGAAGCACGAACCCCTATGCCTCCCTGAGCACCGCGGGGATTTTCCGCAAGCAGGCAACTGTCGCACCAAGGTCAGCGGGCACCACATCATCGAGAACATGGTGAGGCGGCTGGACGACCCGACCGACGAAGCCTACCAAGCGCTGGCGCAAGACCTAGCTGCGGCCCTTGACGGCTTCCCCGTGAACCTGTCGACCCCGATTGCGGTCGGCTCGGACAGGCACTTCGCCAATACCGCCACGCACTGCGCCGACTGGGGCACCGATGTCAAGACCTTCGAGCAGCACCGCGCTCTGCAGGAACTCGCGCACGAAGCCGCCCCGCGTACCCTCGGCAGCGCATCGGTCATGAGGGCCATCAGCATGTGCATGAACTGGCCCTATCCCGCCCGGAACCCGCCGCGGCCGGTCGACGACAGCCGCGTCCGCCTCGTCCGGCATCCGACTCTGATCCTCGCCTCCGCATACAACCCCTCGGCTCCCCTGTCTTGGGCACAGAGCTTGCACCGCCAGATTCCCAATTCCAAACTCATCACCACGACCGGAAAGGGGAACCCGGCCCACCACTGGTCGCAGAGGGCCCAAGACATCGTCGAGGAGTATGTCGTGAAATTGAATATCGAGAATGTGGAGTTAATTCCTTGAATCTTTGACGATATTGATGTCCGGAATAGGGGAATTGCAGAATTGCAGAATTGAAGAATCGAGGCTGGAGAATGTCAGGCTGGAGAATGTCAGGCTGGAGAATGTCAGGCTGGAGAATGTCAGGCTGGAGAATGTCAGGCTGGAGAATGTCAGGCTACAGCTGGCACCGGTGGTCAGATGGAAGCCGGAGACCGCTGGTAGGCAAGTGAAAGCCGGGTTGGCCATGAGTCAAGTAGGCTATGGAGAGAATTGCGACTGCGGACTGTCGTACTATGCCTTATCACCAATGCTCTTTCACACACCGTACTCCAAGGTTAGTTGTCTCTTGACAAGGGAGTCGAAATTAGATAAGCGTGTGGGATCAATAGAACGGAATACAATCTTTAAAGGTTGAATAAGCTCTCCGTTTTTCTGCATTCACTCGGCCGGTAATCGCTTGCGCAAGAAAAGAAACTGTAATATCTATCACACACTGGCAGCGGAGATCGTTGATCGGCTCCTTCTGTTCAATCAAAGCCCCCTGTCGTTGGGACTGGGCCTTTCATCCAATGGAAAATGTACACAACCAAGCAGCCATCCAGTGCACCACCACAGCAGAGTGCCGAGTCTTTCAAGGTGTCACAGGCACGCAGTATGAACGACTCCCTTCCCTGCATACTAGTGCTCAATCCAGACGCCATTTTGGCTCTGCTTTAGCGTTGTCATTGGTCCCATCGCCTTTATTCATTCGTTCGTTCATTCATTCATTCCATGCTGGCACCAGCATACCGATTCGTGCCGCACAGCCCAAACACCCAGGTAGCCTCCTTGGTCCCGGGGAACTGCATCATATACACCGTCTCTTTGCCCATAGTGACTCCGCCCGTGTGGCCAATCTCCTCATCCTCGGTCCAGACTTTGACAGCGATGCCGGTCTGCATGATTCGTTCGAAGCAGCTCTCGCCCAGGACAGCGTCCAAAAGCACTGCTTCCGGGTCCTTGTTCCGGGTCAGGAGGAGTCTTTTCTCAAGACCATTGCCGTGCACGCGGTGCGGAGTGTGATTAGCGCTCGCAAGACGCGGGCCACGACTTTGGCCTGGCTGACCGATGACAGGTGTGATATTAGACGGTGTTCGGCTATGTGCTGGCGTCGCGGGGGGCGATGGTTCGACAGAATCTCCTGGTCGGCCGGGTGCCGTTGGTCGACTCTCCGTAGCAGCAGGAGCAGCAGGGGTCGATGCTGGCAACACACTTAAACGTGCGGCACCCAGGTTTTCCCAATGTTGCCCCTTTCTGACGTAAAGCCGGATCTTCATGTTGTTGACCATGCCTCCTCCATTGGCCGCTGCTGCACTGGTGGATGGAACATTAGGTCCGTCCTTTCCTGGGACAAAGCCAAGTTGACTAGGAGCTGGTGTGCTCGAGCCGGACCCGGTGCCGGTACCACTACTCGACGAGTACAACGACGCGCCGGTGCCGCCATTTCCGTTTTTGCGGATCACCGAAGACCGGTTCAGATTGAAGGCGGAGCTGACACCGAATCTTCTCAAAGCAGAAAATGCACTGCTCATGGTCCCAGAACTTTCGACCGACATGTCGACGGATGCGGGTGTTGGGGCCGAAGAGGCGCGGTAGCTGGATTTCTGTCGACTGCCGAAGCTGAACCATGAGCTCGACCGTGAACGGCTGTGGCTATCCTGGCCGACATTGAAAGTCACTGATGGCTGGCGCCGCGGGCGTGCATTCTGAAGTTGAATGTAGGTCGGGTTGTTGCATCGCGCCCAGTTGATCATCCCATACAATGCCTCGCACTCCTCCGGGTTCCTTGAGCGAAACATCACAATGCTGGTTGTCTTGATCCTGGAGTTGGGCGTTGGGGGAGATCTTATCGAGATGTCTATTGCTGTGCCTCTTCGAAGAGCAACAATAGGCGTCAACTCGAAAGCTACCAGCGGGTGAATGGCGAGTGAAGAAGTTCGCGAGTCAGGTCCATCGGACTTGCCGGCACCAGAGACTGCGTGCGGATCTGAGTGGGCAGCCGACATCTCGAACGCTTCGATCAGGCCCGGGGAGATGACAATCGAGCACTCGTCGGGGTGAATTTGCTCCCACTTTCCTTTGTCGGACCAGGAGCATATCATCGCAATCATTTTGACCTTCTTATGCCCCGGCACCGTTTGAGACGAGGGCACCCTCCGGTAGGGCCCCTGCGAGGCTGAATCTGAAGGGGCCAAGGTCCGTGCCCCGGTCGACGGTATTGATGTCGGAGGCCCCGCCGGCTTTGACGGCCGTCGCCCACCCGCCGTTATGGCCACCAGCGGTGTTGGCTTGTCGCCGGACTCGGACATCAACGCATCGGAGGTGTCAGAGGACAAGTCGCTGGCACAGTCTGAATCATATTCAGAGGAGCTGTCTGAAGTTGTCGACGGGGCGTACTCGTGCTTCAACGGCGATGAAGTCCTCCTCTTCGCCGTCTTCTCTACAGAAGGAGCGACGAGAGGAGAGCCAGTCTGGGGACTGGCCGAGACAGACTTCGCCGGGCGCCCTTGACGTAGGGTGTGAGGTGGCGGCGATGGAAGACTTTCGGTGAAGATCTGACCTGTTGATGAACTCTTCGTGTGCTGCCTTGACTGTTTGGCTTGTACCTCCGCATCCTGCACTTGCACGCTTTTGGGTGTCTCCGAGTTCCTGGAGCTGGGTGCAGGAGCGGATGGACTCGGTGGCTGCTGTTGAGGACGGATTTTCGAAACTGTAGGAAGCTCCTTTGATGGTGTCGAGGACAATGCCCGCTGATAACTTGGCCGTGAAGGAGTTGCGACTGGGGCGGCATAGTCTGAAGAAGTGGATTCACCTCTTGTAGATGGCTGAGGAGCTTGTGGTCTGGTTGAGGATGGTTCAGCAATGTCGACTTTCGAAGGTTGAGTGTATCTGGACGTAGGAGAGGTCATCCAGTTATGCGAATCCTGGTCTGTCCTTCTCAGGTTCGGCGACGGTCTGGCATCTTGACGTGTAGCTATAGGCTTCTCTTTCGGTGGAGTTTTTGGAGATACCGCTTGGGAAGGGGTCGGCGGGACCGTCGCGTTCCTCGACTGCTTCCCCGGCGGCTCGAGTTTGGACAATGCAGAGTTCGACGGCGATGACAGGGCTGTGAGGGTTGCTTTCACTGAGCGGTCGGAGATGGTAGAAGTATCCGAGGACACAAAGGATGGTGTGTGCCTGGTGTCCGCCGCCGACGAAGTGTGGAATTGAGGCATAGGCTTCGTGGCTAGCCCGCCGCCCAGATTGAGCCGTGGCAATGGTTTATCTAACAGAGGCCTCGTGTGTTCAGAGCGCTGGCTCAGATGGGTGCGACTTCCGATGACGGATGGCTCACCAAGTGGTACATCCAAGGCTTCTGGAGTGTCAGTAGGACCTAAGGTCGCACTCTGGATCTCTTGTTTTGAGGAGTCGGCATCCTTCGATGGCTTCTTGGTCGAGGCGGGCGGATTTTTGACAAAGCTGGATGTTCGATTGAGTCTTGGGGGCAGCGGGTTCGAACCAAGCATATCCATCCACTCAGTCACAGCTTGTGTGTCGTCGGTTTTCAAGGCAAGTAGTTCATGCCACTCTTGACCCAGGCCGGCCCTACCACGTATCATGACCACGAGGTCGAATTCCTTCTCACCGCGTCTTGCCGATATCGAAGCCAACTCGACCGGTGCAAAGAGCAGCCACTTCCCAGTGTCGTCGACCTCACAGATGAGCACATCACCTCCAGCAGGATCACCGCGGGCATTGTCGCGGAAGATCATCTCCACGCCGCAATCCATTCTTTGTCCGGTAGAATGATACAACGTTAGGTTGAAAAAGTCCCTGGCTTTGACCCGACGAGACTTGTTGACGACAACGCCAGTGATGGCTGCCATTGTTCGTATATCGCGGACTCTCATGGCATCAATATTTGCTGCGGCTTCATCTTCCAAGCGTGTCTGTTCCTCGTGATGACGCCGCTTAGCCATCGCCGTCAGGTCGTCATATATGTCAGCCGCACGCGCCGCCAGAGGCTTGCCACATTCATCTCTGAGGCGGCTGAAGGTTTTACTCAGGCCTTTCAACCTCACCAGCGGTCTTTTCAATAGGTATGCAACATCCACCTTCTTTCCCTCGGTGTCGACCACGTCGCCAGACTCATCTCGAGCCATGCCTTGTTCTGTCGGGCTGGATTTTGAACTGTCTAACGGTGCGAGGTTGATGACAATGTCCTCAAAACCGAGCCTCCATGCTTGAATGTAGTCTTTGTACGCTCTTTGCGCGTTCTGCGCCCAGCCAAGGATTCCGTCGACGTCCTGGCCGGGGACGCGGCTGTGCAAAGTCTTCAGCCGCTCAAGCGCAATGCCCATCTCGATGATAGGCTGGGTGAAGCTCATCTGATCAGTGCTCGAATTTGAAGATGTGAACAGTCCTGCCGCTGCAGCCGAATCCGTCTTGGAGAGGACACATTGTAACAAGACCGGTATTACACCATCAACCAGAGTTCTTAGTTCTCGCACATACCGCTCCTCGTCTGCCATGAATGCGCGCACTATTTCTTGCACGGTCGGTGAGTGTCTTGTTTCTTGTGTGCTCCTCTTATTCCGTACAGAACGACGACTCCTCCCTGTTCTTGGTTGAGAAAGGACTGACATCAGATCTTCGTGTGTTGTGAGCTTGCGCTTGAGGCCGCAGTTACCCCCCGCGATCGAGTCCTGAGGAGCTGGTACAACTTGGCTCTCGGTCAATGTCTCCACGGAGGCAACGGCTGGCAGAGGATATGTGCCAGTGGGTGAGCACGGCCGCGGAGGCGCCCATGTTGGATTCAGGTCTCTTCTCGGAGCCGCATATTCCTCGCTCCGAATTTGGCTTTCATCTGGCATTTCAAGATGCACTGACGACTTCTTACGAGGAGAATCTCTCTGGCGACGATGTCGTGCCCCTCGCCTGCGTAACGACGACGGCGACCCTTCTGTATCCTGCCAGTCATCTCTCCCAAGGTCCCGGGCCGTGGACGGAGAGCCATGGTGGCTGCCTGCAAGGTATGTCCCTTCACATGCTTGAGCTCCACCGGGAGTTGGTGCATCGTGTTCTCCTGAGTCTTGCTGCGGTTGTATAGTATCCCAGATCTTGTTAGGGTCTACTATATACGACTTCTCTGCTGATCTTCTGCGCTCAGTTCGTTTCCTCAGTGGACGCGGGACGTCGACTTGGGGAACTTCACCCAGTGTAGCTCCATCCACGAATGGATCCGGTTGCTCATCAAGCCACGCCTCGATGCTTGGTAGCCTTTTGTCCATGGAAGGGGCTGAATCTGGCTTCACGAACATATCCATTGTTTTACCAAACAGCCCGATCTTCCTCGACCTAGATTCGTCCTTGTCCAAGGGCCCGGTGGGGGCCCTCCCAAGCATTTCGACATATTTACTCCTTCTTCGGTTGAGGCCGTCACCTTCTTCTGGGCGGATGGATGTCTCGGAGTATCTGTCCATTATACCCTTATCTGTTGACTCGGCGGTCAACTGGCGGGCGAGATTGTCATCGACCAGGCTTTCAACATCGGCCAGGCGCCCATCCTCCCCCATCCACGCTTCTTGGTTAGGCGGGAGAGCTGTCACCCTGATCCCGTCATCGCATACTGGCTTCTGTTCCGAGGCTTGATCAGAATCAGGATTTTGTTGGCGATGTGATCTTCGTCGCTCCCGGCGCTTCTCTTGATTCGATGTATAAGAGAGGTCATACTGGGTCGACAGCGGGCGGATTTTAGGAGCGGATCTTGCAGTCTCGCGATCCTTGGCTTCTCTCTTCACTTTCCAACGGCTGTCACTGATGATGCGCTTTCTGGGCGCACTGAGACTTCTGACCGTCCTATTGTGTTGCTGGTCTTCTTCTTCTGCTGCTGCGGCTGCTACTGCTGGTGGTGGTGGCTTGTTCCTTGTCCGACCCTCTCTCCGAATTGCGTTCTCATCTCCATACTCCGACTTTGGTCTCGAGACAGTGGATGGACAGTCCGAGAAGGGGATCGATCTGATGCTCACTGCATCCGGAGCCGGCGCATTGGCCGCACCCTGTGCCTGCCATTGCCGAATGCGATCTTGCACGGAGCCGGAGTCGTACAGCCCGGAAGGACGATTGGGTGTTACATTGTGATCTCTCAAGGGAGACGACGGCTCGATCTGCTGGCTTTTGGGCGGTCTGCGAGCAAGATTCGGTGACGATTCTGCTCGCATTGGTGGATTATTGTCTCGCGGTCTGTTCAAGGCACGGGCGTGCTTGAGATGGGCGTCTCGAATGGGGAGTTGGGTCGGTAATTCAGCGGCGTCGAGATCGAGTGCAGGCGCATGGTGGTATGATTTGGCATAGAATGGCCGACGATCTGTCCCGAGAGTGTGAATCGTCTACTATCTTGGGCTCCAATGAGCATAGCCAGTGGCAGCTAATAATCAATTGGAATACAAGGGACTATGTCGCAGGTTCATGCAAGGCGACATGCAACATGCAGCCTGCGTCAAATGCATCGGCGTCGGTCACTGCACGTAGTGGAGCAGCCCGTTTACCGGGCAACCGTCGCCACCCAAAACCAGCCACCAGCCACTTCAGCTGTCAAGGCCAGAAATCTGGCTTGCTCGAGAACCGGCGGCTTGGCTGGCAGATCGTTCTACTACGTACTCGTTCGGAGTCCTGACTTCGGAGGCCCATGAACAGTCGCCGATTGCCACGATGGAGGCTGTGATTGTCCAATGTGTGCAAGGTATTCTAGACCTGTACAGAGCAGTTAACATGCTTGTTACTCCCGGAGCAGCTGCATTCTCTACGCAGCCAAGGCAAGCACTACAAGCCCCATCACAGTGTGCGCTTCAATGAGATGAGTCCGTGTGTTACCATGACCACGACAGTCTAGGTTCTTTTACATATCAGCTTGCCCATTGCTTGGCCTCGGCCTGTGCATTTTTCAAGCACGCTTAATGTGACCATTTGCTTTTGGCTTGGCCACAGACCCATTTGCCTGTACGGAGTGCGATATGCGATCCAGTGCCTTGAATGCCCGGGCTGTGGTGGTAAGGCTGTTTGTCAGGAGTGCTGCCAGTGTTAGTCGGGTCGCTGCGAAGATGGCGGTAGTAGATACTCACCTCCAGGGATAACAATCCAGATGAAATTCATGAAGAAAAAGTAAAACCAGAAATAGTATGCCTCAGGCCGGCAGTACGTCTGGCTTTTGAAATAGTGGTCGAACAAGCAGGTAGCATAGTAGAGGACGTCTCCGTACAGCTGGCCAAGCGAAATGACTGCCTGCAGAGGATAGCGTAGAGGGTGGGCAGTGATGATCAAGTAGACCATCAGGAAGGACAGAGGGCCCCAGAGGAGCTGTATTTCTGTCAACATCTCCAGTGCCAATGCCTGAATGTGGGGGCTCATCTCATACCGCTGTTATCGTTTCCATACAGAGCACGAAGGGATCGGAGGTCAGGTAGCGGGAGTCTGATAGTGCATACTCTTTCCACAGTTGGCCGAAAAGGTCTTGTGCACTCCCCATTCGAGTATGATTGTATGCAAAATAGCCTTCAAAAAAGAGGTGAATGGCGCCAGCTTCCAAATGTCAGTCCCTTCTCGAACGAGTCTGTCTTTTCTTCCTTACTGAGGCAGAACCATAGTACAGCCAGCTTGTCCCCAGTTTTCAATCGAGGCGACACTCTTGAAGCAATGAGCCACCCGGCAGAGAGGACCACAACGCAGCAGGCGCCAAAGGTAGCCAGCAGCTGAAACAGGTCCATGTCATTGGCAATGAAATTCACGATTTCGGTCTCGATTGGGAAATAGGGATGAAGGGCCTTTATTTCAGGCAGCGGCACCGGGGGAGGAGATGAGGATCTTTTGGAAAACATGATGGCAGTCGGGGCTCCAGATTCGAGAAGGAGACTGTTCAAGGGCGCGTTGAAGGACGATTCCACGGCGCTCTCCAGGGAACGATACCGTGTCGATGGACGGGTGGTGATGTTTTCTCGTGACAAGACACGAGTGGAAGAGCAGCCTTACAAACAGCGCGTGAAGGATAATGACTGAAATTGAAGCCGAATGAACAACTGACTGCGCCGCTGGCTAGATTGGAGGCCCTGGGGTGTAGATTACTGGAAATAGTTGGACCACTGGCTGGAACCTGGACCGTACGCACTCGGGCAGCAGAATGGTGAATCCACTCCGGCGAGCTGATATCGCTTTTGTGAGAGCTCGCAGCTTGCACCTACGTAGCCTCAGGCCCCCAAGCCCTGCGCCTGCGCCTGCGCCTTGCCCCCCTCTACAGGAAGTTCATCTTCGAGCGTTTTCCTGTCAGCAGCGCTGTTCAACAAGATCTTACGTACTGAGAAAGCACAGCTGGTCTCGCTATACTAAAAAACATCCCAAGTCGAATATCTGCCATTCCTTTGGCGTGGGCGCAAACAGACGACCCCACGCCCTGATTCTACCCTACTGTGCAAGCTGTACTCCTAAACAGCGAGAACTTTCGCTGTTGGATCCAATCGGTAGCCTCTCTTTGACTCCCTGCTTTCCATCCTCCCGCTGTCACCACTCGCCATCCCAAATTCCCCTTTTGCCGGCCATGTCAATCACTGTTTGCTTCTCCCGCATGTTCCTGGAAAAGTGGACTTTCTCGCCTCCTGGGGTGGCCAAAGACCAACAAACCTCCAGGATGCGGGGCGAGCCAGCATCTACCGACGAATAGCCATTTGCTTCGCGTCATCAAAAGATCCTCGACATCACGGCCGAAGAAGCAGTGACGAATTTTTCACGGCCTCATTCCTCCATTCGTTGCAGGAAGCAGCCCATGCCAGAAGGCCCTGTCTAGAATTGCAGCTGCCAAAAAATCAAGATCTATCTTGTATCGCTATAAGTAGCTCTTGATTCCCTCGAGACTGGGCTCGCGTATTCCCCGGCCAGACTGCCAACGTGCCGTCTTGTCTCATTATAGCTGGCCGAAAAGGGCCTCAAACAATATCTTCCACTGGGTTTACAGAACCTTGACATTCTTTTCAACCTGAGTCACGTCGGCCAAGGCGGGTTGACCTCTTCCATTGACTTGTAGCATTGTCAGCAAGAGGGCGACTGTTGTCATGGCCAAACCTATCTTCTGTGCCACGCATCCGCGTGCGTGTAGTACCGCCTTCGAACGGGTTTGTGTCACTTGATTGTTTTCGAGGCCGAAATGCTGATAGAGTCAAGGTTTTCATGACCAGGAAAGACCTGGCCTGTGTTCATGAACCCTTTGGCGATGCATTCTATTATGGGTGAGTATGAAAGACGATGGGCCTCCAAAGCAGTGTCTGACCACCGCTCAGGCCCGAGAGACTGAGTGCTCGTTTTGAGGCCGATGAAGACACTAGAAAGGCCTCGGGGTTTAGTGAATCTACCTACAAGACGATCTTCGATCGACTAGATCGCGAAGAATCCGAGGTGTGATGCCGCTCAGGGAGTCTTGCTGTCATGCGGGCATCACTACAAGCCTGCGTGTTCTATGCTTACACCCAGCCCAGGGAAAACGTCTCTTCATCAAGGATATCATCTACTACTTGGTCCCTCCCGATCGCCAACCCGCACGAATTGCGCCCTCTTTGCATACGAAGAAGCGTGGCATCGGCACCGAATCGGAGAATGGAGTCAAGGCAACCAACGGAGAACACGAACCCCCTCGGGCCAGCAGTGTTCAGGGCGTGAACAGGGAGCCTCCGTTTCCATACTCTACCGATGGCGAGCCGGGAAACCCCACCGTCGTGCCGAACGTTTTGCTGGAGAAGTTCCATTTCACCTTCCTCATCCGGGATCCTCACTCGAGTATTCCCTCGTATTACCGTTGCACCATTCCTCCTCTGGACGAGATGACCGGCTTTTACGAGTTTTACCCGAACGAAGCTGGATACGATGAGCTGCGTCGATTCTTCGACTTTACCAGGGAAGCGGGTTTAGTAGGACACAAGGTTACCGGCCAAGCAGACGGGACTGCCAATGGCGAGGCAGACAAGCCCGAAACTTGCGTGATTGATGCTGACGATCTACTCGACAATCCGGAGGGCATTTTGAAGGCGTATTGCAAGAACATCGGCTTGGACTTTCGGCAAGAAATGCTCAACTGGGACAATGAAGAGGACCAAAGGCGTGCCAAGGCGGCCTTCGAAAAATGGAGAGGGTTCCATGAGGATGCCATTGATTCAAAGGATCTCAAGCCGAGGACTCATGTACGGCCCATTCTTGTCAGCACTTCTGATCCGAGCTAACCTGAGATAGAAGAAAGCTGCCAAATCCGAGGCTGAATGGGATGCCGAGTGGCAAGAGAAATACGGGAAGCAAGCTGCCAAAGTGATCCGGGACACGGTTGACCAGAATATGGAGCACTATCTCTACCTGAAGCAGTTTGCTGTCAAGGCATGACAATGATGCCGGCTGGTCTCGGGTGACAATTTGGGTCGAAACGGGTGTCTTTGCTGGGATGATCGATTTACGACAAACACGATGTAGGTTGCATGCTATTAATGTTAGTAGTTCTCGCTCGGGGTGGTATTGCTACCGCCTCATCAACTTAAGGGTTCCTTGTGTAGGGTGTTGTGTTGGTCGTATGTTAGATGTTGGTCTGTTTTGTAGACTGCGCTGCGACGTTTGCCCTGTTTGCTCATTGATTCCCCATCATCTGATCACTCGTAGCGTGCAGCCACCTGCCTAGGTAATTAGGATACACTTGGCACCACGTACTCTCTCCTGCTACTGTTTTCTGCGCAGTCATAGTCATGGCGACAGACCCCAGTGGCGGTCAGAAATGGCCTCGAGAAGGATACCGACCCGAATGGCTGGCAGTAAGTTTGAGAGCTCCGAGTGGAAGACCCCTTACCTTTGTGTAACCCCGCCATGGGATCCCTGCATGCTGACCTGACCGTGCGCAACAGCTCGAAGATGCGGCCGGGGGACGCTATGTCATGACGGGCGACTTTTCTGTCGACGTGCCTACCTACGATGCTGTCTTTGCCGGACTGGCCAAGCAATGGCCCCCCCTGCCTGAGGCGTTGACGGTCTGTAAGTGTGTCCCAAGACGTCGCTGTGTCCCCCGAGACAAGACGAAGACAAGGCTTAGGAGTCTAACGGACGGGGCCTCCAGGGGACGAAAAGACCGACAGTCAGCATGGCAGTCTGGACGTTCGCATCTACCAGCCGGCGTCCACCAAGCCTCTGCCTCTGATGGTCTATTTCCACGGCGGAGGCTACATCGCCGGCACCCTCGACACGGAGGATGCGCACTGCCGTATCTTTGCCGCCAAAGTGCCCTGCCTGGTAATCAGCGTCAACTATCCCAAGGCTCCGAAGGTGAAGATGGACGGCATTATCGACGTTGGTGCGCTATCTGTGCCGTGGGTCAGTCTCCCAGCTCCTCTCGTCTCCATGCTCTAGTCCATGATGGCCCTGACCCGAAAACCAGTGTCGGAACAGAGCCCATAAGCTCGGCCAAGATCCGTTCAAGACCATCCTCTGCGGCGGCTCGGCGGGCGCCTTCCTCGCCACTCAGATAGCGTACCGGTTCATGTGCGATGGCGATTCCACATCGGTGACTGGATGTGTGCTCCTGTGCCCTGTGGTGCTACACTGGGAGTACGACGGCAAGTATAAGCACATGTACACATCATGGGAAGACAACGGCAACAGTGGCGTGCCAGTGTTTGGCCTCGAATTGGCCAAGTTCATCTGGTGTAAGTGTTCTCCCGGCACGGTGTACGGCAGCCATTGCCTCTCACCCATGGTCGGTGGGCTGACAACCTCCAGCACATTACGATATTGATTTCACCAGTCCGCGGCACTTTCCCCTCCTCGCAGACGATCTTTCCAAGTTTCCCCCCTGCTACATCGTTACCGCAGAGAAGGACTGTGCGCGGGATGATGGGATTTTACTGGACTACAGGCTCCGGGAGAGCGGCGTCAAAAGCAAGCTCGACCATTACGCCGGCCTGCCTCACTATTTCCACGTCTTCCCAAGTTTAAGTCTGGCCCATGAGATGATGGCCAAGGCGGTGGATGGGGCGAGATTCGTGCTGGACTAGCCGCCTAACGACCTATGGTTGACATTGATGTTGCATCTAACCCTGACTATCTGTGTCAACGGACTCTCTCCGATCGGAGAGTGTATATACTTGTATATACTCCGTATATAGTATATAAATCTGGCTTAGATACAAAGAGACGATTTCCGCTCCATTAGGTGGCACTCCGTACTCTTTCACATACAAGCTGCTCACCCCATCTTTGGTTCCATCCCTCACGTGCAGGGTGTAGGCACAAGGTGTAGGGTGTGCTCAGGAATATCTGATGTCCACTGTCCACTGTCCACTATCCACCGGCCTCCCTCCTCCCTCCACCCTCCACCCTCCGCGATCCGCCCTCCTCCGAAAGAATGCTACCGAGTACTACTCTGTCCGTCTCAACACCCCACCACCACGTGTCCAAAGAGCCACTGCAGTTCCACTCCGGTGTCGGGCGATAGTAATGTATACGCTACTTATCACTTGGGAACTACTAACCAACGACGGATCAGGGCCGGATCAGCTACCAAGCCGCCCCAAGAGCAGGGACAGCCAATAAGGGCCATTGCCAGACGTGCCACCTCGCGAACAACCAGAATTCCAAATCAGGCAACCGACCTCGCTCGCTATACCTACGTACTCCGTACTCCTATGCGCATAAATAACGGACGAGGCTGCAGCTCACAGATTTGAGACTTGGGCCTGTGAGGCGATCTGTCGCCATCTACGTCCAAGACGCGTACAGTGCAACACGATAGATATCTTGCTTCCTGCGGGGCTCTATGTACAGAGGCCTCCGTACCGTAGCCACATTCTCGAAGGGCGAAAAAATCCCTCCCCCACGGTGCGGCCCGTCAAACCCTGCAAATCGTCAGGCGGGTTCAATTGTCGCAAAAGAAGCGGGGGCTAGAGCCACTAAAGGCAAAGCAAAGGGCAGCTGTCTCTCAAAGTTTCCACCTGACAGCTTCTACCTCTGCACTATCCACGCGTCTCTTCGCTTCGTCAGTCACTTCCTTTTTCGACTTCTGCAGCGAGGTGGAAAGGCTGCGTACGCAAGGTTGTGTTGTGTTGTGGCATCATGTGTCAGGACGAGGAAGCTGCGGGTCAGCAAGACAGTGACCAAGGGAGTCATATCGCACCTGACACTGTAAGACAAGCCCCCGTGTTGCTGAAGCTCGTGTCGGTCGAGCCCAACACAGACCTGTTGTTGACTGCGACTTGCTGGAATAGGACATTGACTCGAACGATTCGGCATACGGTGATGATGCGTGAGTGGCCTCCAGTCCATTCTACGGCCCGAAGGGGAAAAAGAGACGTGTCTCTCGGGAGGCCCATCAAACGCCTACCAGTGCTGACCTGATTTTTTTTTCTCCCTCCCCAGAATCACAGAGACGACGTCGATTTCGTCCTGGATAAGAGATTACCGCATCGAGAACGGCCGGACGTATCATTCTTTCAAAGATGGAAAATACTGGTAAGTCGGAGCTCTAATTGTTCCCAGCGCAATAACAAGACAAGACCATGGTCACTGACTGTCACGATCGCCTCGTTGCAGGGGCTCGAACGATGAGGAAGCAAACGAGCACCTTGACATCGGACACAACCTGTACATGAAGACACTCAATGGACGTTTGTTTCTAGCCCCCATCCATCCCACGCCATCACAGATCCTGGACCTAGGCACCGGTACGGGAGCCTGGGCGATCGACATGGCTGACATGCACCCATCCGCGCTGGTGATCGGGACCGATCTGTCGCCCATCCAGCCGACGTGGGTGCCGCCGAATGTGCGGTTCGAGATCGACGACATGGAAGCGGAATGGACGTTTGCCGAGAATCAGTTCGACTTCATCCACATCCGCGGCCTGCACGGCTCCATTACGGACTGGCCGGTCCTGTACGCGCAATGCATGCGCTGCCTCAAGCCCGGCGGCTACATCGAGCAGGCCGAGTATTCTGCGCAGTTCACTAGCGACGACGACAGCCTGCCGCGCGACGGCGGCATCGCGGCCTGGAACAAGGTCGGCCCGGAGTGCCACAGGGTACTCAATCGCGAGCTGCAAGTCCTGGAGAGCATGGGCCAGCATATGATCGATGCCGGGTTCGAAGAGGTCGTCCAACATCCCTTCAAGTGGCCCGTCGGGCCCTGGCCGCGGGATCCCACCCTCAAGGACCTCGGCCACTGGGCTCGCGCCCACGTCGAGACCGGCCTCGAGAACTGGACCTTGCGCCTGCTCACCTCTGTCCTCGGCTGGACGGCGGACGAGGTCAGCATTCTTTGCGCCAACGTCCGCGCCGAGATCCGCAGCTCGAGAGTCCATGCCGTTCATCGCATGAATATCGCCTATGGTCGTAAACCGGCCCCACTAGCTAGACATGATTCTCATTAGGGCGGGCAACAGTCACCACGGGAACATCGCCCGTCCGGGGTCGCCTCTTTTGCTTTTTTGGGGGGCCCGGAGAGTGTCCATGGCGCCCGTTTGGGGCAGGCGTTGATTGCGATTCTTCTTGGAATAAAATGGAATGAAACGAAACGAAACGAAAAGAAACCTGATGGGGGAAAAATTAGGGGATCGGAAAAGACTGCACTCAAGTCGCTGGTGGACACGGCGTTGAGGACGGATTACAGGGTGAACGATACGTTCGATACAGAGGAACGGGCGGTGAAACCGCATCATCTGGCAGGGAGCCCGACGACAAGATATGAGAGAGAAAAGGAGAAAAGGGGCCTGGCGCGAGAATGAGTAGAAAAATGAGTTGGTGTTGGAGGCAACAATTCAAGGAACGGCGGCAAATTGCGCTTCCACAAGGAATGTACAGGGGGATACGAATATATGGGAATAGGGACGACACGGGACAGCGAAGGCGTTGGAGGCTAGACATGACCGAGTTGATACATATGTACTGTATCTATATGCAGTCCACTACACTACGCAAACACTACGCAAACAAAACAGGGGATATCATGCACACCACACCACCACATCTCGCCTTTCCCCATCAGGTGGCCTAAGCCGAAGCAGTGCCTCGGGTACTCGCTCGTTCCAGTTCCAGATGGCCCGGGGTACAGTAGATCCGGTGACAGTTGACTTCTATATGGATTCTACCTCGATCCGTGCCTCAGCGCTCCCTCGTGTCACGCAGCCCATCTCGCCGAGCGCCGCCACTGTGCGAGATCTCCCGTCCAGATGACGACGGCTCGATCGGAGACACCGGTGCCGGTGCCGGTGTCTACTGACGCCGTGACCTCAGCCGCCTGTCGTGCAGCGTCGCCCGCAATGGCAAGGCCTTGGCCTTGATCCGCCGGCAAGTGTGCAGGCAGCAGTCTCTCCGTGCCGTCGTTCTGCCACGCCTCAAACAGCACAGCACGGTCGGCGTTTGAAGTGGTTGCTCCAAATTTCCGTCGAGCCATCTCATGTACGCGGCCGGCTTGTTGCGAATCGCCGACTTCCATGAGCAGAAGCCTCGCACCTAGGCCATGTATCAAGTCCATCAAAGGCCCGTAGAACACGTCACCTGGATCGGTGGCGGGGTTTCCGTCCAGTGATGAACCAGACACCGGGGGGACGAGTGCAATTCTGGGCTCATACTTGCGCACGCTCGACTCGGTTTTGCCGCCGGGGCCATAGTCTCGGGGCGAGATGTATGGAGGGTTCGAGATGATGACGTCCCATGGGGTGTGTAGGCCTGAAGCGTCATCATGGCCGGAGCCGCCCTTCTCAAAGAGTGCACGCATCTCGGTCGCGTTCAACCTTGCCGATTGGAGGATGTCCATCTGCCGAAAGGAGATATCCTGAGCAGCGTCCGTGCGGAGCAATCCGTTAGCGATGTTATGCTGTAGGTTTCTTTCTGCCAGATGAATTGCATCACTGCTTATGTCGCTGCCAAGTATCTCCAGATCCATGTTCTCGTTGGAAGCCACCTTCGATTGGGGCGCTTTGAGAAGCGAATGTAACAGCAGTGCTATACAGCCAGTTCCCGAGCATAGATCAAGGATCCTCAGTTTCTTGCGTCCGCCAACCGACGTCTGGCTACTGGGAGTAGCGCGGTGAAGCCATGAAAGGAGCAATCTGGCGACGTGTTCGGTGTAAGTCTCGGTCTCGGGTCTGGGTATGAGCACCGCTTTCCGGGTCAGTATCTCGAGATTGCCGAATGGTTGGCTACCGAGAAGATATTGTAGCGGCACCCCTCTCGCTCTTCTGGTCACATATCCGGCGAGAAGTCTCCGCGTGTGCGCAACCTCAGTATGGCGACCCAAAAGTGTATCCCGCAGTGCAGATTCGGTAGGTTGACCTGGGATGGGTTTGCTGTGTCCTCCGCGAACTTCACATTCGCGGACCGGATCCCACGGAGGTACGCCCGATGATAGTCGCCTGCTAGTGATGTCGAGTATCAGAGGGTGTTCTTCGTCGAGGCTGCCGGGTTTTTCTTCCCAGGATTGCTCCTCTCCATCTTTGCAAAATCGGTCACTATGCGTCCTGCCCGATGTAGGAACCAGAAGACCTTTACAGGCATGCCTTTGTGGCAGAGATCTCAAAACTCTCCTGGACCGCGCTGGCGGACGATCATGTTTCCGTCTCTTCGTAAGTACAGTATCGCGGGCGTGTTCCTGCAGCCAGCGAAGCTCATTCTGAGCGGAGTAGATGTCCCGGCAAACGCGTAGTAGAAGAGGGAGGAGAGGGTGTTGAGCGGCAGCCTGGCGAATTAAGGCTGGAGGCAGGCGTGGCATCTGAGAGCCATAGTGTTAGGATGCATTCAGAGCATTAGTAGGCAGTGTGGTAGTATGATGGATGCTGCGGTGTTGAGTGCGAGTCTTCTTCAGTGTCGCAGCCAACAACAAATCGCAGACGATTCCCCCATGAACAAGTAGTGGTGGGAGATATCTCGTCTGACTGAAAAGGTGGACTAATACGGTGGCACATTGAGCGCAGCTTGGTGAGACGATTTGTCTTGTCAGACGAAAGAGTTTTCGACTACAAAGAATGAGACATTCCAAAACTCAACCCAATACCTAAGCTGTGACGAGCTTCAGCCATTTCTGTATCTGTATACGTCTGTCGACAATACCCTCTCGTGGCATCTCATTGTTCTGTCGCTTGAGGTGAGCACTTTGTCTCCCGCTGGATCTCGGATCTCCGTTACACAGTCACGTCGTCTCTCCACTGCGGTCGATTTCGTGCCCTCAGACCTCATTGCCTCCCAGCTCGGTAAAGTGGTGAAGAACGTTATGTTGGATATGATATCCCCAGGGACGTTCACAGGACGGAGTCCCTGACTGGCTCAACACCCAGACCAGCTCACCGAGGCGAGGTGACCAACTTGAACATCTCTCGCGGCGTGTCCAATTCGAGCCACGTTGGGCAGGACATGTTGCTCCCGGCCCTTGATAAGTACGAGATCAAGTCAACCTGGCTTCCGTGGTCTCCCCAAGACCAATACTTGACTTCCCGTACATGATGGCAAAGATAAGAATTCCGGGATGCAGTGCATGTGAGTGGCCCGTCCAGTCTGCCGTCACCGCTCTTTGAGACTGGGGCACTTTGTTGCAGCGGACCGCACGGATTATGGATACACACATAAATTTGTTGCCCAACTCTCCCTTGGCAGAACAGGGACCGGGGACCGGGGACTGGGGACGTGCTACAGATGTCGATAGAGGTCGTGTCTGGATTGACAGGTAAGAAGCCTAATGGCTGGCTTGCTCTACGTGGACGCCCTCCCCCCCAAACATGGTAAGCGGGTCGGTCTGGAAAACTGTCACTCATTCATGCACCCTGGCTCCCAACGGTACTATCTTCAATCCCCATCAGAAATCTGGAGGGAATGGACTCTAGAAACCTCTCGATCAATGACGGGATGGGGCTATGTGGGTGCACGACTCTTCTCCGTCGAAGAAGAGCTCACTGGCAAGTCGATGTCGGGCCTGTCTTTCAGATGCTGCGTGAAAAAGGGTGCTGTGGGCATCGATCCACGTCTGAACGCAAGGTGATGGCCAGAACATTTTTACCTTTTGCTGCCAGCAAAACGAGTGTCTTGTCTTTTCTGCCAGGATTTATCCTTCAGTCAGTGGAAAGCCAGAGCTTCTGTCAATGCATGAGCGTCTCCTTAGATCGATCAATCAGCACAACGGAGTTGACTGATGTGCGTGGAAGCCGAAGGAGGCGCTGACGGCCACCTCCTCTCGTCTCTAGATCGCCAGGGGACACTGCATAGCAAGTATGGTATGGCGTGGTGATGAAGAGGACGATATCATCTTTGTCGATTGACTGTTGGAACAGAAGGTTCTCCACCATGCAGAAAGTTCAGGATTTGACAGCCGTATGCATTTGCATTCTGCTAGGCCTGGATCGGCATCTGCACAGGACCTGAAAGAGACTGTTGAGATGCTCCAGAGTACGGAGAGTATACTAGCCTGATAGTAGTCATGTCTGGAGTACACATGCGACCTGTCCACATGTCTCTCCCCTGCATGCGTATCCGTACTGTACCTGACATGGATCCTGCAGTAGTTACGCCTGTCCCCTGTGTGGCTTGCAGGCTGCATGCTACTGTCCCCCGTCCCTCATTTTTGGGTACGGAGGACAGTAGAGAGTCGGTCATTCCTGGCCGCCTCAGCACCAGTCAGCTAAGCGGATACCAGGCGGCCTCGATCTCTGTGCTACAGCATCCGTCCTTCGACCTCTTCCTCGACCTCGTCCGCCGCGGCGCACCAAGCAGCCTTAGACCGCACAGTATCCGTACTCGGTACAGTAGAACCATACAGTAGATCCGTACATACTACTATTACATAGGCACCTAGTAGTTAATGCCAGTCACGCGTGGGAGACGGGGCCGAAGGCTGACGGGGGCCGGATTGGCGCCTGTCAGCCTCCTTCCTCCTTCTCTTCCTCCTCACCGCTTTTCTGGGCCTCAACATCTTTTCTTCTTCCAGATGACGGTTTGCAGACCGGCACATGCAATTCCACCACTCCGTACTCCGTACACCGTACACACACACGAGCAACATGGACCGAGTTTCCAGTCCGCCATACGCTACCGAGACCGGCAGACCGCAGATCGGCCACACACAATCGCTGGCTTGGTGTGATACGTGAGATGGCCTGAACTTGAGCAGTCATCTCTATCTACGGAGTACTACTATTGTCCAACATCCCGGCACGACGAGACACCGCAAATGCTCGGCCCAGGTGAAACTGACGCCTGTCTCCAGAGTAGCGTGGTTTTTGTCTGCATCTGCATCTGCATCTGCACCTGCATTTGCATTTCCCCTTCCTTGCATGCATGCATGCTGCATCATCATGCCTGGCCTGGCAGACGAGAGAGACTATGGCAGAAGCCAGATGGTGTTGGACACACCTCCGTGGCCTAAGTCCTCTCTACTACGTGCAGTTAGTTCCTGTCATCCTACTAAGGGCCCGGGACCTGAACCCCCACACGGTCACCGCATCTTTGACAGCTGATGCAGTGCCGACCAGCAACACAGAGGAACTGACGGATCGATCTTCTGGGAAGTGTCCATTTGGGTCAAATGTGAGTGAGACGGTCGGCTGGCCCTGGTGGTTGGTGGTGGTGGTGCCTGACGGGAGCTCGCCATGCAGACACACACCGATCCGCCTCACCTCACCTCATCCAGCCCAGCCCGCCCCCAGCCCAGCCGACGTATGTACTATGTATATACGAAAAGTCTGACTTGATCATCGGCCTTAGGCCTGTATAAAGAGGCCTCGTCCGGTTCAGATGTGAAGTTTCTTCTACACATCCCCCAGCTGTCTATACTTTCTGACACGTATCCTCTCTCCCACATACTCACATACTCGCATAGTCACACACTCTTACACACGCTCACACAAAAAGCTACCGCATTCAAGGGCCGTCAAGTCAATCAAAGCCCATAGATTCACCATTCCTTAGCCCATCAACAGTCGCCTTCCCCGTCGCAGCCACTGCCACCATGGAGGCTCCAATCAACTTGGGTCGAGGTCACTACGATGTCTCTGGGATTCTCCGTCCCACGGGACCGCAGAGGCCATCTCCCAAGTGACTCGAACAAAGACGAATAGCACCCAGGACCTAGGACCCAGGAACCGGGACCCAGGGCTCAGGACCAGCAACAGCCACCCCATTGCTACCGCTTCGAGGTCAATTTATATCCGTCACCCCAATTTCCCCCCCGAGTTGGAGTCCAGTCAAGGAGTAGAACGGCATGAGCGACAGACACCGACACGGCCGCTCAAGCTCGCCGAGCAGAGAAACAGAAACACAGAGAAAGCATTTTCCGTCAAGCTTGTCCAGTGGGACGGTGGTCCCGAGCCGCGCCACTGCTGCGAGCACAACCGCATTCACCTCACCTTACTACACCACACCACAGCACATCACATCATTTCGACTTGTCAAGCAGTCTTCAGATAGACGTCGATGAATGCCAGTCCGGTCCAACAACGCTGTCGACGCATCGTCCACCCCACCTCAGAGCCTGTGAGGATGGTGTATTCGGCCGTGAACCTGACTGACTACACTACACTACGCTACGCTACACTACACTGGTCTGGTCGGGTCTGGTCTGGTCTGGTCTGCTTTCCGAGGGAGATGCAGGTTTCCCTTGAAGGAAGTCGAAGTCGATGGCCGTTCAGTCGTGTCATGGCCCCGAGAAGGAGGGACTTTCGAAGCCGAGCTGACACGACACGACGAGACACGGGGCGGATCACCATGGCATGGCAGGATGCCGGACCCAGATGCTGAAATAGACAAGTTTAATTAAGTAGGTAGGTACTAATTAGGTAGGGAGGGAGGGTATCCGTATCTGTATCTGAGACAGACGAGACTCGTATCTTCCGTTCGTACAACACATCCAGTCCTTTATGGCATCACACTTCTGGTAATAAGTTGGTCTTGGAAATGGCCATCGTTGAAGCGCGGCACCCTTCACTACCTACTTACTGGGCGGACTAAAGCGTCACAAATAAAACCAAAACCAAAACCAGAGCCAGAGCCAGAGCCAGATCCTTGTATAGCCATATACTGTAGTACTGTAAACCCTGATCCAGCACCAGCACCAGCAGAAAAGGTGTCAAGGCATCTACCACACCATTGCCCAGATCGACCTAAAGCTAAAGCAAATGCACGCAAAATGGGTATCTCGGTCTACAAACTCTAGGGGTGCCCGATGGCTAGTTCCACCACCATCAGCGTCAATAGTAACAACATTGACAGTAATGTCACGGGCCAGAGCAGCAAGGGGAAACAAACAAGCAAACAAATGATCCAGTCCTCGCCCGGCTTTGCTGCTGATCAAGTTGAGGCATGTCAGGGGCCGCCTAAGACGAGAATCGCAGTACTGAATTTCAAGAGTGATTGGATTCAACATCTTTCCAATCTCCCAATCTCACTCTCAAGCACAGCAACCAGACTCTCGGTCGCGGCTTCAATCTTGGAGCGTTCCACATGAGTCAGTTGGCCCAAAACCCAGGCACTTACATCGTGGCTGTCCCTGGAAGACGGGCGTGAAATCCCGATCCCGATCTTGATGAGACAGTCACCTAAAGAACCGAGCTGGCCGCCTGACCTTAGTGATTGCTGGATCGATTTGATGCCGTTGTGGCCTCTGGGGCTTGACTCGCCGCGGCGGAGTTTGATCGTGCCTGTGGAGGACTCGAGCTCGTCATGGAGCACAACCAACGCCGTCACAATGTCCGACGATGATGACCGCTGTAAGTCGTTGAAAAGCTTCCAGGCCTTGAGTGTTCCTGTGCCCGACACGTTCATCATGCTTGAGCTCTGCCAAAGTGTATATTCTGGTCTCCCAACATCTGCCCCGAAACTGGAACTTCCGCTGCCTAGAGCTTTGGATACCGAGGGCGGAGGTAGGTTCAAACGTGTGGCGAGCGATTTGAGCAGGATGTGTCCCGCCGAATGGCGAGTCGTGTGGTATGGTGGCGGATTGCCAATGGATGCCACAAGCAGGCGCACCGAGCGCGCGGGAGTCGGAGACATTTGGAGCGCTCGGGGGTCCTTGGGCCTGCGGATTCGCAGCGGGGAGGGTATGATAGGGGACAGCAAGGGATTTTCGTCGATGTCCGGAGGGGGTGGTTTGGTAGAGATTATTGGATTGACAGGTCGTCGTTTGATGGTTGCGACATGTTGAGGCCGAGGCCGAGGTTCGCGCCGACCGTGAGGGTGAGGGTTATAGTGACGGGATGGATGTTGTTCGACAGGTTCAGCCCAGTGCAACTCTTGTTCGTCGTCGTGGTATTGGACGTAGCTTAGTGTATGATGGTCCTGCGAAAACGACGGACGCTGTTGACGACCATCGACTAGCTGTGCTGCGCTGGATTTAGCCATGGCCCCTATTCTTCGACGGCACAGGGCTGGGAGTACATTGAGAGGAGTTGAGTGAAGCTTACCTGTGTCGGAAATGAATGACTACGGGTTAGTCCTTGTGGTGGCACTGGGCTTTGTGTTGAGTTCCTTTGTCAACCGAGAAAGATCGAGGGAATAGTGACAAAGCCGGAAATTCTGCCTGCGTCACTTTGCATTTTGTCAGCTTCGGCCGCTTCCAGTTAGTCTGCCAAGAAGCGTACTCGGAACTTGTAGAATGTGATGTCATAGCTGTGCATGACTCGAAAGTTCAAGCCTGGATATGCACCACGTGAAGACCCCTGACTCGCCGCCATATATGCTGGTGTCTCAAGGACAGGCCACTGTATCTTGTATCTGGTACCATGCCCGCCGGATGGTCCTTGTACAGGGGTGTCAAGGTCAAGTGTCACATCAGCTCGGTACATGCAAATTAGTAGCTGCTGAGAATTGCAGCTCACATCAGTCGTTGGTGGTCGGGGATGATTGATGGTGACAAAGTGCAAAGTGCGCCGTCATTCCAGTCGTCACGCCCGGAGATCAGCCCTCATATCGTCGTCGCGTCACGTCGTTTAATCCGATCTCGTCATCGTCCAAGGGGTAAAGCCGATCCAGGGTCCAATCCGTGCTCGTTGCTTGCGGTGGCCTGGGGACCGACGCGGCACTGCTGTTACTGCTAGGAGCTGGGTGGGCCTCAATATCGATTTCTTTCTCCTGGGCCGCCGAACCTCGCTGCCATGATCTCGCATGCATGTCCGATTGTTTGTCGGTAACATCGTGCGCCTTGTGGGGAGTGGTCGGATGCCAGAATCTCCTCGTGGTCTCGCTTGCCCGGCTGGCCTGTCGCGAGGTCGGATGGCTTTCCAATGTGACAGCACCGAGACTGTAACCGTGAAGATCCCTGGGCTGGCCCCCTTGCATCCGATCCACCGTCGAGTCGCCCAAGAAGGATCGGAGGTTGAATGCCCTTCGGATCAGAGCCCAGCTGTAGGGCATGTTGGCCACGATCATCGCAGTGCTTGCTTCTCGGCAATACCAAAACACCCATTCAGAGCTGTAGGGTTGGGTGAAACTCAGTCGCTTGCTCAATATCGCGCAGAGCATGGTGAACAATCCGAGACTGAAAGGGAAGACGAGGAGAAGCTTGCGCTTGAACTCGAGATGGGCCTTGAGAAAAAGCGGCAGAGGGATGGACATGATCAGGATGTCGCTCGTCAAGTTGAAGACCAAATTGGTGATGAGGTGGTGCAACGCTGTGCTACATTGCTGGTTGTCGGTGGGCACTGCCCAGTACTCGTGGAAGGGCCGGCACCAGACTGCGAAGTAGAGAACTTCCATGACCACATACGTGAGTCCGACGTATATCGCCGCCCCCTTGACGACCAGATTTTGAATGAGGTTTTGGGTCAGGCGCCAGTAGAGGAGGAGTAAACAGCACTTAGTCCCCCACTGGACGGCACACATGCATTGCTCGACCAGGAGGATGGTCTTGGAGCCAAACCTCCGGTCCGAGATCTCTTGCGGCGTCAGCACAACCGGGTGCGCAGGATCAATGAGGTTCGTCGAGACTTCCAAGTCGATGTTGAGGAAGACGATGAGGATGGTATACAAGCACTGCGCAAGGTCAACAGCTCATCCGGCGAACTATCATCTCCGATGTCTGGCAAAGATCGACCTACCGTCAGGAACCCCATGAGGCCATCTTCTATTTGGAGTCGTAGGAGGGATTTGAAGTGCAGGAGCCGTGCCACCCTAGGAATGTGTCAGCCGTGCGAGTTGCTGAGTACTGCGTACTGCCTCCAACGAACGATCTTGGGTCGCATACATTCGGGCAATGACCATGGAGATGGTCGCCGCATACCAGATCCATGACTCCGCCGAGAAGGAGGTCATTCTGTGCGTAAGGCGCGGGGCCTTAGCGGGTGGTAGGACAAGTGAGGAATGGGTGAGTCTGGCTGAAGTGTTCAGCGCCTCGATTTATCGAGACGTCGGATGAGGCCGATGTGAGGTGTCGGCGGTGTAGATCGACATGTTGGAAAAAAGGTCGAGTATAACGGTGACGGTGAGCAGGACGGAAGAAGAATCACGATCGAGTATCGCTTGAGAAAACAGCAGTTTCACCTGCAAACCGGAGAGAGGAGCAGCGGCAGCGGGAGTGATAAGGGAAGGAAAAGCATGGCAATAGCAGTCACCTAGGTATACCTCCGTACATGCTCTGTACAGCACGAGCGAAGCTCAGCCAACGCAATCCAACCCAGCCCAACTGTCTCCGGTACAGTGTGGAGGGAGCCGACGACGCGGGATGTGCATGACAGACGTACATAGTCACCTAGGTCACCTAGGTACGGATACTCGTAGCAGGTGATAGCGCATGGCATGCCTGACCCATAGGCTTAGGAGGCTTGGGATAAGGAAGACACCAAAGACTGCCCAGTGCCCACTGCCTGACGCCAGTTGATGGTGATCTTCATATCATGATGCAGGGGGGAGCTGCTCGGTCCCTGGTGGCCCCAGAGCTAAGATAAACTAACCAGACGCCATCGGGGGGCACAGCGGGTGAGGGAGCAGGAAGTATAGGTAGGAAGCAGGGTCTCCTAAGTCTCCTGCTGCAGAACAAAGTTCCTACTAGATGCCTACTATTAATTACCTAGGTAGGTCACAGCAGGCTTGGGACTCGGGAGGCCTGAAGACCCTGAAGACCCCCGAGTCCTTATCTCAGGGACCGTGTGTAGTAGTATGTGTACTGTACCTCTGTATCCCTACACTGTATCCGTACTCCGGCCTCCGTGGCTGGAGTGAGTCCAGCTTCATGTATGTATTAATTACTACTAGGTACTCCGTATTCGAGTCGCCATTACTGTGTTACGTGTATATCCCGGGGTATCATGTTCCGTCCCATCTTCTCGTTATCCAGGCCGTTATCCAGGCCGTTATCCAGGCCGTTATCCAGGCCGTCCAGCCGTCGTCCTCCTTATAAACCTGTCCTCCGTGCCAAGTATCCGTAGGTAGATCAGAGATCAGAGCTCAGCCCGCTGGAAGAATGAATTACAGCTTGCGGGTGGCGCTCGCCTGCATTTTGCGCAATGCTTCCCGGTGCAGCCCTTGCATCTCTGGCCGTCTCATGGCCTGGTCCATCGCATACTGTTTCTCTCGCTGTGCGGCGCGCTGGTATTCCCCCACCACTTTCTGGTTCTCCTTGTCCGCCCTCATCTGCGCCCACCCGGCTTCAGCAGAGGCGCCGCCGAGCCCGTTGCTCGTGGCCCGATCCTGCTGCGATAGCCGCCACTCGGCCAGGAGCGATTGACGGCGGTCGAGGTCGCTTCTCCCATCTCGACGGGCTGGCTGTCGCGAGTGGTAAGAGTCGAGTCGGGTCTCTCCGCCGTAAGGGCTTGCAGCGCCAACGCCGTCGTGCGGCGTGTCAGTGTATGGCCGTATGCCGCTAGACCTCGGCAGCGGTGCCGAGAACCGCCTCTGTGAAGGAGTCATGTACGGCGTGCCTTCAGAGGCACGGCGACTGCTCGATCTTGGATGGGGGAACACGGTCGGCGTGTTTTCGTCAATCGGAGTCGTGACGAGGGAACCTGTCCAGTCAGGGTTGAACATCTTCCGGCTGCTTCTGTTGCCCGGCGTTCTTAGGGATTGCAATTGCATGGATCCAGACCGGGATGAGACCTGCGGTCTACCGCTCCGTCTCGCCTGCTCGGGAAGAGACCTTCTTTTGGCGGTCAGGCTCAGACCAGGGCCAGGGACAATGCCAACCCCAGTACCACCAGCCTTGACTCGGTGAATGGCACTCCCTGCCGGTACAACCTTGACATTGGGGTCTCTGGAAAGCAGGATATGCTCGGTGGCTGCCGTGGATGGAGCCAGACGTGTGGCCAGCTCGTCCTCAACACCACTGATCGTCTCTGGTTCGTCAAAAACCGGGACATCTGCGGCGGCAATGTGTTTTGCCCATTCGTTGGTTCGATAAGACAAGACCACGTTCGAGAGCTGGCTGGGCACCTGTGCGAGAGCAGTTTGTGTCAGAGTCTCAACACTAGACCCAGCGCCCTCTGAGCCTTGCGACAGACGCCGACCATTTCCACCTTCATCCGTGTCGCTTCCAAGCACGTTCACATTCAACGCCTCATTATCTGTATCCAGAGTGGCCGCGGCCGAGGATGCCCTGCTGACCGGTCTCTCGGGGCCGAGAAGGTGTTCTCGAGACTCGGACGCGACACCGTGAGTCGGACTGAGACGCTGAGTCAGTGCGGAGGGTGTTGCTTGAGAGCGCCGTCTTGATGGCGGACGCTCGTCCACTTCCTCCGATTTCGCCGTATGCACGCTGACTTGCTGGTCGCGGCCAGAGTCGCTCATTGCCTTCACATCGGTACTAGATTCGCCACTTTGTCTCTGCTCGCTGCATAGCTCGACGCATTCCTCGAGCGTCTCAAGTGATTTTGGGCGTCCCTTGAGAGCATCCTGTTCGGTCTTCTCCTCGACCTCTTCAATGACGTCCACAGTGACCGAGCTTGGGCGCTTACGTCCCGAAACATCCATCTCTAGGCTCGCCGAGGGCGACGGCGACGGCGATGGCGATACCGGTGCAACGGTGACCACAGAGACCTGGGAATACTGCTTGTCGGGATGTGCATCTTGCCATAGGATGGTATTTCCTTTCCCCTGATGTCTGTCGCCGTAATGCCGCTCCCATTCCGACTTCTCTCTTTCGTTCTGGCGCTCGAGGTGTCGACCTAAGGCGGCCTCGATCGCATCGTTCTGGAGCCCGTCCTCTCGGTCTAGCATCTCTCTTTCCCTCTGCTTGGACCTGATCACCTTCCAAAGTTTGATCTGGGAGAGTAGGCCGATAATGGTGCCGATTATAACAATGGCGATTTCGACTCGAATGCCCCGTGTCTGGGGATACGTAGTGGTGTTCAAAGGGAACAGGTTGTCATTGATGTCCCAGAGATAGATCCAGAATTCTTTCATGCCAGCCTTCGTAAGGCAATCAATCCCAAGCATGAATGCAGTAGCTCCGGCGAACGACGTGGATACGATCAACCCATAAGGCCGAGTGTAATGGGTCCACGACAGTGCCCAGGGCACAAGGCAGAAGACCCCGATGAAAACGCCTTTCCCACCCGAGCTTCTGACGAGGCCGCCATGCCTCAACGTGAGTAACCACATGCTCAAGCAGAACCCTCCCAAGAGACACCCAAGACCTTCAGTGAAATCCTTGAAAATGAGGGCTCCCGCACCAAAGATGACGCCTGCCATGACAATTGCGACCAAGTAACCCCCTTGGATGGCGTCCCTGACCGGAGGGTCCATCACATAGACGACGAGAGCCGTAGTTGCGATGCTGGCCAGGAAGCCCGACGATAGGAAGACCTGGACCCATCTGTTCTTCACTCCAACCAAGGCATATCCCGAACCCAAGATGATGAGCAAGACACCAGCCGTTCCAAATGCAGGAGTGATCTTTGGCTTCAGCGGCAGTTGGTCTGGATGTGTCTCACCCAAGGCGGTGGCTGTGTGGTACGCATTGGGAGGGGAGGCAGTCGGTACGTCGAAGGTGGTGGTGGTGGTGCCCTTGGAAGGTGTCGGCGTCGTCTTGGGAGAGGTTGTTTCGTCAGCTGCCCCCGGGCCGGACGACTTAGGATTTTCTGTAGAGGTCGTGGAGTCGCCTGTTGGTGTGCTGGTTTCGGATGCGGCTTGGTCTATCGACGAGCTGGGAGTGTCGGTGGTTAGGGTGGGAAAGCTCTCGGCTGCAGTGTCTTGCCGCCGTAGTATATCGATATTCGTGCCACGCAGGCCAGAGGCTCTCAGCGGTAAAGCCCATCCCAACAGAGTCAATGCGACGAAGTAAGCTGGTCTCATGTTTAGCCGTGCCGGGCGATTGCATATAGCTGGCCGGGTGTCCTCTCATTCACGAGCAAGAGGATTTCACGCTCAATAACAAGGACAGGCGAGGGTTACACTTCCACGTCAGGGCGCAGCGTTTCCCCAGAAATGGCTCCAACCATGGACGTGGTCCCAGCTGGGGAAATACACTGGGAACAGGAAATGCAGACCAGACTCAAATGCCACCGAACAATGAACCTCCCCACACCAACAATGGCAGCAGCGGCAACCGTAATGATAACTTCTGAGCGAAGGAGACACTGAAAGAACTTGAAGCGCGACTAAGCAGGCCTTAAAGCTGGGGAGGAGAGCGAGCGCCCGGCAAGATTTGATGGTGACGAAGCCAGCCACCAGCTCCTCGGACCTACCTTTTCGGACATGATAAGATCCAACGGTCAACCGCTATGAGAAGCAAGCGAGAACAAGTCGACTGGAAACGGGCAACTAGTTTCGGGAGAGGCGCTGCCGCTAAAGGGACCAGGCCATGCACATTGCATTGCACTGCATGGCGGTGGGAGATACGGGGTGTCCGTACCGAGGACAGCAGTACCCTTGGAGGCGGCAGCAACACATGGGAGATCGGCCAGGGAAATTTGGTTGGAAACCGGAATGGGACTGGGAGACGAGAGGGCGAAAGTGGACAATATCCGGAACGTGGTCGCCAGTGATTCGGCTCTCAGCTCTCGACAAGGAAGGTGGCTATTTTGGTCGAGACATGACGGAGGCGGGCATGTGAGGAGAGGTCGGCTACTCCGTATAGGATACAGGATCTTCCACTTGACCTGTGGCCACCTTCGTCCTGCATGATTGTTGTCCTTGTCCATGCCAACCAGCAAGGTGTCTGGACCATGGGTGGCTGCAGTATTATTCAGGAGGTGGCCCAGCTGGCCGGCCGGCGTGGAGATTGGAGGGAGGGATAACTCCGTATCCGTACTCCGTACATGTATGTAAATGGCCTCCTAAGCCCCTCGCCTCGTTCACAGGGGTTGTTCCAATAATGAATGCCAGCCGTAATGAACCAAACGGCCCTGACGCCACCGTCTCGCACGTAAGAGTGGCCGAAAGAGGCGTGAGACGAGCTTGATGTGAGTCTGGGTTTTCCACAGAATGCCCGACTACGGAATACTCTGTACACTGTAGTATTAGAGTACTCCTTGCCTAAGGTAGGTAACTTATCTAGGTATGAATGTCAAATGATGGATCATCTGGCAGCAGCCGGCCTGCTGTCTCCGGGCCGCAACTCCCGCCCCTAAGCCCATCGAAACGCCACAAGAGCGCCGAGGGTCGAGAGCGCGCAGCCACGCATAGTACGGATACTGTAGTTGTCAGCCACAAAGTATTATCCGTAGGCTAGCCAGGTCTCATGAGATCTAGTTCGTCCATCGATCGGTCCGCTTCTAGGACCGTGACAGTGATACGTACTCCCTACAGTCGAAGTGGATATTCTCCTCTGATGCGGACTGACTATGAGAACTGTGATACATGATTACAGTTGAATGCCACCCAATTGCCTGACAACCTGCCCGATTGCCCCTACCATTAGACGGGCGTTGGAAGTCGGCAAGAGGTTTCCCTCAATCAAGAAAGCCACTGAACTTACTTACAGTTTGTTTGACATCGACAATGATTTCACCTCGTTAAGCACATTGAGGCCTCTGGTGAGCATGGGTGTGGTGACCTCAGTCAAGGATATGGACACCCCTAAATAGTTCAACTCGTAAAGACAAAACTTTTGAGCGAATATATCAATATGAATCGCCAGCGCTACCAGATCCGATCGGACTGGGTGAAAATCTTCGTCGGCAACAAGCTGGATGTGCTGGTTGCGCTGGGAGCACACAAAACTGCTATTCCACATGATACTTTTAAGTTTCCTCCTTACACCGTCATGTGGAACCTTCTGGCGGTACAGACGGGAAATGTTGTCGAACTAGTACTGACCGGATGACAGAATCTTGTCTGTGTCATTCCCTACCTCAAAGCCGACAAAAGTATTGATCTACCCGACCCGAGGACTCCGGGCTGTAAGTGGCCGGGTAATAGAGCAAGGCTTTCCACCTAACGTGACATAGTCGATTCTGAGACGGTTGATGAGTTCCCTTGTCATATTCAAGTAGTCGTATGATCCGGTCAAGATGAAGCACTGGTGGCGCCGTTGACCTGATGAATAAGGCCCACCGCAGCAGGATCCTCCGGCAGGTCTTCTGAGATGGTTCTTTGGGGCCTGAGGAAAAGATGATGGTAAGGGGAACGCAAAGAAAGTGAAGCGCATGATTGAAGTCTCGTGAATAAGGAAGATGCGGACATGATGACTAATCCCGCTGCTTTAACCTAGTGGGGGTCGTGCCGATAATTCAGCCAATAGAGACCAATTGCGCGAACCCGAATCTCACTGCAATGGCAAGGTGCCGCGCCTCCAACTTGACCTCAGTGGAAATCTCCCTTTATCATTATTTCCTATGATGCGTATGGTGGACGTTCTTTCAGCACCCTTCTGCATGTCGTACAGGTGTGTGGCGGGATGAATTCCGCTAACGTGATGGGACTACTCTGTACACTATTGCTTGTGCAGTCAAGAATCGCTCGCTCAACGCACCGCCATACTACAAGTCCCAAAGGAACACGACATCCATCTTCGCCTGCGATGATTCCCTCTTTGCTCTTAACCATTTACTTGGCAGCCCTCTCGGATCAGCCGGAGGCTTCGCATTCTGCCCGCGGGAGAAAGCCGCACTCATTGTTCCCTATACTCGCCAAGTGTACATATGCGTCTTGATGACAACGTGAAGGAGTGGTGTTTGGGTTGTTCCCAATCCGGAAGCCATAGCCGACAATGCTCGTGGTGGACATCTGCTGCCACCACTGCGGAATACTACTAGTACAGAATATGACATGCTAGGCTCTCATGGCGCATCAAAGGCCTTCTATCCCCCATCATTGGATCTCTCCCGCTATCTGGAACCAACGCACAGAAGTTCTCTCGCGGGAGGAGTTCTCCTCCTGCCCAGGGTTGAAAATGTCTTCTCTAACTTGAAATAGGCAAGAGAGTTTAGTCTGGGCCCATGCTTCTGGAGATACGGGGAGTATAAATAGGTGGAATCTTCCAGCTTCTGTTACAAGTTCTCAAATTCCCTGTTCCTTCAACACCATCCTGTCTTCAAAATGCCTGCCCATCCCTTAGACACCCTCTCTATCGAGGAAACCCACAGAGCCCGGGACCTTGTGGCCAGCCTTCACCCGGACACTGTCCTCAGCTTTCGTGAGATCTACTTGGAAGAGCCGTCAAAGGAAGAATTGATTCAATTCTTGACTGCTGAGCACGCCGGCAAAAATGCCGCTCACCCTCATCGGACTGCCCTGGTGCAATACGACGTCATCGGATCGGACAGAATACCTCAATACCATGAGTCCGTCATTGACCTAGACGAGGAGAAGAGAATCTCACATGTTGTGCTTGATGAATCCCAACATGCAGGCTTAACACTGTATATTGGACTCCCTATCAAGGGTCACAGATGACTAACACGGGTACAGGTCGGAGTTCGACACCCTCGTGGACGTCTGCAAAGCCTCTCAGATGTTCAAGGACATATGTGCTGAGATTGAACTTCCCGAAGGCTTCGAAGTGATTGTTGAACCGTGGCCTTATGGTGGTCCTTTCCCGGACGAGGAAAACCGACGTTATTTTCAGGGGCTATGTTTCGCTCGCGATACGCGGTCCGGAAACGCTGACTCAAATTTCTATGCCTATCCCTTACCTTTCATCCCCGTGATGGATGCTCACAAGAGAGAGATCATTCGCGTTGACCGGCTCGCGACAGGAGGCAAGGGTGATTCCCTTGACGCAAAGACACACTCCAAGAAGATTATCGACCACTGCAAGGCTTCGGAATACGTCCCGGAACTGTTGAAAAATGGTCCCAGAAAGAACCTAAAACCTTTGAATGTGTTGCAGCCTGAGGGTCCATCATTCTCAGTGGACGGGAGCCTTATTGAGTGGCAGAATTGGAGATTCAGGGTCGGCTTCAACCCTCGTGAAGGTCAGTGTTTTCTGACGAGACCCGTGACATGCCCCAGCTTCTGAAAGCTGATTGCCGAACATTGAATCTGACGAAAATCACCAGGCGCGGTTATACACGACGTGCACTTTGCTGGCAGGAGTGTAATATACCGACTGAGCATCAGCGAGATGACAGTCCCCTATGCGGATCCTCGAGGCCCATTCCCCAGAAAGCAGGCTTTTGATTTCGGAGACGGTGGAGCAGGAAACTGCGCCAACAATCTTTCCTTGGGCTGCGATTGTCTCGGGGTCATCAAGTATTTCGATGCCGTCACCATTGGCCCAGATGGCGCCGCAAAGGTGGCACCCAACGTGGTTTGCCTCCACGAACAGGACAACGGCATCGGCTGGAAGCATACGAACTGGCGGACCGGACGAGCCGTCGTGACAAGGAACCGCGAGCTGGTGGTTCAGTTCATCATCACCCTCGCCAACTACGAATACATCTTCGCCTACAAGTTTGATCAAGCCGGTGGGATTACCGTTGAGACTCGAGCGACTGGCATCGTCTCTGTCGTCAACATTGACCCTGGCAAGACCAGCGCGTACGGAAACGTCGTCTCTCCGGGAGCCCTGGCGCAGAACCACCAGCACGTGTTTTGTATACGGATCGACCCTGCAGTCGACGGGTACAAGAATACAGTGCTGACCGAAGAATCGCATCGTGCGCCTGTTAATAAAGAGACAAACCCGTACGGCAACTTCTATGAAGTTCGACAGGCGGTCCTCGAACGAAGCCAGCATCTTGATGCCGCACCTCAACACAACCGCATCATTAAAATAGTCAACAAAAGCAGGACCAACCCAATCAGCGGAAAACCCGTGGGTTACAAATTCTCTCCGGCACCCACGCAACTGCTGCTTGCCGACCCAGAGTCGATCCAATCAAAACGAGCACTGTTCGCTCAGCATCACGTATGGGTGACCAAACACCTCGACGGCGAATTCTACGCCGGCGGTCGATACACTTTGCAGAGCCGAAACGAGATCGGCGGCGTAGCAGACGCCATCAAACGAAACGAGAAGATTGATGATGAGGACGTTGTCGTCTGGAACGTGTTTGGACTGACGCATAATCCGCGGGTGGAAGATTGGCCTGTCATGTAAGTCTTTCCGAGTGCCGTCGCCAAAGGCCAAGATCTATCGCTGACGGGGATGCAGGCCTGTTGAGATTCATCAACTGCAGATCAAGCCCACCGACTTCTTTACAGAAAATCCGGCTATCGATGTGCCGTCGACAAAGAACGAGGCCTCACTCCTTACCAATGGTGCGACAAATGGCACTACCAACGGGACCAGCTGCTGCAAGTGAGCAGGATCTTGGACCTTTTGGCAGATATATCTTGTCGGGCAGCCCCGGCCCTGACAACTGCCCCTCCCCTGAGGGGACTCGTCCCGAGGAGTATGCCTAGGGCAACGAGGTTTTTGTCAGGATTGAACCCTCACCTCACATACGTAGTACGCCCGTCGCATATACGCCTTACGCCTGCTACCACTGTACGTTGAGATTTCAGAGTACGCCCTGGCAAACATCCCAGATAGTCGCTCGCTGGCTTGGGCCGGGAGATTCGCGCGCGGCATAGGCATATAGAAGGTACTGTACTCGGTACATCTGAATACTCGAAATAAAAATGATGCGGTCGCCACGGTGTAGCCTAACTGTATGAGCAAATTTCCATATTCTTTTTATAGAGGATGGAGCCCAGCCTCTTGACGTTGATTGCTTAGGTGTCAAGCCAAAAAGAAAGCAAACTTCACGCTGCTTGGATGCAACTGGTCACTAGACCATTTGTGGCGCCTAGCTAAGCAGTAAAGAGACGCCGCCTTGAACAAAGTCCATCCCCCACCAAACTGCGGCTGAACTGCATGCAACAAAGTCTCGATTTCACTCGGACCACCCTCTACCCTCCACCCGCGCTCTCGCCGTCCTACTAGTCAGTCAATCTACTGGTCGAAACGCTCGGATCAAGCACACGAGCCTCTTTTCAGTATCGAAACTCTATCGATTTGAGCCACTATGGGAATCGTCCCATACCCTAAGTTGGGGGCCCAAGCCTTCCGAGGCCAAACTCCCGCCACCACAGTCCTTGTTTCCTCTCTCTTTTTCTTTCAACCCATGGCTTTTCGATGACCCGGGCAGACAATGTCTCTAGAGGCAGTGCAATGGAGAAATCCAATCTATCGCCCACCTCGGATGCTGGACAACCGCCCTTGACCTGGAGCGACACCATTACGCCATCTCCCATTGATCGCACGTACTCGCGCCCCAAACGACTACGAGAGCCATGGCGACATTCGGTTTCGAGACAGGCAAGCGAGACAATCTCGCACACCGTCAGGGAATTCAAACCGGACCGCCAACGCCGTAGACTGTTCGCCAAGGGTATATTCCAGTGGTTGATCACTTTGGTGCTTTCTGGTCTGCTGGCCGCATGTTTGGGCGCTTTTGGACAACTACTGTGGATGAGCGTGACCCAGATGAAAGCTTTCAACGCACTCATCGTGTTGCTGTCCGTCTTTCTCGGCAATAACCTTACAAGTTCGCTCCGAGAATATGCGCTTATGCTGAGATGGAGGATGTTGGCGGCCAGATACCGACCGCTTGATGAGTTTAATCTGTTGATGCACTGCGACAGTCTGCGGAATGTGTTGAAGTTGTTTTGGGTGGCAAGGACCCAAGGACGAGCCTGGTTCTATCTCAACAAGACGCAATGGCTTTGTGCTATTTGGCTTGGGGTTAATATCTTGCTTCAAGTTCTCGTGGCCCTGCTCGGGTTGACCTACAATCTCAACACTTCGTCGATCCCGGGGGTGAAGTTTGGTCCTGTCAGTGTTGCAAACTTGACTCTCATCCGCGACGTATGGGGTGCAGATAATCCGACGTTCGACGCTCAGTTAGGGTCTGCCAATTCGTACGGCATCCAGGGTCAGGATTACCTATTTGTCAACACCACTCCTATCGGCCAAGGGAAAGTGCCACAGTACGGTACACCAGGCACGCCAACGATATACGCGAACCATAACTGGACAGAGATGACCTATGTCTTCCAAGATGTAGACGTCCAAAATTCAGCTCTCAGCTTGATCTCGCATCGAAACATCACTACGAGTGCCACTTGCGAATCCCTCCAAGTGCTTGACGGAGGAGACGGCACCAACAGCTATATCACCTACCTGGACAAGAATGGCCAACGAAATACCTTGGATGTTGTCCATGTCGGGCCCGGCGCGACAACATACGTTGGCGTTCTCAACTCGACCTGTGGGCCTCGGTGTACCCAAGTGATGGCTTTGCAGAGCGCCAACAATGACACGATTCCCAACCCGTCCTTCTATCAATGCCAAAACACAATCTCACCTGTGAATGGCATCGAACGGTACCTCTTCGACGGTCAGACGGCAGACTTGTTCCAGATGCCAGACACTCAAGCCCGCATCATTGCCGGGGCCATCGGCTGGACCGGGTTCGACTATGTACCAGGCGATTTGTACCAATACGTCCGCTACGTGACGGAGTCGTGGTGGAGTCCCAACACTCCGGCTGACGTCGGTGTGATTTCTCGTCGGATCATGGAGTTCAGCATCGAAGCGGTCGCGGCGATCGATTACAACGGGCCCCGCCACACTGTCCAGGGCCAGCATGCCGTTCCTGCACAGGTGGTAAAGGTGCTGTGGCGTTGGTCGGCGACGATCTTGGGTATCATTCCCGCAGTACAATTGTTAGCTCTGGTTTGTGTGATTGCTTGGGGCAATTCGGCCATCATCCGCGACGAAAGCTGTCTGAGTACTGCGCGCCTTCTGCGGCCGGTAGTCGAGAAACTCGGCGACAGGGGCTGCTTGCTCACAGGACAAGAGATTGCAGAGGAATTTGCCCACGTCAAAGTCAAGTATGGGTGGCGGGAGCCCCTACCGGACTTCACTTTCAGGAACCAGATCGATCCGCAGATCGTTCGGCATGTGGACGTCCTGGACGAGAGCGAAGGCTTGGGAAGTCAAGGACCCATGCCCCCGGGTTTATATGACGGAGTATATGACAACGAGTGTGATGACATGACGAGGCTATTACACCAGCGGCGTGGAAAGAGAAGAGTGAGTATATGAATGTAAAAGGTATCTCTTGAAGACCATTTGGACGTACTGTACACGTAATTATATCGCATACATACCACATAATATATTCTGTCTGTGTTATAGACTGTGAAACTGAGGCTTGATACACGCATGGCGTGCACCACCGCCGGGTCCGGGTCCGATCTGACTTTCGATTCCGGGACTTCTTTCTCCCTGCTTGTCCTACAATGTCTTCGATCACTGTATCTGCCTCGGCTTCCCTTCCGAGCCTTGTAGATCCGTAGGATCGGCGGAGAGTATAACAATGCCCAGTGAAGAGCAGACAATCCTACGAGTATCGATCGAACCGGTACCGACTGAGCTTGCAAATGATCGTCGGGTTTACTGTACTCCAGGCTGCGACCCTGGTCATAAGCCAGGAGAAGCATTGAAGTCACCACTATATGAAACCCCGCAGCCATGAAGAACTGCTTTCCTAGATGCGTGTGAACAGCTACATGTTGGCGTCGTTATAGCGAGTGAATCCCCGTCTAATACCGAGGCGAAACCAAGAACAATGTCTAAGTGACTTCCATAATTGATACGATGTATGTAACCGACAGCCGTCGAATGCAAGAGCAATAGAGTATCCGTCAGGGCAACCACTATTTGCCCAAAACCAACCCATCCCCACATAAGGGATCAAACCCATACAGGGACAAGCGTCCCTTCAGACCCTGCATAATGCGACCCATCCTGAGATCGGAGGCACTGCTATACCAGTGTCAATAGGTCGCTGAAGCGCAAGAATGAACTAATTGCTGCTTCAAGACTTCTCAATCAGAGACTCAAGTTCAGCTGCAATCTGCTTAAGCTCGGCCTTCAGTTCAGACGCTTTCTCGCTGAGATAGTCCCCAGCAGAAAAACCGTGGTAGACGGTGTACCCGCCATCGTCAAGGATTTCGGAGTAGTTGGACTTGCCACCACCGTTCCAGGCAAGGATGTTGGCAGTGTCGCTAGGGACATCGCTAAGGGCGCCCTGGGTGGCAATAGAGATGATATTGGCCTTCAGTTGCTTAGGAGTGATATCGGCTACAGCAAAGGCCGAGTCACTGGCAGGCTGAAGAGACAAGAAGTAGGCGAGAAGACCGCAAATGTGAGGAGAGGCCATTGAGGTACCGGATATGGTGTTGGTGGCATACTTGCTGCCGATCCAGGTGGAGAGTACGTTGAGGCCGGGGGCGAAGATGTCGTTGCAGGTGCCGTAGTTGGAGAAATAGGCTCGCTCATCGGCCAAGGTGGAAGCCCCGACAGTGATGGCTTTCTCAGCAGCGGCAGGAGAGTAGTTGCAGGAGTCTGCGTTGTCATTGCCAGCAGCCACAGCAAAATGAAGACCGGCATCGACAGCTGCGTTGACCGCAAGGTCAAGCACTCTAGACTTGCCACCACCCAAGCTCATGTTGGCAACGCTGCCCTTGAAACCCTTCTTCTTGCCCTTCTTTGCAGCGCTGACTGTTTCGCTGTGAGCAGTTGCGGCCCATTCAACGCCCTTGACGACATCGGACATGGTGCCAGACCCATTGGATCTCAAGACCTTGACTGCGCGAATGTTGGCCTTTTTCGCCACACCGAACTTCTTGCCTGCGATGGTGCCAGAGCAGTGGGTACCATGGCCGTTGCCGTCGACATCTTCATCACCAGCGGGGATGGTCTTGCCCCAGCTGGCGCGACCTTCGAAGTCGACATGATCAGTGTTGGTGCCGGTGTCAATGACGTAGGCGTCGACACCCTCACCACCATCGGCCGAGTAGAGGTACTTGTTGAAGTCTCCGAAGCTCAGGGAATCCCGGTGAGAGATGCGAGCCAACCCCCAGGGTGCATTCTTTTCGAGGGAGGGAGACTTCTTCAGGGTGTGGACTTCTGAGTCACGTTCGATGTAATCGACCTGGGTGACACGTGAGTAAACATGGTCCAGGCAGACAGCGACTATAACGAACACAGGCAAGATACAATGCATAAAAGATATGACTAGATTTGTCTGACTCGAAAGCAGACAATCCAGATGAGATAGGTGCTTATCGGATCGGGCCAAAGGGATGAAATGCAGGGTTACTCACATCTGGGTGCCTGCGGACAAGGTCGATGACATCCTCATCGAAATGACCGGCATAGCCCAAGAAACCACCAGGAATGTTGTATGTATGTCTCAATCCCTCGAAGATGGTATCATCGTCTGACAGTGTGGTCTGGCTTCGTTTCCGTAGCTCTTGCTTATTGCTTTCTCGAGTCCAATGAACGTCCTGGACCCAGTTGTGGTGGACAGCAGCATCTCGCTCGGTTACATGCTTCTTGAAGATGACCATGTACGAATTGGGGATCTCCTTTGCGTTAGAAGAGGAGACGACAGGAGCAGCATTGTTATCGATCGTATCAACAATAATAGGCGATGCTGCCGCCAGTAGGGGAAGGACGAGACCGAGGACCTTCATGGTGACGACAACGGAGGGTCAACACAGATGACAATTCCGCTGGAAAGGTGGAAGCACTGCTCAGATGGTGATAGCAGAGCTGTGGAAGATAACAACAGAGACGAAGACGATGATGATGGGGAGGAGTGAAAGAGAGGGAGAGTGGCTGTTAGATGGGATGGATGGGATGGATGAGATGGGATGAGACAGGACGGAACGCAGGCTGCATCATGTCCTTATCAGCCGTTCGTCCATCTTAGTTCCGATGGCGTGTCAGTAGGTCTCTGTCACAGGCGCCACCCCCAGGCAGCCGCACATGACTATGGCACTATGACTGCTAGTACGACACCGCAACCAGCCCCCTCAGCTGTTTAGGTTGCCCGGGCGCCCACTCCTACATACATACTCCGTATTTGGCCAGCAATGGCCACAATTTGGCCCCCGACTATCGGCCTTCATTGCAGGCGCCCCGTCCGCTCTCGTACAATAAATGACGGAGATAGCAGGACTAGAGAGGTGTCATCTGCAAGCAGCTGTACGTACCAGCATAGCCCAGCTCCGCCTCAGATACGGAGTAGACACCTCATTCACTGCCTTACTCATGCCATTGCCAGCATACTCTGTATGCCCCATACTCTGTATGGAGTATTCAGGGGTAAACAAGCAGACCATTTCAGCAGGTCTCTATCAACTTGATGATGCCGCTAGACTCCAGAACTTCACCGGTACTTCCGTTGCCACACTACAGTTGAACTGTGCCGTGAACACACAGCACACTGCTTCTGGCATTGCTCCATTTAGGACGACAGCTCTGCCGCTTTATTCGGATGTCATGTGATATGTCTTGGCATTAACCCGAGCTGCCGAGGGTCAACTACTCCGTAGTTCGTATTCAGTGAGGTTGCAGAGCACACCGAGACTGATATTAGTCCCACGTTACATATGTAATGGTCTGCACTGAGACTGGTATTGATGCCTGCACCATTACCAGCAACAGCAACGATGCCGAGCGTGACGCCCAAACCGGGAGTCTCTCAGGCATGTCGGCGGCGCTCACTGCTCATAGACTGCACGGCCACAGCTCACCAATCGCCGGTGGCTTAGTCATGCCTCAGTTCAAATGGCGGGATGCTCAGGTCTGGAAATGGAAATGGACTTTAGGAAGGGTCACGATTCAACGCCGAGTATCCGTACAATGACATTTGAGTTAAACACTGCAGTGCTATAACCCTCCACCATGCCAACAAGTGCAAACGATAGATTCTAATGGCATTCTACGGTGTACAAGTCTTACCATTCCTTTGCCTTTAGATCTCGCTACCCTGTTGGCGTTGATAATCTGTATCGCTCCTTTGGACTAAATGCTCTCGGTCCATCGACGACGCCGGACCAATATAGGTTCTTCCAGGCTGACCTGCCCTACTCGCGATCGCGGTCGATGAATATGCCACCACCTTGATCCCTCATTCGAGTCATCCCTGGCCTGCTACGCCCTATGTGGCCAGGTGGAAAGATAGACGTGGGCGTCAAGAGACAAGAGGTGGCCAAAACAATGGGTCTCGCCGTAAACAATCGCCTACGCGCTGTCTCGACGGCAGATGTACTTCGACCGCAAGATAAGGATATCGCGTCACTTGTCAAGAGCCTCGAATCCTTCGACTGGAGTTCGTATGCTACACTGCAGAATAGCCTGGATCAATCGGCCCTCCTACAACAACTGCGACACGTTTTGAAGGATGACAATGATGTTCATGGTGCCAGCAGTGGCTTCAGGCGAGCTGGTGGCTTTCAGGCATTGCTTCGTCTCCTTCGTTCTCTGGTAGATCGTTATTCTGCGCACGAAGACCAGTTGGCCAACATCAAACCCTTCCTCCAGACGTTGGCACAATGGTTTGCTGTTTTGGGTGCAGCATTGGAGGCTCATGATGGGAACCAGAAATATTTCAGGACAAAGGTGGATGACGGAGGCTGGTACTCCCTACGACGCACTCTTGAACATTTTCAGTCTCTTCTCTGGCGTCGAACTGGGGATGGGCTATTCATGGAGCAGTTCTTTGGCATTCTTTTTGCGACTGCGGTTGGGACGGAAATGGTTGACGACATTTACACTTCGTTAGAAAGATCCGGAAGGTCACAGGATGGAAACATCCTGTCAGATGTGGATGTCGATTCTGTGCGTGTCGCAATGTCGAAAGCTGCATCGAATATTGATGATCTGGCGGTACCGGACTTGCTGACCACAATTCTGCGACTCTGGGCTATTGCCGTCAAAGCCGGCAATATCCCTCAACGGGTAATAAGGCTTGCCCTTCCCCTGAGTTTCACCGAAATGCTGTCAATATCACGACAGAATGTCGTTAGTGCCCACACTGCTGGGACTTTTACTGCGATCCTGGACCTGGTTTTTGAGGATCGCCTTTCTACGGTTGAAAGAAATCTCTTCCGAGAGGCTGCTCTTATCCTATGTCAAGAGGGTGTCTCTAATTTAGGTGACGCCCATCTCCTCTTCAACCAGGCCGTTCTGACGCCCGAAGCGGCGTTGTTCCTGCTTGAATCTATCAAATCCTCGCGGCAGCCCCCAAGTATTCAATTCGACTTGTCCCAACAAGGCTATGCTTCCACCGAGCTGGCCACTCTCGGCAGACCGTTTCCCCCTACCGACAGCGCTGGGTATACACTGAGTCTCTGGGCCCGATTCGATTCTTTTGATGGTCAGGCTCACACCACCCTGTTCGGTGCATTTGATCGAAGCCAGACCTGTTTTGTGCTAGCATATCTTGAGAAAGATACGCATCATCTCATCCTTCAAACAGCTATACAGGGAACGAGACCAAGTGTGAGGTTCAAGTCCGTAGGTTTCCAGCCGGACAGATGGTATCATATATGCGTGGTGCACAAAAGACCACGGACGACCTCATCTGCCAAGGCATATCTCTTCGTGAACGGAGACTTCGTCGAACAACAAAAAGCAAACTACCCCGCCATCGCTCCAAATGATCGTGGATCAAGTTTCGCTAACGTCCAGGCATTCTTTGGAACACCTCAGGATCTATCTCCTAATCCAACTGGAGCAACCTGTTCCTCAAGATGGTCGTTGGGGCCCGCGGTGCTTTTCCGAGAAGCGCTGAGTGACGACCTGATAGCCGTTTTTTACCACCTAGGTCCAAAGTATCACGGCAATTTCCAGGACTGTCTTGGCTCCTTCCAAACCTATCAAGCTTCTGCCGCACTGAATCTGCGGAACGAAATGCTCCATCCCGGGAAAGAAGAGCAGTCGGAATTGATTTTGGCAATCAGGCGAAAGGCGAGTAACTTAATCCGGGAAGAGAAGATTTTGGTCAATGTCTCGCCCGCTACTGTCTTGGACAATGACGACCGCAACAACATTGACGAGGCTCAATTGGTGAAGTCACTCTCCAAAGTGGCAGCCAAAAACTTGGTGGCTTATACACGCTCGGGCACAAACGCTGTTGCCATAAATGGTGCAGTGCCTTCGATCAATGATGCATTGACTCAAGCTCGTGGTGTTTTCATGCTCATGGGTGGTCCTACTGTGACAGTCCCACAGTCATTGGATGATGCTAGCTGGCGTCTGGGCGGTTGCGGTGCTGTCGGCCTTGGACTGGTCCAACGAGCTCGAACCACCGACGATATTGCTCTTGCCGTTGACATCTTATTGGAGACTGTACGCTATAGCTGGAGAAACAGCGAAGTCATGGAAAGGGACGGAGGCTACGCTATCCTAGCAATGCTCTTAAAAGACAAACTCGCCATTCCTACTCAAAGTAACGGAGAAGGCAAGGCAGGGGTCGCCATTCCCACTCCTAGACTCGATAGGAACGGTCTAAGTCTTCGAGTTTTCCAATCCATCTTGTCCTTTACCGGATACGACCCCGATGACCCGGTGAACTCTGTGATTAACAATCCTTTGGCCTACAAGGTCTTGATAGCTGACAGTAACATTTGGAGATGCGGGCCACTCTCCGTTCAGCAACTATATTTCGATCAATTCCTGGTCTTTGCTGAGCAGAGTCAGCACAAGCGATTCAACATCAAAAGATTGTCGAGAATGAGAGTGTTGAAGCGGCTCATGGAAGCATTAAAGTCGGAGCCTGTGGCTAAAGCCATCATGCCAATGTATATGGCTGCATTCAAAGTCCTCCTGCCTCAATCTCTGTCGGCAGAAACATTACGATCGCTGGCTCTATTTGTGACGTTCTCAGTGAACAAACGCAATATGGGCTTGCAGGTTCGGAAACCTACGCGCAGAGAAGCCCGTCAGAGAAGCTCATCGACCGGATCTTCCCAAGGCGGGAAAGACGAATCAATGTCGACATTGTCACATTTCGAGATCGGAGTTGAAGTTCTTCGTCTCTATTCAGAGCTATTGTGTCGACCTGGTGACGATAGCATGATCAAGAAATTTGCGAAAACAGTGACCAACAAATGGTTGCTCTACCTGCTGTCAGAGACTTCCCCGGAGGTTGTAGTGCTTTCGGTGAGAATACTAGCCAGGTTACTAGTCGTCCACGGCGAGGCATATGTCAAAAAGTTCAAAGATGGCTCGAAGACATCTGGCTTCACAATCATGGCACATCGTATGAAGAGATGGTGGCATATCCCTGCTGTATGGCCTGCCTGCTTCGCAATTCTGTTTGGCTTGGACGTGGGGAACCTAGACCTTGACCGGAACTTTGATTTGTTCGGCTTCATCGACCTCTTTACTACCAAGAAAGATCTTTCTGTGGTGTATCCTGAAATCTTCGAGGTCATCACGAGCATGCTCCAGAGCGGCTTGAAGACAACAGTCTCTTCGAAGAGGTACGCAACTGCCTCAACATTAGCACCGCCATTGGAAGGTTTGAATCAGCCCCCTGAGAGACTCTCCATGTCGACGATGGCACCACCGAATCCACTCCTGACAATCGTGACAAGCCATCACGTGGATACATTTAACACAGTTGTCCAATTCCTGGCAGATCTTCAAACAAGATCCCAGATCTTTCGGGATTATGCCGCAGCATCCTCCTATGTTCAAGATCTCCTGGCTGTCCTGTTTCCTGTGGTGGTCGGCTCTGACGTGGTTGAGGCTAAAACCGAATTGGACGCTCGGGATGCAATGCTCACGTTTGACGGAGGGGATGTTGTGATTCATCCGCTCTCAGTGGCGCCACCCATGATCCGGATGGCTGATGCTGAACCGCCGTCTGCCGTGACTCGTGGCAAAACGCTTCGAAGAGGATCATCCTTCGTTTTGGTGACGAGGGAGCATGCTCATCAGAGCAGTGGTAGCACTCGAGGATCTGAAGCTGCGGGTTCCAACTCTGCGGTCGGGAACACCCTCGAGCTCAATGAAGGCCATTCAATCGTGCAAAGCTTGCTTGAAATCGTCATCTCCGTTTTTATGGATCAGATTCTGGCCAGGAAAGAATTTCCTGGCTTAGGTCTTTTTCTGAAAACCCCGCCAGGGTTTATCGAACATCAATCTTACTTTGAGACTTGGATCCTAAGGAACACGGTATCCCAGCTCTCCAACCAGATAGCACTAGACCAGAAGGTATTGGTTGAACCACGGATTTTGATCAATCTGGCTCGCTTGTTCAGCCATCTCGAAGAAGCCCTCTTCGAAGGATGGTTCATTGGTGGTGCAGATGCTGTCCTTGACTTGGCAGGATCCGTTTTGGAATATCTTCAGCGCCCTGACATCGCCAAACTGAAGGCCGTGCGGCTCTGTGCGCAAACTATCGCCGTCATTCGCGCAGTCGTTTTCCGCGTTGTTCTCTTTAGTTTATCTTCAATCCATGATGAAGAGTCGTTGCCATTCCTTGAGAAGCTGACCTACTGGCAGACAGTCCTGCTGTCCGCTGAAGAAACTCAGTCAAACTACTTGCAGCTTGTCTGCTATCTGCTCTACGCCAGCCTCGTCTCGTCGACAGAGACTGTACGACATTCCGCAGCGAACCTGTGGAGGATCATTCTGGTTCAGAGGCCTGATGAGGCTGCCGCAATACATGGGCAGGCAAATACTACAGAGCAGAAGGGCTTAACCGCTAGCTTTCAAAAGCTGGTCGAGCTTGACAATGAGACCTTTCTCTACTGGATGGACCAGCATCGAACCGAACTGGATTCTCTATTTGTCGATACATTGTCAAAACAGTGGGACATTTTTGTCGCTGCCGAAAACAAAAGGACCGAAGAAAATGGACGCCTGAGGATCTCGCGCCGAAGAGAAAAGCTGAGGCAATGGGCGAGAGAAGAGGCCGATCGTGAGGACCTCATCCGCCGTCATGAGTTGGCATCTGAAAACTGGACGGCAAATATATACTCTTCAGAGTATCTGAAACACCAGAGGCTGCTTCAAGATCAGCAGGATGACCTTGTCTATACTGAATCAAGCTTCAACCGGATGCAGAGGGATACCAGCAGACCTGGTGGACTCTTCCAGTATGACAAAATCCGGAAATGGCGGCTAGATCAGACGGAGGGAAGGAATCGGATGCGCATGAGACTTCACGAGGACTACAGCAAAGCAGATGATGAGCAACAACCCAAGAGAAAAGGATCTGATATGCCACAACTCCGCCTTGATACTAGGAGTGTCAAAATCTCATCAGCCGAGTCCATAGGCGCCACTCCAGGCGGCGCCAGCACCCCTATCATTGACAGCCCGAAGCGCTTGGATAGCGGCACCGAGCCGTTCCCTGAGATCCAGGAGAATATAGCCGAAGGCCAAGATAAAAGTGATGGGAAGGATGTAGGAGATCACGATGAAGTGGAAGCTGACGACAGTTTCGAGATGGTTGAGGACCCCAACGCGGAATTGGACGAGTTCGAGGACAAGAACAGGAAAGTGATGCGGAGCCTTCATCGCGGAGATCAGGTCAAACACGTTGCCAACATATCCCGGATTCTCGGGCTTGAGGCTGTGGAAGGGCTTCTCATACTCGGCAAGGATTACATCTATATCCTCGACAATTTCTTCCAGCGCGCAGATGGCGAAATTATCAATGTTTGGCAAGCTCCACAGGACGAACGCGACCCGTACGTGCGCATGATATCAGGCCGCGATGTCACCGACCGAAAGCACATATCACGGAACGAGGAACATGGAACTCGAAGCTGGAAATGGATGGACATTATCAGCGTTTCCAAACGTCGGTTTCTTTTCCGCGATGTGGCCATTGAGATGTTCTTCAGTGACGGCAGAAGCTACTTGTTAACGGTCGTATCACCCGATGCTCGCAATGAGTTGCACAGCCTTATCACCGCAAAAGCTCCTTCGCCCAGTGCCCTGAGCACCACACAGCCGGAAACGGCCTGGCGTTACGAAACCTTGAAAAGCGTCGATGACGAGCCACAAACGTTTGGCTCGAAATTTGCCAATGTCTTCGGTCAACAATCAAGTTCCTTTGCCGCTACTCGAAAATGGCAAAAGGGAGAAATGTCGAATTTCCATTACCTGATGCTGATTAACACAATGGCGGGAAGAACATACAACGACTTGACTCAATATCCTGTGTTTCCTTGGGTCATTGCAGACTATACTAGTGACGAGCTCGACCTCACCGATCCAAGAAGCTTCCGCGACCTATCTAAACCCATGGGCTGCCAAAACCTTGAACGCGAAAGGGAATTTCGAGAACGATACTCCACATTTGCCGAGATGGGGGATAACAACACCCCTGCTTTCCATTATGGCACACACTATTCGTCGGCCATGATTGTGACGTCCTACCTTATCCGCCTACAGCCCTTTGTCAAGTCGTATCTTCTGCTGCAGGGTGGCACATTCGATCATCCAGATCGCATGTTTTTCTCCATTGAAGGTGCCTGGAAGTCAGCATCTCGCATGAACATGACCGATGTGCGAGAGCTGACGCCCGAGTTCTACTATCTCCCGGAATTCTTGGTCAATGTCAACGACTTCGACTTTGGAACCAGACAGAACTCTTCCAAGTCGATCGGCAATGTGGAGCTTCCTCCTTGGGCAAAGGGCGATCCACGGATTTTCATAGCGAAACAGCGCGAGGCGCTTGAGAGCCCTCATGTTAGCCGGAATCTGCACAGATGGATCGACCTAATCTTCGGAAGCAAACAAAAGGGAGAAGCGGCGGTGGAAGCAGTCAACGTGTTTCACTATCTTTCATACCAAGGGGCGAAAGATGTCGACAAGATCACCGACCCTTTGGAACGACTGGCCACGATTGGAATCATCCACAACTTCGGCCAGACGCCATATCAGGTTTTTACGAAGCCTCATCCTGCGCGAGAACAGGTACGACACCGGTATAAGCGTCTCGACACCGCCGCCGAGTCGTTGACCCGAGTGCCTTCTACTCTCTTGGAGACTGGGGAGCGTGTGGCGTCGTTGAGCTTCTCATGGAAGGCCGACAAATTGCTATGCTCTGGCGCTTTCCGACTCAACATTCCACCAGCCTACGAGATGTATATGGAATGGGGGTTTTCTGACAATAGTGTCCGGTTCTACTCGACGGATAGCCGGAAACAACTAGGGCTATTCGAGCATTTGCACATTGGACAGTTGTCCTGTGCACTGTTCACAGATTCGAAGACGCTGATAACAGCAGGGACGGATTGCACCATCGCAGTCTGGACGGTTGTCGAGAGCGCCAAATCAGTCGACCTACAACCACGAGCGACGCTTTTTGGACATCGCCAACCGGTGACCGTTCTGGCGCTGTCGAGGTCTTTCAATGCCTTGCTTTCGGCATCGACCGATGGGCAGGTGATGCTCTGGGACCTTAACAGGTGCGAATTCATTCGTAAGCTCGACGACGAGTTGTCCGTGAACTGTGCAGCGATCAACGACGTCACGGGCAACATCGTCCTCTGTCATGGTCACGAAATCAGTCTGTACACCTTGAACGGCGATCGGCTGTTGCGGCAGGAGTCGGGAGATCGGTTGCAGGAGAGCATCATTTCATGCGCATGTTATGAAGGGGCGGGAAGTGAGTGGCTTGAGCGAGACCTCGTCTTCACAGGCCACAAGAGGGGCCAGGTCCGAATCTGGAGTAAAGTAATCCGCGACGGACGGTTTGAACTGGACCTTATTCGTCAGCTGAACCATGCAGACATCAGTCGAGATGACGGAGCCAATGTTAGCGCCGGGATCAGTTGCATTCTAGCGATGCCCCAGGTGGTGTATACGGGGGATGAAGACGGAAGAGTGGTAAGCCTCTCTTTTGCTCCTCCATACAGGTAAGTCCCAGCTAACCGTGGCTGCAGTACGAATGGAACTGTGTCCAGAGGCACTAGAAGTCACAGGGTGGAAATGCGTCCTTGAGAAAGGCACACCAAGACCGGCGTTGATTTGAATGCATAGCGAGGCGTAAGATGGATGAGTGCGGGCGCGAGATGGCTATCTCAAGAAAATTGCAGCGTTGATTGGGGATAGACTTTGGGGCGTTGAATCTCGACGGACGGCAAACGATGCTGCCAAAGACAGTGGGAGCCATTCGAATAAGAAAACAATCACATGCATTGTCCGTGCCAGAAGCTCTAGTTGTCGTTCTTAATGGAGGAGAGTTTCTGTCCTGCTGCAGGCAGGGATCCGAAGGTGCAGACGCGCCAATGCAGCTCGCCAGGATGAACAAGTCCCAGGCGAGCTGAGGCTGCCAGCAAGGCGTCGGCACGCCGCGTCAGTATGTCGGCGGTGTAGTCTTTAGCCCATCTCATCCCGTCAGTTGGGTAGTTGTGACTGCGAGGTTCAGGCCACAGGCTCCGGCAGCTGGAGCCAGGACGAATGGCAGCAGAGATCAACGTGCGTTGGTCAGGCATGAGGGTGAGACGGGACCAATCGAGCTGATACACGCTGGTTCTCGGCGGGAGCATGGCAGGGTGCCAACAAGGCGTGTCTGTCTGTACATGGGTACATGGGAGCTCCGCAGGCGTAGGCCGAATGGAATGGCGGGGGGAGGGTGGTGAAAGGAGCCGCTCAGCGTGCGAGATATCCGTCCTTCCTCTGGTATATGGCATATGGCATATGGCATAATTAATCCAGCATCCATCATCACCAGTCTTGCCTCTGCCTCCCGATGAAATGTGATTGACATCAAATCTAGAGAGAGCCGAGCTGGGCCGCGTCCGTAGCAACTTCCCGTAACTGCATCCGGCTGGCGTGTTGCAGCGGCGCCCCAATTGCCCGGCCAACTGGCGAAGGTGTTTGTGGTGGTTTTGCTTTGTTTGTACGGGATGCACCGGCGGCTGCTCTGACTGGCCCGTGCTGGTGTCTCGCTGCCCCCGACCAGCCTCCACTCTCCGACCCTGCGCCCTGGCCTCTGTCCTACTTCTACCTGCTCGTGGCCCCTGCGCTGCGTCTCCCTTCCTCTTCCTTCTCTTTCTCTTCTGCATACATACCTCCAGACTCAGGACCGACGACTTTGGCATTTGTTCTGTTGTTGTTGCTTGTTCCAAGTCTTACCCAGCTAGCGTGCATTGTGCCTATTCTTCTTCCACCCACCCTCCTCACCATCCCTCCTCCGAAACCCTTCCCCCTAAAGTCTTGACTCTCGACTGCCGAAAGGTACTAGAGAGTTGAGGCGCCCATAAACAGGCAATCTGGACTTTGACGCCCGGCTTCCCATCCCAATCAGTGTCTTCCCGTCTACGTACAGGAGTGACGCTTCTTCTGAAGAGACTACCGTTACCAAGGTAGAAGGGGAAGTCCAACTACCCACCACCTCCTCACGCGTCGGACGGGAAGATACTCGATTCTCCAAGGAAGAAGTCGATATCACCTACAAAGACCGCCGACCACACGCCGACCAGTACAGCAGAGAAGACGTCCGCATCTACGAAGAGCGTGACCGAGCCCACGACTCCAGATACCCAGAGGTCGAGCTTACACGTGAAAAGTAGGTGGCCAATGCGAGAGATATACCCCATGCTGCATCCCCAGATTGCTCCGTGCTCAGGTGCCCAATGTGTGGCACCCACCTAGCTGACGCATTGACTCCCGTCCCGCACCCGTTGTAACTGACATATTCTTTCTCCACAGGTACCGTGCACCCGCTGAGTACAGGTCGGCCAACGTTGACATTGATATCGACCGCCGAGACACCAGAGACCACGTGGACATTGACTACGACCGACGTCAAACCTACGACAAGAGCTACGAATCGCAACTAGACATTACCGAACGAGACTACCGCCGACGCGTCTCCCCCACCTACGACGCTGAGTACGAACGTCGTCGTCCAGAAGCAGAGGTTACCATCCAGAAGGAACAGATCAAAGTCGATCAACCGATCAGAAGAGACATGGGCTACTACGACGACGAGGGCAACTACCACAGCTTCCGCCGTGGAGTGGAGCGGGCTGCGGATCACATCCTCCATCCTTTCTCCCATCACCACGATCGTGCACGGGATGAGGTGGTCATCAGCGAGCGAGAGACTACAGGCCCAACCCGCGTACAGGATGGCAGAGTTGAACAAATCCGCTACGTCGAGCCTCGCTTTGGCCAACGTGGAGTCCCTATCCAATGCCACTTTATCCGCATTGGTGACATTCTTTTGCTTCAGGGACGGCCTTCCCAGGTCATTCGTATCAGCACGTCTTCCCAGACCGGTCAATACAGGTACTTGGGTGTGGATCTGTTCACACGTCAGCTGCATGAGGAAAGCTCTTTCGTGAGCAACCCACAGCCCAGTGTGATCGTACAGACCATGCTCGGCCCGGTCTTCAAGCAATACCGTGTCTTGGACATCCATGACGACGGCTCGATCGTCTGCATGACTGAGACCGGAGACGTCAAGCATGGCTTGTCTGTTGTCGACCAGGGCGGTCTCTTCAAGAGAATTGAGCGGGCCTTTTCCGATGGTCGCGGCAGTGTGCGTGTCTTGGTCATAAACGATGGTGGTCGCGAGTTGATTGTTGATCTGAAGATCATCCATGGTTCGAGATTGTAAATGTTGCTAGGAGGTTGGAGATTCTCACATATGGAATTTGTGAATAATGGGAGGAGAAGAAACATGGAGCGATGGTGGCTAGCCGGCGGGAGAGGAATTTCTTGATGGCCGATACATGTTGGCTATTAGAGTAGCTTAGGTCCTAGGAGGACAAGATGTTGTAGGTGTTCAATGGGACCTTTATATCGAGGAAAGTACGGAGCGTACCGGACACACTGTCGTTTCATTCATCTTATTAGTCCTCCCCCAGTGAAGATGGCGAATAAGGGGGGTGTTTTCCTGCAGATGCACACCCGCGAAGTAGATAGACATACAGTCAACACAAACCAACGGGGTCGACATGAAATTCGATCCTTGTAAAGCCGAAACCCTCCTGATCCCAACTAACGTGCTATATTTTTATTCTCTGTCCGGCCGTATATTAAGACCGCTGTACAAGTATAATAAGAACGAGGACCTGCAGTCTCGGTCGCAATCTGTACACCCATTTGCACTTCCACCGGATGTGATGACCCGCGAATCCGGTACGCCGGGCCTAGGCCCCCAAGATGAGATGGCCCACAACAGTGACGGCGACACCGCTACTGCCGCTATGACTGTGACTGCTCAACCTGCACCGGATCGATCCACTTCAGAATCCGCCTTCCTTCGCAGTCAATATCTGCTGTCAAGGTACGTACAGTCTCTCCTGAGTCAATGACATATCACCGGTGATGGGGGTTCCAAGTAGCGGCTCGAATACCGCCAATGTTGATAGGCTGTCATATCACCGGTGATGGGGGTTCCAAGTAGCGACTCGAATACCGCCAATGTTGATAGGCTGTCATATCACCGGCGAGAGGCTCCCAAGCACCTTTTATAGTCGGAGTCGGTCGCTTAACTGGTCGTCTCGTTGTCTGTCAACCTTCCGTTCGCAAGGTCCCGGGTAGCTAATAATTGGACGTTGGTGATACGACAAAGAGAGACCATATCATGAATCTGGAGCAGCAGGCTCGAAGACCTTAGAGAAGATCCACCACTCCTAGGAGTAGGAACTTGTCGTTTGGGCCGATCACGTCGAAGTGTTCCGTCTTAGCCATCCAGTTTAGACACTCTAGTGAGGCACCAGGCACAACGTAGGGGGGCCACCCCGATCCCGCTCGAGAAGAGCAGTGCTTCTTGAGTTTTGAGAAGGTTGGGGGATTGTTGCACATCTTTCCGCCTACATTCGCCGTAGATTCGGATGTGAATAGTCCAGGTCTGACAGCTGTGGACCAAAAGTCCTGCATGGCTGTCCTCTCTGCCACTCGAAGGCCGCCAACTTCGCGAAAGATTCCTGCCCATCACGACTTTGGACCCGAATCCATGCTCCCCCCTTTCAAACTCACAGCCATATCAATCCGAGGAGCACAGCTAGAGCGGTAGTGACATACCCGTATCGATTGGTCGACAATTCGCTCGAGGCGGACGTTGAATCGTCTTGCAACGAAGTCGTGGTGAATATCAAATCACTTGAGATTTGACTAGAATTAAAACAGTTGCTGGCGTTAACCTCCGGCACATCCTCAGGTTCCGCAAAGGTGATATCGGCACAGTTGTAGAGAGCGGCTCCGTGGACAGCTGTCTCGATGACTTGGATTGTCGCGTTGTCTCCAGCTTTGACTGAGACATTGGCAGGGAGAGGGACTTGAGGCAGACAGAATGTACCAGGGTAAGGGTCTTTCGTGGGTCCGATAAGTTGGATCCCACTAACCATTACGAGTGACATGTTGGCTGGAATGGTCCCTAGACCTAGGTTGATATAGATGAACGCCGTTCCGTGGCCCGGGAACCAGCCTGGCTGGAACGCGATAGCACCTCCTTTCACGGGCCACTTGGTGCGGTTTTGCGAGGTTGGCATTCCTCCGCCTGCAACAGAGACGTTAGTTCGAGTATAGACGATTTCAACCCCGAATGAGCCGGACAACACGTACAAGGATACATCCACTGCATTCCATATGGCCAGAGGTAGTCATCGCCTTCAGCATAAGTCCCTAGACCGTTTCCCTGTTCGACTGTGCCATTGGAGTGTAGGTTGTCCCCTCTCCAGCCAGGATATGTGATGACCGTATGTGCGGACACGAGGCTGAGGAAGGAAAGGAGAGCGACGAAGACTGATGTCGGCGGCATGTCAATTGTTCGTTTGTGAGGTCAGACAAGGTGTCGGTGTCGGTGTCTGCAGGATCGTCTATGTTTCACACCTCGCGGAGGAGAGTGCTCAGTCGAGGAGTCTTGGATGAGGAAGAGAACACGGAAGGCCCTTTTTCGGAGGATTGCCAATGCCTGCGGTGTTGAATCAAATAGTACTCGGGACACTCTATCACTCTACCATGCCTGATCGACGGGTTCGCAGAGGGGAAGGACAAGAACAACGAGCTGCGGCCATCGGACATAACATATTATTTAGACTGGAGCGGTGGTCCCTGGACAGACGAATAATAAGCGTGCGTACTGTTCACACTGCATGGGAAGGCCACACGGCCAACCGCCCGTAGAAAGCTGGGAGGAGACGCCGTGACTGGAATGGCATGATGATGGAGGTGGAGGGCAGTAGAAAGATGGCCTGTGAGTGGTGCATGCAGGACCCAAAGGTCGAGTGGCACACCACGAGCGAATGCGAAGAGACGGAAGCAGGGTCTGTCACCTTAGGCACAAGCACAGAAGGTGGTCAGCTTGTGATGGCACATTTGATTCGAGATGGAAGAATCGGCGGTCGGATTGTCGATTGTCTGCAGTGGCTGGTTGAACTTGAACTTGTCCCTGAGCCTGCGCCGTGACCGTGACCATGCCGTCTGATTGGGCGCAGGCGGCTGATAGAGACATCTCTAAGCGCTGACACCAGCAGGGATGGATTTGTTCAACTTCGTCTGTCGGTACACTATTCGTTCGGCCTTCGTGCTGCCCCTCCCAAGTCAGACCCGAGCCCCAGAACAGGCCTTAGGAGCCCTAGTCGCTGTTGCTGATGTACCCGCCTGTCGTCAACTAGCCCTAGCCCTTTAATATCAATCAACGAACGGCGGCCGGGCTGGCCAACGGAAGATCCGCAATGCCGTTTTCACACCTCGTCCCTCATCTTTCACAACACCAGAGCGCTTTCAAAATTGATATCCAAGACAGGGGCTGGGCAGTCACAACACTCTGATGAATGTGTCAACAGATACGGAGACGGAGACGGACACATTGGACGTTTTGCTCATGTGTACGGCCGTCTGGACCTTCATCCCGTTCTCCTCGTAGTCGTTGTCGTCAGCTCACATATCCCCTTTTCCACACCCCTCCATACGGTACACGGCGCAATTACGACTCAACTTCCGGTCTAGGATTGCTCGATTGGGTTATACCGTAACCTGTGACTCAAGTTCGGCCTCCCGCTGTGAAACAGACATACCCTTCCACGAGACTGCCCAATTCTGGGGACGGCTCGCCATACGCTAGTTTCTTCCTGTATTTCATTATTCTCTGAGATGGGTTTGGGTTGGCTGATGCCCTCTATACTCATCGAATCGTGATGTCGGCTTGTGAAGAGGAGGGAGTGGGTTGAGAATGATATGTGTGGCATCTAGAAGGTGACGCAAGATGGTATCCGTACCCTCCCTACCCATTGGATCTACCCATTGGATGTTGTCTTATGTGGGAAACTCCTGGGATGTCAGTGAGAGAAGTACACCATGCTTTCAGACTTGACGACAGATGCCCACCGCGAGCTTAAAGGCGACTGTCGCACCTGTCGGGGACAAATGTGCCAACATTTAACATTTGCTACAAGAACCTCCAGTATCCGTGCTCCGTGCTCCGTACTCCGAACTATGTACCCAGTACCTACTGGTACCCCGGAATCCTGCCATGATCATCATTTGTCTACCTGAGTACTCCGTACTCCGTACATGTAGTTCACGGCAACGCGACCAAGGCCAAGCGAATCAAGCCAGAGGGGGAGGGCCTCAGGGATGACCATCCAATAAACCCAGTGGGAAATCAACAGAAGCTGGTATAAAAGCAACGAGAAGTCAAGGGAGGATCCTCCGGTGTGACTTTAAAGAGATAGCTGGGTCAACTTGAGTAGACAGCCTGATAACGCAGATCACCTACCTAATACATCTGTACACAAGGTAATTAGGTCAGCCTCGTCGGTTGATCGTCGGACCAAATAATTCCTGAAAAATCAACCCATAATACATACTCCGTACTTCGGGAAGCGTAGCTCACATCCTTGGTTCAGAGAAGCAAGTCGCCATGCTTATCCTGCGTTTGCAGTGGTTCATTCTTCGATTCCTAGCTCGCTGACCGTTTCTGGATATCTCTGAACTCGACCCAGACATGTGTGCACTCTGACGCTCCTCCCGATTCCGCTGCCTCTGGTGTCGTTACCCACTCCTCTTCCAACTGTCAGAGCCTTCGTGAACACGGCTTAATAAATCAATACAATGCCGCATACGAGTCGCAAGAAGAAGGCTATACACAGAAAGAGGAAAGAAGTTGTGGACGAGGAGGGATGGACCAGGGTCACCTCCACGAGTTCGGCTCCAGGAGTCTCTCCAAGACCGGCCGCAGGCGTTCCCGAAGGAATTTTCCAATCGAGTCTTGGTGACCGCACTGTCGTCAAAGCTCAAGATGCGGCACTTCGGCCCATGAATCCTGTCAAAGGGACGACTGTAGAGACGATGCGGGTGCAATACGACAAGATCGAAGCGAAGTGGCTCGAAAGCGACTTTTGTCGGACGTTTCGAGAGATCCTGCGTCGAAGCACAGCGGGAGCTGAACGAACGTTTTCCAATTGTGTCGTCTTCGGCTCAGGGAGTTTCTGCGGAGACGAGATACACTGGATAGACAGGCACGAGTCGGCGTTCTACCAAATCGCGGCTTTCAAGACTGCGGCGGATACAATTGGACAGATCCAGGGCCACCGGCCGCCTTCCTATGCTCAAGAACCATACTACAACGATCTCGATGCCGAGTTCCTAGCGAGCCTAAACATTCACCGAGTAGATCACCCCAAAGGCTTCGACCTGCTCGATGAAACCTCGTTCGTCTATTCTCCGGCCGCGGAGCCCGAAGTTGAGCTTCAGATCATCTCCCACGAGCCCAGGGTATGGTTGCACAGGTCACTCGAGCACATGGTTCAGTCGGACGAAAGAACTACCACAGACACGGGCTTCACTGAAGACGAAAGCAAACCCAACCGGAACTTGACCAAATCCTTTAAAAATACTCATGACTTCTCACAACTGCCGCCCCTGGACCTGAAAAACTTCCCTTTCCATGGCTCTGTCCTATGGTGGCGGAAGACTCCCGATCATGAGATCCAGCCTTGAGCCCCGACTTTACCTATACCTTGATTGGACTTCGACACTCTGAGCCACGGTTCCAAAGGCGTCGCCCAACTTCTTCAAACGCGCATCGGTGACCTCCGGGCCTGTGAAACCTGGAATGTCCCTATCTCCAATAGCGTCGACAGCTAGCACGACATTTTTGCCTAGATCAGCGCCCGCTCGAGCTGTAGTGCTCACGCATACATGCGCCATGTACCCCGTCAACACGGTTTTCCGGCCTCGCTCGCCCAGCCTGATCAAGTACTCGTGCAAGTCTATCGCCACGAAGCTGGAGATCAGTTCCTTTTGGATGACTTTCTCGCCTGGCTGGGGCTTCAACTCGTCGAACTCCACGGCGAGCGCCGTGCCGGCCGTGAACACCGGTACGCCGTCAAGGGTCTTGTGCACGACATGCACAATGTTCTTCCCATCCCCGCCAGCGCGGTACTTTTCGAGAGCGAAGCGATCGCTTTGCGGGTCTGCTCTACGTCGATGGTCTCCAATTGGCCTTGGGCATATCTAAAGAACATTGATCAGACATAACGGAGAACAAGCACGCTCGGCGGAAGCTGGAGGGTAGAAGAGGCCCGGAGAGTAAAGTCCAGGCGATCAGAGGGTAAACGGGCGGGCTTTGTGCAAGAAATGACGGAGCAGTCGTACTCATTCTGTGCGTGTCGCGATAATGACCAGGGTGCTGTCTTGCGGGCTTGCCGTCAGAGTCAGACGAGGCGCACCCAGCATGTCTCGAAAAGACTTGACTTCGGTTTCGGAGGCCATGCTCTGTCAAGACTCGGCGAGGGAATCAGGTGTTCGATTGCTGCTCTGAGGTACGAGAACTCGCCTACCGGAAGTAATGCTCGATGGACGCTCCAAGATGTCACGCTTCACAACGCAGTCTAAGGCAAACGACTTCGGACTTCGAACCTCGCACCCTGCCAGGACTCATCAGAGAAAGGATATGTAGCATGGAGGAGAAGAGTGCGGTAACAGCCTCGGAACCTACCTTCTAATCATGTCATCAGCACATTGAATTACCCATCTATTTTATGTTGTCGATTTCTCCTCACCTCAGGGATCTATTAACTCTCCTGGAACTATCATGGTTTTCGCCCCTCTCTACCTATTAGTGGACGTGGGCTTGATGGGTCGCTCTTACAGTTTTAGGTTTCATTCGATACTCTCCGTATGGACTGGAGCAGTGGCAATAATATTGCTGCCCGATACCCTTACTTGTACACACGTCTATGCTAACTTGCATCGTAGCAAGCTGGGTACACCAGACAAAGACAGCATGGCTGCAGTCCCTAACTCCATCATGGCACATAGCATAATATCCATGTTGCATCCAAGTCTGTTCGATCTATGCGCGACGTCGATAAATCATATCATCGCTTGAGCTTGGTCACTGCATGCGAAAGTACGCATCCAACTCGCTCAAGTCGTTCATGATACCTCCGTCAGCTTTCTGCTCACTTATGCGTACCGAAGCCGTTGAATCCTGCGTAGTGCCCTTGCTGCCATCTTGAGCCAGCACCTCGTTTGTGCCTTCTCCACCTACTGGCAGGTCTTGCGATGTTGCATGTCCGCCTCTCAAGTGCGGTACTGGAGTCTGGGGTACACAATTGTTCTCCGGGTCACTTCTTCCACCTCTCACTTCCGAGTCTTCTTGCCCACGGAACGCCGCAGGAGTGTAGTCATGCATAAATCGGCTCCTTCCATCTCTCATGGCTGTGACGATCTCTTTCTTGATTGGTGACGCATTCACAGTTTCCAGGTTCCCGGGGCCAGCGTTGGCAGATTTCGGCTGTACGGTACGGGCATCAGAGATGCTCCGAGACAACCCGTCATACTCTATTTTGCAACTTGTTTGTACCACGGTCGCCTTCCGTTCGTCGTCCGCAACTACTCCCCCGTTCGCAAAGTCTGTCCATTCTTGACGACGTTCGAGTTGCTTCTCTGGCGATAAGGTATGGATTATGCGGGTCTCCTGAGGGATGGGATTTTGTAGGCTACCACCTGGGTGGCAGTTGACGCCTGGTTTCGAGGGCGACCGGTGCTGGCGCTGCATGTCAGTGGGATTCGCTGCACACTTAACCTCTTGATAGGCAGGAGCACGGTCACGTAGACTAGAGGACTGCTGCTGTAAGTAAGATGCGCTGCCATTCGGGGGAGCATTCTGACCATTGTTGAGACCTTGGGACCCTTGATACTCCTTCAATGTTTCCTCTGTTGATGCCGGTGCCTTGGGGGTAGTCCAAGCTCTGATATCTTCCTCGCGCTTTAGTCGGGCAAACTCATCACAAGTGCAGAGACATGGCTGAGAGCATTTGTTCTCGCAACCATGGCCGCAGAGAAGAGTATGTTTGCAATCTTCCTGGCATTGGACGTCTTCGTGAGAGTACGGGTGACATAGCAATGGGCATGCGTGGCCGCAGTCCAGGCGGATGTCGCATGGCTTCGAACAACCTCCCTCAAACCCATTCCAATCATCTGGGAATTGCAGGAGCGTCGTTGTATGGTGATTCTTGCACTGGATGGGCAGCACCTGTCCGAGGCGTTTCGGATTAGAATTCAACATAGTAATGACGTTGTACCAGAGAGGACTCCCTCTCACAAGAGCCTGGGCATTGCCGAAAATGTAGAAGCCATATTTAGCTCGTGACAAAGCCACACAGACTCTGTTAACATTGGCCAGAAATCCAATTTTGCCCTCTGGATTGCTTCGAACCAGAGACAGGATGATGATGCTGTTTTCTTCACCTTGGTACGAATCAACCGTCTTAACCGAGCAGTACGACCCCTTGAGCTCGGGGTAGGCCTTCAGTTCTCTGAGTATTTTCTTGCGTTGACCATTGTAGAACGTAAGAACGGTGATATGGTCGGGCCCAATGCCGTTCTTGTACAGATGACGGTAGAAGCCGGCAATAAACTTTGCCTCCTCTTCGTTGTAGACGCTTTGAGATTCGTCTCTGTATTCTGCCCATTGGTGGTCGAAAAAGAAGGATCTAATGTTACCCATCCCCCAGGGCGCGACATGTCGGTTGACAACGCTGGGATGATCGGTCAATCCCGGATACAGATCACCAATGAGTCGGCGAAACTCGGGATCCATTCGACGTTGGCGGAGAAGGGTCTTGTATGGCATCTTATTCTTGACGAGTCTCTCAAAGAGGGAAATGTTCAGGTTGAACGGTTCCCCCTCCAGTTCCTGAACGCTGCAATGCCCTTGAAGTTGCTGGTGATCGCCAACTAGGACGAGATGCTGAAGACTAGGGATGCAAGCCACTGTCACTGGAGCTTCCAAGACCTCTGCAGCCTCTTCGATCAAAATGATTTTAGGCTTCAACGCCGAGATCAGTGGGCGATACTTGCTCAAACCCGTGGTGGTCATGCCAATTATCTTTGCTCGTGCCAAATAAACACAGTCCTGTTCCCATTTGCCAACAAGGCTGTCTTTCACAAGCTTGTCGTAGACCGCTGCTGCTTCACGAAATTTCGCAGCTATAGCAGCCTTAGCTTTCGACTGAATAACGGAGAAGATGGGACCGCGGAGGTAGTCTGGCACTTTCCACAGATCATGAGTGGTAGGCGACTCCAGTATTCTGGTGGCCTGCGCCAAATCGCCCAGCGAGCATGATGGGACTGTGAACCTCTCACGAAGCTCCAGCCATGTCCCTTTCAGTAATTCGATATCTTCTTCGTCGTTTACGCCGGTCGCATCCTCATTCTCTCTGAGCTGCTCGAATTCCAAATCATCGTCCTCGATGGCGTCCTCAAATCCAAAGCTGTCCTGAGCATATTTGATTTCGAATGGCATGATGGCCCGATCGAGCCACAATCGTAGCGGTCCGTCGACAGTATCGGTGGTAGAAACCCATCGAGACGCAGCATCCTCTAGAGATTTGGCTTGTTGAGCAGTCAAAACGCCCAGTTGGACAAGGGTTTGAGGGCCGGAGACGAGGTCGGTGGAGAATGGATCAGGTCCGGGCATTGTCAACGGCTCAAGAATAGCACTCATTGCTTTTGTCTGTTTGGCAAGAAGATGGTTGGATCTCCCCAAAAGGCCACCGGGAATCTGCTTGATCCGTTCTCGTTGTCGAATCTCAAATAACGCACGTTTCTTGACTTCGGGGTTCGTACTCCTACCACCTAGGCGGATGTATTCGGGTTCGAAGAGAGAGATATGCCCCAAAAGCTGATCAAGAGCGTGATTCGTCTGTGCTGCGATGATGATAGGTGGATCATCCTTTTGCCGGTTTTCGCGAAGGATTTGTATCGCGATTTTCGAGATATACGTCTTCCCGCAGCCCGGCGGGCCTTGAACTATGGCGAGTCGTTTTGTGATTATCTCCTGTAGCGCTTTCCATTGAGTATCATCAAGAGTATCTTTGGGCGGTGGTGGCCAGTCTTTCGTCACGTCGACGTTAGAATATTCCTTCTTTTGTTCAGGCTTTGCGGCTGCACTGATATCTAGATTCGGGTTCTCTTGCAGATAAGTTGGCGGTTCACCGTTCGTTGAGAATTGGCAAATCTCACTTGACAAAGGAAAACTAGATTGGACTCGTTAGCAGCTGTGCATTTCCTTACTCCCCGGGCAGCCTACGGTTCGCGGCTGAGCTTCTGCAGTGCCCGCAGTGAGTGACGGTAAGCCTCATAATATCCCTGCTTTGCTTCGATCATGATCCATTCCTCCTGTGGATCAATTTGGACATCTTCGGTACGGCCGAAGTATATGTCAATCTGCGGAGGTTGGCATAAAACCCCAGCTAGAGGTCTGGCTGCAACGACGCCGACTATCACCCCAGTCAAATCGGTCAACTTGTCTTTGGCACGCACGAGAGCCACGATGGAGCCACTGGTCAGTCGTTTGCTGGTCTGCCACAAGATGCGTTTACCTGCTCGTCTTGTGGAGAATTGAATTCTCGCCGCGAGACCCCTCCTGGCGAAGGTAAACCCGAGGACGTATACCTGCTCATAGACCGAGAACTTCTGTGTGTCCCCAGTAGCAGGATTCTGGCGAAAATCTTGCACGGCATCACGAAGACTTCCAACTGCATCTTCGCGCAGTAGCGAGTATTGAGTTCTGAGGTATTTTTCTTTCGATCTCCATGGGGCGTCCACCTTGTTAGGTGGGAGCGCGGCTTCCGCAACTGCCAGTTCATCGTTGGTCGGTATTTCTGGTGCTTCTAGCCAGGCATCTTTCTCCGAAGACATTTTGATCTGTCCCTGTTTTTCGACGTATTCGCGGATGTCTATATTCAGTGTAAGGTCAAGGCCGTTGTCAAAGGCAGAAGTCAAGGCATTGTGAGTGTTTGGAAAGCGACCGCCACGTCCGAAGCGTTCCGAGATATGTGTATTCATTTCTAGATGTGAGTATGGAGATTAATAACACTCTCTTCAAGGCCTCGCCGAGCGGTAGAGAGAATATTGTTAGGACATAGAGGCAGAAAGACTGGAGACTCACCCCCGTTGTGCAAGGAACTTGAAGGGATGCCGTGGTCTGCTAGTGTCTCAGGGTCAGCGCTGGAAGAAACAGATTCGGAGTAGACAGGAAAGCCCGGGGTCGAGAGATCAGAGCAAGCAAGCCATTCACTCACCCGTGGTTGCCCCTCCTCGAGGACGACGCCCTCGCCAACCTCCATGGCGGCCCGAGCGCTGGTCGGATGCCATCGTAGATGCACAGTGTAATTAAGACAAGCTCTCTCTCTCTCGCTGCTAAGTTGGAAGACCTAGACTGGTCACAACTGTGGATGTGCCAACACTAGATGATTTCAGAGGCAAAAGATCGCGTGGCCAGATAGTGACTTAAAGATAAGAATAAAGCGACTGCTCTGATGTGTTACAGGACACGCCCTGTGGAGATGGTGGTGCGGCCTTGGTGGGTGAGTTGTCTTGAACCGGAGAGGGGAAGAGTGAGCCGCGTTGTGCACCACGGAAGGTGCCAATTTGAGACTTTGGACTTGGTGAGGTGCGTTAGCAAACGTCAAGAGCTTTCTGTAGCAATGAAAGGGAGCGCGATTGTCTTCTGCCAAACACGGTGACTCGACAAGACTGGAAGCCTGCTGCTTATGATGTCGACACGGATGTCTATTCAATGCCCACGCTTCACTGGCAGATAGGCTCCCAGCAAACCCACCATTCATCAAGGCACCGCCGCATGCATACTACAGGGACACAGTCGCCAGGCTAGCCTCTTGATTTCCTATTCAAAGCCTGCCCTTTCACTGTAACAGATGTCAGAGACGCCCCGAAGAGTCCAGCCTTGAGGTACTGTTAGAATATTGCATCTCTGAACTAACCCGATTCCACCCAGGATAACAAGGAGCGCTGGGTCTGGACAGTTGGCGATTACTCCTTGCCCTACGCCCTATGCGGGTGAGCTTATGGACCCGGGTGACAACGACTTGAGACTTGAGTGAATGCTTGGAAAGCAGATCAGCAGAGGAGAAGAACAGGCTACTCCGTACTCCGTACTGGTGACACCACATACTGTGCTCCGTGATATGGTCACCGACATCGACGGTGGTCGATGTTTGCTGGCTTTGCACGGGGCCGGATAAAAGTATCTCCTCTCCGTGGCCTAAGAACCGAAGCACCGACGCGCTGTTCCGCATCCGGCATAGTTGCCCACCCAGAACTGGCCTCGAACTCGCCCGGTCCTCGAGGAGAATCTCTCTTTTCTTCTCCCGCGAACCTATCTTGGAAGATATACATATATGTCAGCTCGGTCATGTCAATTCCAAAATGCCCGCGTTTGATGTAGATGAAGACAGATCTCAAGATGGCAGTTTTGACAACGACAATGACAATGACAACGAGAACGAGAACGAGAACGACAACGACAACGATGAGACCATGCAGGATCTCGATGAGGCGGACGGCGATGCTGACGGCGACGGCGACGGCGATCTAGATGCCGAAGGCGAAGGTGACGGCGAAGGGGATGGAGATGACGATGACGACGCTGGAAGCGCGTCAGGTGGCAGTCAGCCCTCCGACAACGAGGAAGCCTCGGGGGAACCGATCACAACCCAAGATGGTACTCAGCAGGCCTCCACCGCGCAAACGGATTCCAACCGGGGAGTGGCATCGCACCCCGACATCTCGCCTGCATATCTGAATGCAGAGATCTACGACATTGTGCCTACAATTGCTGCCCCCCACAGCACCTCCATCAATGCTGTGTGTGCAACAGCCGACATGCGCTGGGTCTTCACTGGAGGCTCTGATGGCTACATACGTAAATTCAATTGGGTTGACTCCGTCAACTATAAGCTCGCCCTTACCGTGGCGCAACGACACCCCTATGTCGACAGCGTGGTAAAAGCTGGTGTACTCATGACCTACTGGGAAAACTGGGATGCTCGCCCTCAAACGTCTCGTGTCTTGTCACCGGTATACTCCCTTGCCTGCCAAAGTCAGGCTCTCTGGCTTCTATCTGGAACATCATCTGGACCTATTCGATTGCAAACCATCAGGCATGACGAAGGCAGAGAGGTCAGCTTGTTGCAGAAACATACATCTGCAGTCTCTGTCCTTACGCTATCATCGGATGAAAAGAGTCTGCTGTCCGGAAGCTGGGACAAAACGGTTGTCGACTGGGACCTCGAGACTGGTCAAGGACGAAACACATTCGCCGGAAGTGCAGGCCAGATATCTGCGATAGAATCTCGTCCTTTGTCTTCTGTACCTGTTCCGGCCGAATCAGGAGAAGTTGTGATTACCAATGGTACATTCTCCTCAAACGAAGGCAAACCTCTTTCAAATGGAATCAACTCCGATACCCCCAATCAAAATGCTGAAGAGAAGCCAGCAGTTGCTACGCCAGACTCATTATTTGGGGACGGTGACGATGATCTCTTTGGTGATGGAGCTGGAGCCGTCATGGCCAATGGAGGAGATCCCACTGATGCGTTTGGAGAGGAGGACGATGAGATGGCTAGAGCTTTGGCACAAGCGCCTCACCCGGAAGATCTGCTTGATCACGATACCAGTATGCTGGACGTCACACAGTCACACAATGAAACCGTGGATGCACCTCAGGAGAGTTATGCGTCTCAGATGACGTCCGACGGACCTCTCGATGGAGTGCCCAGTAGCGCTGAACAGCCATTCGCCAACGGGCTGCCTCACGCTGAAGATTTGGAAAAGCCAACCGGCGAACAGGACGATGCTCAAGGAGGTGAAGCCACTGTAACCTCCGACTCGACTTTTCTTGCCACATCCATTGACGGGAGCATACGTGTGTGGGATCGCAGGCAGCCTAAACCGGTCGCCCGTATCTTGCCACGAAACACTCCTCCCTGGTGTCTGAGTGCGTGTTGGTCACCGGATGGCAATTTTATATATGCGGGCAGGCGCAACAACACGGTTGAGGAGTATGACCTTCGGAAAGGTCTGAAAGGGCCAGAACGAGTCTTTCGATTTCCGAATGGGAGCGGTGCGGTCACGGCAGTGAAGGCCATGCCCAACGGCCGCCACCTCATTTGCGCATCCTATGACATTCTCCGACTATATGACCTCAAGGAGTCGCAGTCTCAGCGATCGGCAGTGCCCTTCTTGATCGTGCCTGGTCATCGAACCGGAGTCCTATCACACCTGTACCTCGACCCTGCATGTCGATTCATGTTATCTACCGGAGGGAACCGAGGGTGGGAAGGGGCCTCAACTGAAGTGCTGTTGGGATACGAAATCGGGGTGCCAAAGAGGTGACTAGGATGAAGTTGCCAGCGCGCCGACTCTCACCCACCACATTCGCGTTCTATCCAACCCTCCTTGCCTGTCAAGGCGAAATGCTCAGGGCGAAGTCACTCGCATCTTGACGCCGAAGGATGAGCCAGTACAATCAACTCAAATTGCAGGAGTGAATGGGCGGCAAATTCACACTGGGTACCCCTGACAACGTCCTCTCTTCGCCGTTGGTCATCCCGGTTGCCCCTTTGCATTCAACTCACCACATTGACGACGTCCCGGTCTTGGTGGAGCTAGATCGCACATGTGTTAGGCTAGAAGCCAAAGAATCCCACGATCCGGATCCCGACATTATTCCATGCTATATCCAGCGGCCTCCCTACACAGCTTATGCAGTCCTACAGTCAAACGCGCGTACAAAAGCTTCCGAGTATCCATGTACCGAGAACGAGAATACCAACATGCCGTTAGCAGAATAGCCAACATCAGACGTTGGAAAGAAGTCGCTCCGCTAAGGGCTTTCGACGAGAAACAGAGGCATCTATGGCCACGCTTCAGCTGCTTTATTGATGTGATATGATGATCGTTGGCTCGGTCAGCCATCCTGTGAAGTCTCAGAGATGTACGTGCGCAACATCCCACATCTGTCAAGTCTTCTCCACGCCATCCTGTGGAGGAATTGCATTCGACATGTCGACAGCTCGTGTTTGACAGTGTTCCGAGAGAAGACAAGCGACGTGGCAAGACTGCCCGAGGCGGCTCCTCTCCGCAGACTTGATCACTACTCCTCCTCAAAACGGTGTTCAGAACGGGGCTATCCCTGCAAGACGATCTCATAAATATCTGTGCCATCTTCCACCACCTTTTTTTTAAATGCAACCACAACTTATGCAATTCTGTCAACTCTACTGCCACGTCTCTAGCAGAATATTTTACCAGTATGGCGACTCATGATGGTTCCGCGGAAAGCCGTTCAATGCTGTTGCCGGGTTAGCGAGGAACGAATGACACAGACGGATCAATCACTGGTAGAGGGTACAAGGCACCTTGTTCGCGGCCTGTGACAGCAGAGTCTCAAATATGTGCCAGTGCCAATGCTCTGTTTCCAGTGTAGATCAGAACAAGCGGATTAGCTGAGTTTAGACTTTACAATGGCTGCCTGATTAAAGAGGTCAATTTGCATTGACATGGACTTGACTGCGTAAACACCAAGGCGGTACCTACCCGGTAGACATCTGAGGAGTAGGGTTAATTAAGGCAGCGTCGTCTCATTCCGAAAGGAGGGGTTTGTACTACCTGAGGTACTAAGGCACTAGGAGAGATCTTGCTCTTCGGCCCCGACTCCTTCACGTCACAGCCTTGTGACTTAGTCGAGAGTGTGTAACAGTGGACAAAGAGCAGGTCAATTTTCACCAAAGGTGGTGGTCTAAACTCTGAATTATGTCTCGCTTCACCGGCAGCCTCAGCCGCAAGATCAAGGCCCTAAACTGCCACACTGCGTTTCCTCGTCGGAGTGCGATTCACCTCAGCCACTGCCTGCATCACAAGGCTGTAGACAGTGCACGTAACACAAGGGAAAGAAAGAGGCTTGATCATGTCCACATTCTCTTTTGTCTCTTCTCTTTTCTTCCTATCAGCACCGTATCTGCTATCTGCCTTGAACAACTCATAGCCCAGGACTGCGAACTTTGAACAACACCCGGCGCAGTCGAAACATACCACTCCCACCACATCCAACGTTTGAAAGCTAAGTTCTTACCTGGCTGGCCAGGGCAATTTGAAGGCACCATGCCCACCGCACACGGCCTCACAGTCAGCGTGGTGACTGCGAATGGCCACAAGTTTCCAGAATACGGCCATCAGAACCTCCGCGGATCTACCGCCCGAAGCAAGACTGTCAGCAGCAAGATCCAGGCCAAAGATGGTCAGACGTTCTGCATCATGGTCGATGTTGTCAAGAAATCGTCCCCCCACCATGAGAAAGGGAAACATGCGCTTACGTCTCTCAGCAAAGAGTCCGGTGGGATGGGAAGCAGCCGTGGCCGATACAACCTGAGGTCTTCTCTGAAGCAAGACGGGGTCCGGGCAGAACAGAAGGAGAAGGATTGTGAGGGCAAAGGCGCGCTGCAGCAGGTTTCGAGCGGAAAGCTTCCTTTCACTTTGGTGGCGTGGGTATACATTGACGGAAATAAGGTGCCGGAATGCAGCCAGATCCTGTACACTGAGCCCAACTTGTCGCCTTATGTCTTAAGAGGACGGTATACCGCTGCGAGCAAGGGACAGAAGCCTGGTGACATCCAGCAAGACATCGTGATACAAGAATGGGTCTTCACACCGGTGGGGATCGATGTGCTGCTCTCCAAGATGGACATCGCCGCGCCAGATCCAGAGCCTCCTGCAAATGCAATCGAGGAGGAACTGGACGAAGTGATCCAAGGTCTGGCAGAAGTGAACGCAGTCAAGAGACCCAAGTCTGGACAAATTGAAGTTCGCATCACCCGTATCGTCGACTTGGGTCATGGACCTCGGAGCGACTGGAGTCGCAAAGAACAACAGCGGGCAAAGGAAGACGCTGAAGGGACCCATACCGTCTCGATCTGCGAGCCACAACGCACAATGCGCGTCAAGACGTGTGCATGGCGCCCGTACGATGAGACCGAGGAGTATTATGCAAAATTCATCTTTCAATACATGGGCATTGAAAAACTGGTCAATCTTGGATTGTGCACCGCGGATGGGAAGTCAACGAAGCAGCTACAATTGGAAGCTCGTGCTAGTCCACTCTCATCGCTCCCCAATAGTGCAGGCTCACAGGCAAGTCCACTGAAGAGCTTGAAGGGATCAAACAAACGCAAGGGTGACAAGGTCGAATCTAGCGGACGTCCATGGTCCAGTGATGAGGAGGGGAAAGATGGGGGAGACACGTCGTCCAGCGATGATAGCGATCGACCTCGGAAGCGCCACGAGACTGCCCTTATGAGGCCTATGCCACGAACATTGAAGAAACTGATTGGTTCCCAGAAGAAAAAGGACAGCAGTCTTTCTCTCCTACCGAATGCTAGACACCATCATGCTGGTCAAAGTCGAATGCAGCTAGTGATCCGGGCCGGGAGGAATGGCGGCGGAGCTGAAGATCATGGTTCAAAGCTAGAGCTGGTGGAGCCGGGGCAAGGCAAGGACGATCACGTTCAAGGCAGCGAGCTTGCATTGGTGGAGGTGGAGGCGGAAAACGGCGGAGAGGACAAGATCGAGTAGTGCGGGCGCAGGTTTTGCTGCTGGTGGCAGGACGGAGTACGGAGTAGTAGTCTGCGCGGTAACTGTAACCAGCTGTGAGACCCAAAGGAGCGCGGGAGATATCAGAGCCCAGAAGGCGTCTCGAAGACATTGTAGCTTGCTGGAACAGAGAAAGAGCGGCGATTGAATATTGAATGTGTTTCCTGACTGGTTGTCAACGTTTTCCGTAGCTCTAGGAGTTGGATCCCATACTGTACTAGCTACGGACAGCCGTTGTCGAGGTGCTGGGTGGGAAGTGGGAGGTGGCTACAGGGGTTAAAAGGAGCATGTCTGACATAACGTCGTTCATGTGCAGCGGCGACAGCAGCCAGCCTTCCCATCAGATGTCAGCTGTCAGACGGGCAAATTACCTAAGTGCCTCCCCGGTCACATGCAGCCCGCAGCGTCAGCCGCAGCCTGCGCCTGTGTCTCACCAGCAACCGTGCGATCTCCACCGCCAACTCCCTTTCGCGCCTAGCAGTACACAATGCCAGGGAAATCCCACCATTGCCATTGCACTGTACGAGTTCTTGTAGGGAGACAGTACGGAGTAGTATTATGGGCATCCAAGGTTGCTCGTTACCCGTTGCCCGCTCTTCACCCCTACCATGATACAATGATCTCTCAATAGACTGACTGCTGGCCTCTCTGTCTGTCCCTCACGCTTTGCTTCCTTGCCATCTTCTCTCTGCCCCCATCGAATTGTATCGACTTCAGCTACAACCGCCCTCCCAGAGTGCTGCGGCTGCGCAACTCTCGGCCCCCCTACCTGGCTGACCACCGCTGTCCAGATCACTTCGTGTTTCGGCTTGGCCTCGGTCATACACAGACAACTTTGTGTGGCTGCTGGTACCGCTACCGCTACTGCGCCTGTGTCTGCGCCTCCAACTCTACCAAGAATACCTGTTGTCCATACCCAGTATTGCTTCCCTGCCGCAGGGCTTGTCACTTCGAACCACCAGCCTTCCAGCCTCGCTGGAGTACCGTTCGCTCTAGTCACCGACTCGTCGACACTCGTTTTCCACCTGACAAAGACGACGGGCATTTGAGTCGCGGGTATACCATACTCTCACCGCTTGCATGCCAGGGCCCTTCGTCCGTCGGATAGCCGCAGTCGGGACACCATGTCCAGCGCAAGGAATTTCTCCTTTGAAACTCAGGATGATCATACCATGAACAGTCAAACGCAAGAGCGACAGGAATATAAACCTCAGTACTACCATCCATATCATGACACCCCATCTCGGGGTATCATTTCGCCTCCGCCCAGATACACCTCAACATCACCTCAACCTCCTCCGGTCACTGGTTCTCCTTCCACCTCGCCGCGCAGGCGTCCAATCCCTTCGGATTCCCATCTTCTCGGCGAATCGTCTGATACAAGGGGCCGTCCAAGCCATCCAGAATACGACGACGTCCTTGCACCTCCACCCCCGCCTCACCGGGCCAGCCCGACCAGGCTTTCAAGGGAGGACTCTGGCTTCTCACAATCTCACCAGCTCTACTCGGACACAAATCCCAGAATGGAGACCTTGAGGGGACAATCGGCAGAAGAGGGGTTTGGCTCGGTGCCACGAGATATAGTAGACCGCAACCATCTGGAAACTGGGCAAGACGCCATGCGGTCAGTTCCTCAGTCCTATTCCCCGTACGATCGAGATTATCCTCGCGAGATCAACCCATACCGCCAGCAAGACACTCCCCCGCGCTTGCCCCAGAGAAGTTCGTACGGGTCTTCACTACCTCTTGCCGCTGGGGCCGCTACACCGGGCAACCTCACTCCCACTCCTTCCCTAGGTCCCACTTCGTCTGTCTTGTCTGGCAGAAGCATTCCCTTGGAGGAGTACCATTCGAATTCCAGCCATCCCGCATTCTACTCCAACTATCAAGATTCGCCATATCAAAACCCGTACAACCCTAATGCGAGCTCGGCAAACATCATGCACCAAGCCAGCATCAACCCCAACAATATCCTTGATGATGGAGATGATGGCTTTATGCATGACCAACAACCGTCGAGCAAGATGGTGACCGATTCGAACTTGGGCAATGCGGCCGCCAGCGCTGGAGGCGCTGGCGCTCTCAAAGGGTTGTTCGGCCGCAAAGCAAAGAACTACACTCCGAGCGGAACATATGACCCTGTTGGTGCAGGTTCAACCCCCGAGAAAAGTGAGTGGTTGTCACGACAGACAAAGGGAAGGCGGAAAATGGTATGGGTGGGAGTCGGAATCGGATTGGTGATTGTCATCGCCATAGTTGCCGGTATCGTTGGCGGTGTTCTTGGAACTCGAGACTCTGACGATTCGAGCGGTTCGTCAAGCGGCGACACCAACAACGCAAACTCTGACACGGCAGCTAATGGTGATCTTGGAAAGGATTCTGCAGAGATCCAGGCTTTGATGAACAACAAGAATCTGCACAAGGTTTTTCCTGGTATGGATTATACACCTTGGGGCACACAGTATCCTCTGTGCCACACCTACCCTCCGTCTCAGAACAACGTCACTCGAGACATGGCCGTGCTTTCACAGTTGACCAATGCCGTTCGTCTTTATGGCACCGACTGTAATCAGACCCAGATGGTCCTCCACGCCATTGACCGACTGGAGTTGACGGACATGAAGGTGTGGATGGGCGTGTGGATTGACACCAACCAAACGACGACCAATCGGCAATTGGATCAAATGTACAAAATCCTCGCAGACACCAAGGATCTTTCCATTTTCAAAGGCGTTATTGTCGGCAATGAAGCCCTGTACCGTGCGGGCGAGGACAAATCCCAATCAGAACAGGAACTCATTGACATCCTAAAGGACGTCAAGTCTCAATTCAAGACCAAAAGCTACGATCTTCCCGTTGCAACGTCGGATCTGGGTGATAACTGGAACGGCCAGCTCGTCCAGGTTGTTGACTATGTCATGTCCAACATCCATCCATTCTTTGCTGGAGTCACCGCTGAAGTGGCCTCCAGTTGGACCTGGGATTTTTGGCAGACCCACGATGTTGTCTTGACACAGAGCTTGCCTGACGTTAAACAAATCATCAGCGAGACTGGGTGGCCAAGTTCGGGAGGGAAGGATTGCGGTGGAAGTGATGGATCGTGTGCTTCTGGGCAGAGCGGTGCCGTGGCCAGCGTGGACAACATGAATACCTTTATGGAGACTTGGGTGTGTCAGGCGTTGGAAAACGGAACGGACTACTTTTGGTAAGTCATGGTGAATGCCGTTGGTAGGTGACATGCTGACTGTGCCAACAGGTTTGAAGCATTCGACGAGCCCTGGAAAGTGATCTACAATACCGACACGCAGCAGTGGGAGGATAAATGGGGTCTAATGGATCCTGGACGGAATTTGAAATCCGGACTACAGATTCCTGACTGTGATGGGAAAACCGTCGGATCGTGAGTATAGGAAGTGGGTTGGTTGGTGATCAATCGACTGTTCAGTCGGCTCGGAGACGGAGTGTGGTGGCTGTTTGACTCCAGTGTTCCATGGAATCAATTGCTCGCATTGGATGGGACAGCAAGCGAGAAGCTGCAGGTTGAGTTGAGTCTCTGTTGCTGTCATGTCTAGGCAATTGGGGTTTGCATGATATCAAAGCAGCAGTAGTCATGAGTGCTTCGGGTGTGGCGCCAGGTGGCCATCCAAGCAGCGGAGACATGATGGCATATACGATGGTAATGGAGTCTTTGTCCTGGGGCACGGCACGGGGGTTCTGAGCGATGGGTTGTAATTGAGACATGAGTTAGGACACTGTCAGACTCGGGACATCAGTGGCGAGAGAGACTGTTGGCAGGAAAAGGCCGATATGCAACGTACGTTGACAGTTTTAAGTCAGCTTACATGAAACAGTCCAGAGTACGGAGTACCGGTACGGGACAAATGGGAAAAGTGTCCAGTACGTAGTACAGTACCCAGGGCGACATTGGTCCTCGAGGTCGGCAGAACCCGAATAGAACCTGCGATATGTATATATGTGTATATATTTTATGTCAAAAAAGACCCTTCGGAGGTTGCAGTACTACCAATCAGGTAGGTAGCTACACCCAGCCCACCGTGCACGTATGTACAACTTGTGTGCAATGGAAGCAGTCTTTCGACCTTTACGTCTGATTCTGATATACTTGTCGATAATTAGGTATGATGGTACTGTAGCTTGAAGTAAAGCAAAGAGAAGAACCATAGACACGGACGGGTTCAGTGGCATACCTACCTATCTCTCTCTCTCTCTCTATATATACCTATCTATACCTACCTATAGCTGCCTACCGATATACCTACACATAGTAGAGCACCGAGTATAAAGTACGGAGTAATATATATAGCAGAGCACCGAGCAAGAGTACGGAGTGATATATTTAGTATTTTATCCATGTGACAGCTCGCTTCACTGACCGCACAGCCTTTGCTGTTTGCAAAGATGGACACGTTCTTCTCCTACGCCGCCTGCACCTCCTACAATCTATCCAACAGAGTGCAGAGTACGAAGTATAGAGGATAGAGGACAGGAGAAGAGATCCGTACCCGTATCTATATCCATATCCATATCCGCCGTATCCATTTTCTCTCTCTACTCTCTACTTCCGTATCCATATAGGTACCCATAGGTAGGTAGAGAAGACGGAACCAGGGTAAAAAGGCCGTCTGTGTTTTTCGTATGAGACCTATAGATAGCCGTCTAGGACAGGGGATAAGAGGATAAAATGCAAAATTGGAATGTCCTTTGCCCTTTGCCCTTTCACAATTCCCAGTTCCCATTCCGCATTCCCATCCCCATCCTCTGTCCCCGGTCCGCCATCGTGATCGGAACAAGATGAAAAGAAAGAAAGAGCGGGAAAGAGGAGAAGAGGAAGAAAAAAAAAGGGGTGGGGGGAAACAAAAGAAGAAACCTCAGGTAGGCTTCTTGTTTCCTTCTCGTTCTATCTGCACCCAAGTAAGCAAATCCCGCGGTCATGGTCATTGTCGAACCTGACTGAACGTTTCCCGGCTTCAAAATGAAAAAAACTCTCCATTCCATTCAATCACAACAGAAACAGAACCAAAAGGTAAATTCGTGTACCCAACATCACTGCAGGCCGCAAATAGCCGGCTGACACTTTGGCATTGAAGAAACATCTCGACCCTATAAGAGAAGGAAATGAAAAGAGTTGCAAGAAGATAGGAAACTCGCACAGGGGTATCCGCAACAAAAGGGTGATTGTCTCCCCCGAAAACCAACAAGTTTGTTCCCAAACAACAAGTTTGTTCCCATTAGCCTCACCATCGGCCAGAGATTGCACATATTTCCAAAACAGACACAATTCCCAACACGTAAAAGTAGTCCTGCATGGTCCCATCCCATCCCATCCTGTTCATCCGGTCCATCCGGTCCATCCTTTAGAGCCCTGTCTTCCCGCTACAAGCTTGCAAGCTCGCCAACCAGCCAAGCCATATCCAAAAGAAAAGGAGAAAGAGAAGAGAAAATAATGGTGGACCAATGCTAAATTCCACCTTCAGAAAAAGTAATAATTGTAGCCGTGAAGCGAAGAGTGTTGCGTGACAAGAGTCGACAACCAAATTCAAGAATGCCATTTCCAAGGCTCGCAGAAAGAACTGCACCTCGCTCATCAATCCAACTTTTTGTTTTTGGTTTCTCGTCATCGAAATAGTCGTACAGCCTTACAGCAAGCTAAGCCAGACCAGGGCCGTCATAGTGTACATTCGAAAGGGACTTCGGATTGTACGTTGCGGAGTATCGGTACACTTGTACAACAGAGAGCGGCGAAAATCTTTGGCGCCGCGAACAGAAATCACTGCGGTGGTTCAGTCAGAGGCAGCAGCTGGCGGGGTCAAGGCTTGCGTCGTGGGATTCTTCCTTTCCAGCCAGCTTCTCTTGCCGGGCCGGATTTCGAGATGCGCAGGGATCGTCGATGTTTCGGAACTCGCCGCTAAGAGGGCACTGCGCTGTTTCCCGCGATAAGAATCCACTGAAGCGGACAGTCAGTGATCGCCACAACCTCAGCAGAGGCCTCCCGAGCACTTACGAGCACGAGCAAGGAAGATGGGCCGACCCGAAAACACTCGACCTTGGCCCCAGGCCATACGGTAGCCTAGTTCATTGATCTTTTGCTCACGGCCTCGCTTGCTTCGGGAGATCTGAGGGACGTCCACCTCAGCCTCTCCATCACTAGTTTGGACGAAGACGGAGGTTTTGCCGACAGTAGGCACGCCACCATCCACTTCATCTCCCTCCTCGACAAATCGATCGCCTCGGCTTGGTTCGGATGCAGCTTGCATCTGAACGGGGAAATAAGCTCGCGGAAAGACCGAGTTCTGCTTTCGGAAGGAGTCGGGAATCTCGCTCATCTCGATTTGATCCAGCGTGACCTTGACTCGGACACGAGTGTTTTTTTGGCTATCGTCGACAAGGATGAACTTGCGCCGTTTGCCCTCGGGCAAATCGCCGAACAAAGCATTGTCATCCTCATCATGTTCCTTGGAGGCCATTGCCGCGGGTCCTCCGGGCCGGCCCAGGTGTTGTAGACCTCCTTGCATGGTCGGCGCCATCGACGGCGCCAGCGATGTTGGAACCGTAGGATAATTTGGGTAGCCGGAGAAAACGTGGCTTTGACGGATGTCGTTGGGACTTGTTATATGTTGGGGCGTAGAATTGGGGCGATACGCTTGAGGTGCTGGACTGTATGCTGTAGCTGCACGAGAGTCAATTTCAAACCCAAAGCCCAACAGCAACAGCGGTGGGTGACGGGGCAAGGTAGCACGGGATTGGAATTGAGACATACCTCCAACGTTGTCCGGCCCCGCCTGGGATCCTTCCTGCGGATGATGTTGCATTTGGGTCGGTGCGCCCGATAGTGTACCAGGGGGTCTGGCGCTCGGGGCCGGCATGGAGTTTGGCCCAGGAAGCCCGGTCGAGCCAGGTGCCAGTCCGGTAGGGGAAGCTGTCATTTTGGAGCGGTTGTTCATTTTTGCCTGACGTCTAACCCGACGGCTCCTCAATCGCGGGTCCTGGTTGCTGTTTCTCCAGCTATCCACTGCTCTCTGGATCAAACCTCGCTTCCCCCGCAAACAGGTATTCAGTTCGGCCAGGGCCCAACCGACTTGATTGCAATCGGTCTCGTAGGCCAAGCGATTTCCTTTGTACTGTTCTTTCGGCACGCAGGCTCGAGGATATACGCAGTTCTCCGACTTGAACTCTGGTGACAACGCACTGGCGTCCACCGATTCCACGTCGCATCGAATGGTATATTCCATTTTGACTCTGTCTCGGGAATACTCGAAGGCGATCCATTGTACACCATTTCCGTCCTGTCGCACCACCAGTGGAGTTGTCGCAGGAATCGGCCCTGGGGCGGCGTTCGAACCTGGTGGAAGGTTGGGGATTTGCCCTTGGGCCTGCTGCTGTGCCGATGGTGGCTGCTGTTGGGACAGACCTAGTGTTTGAGACGCGGAAGTTTGGGATTGCGGCTGCTGCTGCTGTTGCTGGGGTAGCAATCCTGGTCGGGCCTGCGGTGCTTGCTGATATGATTGATTTGGCTCTGATTTCAGTCTCGGACTGCTTGAGATTGTGGAGTGATGTGGCGCGGCCTGGCCTTGAGATAACTGAGGGGTTGTGGACTGATACGGTAGCATTGGTTGAGAGCTGAGTTGATGTTGCTGGGTTTGTCCATGATGTCCACCATACGTCGGTTGATGTACCTGATTCATGGACGGATACGGCGGGTATCCATAGAGTGGTTGACTCAATTGCGAGCCAGGTTGGGGATACATTGGCCTACCATGGTCATGAGACTGAGGGGAGGTCACCGAAGCCGGCGAATTCGACTGTGGGGTGTGATAGATAGGGGGGTAAGGCCTCTGCATGGTCGCTGTTGCTGCCATAGAATCGGGTTTTTCTGGCCATGGTTAACAACTGACTGGGGCGACAGAAGACTGGGTGGACAAATCACTCACCTGTGGAATAATAGGCTCCAGCTCCGCTGTGTTGGCTTCTAGGACTCTGGTTCGAGGGATAGTAACTCGGAGCGTCGCTGGGTGTTTGCTGCGCTTGGAATTGAGGCTGGCTGTTCAAGAACGGCGACTGAAGGCCTGATTGGGATGTATAGATATTTGGCGATGGATATGGCTGCTGAGATGGTTGAGCGGTGCTCAATGGTCGTGACTGCTGCTGGGCCTGATGCACCGAACCAACGTTTTGGTACGGTTGTGGTGTGCGATGCTGCATAGAAAGCCCATTCGTCAGTACAGACTTGTTCAGGTATGGATGGTTCCCAAGCAGCAACATAAACAACACGCATGTCTGTCCCTGATGATCAAGTCAAGGGGCTCGACCAAGCCAGGATGTGAAGAGGACCGGGGACAAAAGTTCGGGCTCGATCAGGGCCAAGATCGCCGTCAATGATAGACGCGGGCAAAAGGACTGATTATCAGAGTGGGGGAAATTTCCGGGTAGAAACACTAAGCGTGTGGTCCAGAGACAAGGGAAAGAAGCAATAGTCCCTCCCACAATGCGGCAAGGACTAGATGCAAACGCTCAATGGAGCAATTGAAGGGGCACGATGGCGCGTACTTGGTAGCTCGAGAAAGGCTCAAACAGATGTCCGTGTCTGACCTCGTTGCAGGGGACACAATTGGATCAAGCGGCATAGGGTTGCCAGAACAGAGACAGGCGAGTCGTTGCACATCCAGCAGGAAGACCGGGATGCGGCGAGCGGGCAAGGCTTTAAGACAGGCGTGGAGAGGTTCAAAGTGATTGCTAGGTGGATAGTGTTTTCGGAGTCGAAACGTTGAATAGGGTGGGAGGGTTCAGAAGCCAAGCCAGCCACCAGGGAGGAGTGGGAGTGGAAATGGGGGGCCTTCTTGCAGGGTGCATACCATGTACTGATGATTGCGTGCAGGGAGGGCTGGATAGTCGATTCAACAAGGACTGGGTTGTTCTTGTCAACCTGGTAGAGGAGGGTATTGGAAGGACTGGGGTGGAAGGGGATGGTGATGGTCCTATGTAGACGGCGTTGGGTGTATTGGATGTTGATTTTGAGATGGAAAATGGCACACGGCAGAAAGCATGGACGTCAGACGTGGCGGTGCAGGGTGGAAGGCCAGAGGAAGTCTAATTGATGGAAAGAATCAAGTTTTGGCGAGAATGAGAAGGATGGAATCATACATGAAAAGCCGAGGGGTCCAAAGGGCCTTGTACTGTGAGGGACGACTGGAAAATAGACATGGAGACTCGGGAGTGCTATGGCATGGTGAAGGGCCGGCCTGGCAGCCAAGTGGGACCTTGTCGGTAGCTTGACGGGCACGGGAGCTTGCTGTAGGCAGAAAGCGAGAGGGAGAGAGCAGGACGGGAACTGGGGCTGGGATCCTGGCAGTTTGGGAACCACGGTCGGGCCACGGGTGTGTCTTTAGTTGGCCTGCTAGGGGCCAGGGTGGGCTGGTTGCAAAGCCCTCTGCCACTGGCTGCTGCTGCATGGGTGACCAGTGACCACTGGCCGCAAACTTGCTGGGTGGATGCTGGTCCTTTGATGCGACGGCTGCCGTGCCAGGGCCAGCAGCAGTGGACCAACTGTCGGAGCCCAAGCGTCCAGGTTGGCGTCGTCTGCTGGCAAAGGTCGTTCGAGCAGAGGTGCCGGCTCCATGATCCCGGATCAGGGAGGGGTGAGAAGACCCGCCACAGGATGACAGGAGAAGGGGAGATGACCAGGACCGTCCGCTAGCACTAGGCCCAGGGACCAGGGTAGCATTCAGTCTGGCCCGGGCGCCCGCAATATGGAGCCTTGGGCTGCCAAAGACAGCCCATGAACGGCTTCAACGGTCGGACCAGCATGGGGGCGGTAGTGTGATAACTGTACGAGTACTGTCTTCTTCGACGAACGAGGGACCACGCAGCCAGAGGGACAACAATAGCAATCGAAAAGGACCCAGGATCGCACAAAAGAGAGGCTTTGGAGCTGGCTTACTTCAGGATCTCCTGCAACCGGCCCCGGCCCAGCGCCACCACCGGCAGTGGCATTGGGGCCGAGGCTGGGTGCGGCCGACTGACGCGGCTTCTGAATGGTATGGTTGTGCTGCCGCACGTTATTGCCGTTATTGACGCTAGGCATCGAGGACGTCGGAAGAGGGATGGCGTCTGTGTATGAGCTTGTTGCTGGATCTGTGGACGTGAGCCTTCTATTGACTTTTTCCGAAGCAACGGCGTGCTTTTTTGTTTGCTTAGAGTGGGCGCCGTAGCGTAGGTGCAGGGGTATGGGAGGTCAGGAGAGACCAGATGCGGCTTGGAGGGCTGGAACTCGAGAGGGGTGACGGGTTCAAGATTCGGCCGACCAGGGTGGCGTGGCCCAGGGTCGTGAGGCGGTGGTGACCACCGACCACTGACCACTGACCCGTGTATCGAGCAGGGACGTGAGGACAGCGCTTGTCGCGTGAACTGCAGTGGCTTGTGTGTTTTACTTCTTAGCCCAGGTTGAGGGTGGAGCTCGATGGCGGAACTGGAAGGGAAAAGGACCGAGGAGAGGGGGAGAGCAACAGCGGAGTTATGGACACTGGATAGATCCAGGGTGGCATGGATACTGATTGAACAATATAATGCTAGCGACGATAGGGCGTAGGACGACGCGAAAATAATGAGAAGAACTGGAAGGTTATGATGGGATATCGGAAGGGTGGGAGGCTCAATGCACCACGCCAGCCCGCGCTACTCGGAACAGCACTATCACAACAGTATCCGTATTAATAATAAGAATAAGAATAATAGCTCCGATGGGGAGGACGATGAGACATGATAATTTTCCTTCATGTTTGGCCTGGAGATCGGGCTGGAAATAGCGGTCGAGGGCTGGGTATCGTGATGGACGGATAAAAATTCGCCATGTATTGCCGTGACAAGGAAAAGAGTACGTACAGGTTTAACTGGAGAATAATCTGCTTCAGGTGCCAGGCCTTTTCGCGTATTATTTGGCTGTCAGACGATCGTTTCTTCCAGACACTTGGTACTTACCTGGTACCTACCTACCTTAGGCACCTATTAAGGTACCTTACCTTAGGCACGTACAAAGTCTTACCTAGCTGCCCTCCGGAGGCAATTGCTCTCCCGGCCCCAACCGGGCGATAGACTAATTGTGTATAGAGGCTAATGCCCGTAATAGGCGCTAAGTTAGAGGTACCTTTAGGTATCAAGCCAGGATCCGTATGTACCTGTAAGATACTGAGGTAGCTACCTATCGACAATCACCGCCATCACTCTCATGATCTCTCACCTTCTTGCCACTAATCCACTTCAAGCAGGCAAGGCAGTGTCTTCCGTGACTCCCAACACCGAGATGGTGACAAGATGCGCGCCCATCGCCTTAGGGCCATGCAATGTTAGATGAGAAGGACGGTCGTCTGGTGCTCTCATAACAAGCTTCCAAATCACCACATGCATGCCTAACTTAAGTGGGAAAGGATGCAATTTTTGAGGGGGCGGCCAAAAGTGGGCTTGGGCTTCGGCTTCGGAGCGTCCACTGTCCACTGTCCACTGCTGTCCAGGGCGCGCCAGCATCCCTGCAATCTCCAACTGCCTGCGCCGGGGGTTGAGACTGCCAATCACGCCCAGCTCTTAGCAAACTCGACCGGCGCTGGCGATCATCAGACATGGGCTGGGAAGAAGAACAAGCAATGTCCAAATCGCATGTCGGGATGCGCGCCACTATGACTGGCCCCAGTCCATATCCAGGGTCTGAGCCCGTTGCGCATGCTGCAGCTGCAGCGAGTGAAGCACCCACATCCTGCCAAACATGCTTTGGCCCATCTCGATGACGGTCTCGCCACCCCGAGCATCCTCCAGTCCATCGAACAGGCTGTGAAAGACAGGCGCACGCTTCAGCATGCGTGATACGTATGCTTCTTACTCTGTAGCCGCAGGAGGTGTGCGCGTTGCTGGCCATCAATAATGCGATATCGCGCCCAACTCGTTGACACGGGCCTCCAGATCCTCCTGACAGGATGGAAACATGCCGCACATCTTGTCATTGTTTTCCCCCTCGCTCTTCGCACCTTTCCCTTCTCATCACATCGCATTCTCTTGCCCAGTGCGCACTCGATGCCCAGCACCTCTTAATTCCAGGCGACTAAACCTAGATCGGCGCTAAGCCCGGCCTGCTACACGGCGGTGATGAACTGCCATGTGTGGCCCGGGCGATGATCCTGGATATGGCTGTTGGCGCCGCCGATCAGCATGTTGATGCCGTTTGGCTTCCAATGTTCAGGCTGTTGACGGCTCCCTGACCGTCTTTCTCTCTCGAGTTGCCGTCGTGATTGGAACATAGTGATGCATTGCTGACGCAACCTTGACCTGTCTGTCAGCCACAGGTTTGCTCGCCATTGGTGATCCTACCCTAGTTCATGCATCTCTCGAGCTACACCGACTCAGAGCCAGAGCTGGGAAAGACTTCCATCTGACCTGCTCTGGGGAGAAATGGAGACGCCGAATCGTCATCGAAAAGACCAACTGTGTGAAGGCCGGAACGGACACCGTCAGACTCTGCGTACTGTCACTGACCCAGCCGCCCCCACTGATTCGATCGGGTACACACGCACACCCATGTTGGTCCGAGCTGGCAAGCTGCCGGGCTCAAGCTTGAAGTTGGCTCCCGTCTGCCTCCTAGCCTCAGCTCCCTTGGGCGCTTCTCCTGGTCGTTGGCCTTTGCGCTTTCCACCCGCCGCCTCCATCTCGCTTGTTCATGCCTGCTAGTACGGAGGATATCAGATACTGAAACTTCTGCAGTACTTCAGCCACAACATCCGACTACAGCTTAATGTCAGCAATCTGCCAACGGCTCTGCTCAGCCTTGTTCAGCATGGCGAGCTGTACGACAGAAGATTCTCGGCATACCAAACAGTTTAATAATAGTATCGACTTTTGATGGATCGGACATTGGCGCTGAGAAGTGCTTCCCACTGCTTTTCTGTGCTGCTGTGGCGTCTTTCTCATCTCCACGCTCCATCTCCAACAGAGGCTGCTTTCACCGCCGGCCAAGCATGTTAGTTCTCTCCGCTACGACACTCTTTCGTTGCTGCGGGATTAGCGCGATAATTCCACCGTGTTGCGCGTCACCGCTGCATCCTTAACTGAGCTCGGAGTCATGTTTCCGTCAGGTTCGGACGTGCAACAGATTTATCGAAAGTGGCCGGTCGAAGCCCTGCAATCTCCATTCCGAGAACCTGAATTGGGTTGTTGCTGACTGCTAGTGTCTTTGACTCGAGGCGTCTCCGTGATAGTCGTGATGGAGTTGGTGGATGGAGGTCAATCTCGGCTCTCTGCGCTTTGCCGAAGTTCTGAAACCATGACAGCTGGAGCGGTTTGAGCAGCTGTGTGTCTCATAGCTGCATGTCTCGCAAGAATCTTCTCAGATGTGCAGTGATAAGTTGTGTTCGCGAATTGATTGCAGGGTCGGCTGGTGGGTTTTCCTACGATAGACCTGAAGCACATCTGCTGATCGACTTGAATGACAGCCCTCGGAGTTCTAGACTGTTCGAGTCACGGCCGTGCAGACCAGACACCATCGCGACATCAAGCCAGCAACCGGCGAGCAAGGATCAATCAGAGACCCCATCCGGCCGGGGTTAGCTCCGGTATCCAGAAGCCGGCCACTGTTGAGCTGTCTTGCACTCTCACCTGGGGCTTTTGGTGCCGAGATGAATGTGCAAAATGTACGTGATTTAGCCTTTCGCTTTTTCCGACGTTGGTGTATGGTGCCATTTTGAAACACCCTTCTTTTCGTATCTAGATTGCCTTGAAGGATGTTGAAACACCTCACTCTACTGTTCGTTGTTTTTTGATTAGGGAATGATCCATCTGAAGGAGATGGTAGCTGGCCGCGAGAGCAGTTCCTAGGACTTCAGATGCTCTTTCGCTTTGTACTCAAGGCCACAAAGACAAGGAATCTGCAGGGAGACATCATCACGAGATCGGCTCGCTCAACAAAGACTCTTGCCGTAGGGTGAAATGGTCGCATTAGAGATGTGGTGGTCACTATTCTTCGTCTACCTGTCCTGCTGGGGTCGGCGTGGTTTATCCTAGAGGCTGGACGTTCTAACCAGATGTTTTGCTGAGAGGTGAGCTGCCCTCCGCCAGTGTTCATAGAGCGCTGATCATCGTATTTTACCTTTGCACACATCCAGCACCTGAAGGTGGCCAACGAGACGGTTGGCCGGAAAGGGCGGTTATGAAAACAGTAGGACCTGGCTTGGAGAGTGACCATATGTTCGAGATATCATGGTGGCTGCAAATCGTCGACCGCAGTGATCAGGAAGCATGGTGGCTGAGATAGAGTTATCGTCTCGAGTTGTGAGCCCTTAGCCCCAAGTTACCATTCTCTGTCTTGGTCCAGCGGTCATATTAGCATGTTTTCTTTTCTGTCCGAATAGATCGAGCCCGATTCAATTCTGGGTATTGCGGTTTCCCCACGCAGGCCGCATCCGACAAAGGCAATCAGTCCCCTGCCCGCGTATGGTTCATTGTTTTGGCCCGCTTGGTCTGTCAGAAGGTCTGAGGAGTTCGCAGGCCCAACCACACCGTCTAACACCCATTTGGGATAACAGACGATTAAACTTAGCTCGTCATCGATGTACGGCCTTCCACTGGTAGCCAGCGGAAAGGTCAAGATAAGAGTTCCGTACAACCGGGATCGAAGGGATTATCGTCTGTCGCTTCGTGAAAGATCGATTAGGAGACGGCTTGGGGCCGGGACAGTGCAACCCCAGTAAATTGCCGCCATGCGTCGAAGACATACACACGGAGTATCCGTACAGTGTACACTGTAGGGATCGTGGGCCAAGGAGCCCGCAGTCCGTGTTATCGGATCTAAGGGATGTCAAGTGCGGCCAGGATGTGTTCAATGGTGTCGGCGGACTGCAGGGGTAAACCAGTAGATTCGCGGTACTAATGGAGCACCAGGATAGCTGCAGCTTTCAGGGGCTTCTGTTGACCATCTGTGGATTTGGTCCATGCTCTTGTGGTCGGTTTAGTGATAATTGTCCATACACGTACGGAGTACGAGTACGCGGTCACCTTCGAGGTGAGGTGTGCGCGAACGGAGGTCACATACGAGTAGGCTAGCCGTTGGGTTTGGGGTTCGTTCCGAGCTGAGAGGCGGATGATGAGCGACAACGTGGTGGGCATGGGTGACATCCTCGTGGCGGACAACGTGCTGATCTCAGTAGTAGTGACACCCACGAGTTCCTGCCACGAGCAAGGTCAGGGAGGCGCACAGGCGCAGGGGGGCGTTCGGCATGCGGCAAAGATCTTCAGACACTAGCAGCCTCGCGGTGCCGGTAGGAGGGAGGGGAGGCTTGAGGCTTGCCACTACTTACCGAGTAGGGGCCTCCTAAGCCTGGCGGGTCAAAGCTGGATAGACGAGACGAGCGCAATTGAATTGCCTGCAGTCACAAGCGACGGATAGCGGACGATCGATGCTGGATGCCTGTCACCTAGCCTGTAGTACGTGTGCTCTGCAAGTGTACAGGCGAATGGCGGACGGCTCTTTGGCGTACTCCGTACTCCGTACTCCATCGATTGCCCCCGGTTAACATCAACCTAACTGAAGATACGGGATTTTCGTCCTCAGGACACGTTGATGTCTAAGCCGCTTGTTGTGGGCTGTCAACCCAGAAATCATGGTTCAGGGTGGAGAGGACGAAGCCCTTGTCTCAGATTGTCATCTTCTGCCATCTGCAAGTCTGGGAAGCCATCACGTCAACGAGTTCCACGCCCTTGGTGCCCTCTGGCCGCGTGCTGGAGGTAGATGTGGCACAGGAGAGAGGCGTATGGCCTGGTGAAATGGGCGCTTCGAAGCCAGCGATGCCTCCCCTCAACTTCTCCCGCATCACCTCGTTGCTTGCAGCCATCGCCACACACCGGCCATAGCGTTCCCACACATACTCTGTACTCTGGAGTCTGTAATAGTGTACGGATCCCCCGTACACATTATATGGCGCGGGTCCGACCAACGGCTTCAACCGCAGGAGGAGACTATCACTACCGGATCGACTGCCTTTCTTTCCATGACAGTTTTGACAGCAAACGGTCTCTCGTGGTCTATCAGCGGCGAACGTCATCCACTCGCGCCGTCCCTTCTATCCTGCTCGACCGTCCGCCGTTGGGTGGCCTAAATATTCCTCACGCATATCTCCTACGTCTGCCGCACGGCCGATGTTGTCTATGTCGCCAGTCGAGACCTCGTTGCTAAAGCGCTCATGAGTCGAGAATGTCATAAGGAGAAAGGGATCAATATCGAAGGAAATCCATGACGCATCCGAGGGGAATTTTGAGCCAAATTGGCCGTTGTGTCCACATTCGTCGTTACGACATGGATCGACTGTTGGCGTGCTGGCCGGGATCACTAGTCTCTCGATGGATTCTGGCCTGGAAACATTCAGAACTTCGGATTCTTCCCAGCTGCCGCTCTTCATTATAAAGCAGATCCGAGATTCGGTACCAAGGAGTCCGGCTCTCGCTACTCTCTAGGCGTGGGTATTGGCCCCCGAGACGTGGTCACGATGTGGAGAGGAAACTAAGCTTCGCAGCAACAAGCCCTGGTCAGCTAGGCGCCTACAAAGCATTTCACGCTTTCTTTGTCGGAAGAATTGTGACAAAGTGACGCATGGCGAGACTCTCGTGTCAGAAATATTTGCTCCCAAGACATCTAACCGTAGGCCTCGCATCTCTGAGTGCGATGTGGCAGGTGTACTCCTTCCTGCCTGGCCTACTTGCAGTCCAATACAGGACGCTTGATACAAGCTCAATCCGACAGACCAGGCTGAGGACGCACCGGGGAGGCGATAACAATAGAAATGAGGTGAGGGATCAGAACAAGAGTAGAAGACTGACTCCCAGATCACAGTAGTATTGATCTCTCCGAAAGGTAGAAGAAAATATTGTTCATTACTGACATAATACTCTCATCTTTGATTCTCCTTGATTCTCCTTGATTCGTGACAATCCGTTGCAAATGCTGCATCGCGGAGTAAGGACTGATGCGTCGGTTCCGCTCCCTACTCTGTCTGCGGAATTCTGACATTTAATGCCTGCCACATAGCGTTGAACCGTTGTTAATCCAGACAAACTTCATGCGTTCATCGAATAACCGGCAGTATGGGGCTCGACTCTGATATCTGGGATTGGTATCTCCTGCGACTGTGGTGGTGGGCGCGCCACGACGGGGGTGGCCAATTGAGGCGGGGCTAAACCAGGCTGTCCTGGAATGCTCACAGGCACGGAAAACTCCTCCCTCCTGGACTGCGGCGGCTGCTGCTGCTGCTGCTGTTGCTGTGCAAAATATGCTCTAGGATCTCCTTGGATAGGCGGAGCTTGATCGATCGCTAGACGCTGTCTGCCCCCGCCCTCAGTCATGTCACCCTCGCTGCTGTCACTGTAGCCGCGCGTCTCTCTACGGCGACGCCGACGCTGTTCGAGTTCGGCTTGCCACTGCCGTTCACGGGTTTCTGTAGTGATATCGTCAGTAGGCATATTACTCCAATCTAGGAGAGCTGGAACATAGAGTGCATCGGTGATCTGAAGGGCCTGCGAAATTGGAATTGGGAAAGGGATAATATACCTCTGATTTCTTTGGTCTTTTCCGCAAACTTCATAATCTCGTCTCTGGACACCACACGCAGCACAATCACGTAGTCGTCTCTTTCCTCAAATCGTTCATGTGCCTTTTCCAGTGCTTCCGGGTTCACCAACGCTCGACTGATTTTAGTCCAGCGTGCATGCGGTGGTATTCCGTCTTTGGTTGCGTCCTTGAGAGGGGCCACACCTTCGCGCTCGGGGTGAGGGTCTTCGGGGAAAGGGGTTTCACGCGGTGGTTTGAGTATGCCCTTTGGCTTGATTTCCTCTTTCTTATCTGAAGGTTCGACCAATTGAACGCGTCGTGGGCGGCCAGCTTCATCTTCACCCGGCGAAACAACATGTTGCTCAGACGAGGACGGTTCTCGCGTGGCATCACGAGAAGGTGCCCTTTCGTGGCGTGAGCGAGGAGGTTCGCGCAGGTCAGCGTCTCTGTCCGGTTCATGTTGACGTTCAAGATACTCTCTACCTCCAGAATCCTCGGTCGTATCTGACTCGTCTCCGCGTTGAGCTCGATCTTTGTGTCGCCGGCGATGGCGTTTCCGTTGATCATAATGGTTTTCATGGTCACTTCCTGCGTCGCCACCTCTTCCTTCATCTCTGCGTCGATCATGGGATGCACGGTCACCGACATTCAGAGTAAGATCGCGCTCGACACGACCAGCGAGCTCGTCTGGACTTGGTTCGTCGTTGGCATGGTGATGCCTCCTCCTTCTATGTTTGCGGTCTTTATGATCATCACTCTCGGATCCATCTGGAACGCCCTTCGAGCTCTTGACCGCTGCCCCCGCCAGTGCACCTGCAGCAGCCAAACCTGCGGCTGCGGCAAGGCCCTTTCGTGAGCCAGCATGTTCTGGACTATCCTCACGACTTCGAGGTTGACGACGTTCGTCAACTCCTCGAATGTTTCTGTCAACTTCCCGCAGTTTCTCCCGATCACCATTTCGTTCTCTCTCTCGGTCTCTCTCTCTGTCTCTCTCTCGGTCTCTCTCTCGGTCTCTATCCCAGTCCCTGTCGCGGTCCCGGACGCGCTCAGACTCACGTGGTGGCACACGTAAAACCTCTCTTTCTCTTTCTCTTTCTCTTTCTCTTTCTCTTTCGTACTTAGCTCTAGAAATTTTGTCGTCGTCGTCGAGCCGCTCATGCCGTTTCGGCGCGAGGCGCGGATCCCGCTCCTCCCGGGCAGACGCATAGCCATCGTCCCGATGCTGGTGCACCACTGGGGCTCTGGTCGATCGGTGTCGAGACACAATCTCGGCTGGACGCTCATCGTAATCACGAAGACGAGTGCCGCTGCCGCGATAGGGGTCCGATCTTTCGATCCTATCTAATGCACGAGTGGAAGAGAGAGGTGGGCCCTCCCTTCTCGTGGGATGCTTGTATTCCTGCAGCCCGATTACACTGGTCGGACGTTCCCGCCTGCTGTAACTCTGAGCCCTCTGTGGTGGCCTGGAGGACTCCTGCAAAAAGTGCTCCGTCGGTGTCGTGTATGAGAAGCCTTCGTCTTGTAATGGTGCATTGTAGCCACCACGGCGATGGTATTCCGGCTGTCTATGGCTTCTCGCGGGGCCCAGACGATCCTCTTCGGCCCTCGTTGCGCTTAAGTTTCTATGATGGTGTCGTGAGTGTGATGCGGCAGGCACGAGGTACCTTTCTCCCGCAGACGCTATGACGGGAGTTCTAGGATCGTCCCGTGATGAAGGAGTGACCACTGCTGGTCGAACACGTGGAGGCGAAGGAGGTCTGTTTATGAAAGCACTGACAGGCCTGCGGGATTCGGAGCCAATCGTCGAATTATGTCTTGGGCGGACAGTATACTCTGTCCTGATTGTAGAGCCACCACCAGGATGATTATCATCAAGATATGTCTTCCTCGCCACGGCCTGTGTGGTGTAGACGCTCCCATGTCGACCTACTGGCACAGGGTCGACTGTAGCTCGTGGTTGTGCATGATAGCGAGAATCGAAGGAAGAGGAGAACACCATCCCGGTAGAGGCGCGGGGGTCAGCATATCGGCGCCCTGGGGGGGAGCTGGGACGATAACGGTTTTCGGTCATGTCGAGGGTACGCAAAGAGGCTGCTGTAGCTACGAGCCTGGATCCTCAAAACATTTAGCCGACAGTGGTAGAGGGGTTGTGAAAGGCTGCCGCTGCAGGCAGGGAGGAGGTGTGAAGCGGCTCCTACTCCTAACAGATTTTCCTAGTTAGCAAGACTCGACTCTAAGGAAGGAAAACAAGTCTGTGATAGGGCCCAGGGAGAAGGACAAGATAGGATGTCTGGGGTTTGGAGCAGAGGCCGAGGACTCATTCACTTGAGGCGGCAGCGAGGAGGGGGAATGAGACTATAAACTTAGTAGTTAGTACCTTCTGGAATTGTCAACAGACTTGACTACGGCCAGCCTGCTCGAAGAGCGAAAAGTGAGTCTCGCAGTAGGAAGGACGCTGATGCATGGAGTTGATGGGTGCGGATAACAACAAACAATGATAAATATTAATACGGAGTATGGAAAGGGGATTTGACAGCAAGAGACACTTTGCATCCGACACTGGCACCAGGATAATCGTCCGCACTGCAGTATGCGTATTCCGTACTCTGTAGAACACACTAGATCGACGTCATGCCGTCTCATCCCCGCCTGCGCCTACTATTAGGAGTACAGAGTATGTACCTAATATATGTGTATACTATTCTGCTACCAGGTTCATATCAGGCATTAGTTATAACTAACCACCAACTACTGATTTCTCTCTCCCTCCTAGGCACCTACTACGAGGCACCTACTATTACCTACTACCTAGGTGCATCCAACAAGCACCACCCTAATCACCGCCTACAAATGCTTGGTTATGTTCGGCTGCCCAACAAGTCCTTCTCCTGACCACCTTCTTCAGTTTGTCTTCTTGATTGCACCATACTCCCATCTACGGTAGATTCGACCTTTTTCGCTTCGACAGCATCTTCCTCTACTTCAGTACTACGGCCTAAGCCTCCATCAGCGGGATTGGACACGGTTGCCTTGCCCTCCACATAGTCGCAGTTCGCCTCCCTCCGTGCCACCTTGCCTGCCCAACCAACCTGGCTTACTATTTTGGTAGCAAGAACATGCCGATCGAAAGGAAGTGATGCCCAAAGTACCCGCAGATTCTCTATCTTCTCATGACTACTCCGTACTGCTCCCGAGATACCAGTGGGCAGCTGCGAACATTTGGCCCTCGTTGCAAGGTGAACAGTCACATGCAAGAGTTGCAACTCCATTCTGATTTGAGGTCGTGGTTGCCTGTTGGGTTTCCTGCCTTACCTTGGCGTCAATCGATGCCCAGAAAATGGCTCGATACCTGGGCCTTGTACTACTTTATCGAATCGGGCGTCAAACAAACTTTACCGGCAATTGGCAATCAAACTGTGGTGCCTGTGCCCTTCCGAGTGGTCGAAGGATGAATGCCTCTGACACAAAATTACCTTGCACCGGTTCACGGCCTTCTCCTGTGGACCGGCGCCAATGAAGGTGTCAACAATTTTCAGCCTCATCATCCAAACGCTTTGTAAGGAACGGGACCTGCAATCAAGGACCTCAGCGCCTTTACAGATCATCCTATTGTGTCCCGAGCAAGGTTGTTCTGCCTATTATTCCGGAGTGCTTCTGTACCGGAAATAGGTGGGTATGATCCGTTCCTACCAAGCACTTGTGTGCTACACGCCTTTGTACCATCATTTTGCAAAGATTTCTACTAAAGTGCACTAGGAGTGGGTATTTTTGTTATATCTACGCCTATGGGAGTATTTGATCAAAGTCACACCCGCAACTGAAGTGTCACTGGGCCTCTTCTGTCACGATTACCTTTCTGGCGACCATCCGCCTTTCAACTTTTGCACCAGCCTGCATCGATCACGTGTCAACTTCCTGTCAGGTCATTTTGTCAGGTCGTCAAGTCGAGTGCCCTTTCGCCAGGACGCTGAAAGGCGTGAGAGTTTTCACCTTGCTACCCGATGATTACGGCTGTGCGCAGTGGCCAAATGGGTGTTGAATTCGTACCGCTTTACGTTTGCACCTTTGAGGCAAGGGCACCCTCGTCTGTAGAGTTGTGCGGATCGGAGAGGATTGCACGAATGGGCTGTGTGTCTACTGTCTCCTTGTACTGTCCCCCGCGAACATATCGACTGGAGAGACTGCTTCAATCAACTCAGGTTGCCTATTGACATAGCCACTTCTTCTATCTGCTGCAAGGTAACTTCTACCTGCTGCAAGGTAAGTTTGAGACGAGGTCACAACTGAAGGAGCACCGTTGAGTACAACGCTTGATGATGCTGCCCATCCTCCCAATCACAGGTTCCAGGTACGCTCAAACCCGCCCAGCATACACCGGACGTCTGCACGCCTCAGTGTCTCTCACATGTACTGGGATGAACAAACCTCAAGTCGGTGGGTATCTCGACCACAATCCTGAGTGGATCGAACGGAGGTAGTATATGAAATGACGATGTACTTTTGACCGAGGAGAAGGCGTCTCTCTACAAAGATACCGATGTATGAGAAGCTGCATCGGCGTCAATTTGTTCTAATCTACCATCTAGCCACTTTCCTTCAAAGATACCTCCTTACGATGTTACCTTCCTTTCGTCAAATGAGGTAGGCGGGCTCTGTTGCTGTTGAGGTCTTGAGTTATAAACCCGGCCCAGTCTTCATGACATGAATAGCACCTTCGTCTACCTCATGACGCCCCTTTCTTTCGATGACATTCACCTCCCTCAGCTTTCCTTATCACGCTTTTACTATTTCGCAGCCTGCAAGTCAATTCGGTGGTATCACACCAACAGCGCAAGGAAGAGCACTCCTCATACATTCATTCTCTCACACCTTTGAACCTGTCGAACTTGTCCCAGTCTTGGCTGTTGAAATGCCACGATTATGGCAATGCCATCTATGTGGCGCAAGGCCTTATCTGATCGCTACCACTGAGAAGTGTCTCGAATGCGAGCACAAAAGATGCTCTAAGTGCAAGGTCGACAACAACATTGACCCTCCTTTGAAGTCTTCGCATCCATTATGCTACAATACCAACCAGGATGGTGGAAGCCTGCACATAGACCAATGCGCTGAGTTTCGAGGCCACCAACCTTTCCAGAATACTTCTGCTACAGCCCAGACCTGGCCTGAGCCTGCTTTCCCTTTGAACAACGGGAGCTTGCTCTCCAGCAGCCGACCATCTATGACGGGATGGTGGCGCTGCCACATATGCGAATACCTCAACAACCCGGACTTAGCAGATGGCAAATGCGTAGGGTGCAATCACACCAGGTGTGGCCACTGCCGCACCCGCGATTGAGTTTATGGGTGGCGCAACGAGCCTGAGCATACCATTCACACCATTATACTTGGAAACCTGTGTGCGAGATGTCCTATACAGCCTCGAGGCTCAACGAATGAATGGAACCTTCACCCTCTTTTCGCAATAACATTGGCTTGGTTTATCAGCCTTTGTGGTGGACGCCGTCCAATCTGATGTGGAGAGCAGCCTTTCTTCAATTCGGCTCTGCTTTACTATTGTCATTCTTTCTGTCCCGGTATTGTCCTTGTTGGAAGGCCAGATTTACAACACTCCTATTCCAGGATTGACTATATTGTCTGATCATCCTGCACGGTCGTTACCGCCAGTTCCTTCCGCTCGTCACATTGGTCGTCATGAACACTTAGCACATTTCAGTCCAACTGAATTCTTTGAGCGGATTACAGCCTGCAACAACGCCTCTGTCGTTCTTCAGATACTCTGGCCGAACAGGAAAGTGCTGTGTTCCAGTCACCCGATGCACGTCGGTCTCACAGGACAAATGCGAACATGGACGCAAATGCAAGCATGAAGGCATCATCATTCTTTTCAACCGTGTCTTCCTATCTTACTCGCATAACATCTCTGGCCACAGACAGCAAAACAGCAGGATTACAGCTCACTCGTTATTGTCTGTGGTGCGACGAATTTCATATTTTCAGATATCTTCCAGACACTGTCATTAGCACCAAGTAGTTTTTGACTAGGTAGCGGCCCGTTTTGGACGAACAAACCATCTCTCAGCCTGGCTTTTGAAGTTATTGGATATTATCTTCCCCCCTACTTCCCCTTGTATCTTTCTTTCCTGCTGAGCTTCACTTCTACCTTACCCTGACTCAGAATGGTCATACCTCTCCAGGTCATATTCTCCCATTGACCCGTGCCTTAGAGGTTCCTCCAAGGAGACTACCTAGACTCCCACACTGGCCCCTTTCTGGCCTCTACAACTAGCGGCCCGTGACAGACGAACCAAGTCTCATCCTGATGGTGGGAGACTAGACTTGCCCTTGGTGTGTCATTTCAACAACCCTTTCACCAAACCATCTTACGGAAAGCATGCAAAGCATGCAAAGCATGCAAAGCATGCAAAGCAAAGAAGGCGGCAGTGCCACGTGCAAGGCTGTGGAGGGAGGGAAAATATGGAGAAGGGGGAAAGGGATAAGGGGGTTTAAGGTGTCAAACTTAGGCTAAGGGGCACTAACTTAGGCATTCCCAGCCTTGTGCTTTAACCAGAAGGCTGGCTTAGGTGTGCTATCTATACTAGATAGCATGCGCTCTCCCTGCGACCCGTTGATAGAGAACATGGAACATTTCAACCTTCATTAGACATGGAGAACCTCGCGAGTGAACCGTACCTATTAGTACCGAGTGCCGAGCACACTTTCATATCATTGTAGCGACGGGCGACGTACTGCAACAACCTGAATAGAACGAACATGCTATGCTAGGAGGAAAGGAGGGAAGGAGGGCTGCTAATATCTTGCGTTGTGAAGTGATAGCAACATTGACATATTGATGGATATCCTGTCCTGTATCACCTTATCACCTACTAGTACACCTACACCTACATCTACACCCACACCCACACGAGCAGGCCGCTTACTCCGGACGATCGATAGCAATTACGTATATATGCTAGCCGTGGGATGTAGATTTAGATTGATAAACGAGAGAAGGATAAGGGGACCATGTCTCGCGTAGCTTAGGTACCTGTACCTCAAGCAATGGCTAGCAGCTGTGAGCTACGAACGAACTACGGCCACGCTGGGAAAGAATTCCAGAGAAGTAGGTAGGTGGTACAGTATGTCTTCATCTCAAAATGCGGTGCTAATCAATTCATCTCTCTTCTCTATTCACGGCTCCAGACCCGGGGCGGCTCCGGCTGGCGTCCGACCTCCTCCTTCTCCGCCTCTTCTTGTGTCGCCTCTTCCCTGTTTCTTCCACTTCACTCTCGCCGCGTCTATTAGCATCGTGATCCTCGTGATGATCATCATCATCTATACCTGCTTCCTTCTTCATCCTTGACACCACTGTGCCAAGCTTGTACATACTGGTTGGATCGCTATGGTCCAGTAAAGGAGAGGGACGCAGCGGAAGAAACCAGTCCAGCAAAGTAAACCCCATGACCTCTTTGAAGTTGTTGAACCAACCGATGTCGAAAGGGTTCTCGCCCGGTGCGGTCTCGAGGATCGCGAATGTGCGTTTCAGATCGGCCGCCTCTTCTGACCGCACGGGTAGGGAGAGGCTGTCCTGCCGTGAGCGTGCCGATGGAGTTATATTTCCGCTCGAGGCCACGGGATTCGAAGGAAAGGCCGGACGGGAATGCTGATCATAAGCCGCGGCTGGAGGAGTAATCCTGCTCGGATGCCACGCTTCCCGAGCAACGCTCTGCTGACTGTCATTGTCCTTGGCACCGTGCAGTTGGAGTATCTGGAATTGTTCGGATGGCGGGCGTGGATATGTGATCAATCTCAGATCGTCCCGGCCCGACGCTTGATACTTCTCAAACACCTGCCTGGGAATGTACACCGCCAGATACCAGACCTTGGTCTTGCGTGTGAGATGCTCAATAGTCGAGGAGTTGACGAATGCAAACTGCAGGCTTGATCCGCACATGCCTGCACTGAAGAGCAAAAAGAGCGAAGCAAACGCCAAAGCCAGAATCCAATGGACATTGATAAACCGCTCGTCCCGTCGACGTTTCGCAAAGTAATACGCCACGACGACCAACGTATCTAGACAAAAAAGAGCAGCCCAGAAAGTGAACTGAATAAAATACTTGAAAGAAGTCTCGGAGACTATGCCTCCGACCCAAGGACAGAAGTGGTCCATCTTCAACACGCAGCGGCCGAGTTCGCTGCAGTGGTGCGCTCGGTCGGGTTTATAGTTGTAGCATGTCGAGCAAAATGGGGGGCGCCCATCCCAGCCGCACGCGAAGACATCCTTGTGCCAGAAGTCCTGGGTAGGGAACTCCTCGTCTCGCCGATGCCGGCGAAGGTGTCGTGGGGTATAGCCCTCAGTTGAGCTGTGTTCCAGTGCCTCCTCTTTACGACTTGCACTTCTAGCTCTCCCCGTACTCTTTTCTTTTTCAATATTCCATTGCGGTCCGCGTGGGACGAAGCCCGGTCTGGTGAGAATTGTCTGGAGGAGGCGGCCAAGACATGTCAGAGCGATAAGTAATAGTAGATAAAATATGACGAGGATAGCGATGGCGGCGCCGGTCTGCGAGTGGACGGTTACAGATGCGCGAGGGCGAGGGTGGATGAGATAGTCAAGGCAGACATGCTTCGTAACAACCCATGACGAATAGGCGATGATGCCTAGTAAAAGAGCTGGCACAATCCGGGCGGTCGCAATGTTCCCTCGCTTGTTGGCCTCCCGAGGTCGCAGCAGTTTCATGGCGCAGGCGGGCAGAGTGCCGTGATTTAGGATGGAAGGGCGAGGTCAGCGCGCCAGAATCAACAACATACTGCGATCAGCAGGAACCTTCTATATTGCAAGCCCTTGCTGGGCCTCTTTGGTCGACCATATAGATGGCGATGGCCTGCGTACCGTACAAGTAGTAAAGGGAGGCCATGTGTGTCTAGAAGTTGGTTCAATTACGGAGTATGGAGTAACCAGTAGCGCTGATTGGGAGTGACCACTAAGTATTTCGAAGGAAGGTGTGCCGACGGAATGTCTCTAAAGCGCATACCGCCCCATCCCCTCCCCCTCCCCCGGAATGACTGGATGTGGATAATCGACTTGTTCCTCAACTCTGGACGGAAGTGGTCAGTTGTTGTGGGTGCGTCTGAAAAGACCATCACCAGAGGCACTCATGAACAATGAAACTGTCTGACTGAATTGTGTGACGAATTTATGCACGGAGCAATTGGCCGACAGACGAAAACGATCATTGTCTCATGACATGATATGACGCACACCTTCCTCGCCACCACAGTTCACTGCAAGATGCCCCAAACAGCACCTGGCACAGCTGTTGATACAACCACCGATGAATCGCAGAAACATGCGACACCTGGTCGAAGAAACTTCTATTCTCGAAAACCACTAATGATTTTATGTACGAATTGAGCCATTGTATAGACACCTTATGTTCGGCAAAGGAACCTGATCCTCAATTCAATGACTTTGGCCTAGAGTGGCATGTACTCAATCAAATCAATTGCCTGATGACTGCGGATCATCCCATCGTTCAATGAATTCCGTTCACTTCACTTAAGCCTTCTCGATTTTCTCTCGGAGAATGCCCTTCAATGTGACGGCATCGGCAGCAAACTTGCTGATACCTTCTCGGAGCTTCTCAACAGCCATTTGCTCCTCGTTGAAGTCGAAGCGGAAAGTGGCCTCGTCGTTGATGTAGGTTTTCTTGGGAATGTCCAGCTTGGCGGCAGCAGCGGCATTGAGTTTCTGTTCGACCTTGTCGGTCGAGTTGTAGAGGTCCTCCAGCAAGTTGGGGGAGATGGTGAGATAGTCGCAGCCAGCGAGTTCGGTGATCTCACCGATGTTTCGGAAGGAGGCTCCCATGACGATGGTATTGTACCCATGCTTCTTGTAGTAGTTGAAGATGCTCTGCACACTCTGCACACCAGGGTCTTCCGTGGCAGAGAAGTCCTTCTTCATGGCTGCCTTGTACCAATCGAGGATACGCCCGACGAAGGGGGAGATCAGGAAAGCACCGGCCTCGGCAGCAGCAATGGCTTGGACGAGGGAGAACATGAGGGTCAAGTTGCAGTTGATGCCCTCCTTTTGCAAGATCTCCGCGGCCTTGATGCCTTCCCAGGTGGAGGCGATTTTAATCAGAACGCGGGACTTGTCGATGCCGATGGACTTGTAGAGCTGCATGCTGTCAATTAACCTTGTTGTGAATGGTGTAGCGAGGTAACCTACCTCGATGATGTGGCGAGCCTTTTCAACTGAAGTCTTGGTGTCGAACGAGAATCGGGCATCGACTTCAGTCGACACTTTGCCGGGAACGATCTTCAAGATTTCTTTGCCAAACTCGACCAGCAGTCGGTCGAGAGCTGAGTCGACCTGCTCTTCAATTGTTTTGCCCTGGATAAATTAATTCAACATTGGCTTCTTGCGAAATGTGGGAGCCAACGTACGTTAGACTTGCCATACTGAACGGCGGCGTCAATCAGTGGTGCATAATCGGGCTTCTTAGAGGCAGCGAGAATCAAGGAAGGGTTGGTGGTGGCATCTTGCGGCTGGTACTTTTTGATGGCTGGAATTTAGTTAGCAAGAGAGCGGCCTGAGGGATTGCAGGGACATACTGTTAAAGTCGCCAGAGTCGCAGACGACCGTCTGTGAAACTTGTGAGCTTGATGAAATTCTTGCATGCGGGTATTGCGGGATGGGGATGGCGGGGTTGTGAACATACAGTGCCAGTGGCTTTGAGCTGGTCGAGAGAGGAAGACATGTTTAGTTGAGTTGCGGGTTGATTGAAGTTGTATAGATTGTACGATGGTGAAGAAGAATTTGGGCTGGGAAGGAGTCGGATGTTTTTCAGAGAAAAGAATTCTGGGATGAAGCGGAAGCTGGTCTGGATTGTTTTTAATGGCGCAGCGTGTCGCTCCGGCTTCTTTCTTGGGGTGACGAAGGAGCAGCACTGCAGTTTCTACGTAAGGTGGGGCAACCACACTGCGCATTGGCGGCTCACAGTAATTAGCCTGAGCCTTAGGCTTAGGCCTCTTTAGCCTCCTAAGCCCTGAGGGAGGCATCCCCCGCTGGTTTCCAGGTTCCTATATACTCCGGACAGTACTGTAGGTGACGCAGTGCCCCGAGACTCACCACTACAGTACCTAAGGTACATGTACTTAGGTACGAGGCTAGGTATGAGGCACCAGAGGCAAGTCAAGTAATTAGTAGTACTACTTTATTACTCGCCACGCTTATCATTCACGGGCACCCAACGGGCTCACTCATTTGTTGTACTCGTGTTGTGAAGTCTGGTCCTCAACAAGCATGTTCAACGGGCCTTCTGACGCCTCACAGGTAGCCTCTCGCCCTGTGACTCCTCTATCAGACTATCCCCCCGCTCCAGCCCTCCTACTGGCCAGTGAGCGTGCTATTATTCCCTTGAGCAGAGGTCAAAACACTATCTGCATCGCCATCCATGCTAAATCGCTTCCTCTCTGTCTGTCGCTTACCTCAACCATACTAAGCATGGGGTGAGTGAGTCAGCGGGATGCTTGGTCACCCTTCAGCATCAGCCCTGCCCCGATCCAGCCAACATCATAGCATACCTACCTCCTGACATACCTATATCAGAGTATTATTGACTGCTGAACTGGACTACTCGTTCCCGGTCATGTCAGGAAGAAAACTCCGCCTGCATTACAGTATGTATTCGTGTTTTGTGTCCATCACGGCAGATCTCCATCCGTTCTTCAAATCCTCTTTTTTGCTAGACTATAGCTAAGGAGCCTATCCTAATATGCAACATACCTATATATCGCTTTTTGACAACATCACAAACGAATTATTATATCAACTCCCACACGACCCGTTCCACACGGCCGTCTAGCTCATTACATATCACAGAATCCTTTCAGCTCAGTGCTTCCCAACTTCTTCCCAATATTATACATTTCGTGTGAAGTAAACAAAGAAAATACATCCACAGAGCGCATTATGCCACCGAAGACGAACAGCAACAAAATTTGCTATCGTCTAGACTCGCGTAGCAGGGTCAGAAGCAATACTAATCCTTCAGCCCGAAAGCCTTGCGCAACATGGGAAATTTCTTCTTTTTCCCGCCCCTCCCGACAGCTTGTATTGGCTCTGTCGCTCGCATACTGCCCTGAGTAAGCCTTGCCGACCCGTTTCTGAGAGGTGCTCCGTCCGAGGTGCTTGGGCGAACCTTCCCGTCTTCTGCTATACTGGGTGGCAGGGGCCAGGAGTCACTCATCATCCTTTGAGGTTGGTGTCGTCTCTGCAGTTTGCCATGCGACTGCAGCGACGGTCCTCGCGGCTCCTCTTTGCTAGCTTCGAGTTTCGCCCGCGTCTGTTCAATCATGCGATCTCGCTCTGCGGCAGATGCGAACCCCAATTGTGATGGCTTGCTTGCGTCTACCTTTGGAGGCGATTGAGGAGACTCAACAACCGGTGAAGATACCTCGTCATTGTGCTTCTTGCCTCGGAGTCTTCCAAAGAATCCACGTTTCTTCTCGGTACTAGGAGATGGAAGTTCGTCATTGAATGTTGGCGCATGATTCGAAGGGATCTGAAGGCTAGCGGGAGTACCGTCTGGTGGCTTTTCGTCGTCTGAGCTATCCTCTAGATCTGTGGAATCGCTGTCACCGCCTCGCCGGGGGATTCCCCGGACGGGTGTGAACTGCGTCGTGTCCGGCTCATCGTCGCTGTCCTCTGCGAATCGTGAGCGGAACTTGCTCTTCCGCGGGATACTGCCCTCATCATCTGAACCTGCAATCAGTGATTGATGCTTTTGCATCAGTCCCACAGCGGGAACAGGCGGCGGACTCTTCTGGCGACGGCCAAATAGGGAAGACGACCGCTTAGCCTCACTTGACGCGCGAAGGCTTGGTACGCCACTGTCTATAGAGCCTCTCATTGATGTCCTCATAGTACGCGTACCACCCGGTGGCGAAAAGGGCCTCCTACCTTCCTGCGAGATAGAACGGACTCGGCTGCCTTCATTTTCTCGCACCGTTGAATCCGGACCTCCACGCATGCTTCGACGCATAGTATGAACGCCCTCTGGGGCCGCCCTGCGACGCCTTCGCTTTCGAAACGAGCTGTCTGAATCACTGTCATTGGACATAACTGGCATGACAGGATGTAACCGTTGTGCCGAGGCAGGGGCTGGTGTTACTGCCGACGGTGCAGGAGTTGAAGACTTCTTTTGCAAGGCCGCTCTTGGCTGTTGCGTTGGGCCAGACGCTGTCCCCTCTAGCGGCCGTTGCCGCTGTCGTATTGGAGCTGGATCAGGCATGGGCTGACGATTCGCGTCCCGCATGGATTTCCGAAATCCCGCATCCGGGTCTGAATGCAAACTGTGCCTCATGGATTGCCTGAAAGGTGCAGCAGTGCCCGCCACTGTAGCAGGAGGGTTTGGACGAGCAGCCGTCGGGTTGGCGGCTGATCGGCTTTTCTTTTGACGAGAAGTGTCTGTGCGCCTGTGAGCAGCGACAGCTGCGGCGGGCACTGATGCAGCGGCAGCGATGGCAGCCTCTGACTTCTTCTTGCGTCGAGGTTGGGACATCTGTGGCTGCTGGGACGGTCCATGACGTTCCTGTTGCTGTGTGACTTGACTGTGAACCGGAGTCACCGTTGGCAGTTTTGGTTCTGGGGAATTTGACACCGCTATCGCTGGACTGTATCTAGTCTGCTCCACAATGTCATTCCATCGTGCTTGTGCCTCTTCCCAAGAGGCTGAACTACCAGCTTCAGGTTGTGGTCGTACAGCATGCGGAAGAGGACTCTCAGGGATAGAAGAAATCAACGACGGAATCGGAACGATAGGACTGTCCACAATAGCATCGATGGAGCCAAAACCCGTTCCGTCAAGCTCTGAAGGATCTTCTGCTGCATCACTGTAGATACTGTCATTGTCGGACTCATTCTCACTTGTCGAATCCATGCCAAGGCCTGTGGGCGCTGTAGGCGATTTAACTGTGTCCTGCGCCGCTCCTTCGAACTTCTCCGGCTGAGTAGTGGATTCACTCAACACGGGGAATCCTCCTGGCACTTCGACAATCCATTGATCATCTGGCCCGCCTTGTTCCAAGGCAGGTGTAGGTGGAATTATGGATACGACCGGAAGCTCTGTTTGAGGAGCTGGCTGAGTGCGCGACGGTGTTTGCTGGTCAAGAGCTGGTGCTTGCTCGGCTTTGTAGGCTGTGGCTTGTGGTCCATCGTGCTTTTCGCCCAGGACACCAAGATTCGTGGTTCCTTCACCTTCTGAACCTTCACTCTCTGAATCGGAAAACGAGACGATACCTTCGACGGAGGTAACCTCGGGCGGCAGAGGTTCGTTTCGACGCTCTCCACCTTCCTGTGGCAGCCTCTGAGTCTCTTTGGCCAGGATCGCGCCAACTGCGTGGTCGCTAGAGACACCGGTGGTGGGATAGGGGTGTCTGTAAGACTCAGAGGAGGGTACCGGTGACGTGGAAGTTAATGTTACCGACTTGTTATCCTCGACTGGCGCTGGCGTGCGGTCTTCTTGGGGGGAATTCGACGTTTGACCTCTAATACTGCCAAAGGAGGGAAGTTGAGGACGCGGCTTCATCAGCTCTTCCATATCGTCGTTAGAAGATACTGTGTTGTCAGCTGGTCTACTTTTCCCCTGAGCCAGCCTCGCTGTCTTCTCCTTGTTTAGAGTTTCAGTGCTGGGAGCAGTATCGGCTGTACCAACAATTTCAGGCTGAGACTCGAAGCTGACCCTGACAGACTTTTTGCGCCTGGGGGCCCCATCCGTAGAAATATTAGAGATATCTGAGGCCTCGCTCGGAGAGACACTAGAACCGCGAGCGTGAGGGTTTTTCGGAGACATCCCAGGAGCTGGAGAATGGTGCTTGAGTGCAGGCTTGGCAGGTGAGACAGACCGCGCAGGCGGCTCGTGCTTTTGTCCTGCTGCAAGATCAGATGATAACCTATCTGAAAACCTTGTGGATCTTGAAGGACTCAGAGATGAGCCCCGAACAGGTTTAGGCTGGATAACTTGAAGGTTGGTCGAGGTGCCAGATGATGTTTCTGGCTTATCCTGAATACTCCCTGGTTGGAAATCGGAGGTCACAAGCTGATTCACAGTCTTGGGAGGAACGTTTGGCTCCTCTATCTTCCTGGAGACATTCGCGGCATTGCTTGAGCGTCTGTTCTGCAGTAGGCTTTGACCACCTTGGCTAGAGCTCAAGTCATGCTCTGCTGCTAGTTGAGCCGGTGAGGGACGAGCGTCCTCATTCTGTTCGCCTTCCCAATCCTCTCGCACAATAGATGGCTGTTTTGTCAGAACTCCAGATGCTCTGTTGGCACGCCGCTCTTTTGTACTTCCGACGGGGGAATCTGAATCAGAATCGGTTCGGGAAGACGTATCAGATGAGGCAAAATGTGTATTCTGTCCCGAATTCGCCAACTTTTTCTTCTTCCTTCTGACAGGAAGCGGCAGATCGGCGGAATCTTGCGCTTCTTGTTCCGGGACTGGGTCAAGATAAGTGCCAACAGGTTTGCTTGCCATTGTACCAGTTTGCAGATGATTTCCCTCGGTCGAGCCAGAGGCAACCTTCTTCTTCTTCTTCTTCACAGGCCGGTTGGCGGTCTCCAAGAGACCGTACTGGATGTCTTCGGCTTCAGCGGGAGAGATGGTCTGAGGAGGCATACTCGCCGGCGTTCTGTGACCGTTTGTCACTGGTGATGCTTGGACTGCGGGTGACTGGGGCCGCGGCGACAATGGTCTTGAAAAGTTGACAGAATTGCGGCTATCTGTGCGTTGAAGTTCATCAATCGCAGCTAGACTATTATTTCGCTCAGCTTGTGATGGCTGCTTGAATCGTTGGGAGCGGTCGAGGCTTTGTCCCCGGTCACTCGGTCGCGTGGGAGGCGGAGACAGAACACGGGGCGGAGGCGCCCCCTGGCTAGATGATCGCATCTTCTTTTTCCCCTGCGCCCGAACATTCCCAGTGTATTCTCGTGGAATATTCGGAATAGGAGGATGCTCCACAAGTTGCGGGCCCGATGGCTGTCTCGAAGGTGATGGGGAAGGAGTTCGAAACGTCCTCTCAGACATGGAACCGGCACTGGGTTGCCTTTGTAGACCGCCTCTTGACCTACCTCGACCTGATCCCGAAAGTGCCCCTTGAGAAGCCTGTCTCTGGATCGTACGTTTTGTCTGGACCTGTTCCACAGGTGTCGGGGTCGGCGTCATGCTCCTCAAAGCGGCAGCTGCGGCAGAAGCTGACAGGGTTGCTGGGGAAGTTCGGCTGGCCAGGAACGCTTGAGTAGCGGCCTGGTGGGCAGAAGCAGAAACAGGAGTCTGCGGCCGCTGAGGTAAAGAAAAGTCAGCACTTGTAAGAACGGGACGATATGGAACGTTGCAGAGTATCGACTTACAGAGGCCGAAGCAGACCTACTCCGTCTGTGGAACAAACTCATACTGGCGACAGTGGGCGACAAACGCCGAGCTTGAGAGTCACAACGACGAGTCGCTCCAAGAGGGAAAAGGGAGTTTCACAGCAGAAAGACGATGATGCCTATCGCGCGACGGGTTGGCAGGGACAAAAGGTGCTATCTTGCCCCATGTCCGCTTCTGGTCGAATTCTCCTCGTCTTCGTTGGCTGCGGAGAGTGAAAGGGAGGAGGGGAGAGAGAGATGAAAAGAAAGAAGGCAAAGACGATGCTCCGGTAGCGTGGGTCTTGCAGATCAGGGCTGTAATGAGGTGGTGGTACTGTGTACTAGGTATCCCGGATGGAGGTGACAATGTGTACGGAGTACTACCAGGTAGGTAAGGTAGCTCAGAATCGGTGGAGGACGCGGTGCTGGTGGTGCTGGTGGTGCTGGGAAATGTGGCTCAGCTACGTCTGTGCAGGATGGTGCCACATTTTGCTAGGGCAACGGTCCAATGATCCGGGGCCCAGCTCGGTCCCGCGATCGAAGCAGGCCAGACTACGTCACGACCTCAGCTGGCATGAGCCTGTGGGAATCAAATTTGATATTACTCCCGTACTGTGTGTGTACATGCTACCATCGGTAGGAGGCAGAGGCAGAGCTGTGGTACTGGCACTGGCCAACTGTTGGGGAGGTGTCTGCACGTGATCCTCCCAGTCCCAACTTCAGCTGAAAATGGATGCGACTCTGGCTGCTGATCATTGTCATGTGAAAGTGGCCCAGATCTGGGGAATCAAAGGTGTGAGAGAGTGAATGTACCCATGAAAGAGTGCTCTTCCTTGCTCGCTGCCTTTCCTAAACGGATAGGCCATACCTAGGTAGCCGATCATGTATTACTGCAGGCAAAGTCTTTCGACCTTCGACTGCTGGCTCACCCACTTCACCCGTGAAAGTGTCTGACTCCAGAAACAGGCGCCAGAAGAACAGACACCCATCTCCCAAAGTAGACATTTTCTGGGAAAGACTAGATTTCTACTGTAGGGAGGCCGTAGAATATATCTAGTATTACAGAAAGATACGGAGTATACCGTCTTTGATTCAACCTGAGGCCGGCAACGATCGGACCACTACCTGGGAATTAGGCAGAAGCTGATTTTTGGAGAATACTTGATTATCTCCAGGGGCGCATTTTCCTCGTTTGTTGTCTCTCCAACTTTCCTACATTAATATGGCTTATACACACCAAGATTCCCCCCCTGGTGCAATTGCTCCAACGACTCTCAGTCCCCTGGAACTTCCAGCCGGGGTGACATCTCGCTTTGTGGATACGAGTCCTCACAGCCTCGTTTTCCACATTCTCGAGTCGCTTCCCAAAGAGGACAGCCCAGCAGGTCCCAGACCTCAATTGATTCTCTTGATTCACGGGTTTCCAGAGATTGCGTATTCGTTCCGCAAGGTCCTTCCTCTCCTAGCGGCGCAGGGCTACCATGCCGTGGCTTTCGACCAGCGAGGATATGGCCGCACGTTCTCCCGTAAGCCTCTCGAAGCGGCGTCATTCCGTCCCTTGAATCTCATCAAGGACACCGTCACTCTCGTCCAAGTTTTGGGATACACAACGGTATCTTGCATCGTCGGACACGACTTCGGCGCGGTCACCGCAAGCCTCTGCGCCTTATCGAGGCCAGACATGTTCAGGCGGCTCGTGTTGATGTCGCATCCGACGAAAGGTCCTCCTCAGCTTCCCTTGTCCACGTCCCCATCCTACGGGCAGCCTTCCGCATCCCCCCCTCCTCCCGTGGACATGGAGAAGGCACTCTCCGAACTGCCCCGGCCAAGGAAGCATTACAAGTGGTACTACTGCACTTCTCCCGCAAATGCTGAGATGACGTTCCCAGCCGGTCCAGCTCTACACACCTTCCTGCGCGGCTACTTCCATTTGAAATCTGCAGATTGGGACGGCAACACACCCCACCCCCTGGAGGGCTGGACGGCTGATGAACTGCAGAAAATGCCCCGCTACTACATCATGGACTTGGCGGACACCATGCGCCAGGCTGTCGAACGAGATATGGCAGAGGAGAATCCCAAGGCCGTCTCCTCCCGTTCAGCACGGTGGTTACCTGACAATGAACTTGCCGTCTACGTAGAGGAATATGGCCGCACGACCTTCCGCGGAGGTCTCAATTGGTACAAGGTCCAGACTCAGCCGGACGTCGCGTCGGATGTTGAAGCCTGGTCCGGCGCAAAGATCTCGATACCCACCCTGTTTGTGGCTGGGAAGCGCGATTGGGGGACCTATCAGGAGCCGGGGGCAATAGAGGCCATGGAGAGCGGTAAAAGTGTGAAAGAGGGAATGTATATGGGCACTGTCTTGATTGAAGACGCTGGACACTGGGTCAACCAGGAGCAGCCGGAGAAATGTGTCGAGGAAATTTTGAAAATCGTGAACCTGTCCTACGGTTAATCTGTCGTAAGGTGGTGTATATATTTTGATGAGAGATCCACTAGTATGGAATGTGCACTGGCTTAGCATGTCGCGACCGGGCTAATCATACTCTGCATGGACGGCTACGATACAGGGTGAAGTTGTAATATAAAACCCCTAAGTCACTTATCGAAATTGAAAATTGCAAAGTAGTATCAGCAAACTGGCGTGGATATCATGCGGTAACCTCCACGTTGTAAATGCACCCTGGCAATGGATGATCCTTGCGCCTCTGTACATCATGCCATGACGCCTTCGCTGAACTGAACTGACCGGAGGGGACGAGGCTGATGTGAGAATGAGCAAACCCAGCAAACACCGTTCGTTGAAATGACCATCAATTGGCCTTCCTCCATCCCTCCATCCCCATGATAAACACCGTGAAACTCCCTCGACTGGACTGAACGACTCATACGTCCGGCTCAGTCATTTCGGAATCCAATCTGTCGCCCCTGGACTTGCCCTTGACATGTTCCGTGTCGTCATCTTCGTCATCTTCGTAATTTTCTTCGTCCTCTGAATCGTTGTTCAAGTCCTGATCTGATTCGCTTCCATTGGCGGCATCGTCATCAAAATCATCGAAGTCAATGTCCTCGCCTTCACTATCGTTCCAGAAATCGTCGTCGATCTTGTCAATAACGGGCTTGGTGGATTCGTGCGTGGGCAGAATGAAACCTTCAGGGATATCTTTCTTGGATGCTTCAACATCCTGTCTAACTCTGGCCTTGTATGCTTCCTTATCATCTCTAAGCATGACGCTGGCGTCGACATTGGCGGGAGAGGATATCTCGGCATCATCAAGGAGAGACAGAATGGAGATCAGGACAGATTCGACACGTTGTGCCGGGGACCAACGCTCGCCTGCACTCTCACCGGACATCATATCCTCACCCGGAGCATGTAGAATTGATATGCACAGGCGGCCGTCGGCATAGATATTTGGATGCCATAACGGCTTAGTGAAGCGGAAGTCTGCAACATATCAGCTCAGCGGTATATCTCCGGATGCCGATCTACTTACCCGGAGGCTTGTATGGGTAGTCCTTGGGGAAGTTCATTTGAGCTTTGAAGTAGCCACCATAGTAAAGCGAATCGGGGTTGAGGACCATTAACGCTAACTTCCAGTGGTAGATGTTCTCCTCGTCAATCTGATCTGCGTAAGTCTTGCTTCCTAGAATGGCTGGTGAAGGCGGCATGACTTACGTCGATCTGAACCCATTTCTCTTTGGCCAGAGCCTTGTACTCCTTCATAAGGACAGCCTGCGACATACTGCGATAACCGGGGTCGGATGAGGACAGGTGGAAGGCTGACGCGAGAGGCAAGCGGTGGCGGAGGTGAAGCTGGACCGGAAATGCAGTACAGGTGGAGGGATAGCCTGTTGTGATGGTTGGGTAGGTTCAAGGTTGCAGGGTAGTGAATGAACAGCGATGTTATTTTTCTCGAAACACCGTCTTTCCGCAACGTCCTTCCAGTGTACAACAACGACGCTATTGAGCGGACATGATTCACAGGATCGGTGTTGGTTATGGAGAAGGCGACTCTGGCAGGGTGAGCGCAGGCAGTAGCACAAGGCAACTCAGGAGGTGGTAGTCGAGATCCAGAATTGAGGCAAGGAAGATCAGGAACGATCTCAGATGTCAGAATAAAGGGTCAACGTGTTTTATCGTAGGAGAAGAGTCTGGATTACATGTTCTGATGTAGGGACAGCGGGCGGTGACAGATGAGTAGGAGAGCGAAGCCGGCAAGGATCGAGGACTCACTACGGAGTTACTTCCAGAGACAACCTTAGATAGTGGTGGAGGCCTCTAGGCCTGCTAAGCCCTAGTGGCTGATACATAATTGCGTGACTTTGACACAGTTCGGGGCAACTCGAGGGCTCAGGAGCCCAACGAGGACCTAGCAGTCCCCAAAGAGGCGCAAATGACGCACCTGGGGGGTTGGGACTTAATTATACCTAGCAGGTGCCAAGGCACCTAGACCAGGTCATGTACCTAGTAGGTACAGTATGGCGTATCGCTCCTGTACTGTACTGTAATATGCCGAAGTCCTACTTCCTGAAGAGTTCTGATGCGCAGGGACTTGGCAGTGTATGAGCTGTACTGTACTGTACGTGCCAGTAGCAGGGCAGGACGCCTGTCAGTCAAACTTGTCAGTGCCTGGCGTGCCCGCAACTTGACTCCAGAAAATCCACTAATAACGTACTGTACAAAACAACCCGCAGTTGAGATCTCCTCTGCTCTACTTACACTTGCTGGCGAACCTTTCTTGAGCTCGCGTCTTTCATCTGGTGTATGCTTGCTGCAGTTAATCGTCCTCGATATGAGCGCAGCAGGCACCTCCGTATCGACTGAAGTGTGGTGATTGATTGTTCAGTTCTGTAGACATGTTCGGCCATTGCAAAAGTCCCATATGGCGGATCGACGACCTGAGTCGTTGCTTCGAAGCAGAGTATGTCTCAGTCATGTCATACACACAAGATTGCTTGCTGATCACTGCAAATAGTTATCTCCAGACTCTGTTTCCCCTGATAGCATGCGTTACGTCGGCGCTGCTTCTGATTTCCCAGATCGTGCGCAGAATATCGAAACAACGGCATCATCGGACTCATGTACACAGCCTGTTACTGGATATCAGCGACGACGAAGATTATTCCACGGACGAAGACGATGATAGTCTTGCAAGGCTGACCCTACAAAAGACCTTCAGTCATGGCGATAATTCGATGAAGGATGTGGACAAACCTACCGGCGAGGTTTTCCTTGTCACGGCCGAGTTTTTGCTGCTATTGGGACAGTTGGTTGTCAACATCATCGCCGTTGTCTATAGTGCAGCAGGAAAGCGCCATGCGTCGATAGCGGAAATTTTCGTGTCAGCATATCTCACCGCCCTTGCGGGGGCGCGTTTACTTGCATCAACGACGACATGGGAATACCCGGTGAAAGATCTTTGGAACCACAGTGCAGCCCTCTATCTCACTCAGTGGCTACTCCTGGTTTGGGTCTTTCGATCGGCACTCATTCATCCCCTCAGCCATCTTTCGCAGCTATTGACAATATCCTCATTCGCTATCACGAGTACTTTAGTTGTGATTACTTTGTGCTCTCGACGAGGAAATAAGGGAGTTATACTAGAGTACGAAGGCGATATCGAGCCATCCCGTGAGCCGCTAGCTAGCGTTCTGTCCTTGCTTACCTTCAACTGGGTAGACCCAATTGTTTGGAAGGGATTCAAAAAGCCACTGGAACTATCCGATGTTTGGAATGTCACACCCTCTGACAAGGCAGAGCTCGTGCTGGCGCACTTCCGACAAATTCAAAAGACGCACTCGCTTGCTGTCCGGCTTCTTCTCCATTTCAAATCCGAGCTTCTCATCCAAGGCGCATGGTGTATGCTCGCCAGCGTGTTCATGTTTCTCCCGACTTTGCTTCTGAAAGCCGTACTGGAATACCTGGAGAACACCGATAAGATTCCTGTAACCGCAGCGTGGCTATATGTTATACTCCTCTTTGCCACTGGAGTGGTGCAGGCGATTGGCGACGGGCAAGCTCTCTGGATCGGGCGGAAAATCTCGATTCAGTTGAGGGCTATCATCGTGGGTGAGATTTATTCTAAGACTCTGCGTCGAAAAGCAGCGGCAGGCATAGATGCGGACAATGGAAAGGAGAAAGCCAAAGATAAGCAGGCGTTCTGGGCAAAAGTCAAATCGACCTGGAAGACTATGAGGGGCCGGCATCAGAGCGAAGGCATGGCGAGCTCTAGCCCTAAGAAGGCCAGCACTCCCCAGGCCAACAATGGCACAATCATCAATCTTATGTCTGTCGACTCCTTCAAAGTTGCCGATGTGTGCGCATATCTGCACTTCCTCTGGGCTGCGGTTCCTGTTCAACTGATTATGGCCGTGAGTTTACTGTACATGGTCCTGGGGTTCAGCTCCTTTGCAGGGATTGTGCTGATGATCCTCATCCTCCCGCTGAATCTCTACATTGCGAAATCATTTCAACTCGCACAGAAACGGATCATGGCGGCGACCGATGCCCGGATTCATGTGACTAATGAAGTTCTCCAGAACATCAGAATCATTAAATACTTTGCCTGGGAACAACGGTTTCAGAACAATGTCAATGAGAAGAGGAAGATCGAGTTATCCGCACTTTGGCGGAAATACATTCTATGGGCATCTGCTGCAACTATCTGGAGTGGTGTCCCGATCATCATCACATTCACTTCATTCTTTCTCTACACGAAAATTGAGAGGCGGCCTCTCGTGCCCTCAGTCGCGTTTCCCGCATTGTCAATGTTTTCCTTGCTACGTGTGCCTTTGGATCAGCTTGCAGACATGGTGGCTCATGTGCAAGAGTCCAAAGTGTCGGTTGATCGGGTGGAACGATTTCTTGATGAGGAAGAAACGGAGAAATATATCCAACTACGTCAGAGCAGGCGGTTCAGTGTCCCATGCACTCGTATTGCACTTGATAATGCTACGTTGACATGGGGAGCAAGCGGCCCAGATGCTGTGGAAGCATTTCGTCTTATTGACATCAATATTGATTTTGAAATTGGTCGGCTCAGCGTCATTGCTGGCCCGACTGGATCCGGGAAGACGTCCCTGCTTATGGCTCTGCTTGGAGAAATGCAATTGCTCAGTGGAAATGTCCACATTCCTGGTGGCGTTGCGCGACAAGAGCTGCGGCCTGACCCAGCTACAGGCCTGACCGACAGCGTGGCTTACTGCGCCCAGCAAGCCTGGTTGGTGAATGCAACTATCAAGGAGAACATCTTGTTTGCCAGCCCTTACGACGAAGACCGCTATCTTGAAGTTATCTCGGTTTGTGCTCTTGAACGTGATCTGGAAATCCTTGATGCAGGCGAGCAGACGCTGGTTGGAGAGAAAGGTATAACTCTCTCTGGAGGCCAGAAACAGAGAATATCTCTCGCAAGGGCCATATACTCCAATTCCAAACACCTGCTCCTTGACGATTGCCTGAGCGCGGTTGATGCGCATACCGCGAAGCACATTTTCGAGCAAGCACTTACTGGGGACTTGATGTCACACCGGACCTGCATTCTAGTTTCACACAACGTTGCACTCACAGTCCCGCTTGCGGATCGAGTGGTTGTTCTAGAGAATGGCAAGATAGTTGCCCAAGGGACGCCACAGCAGATTGTTGAAGGCGGTGTGCTCGGAGATGAGCTGTTGAAGTCACGACCGGTATCGAGAGCAAATTCTCAACCACCTTCACGAGTGCCTTCAAATCTGGAAGAAGAAACTTCTAAACTATCCGATGGGAACGGTCATTTGCCCGCTGGTTCAAATGGGAGAGGTTCCAATAAAGGCAAGCCGAGGGCTAACAAGCCTGAAAAACAATTCATTGACCATCGACTCGAAGCCAAAGCCACAGGGAGCGTGAAACTGTCGACAATCAAGATGTATCTCCAGGCTATGGGGCCCTGGCACTATTGGATTGTGGCTGCCTTTGGTTTCATAGCCACGCAGGTGGGCTCCGTTGCAACCAACCTATGGATTCGAGAATGGGCCAACGCCTACCACCTCCAGGGCACGCATACAGCTCATGCAGCAATACATGCTTTCCACCAAGCCAAGGGAGTAGCTTCAGCATCGATCTTCGGAGGTTCATACGTTCAAATGCCAGAAACTGCGGTTGTGAGCCAGGCCTGGATTACGAAGACAATCTCGAAGGTTGATGCAGGGTACTACCTAGGAGTATATGCGATCATTGGCGCCGTGTACGTCTTCATTTGTTTCTCAAGGGAGATCATACTCTTCTGGGGCTCCCAGCGGGCTTCTTGGTACATCCACGAGAAACTGCTGACCAGCATTCTTCGGGCGAAATTCCGCTTCTTCGATTCGACACCCCTTGGACAGCTGACGAATCGATTCTCCAAGGACATTCAAGCTCTCGACCAGGAGGTAGCTCCGGTGGCGATTGGCCTGCTTCACAGCGCCGCATCTGTTCTCACAATCGTCATCCTGATCTCAGTGATCACGCCGGGTTTCCTGATCCCGGGTTTCTTCATCACCATCCTGTACGTCTTGACCGGCTGGCTGTATATTCGATCATCCCGAGACTTGAAAAGAATCGAAGCAGTCCAGCGGAGTCCTCTTTTTCAGCATTTTGGCGAGACGCTGACTGGAGTGGTGACCATTCGGGCGTACGGGGACGAGTCGCGATTCATTCAGGAAAGTAATGTGCGAGTAAATACGCACAATCGTCCATACATCTACTTGTGGGCGACTAACAGATGGCTCGCATTCCGGATCGACATGGCTGGAGCTCTGGTGTCATTTTTCTCTGCCATGTTCCTGATCGTCAATGCAGGTCGAATCGACCCAGGAGCGGCTGGTTTGGCCCTGTCATATGCCATTACATTTACTCAGAATGTTCTTTGGCTCGTTCGACTCTATGCCGCCAACGAACAGAACATGAATGCTGTTGAACGGTTACAAGAGTATATCGATGTCGAACAAGAGGCGCCAGCTCATTTGCCGGATACGAAACCGCCGGCAAACTGGCCGAGCCACGGGGCTGTGGAGTTTGTCGGGTACAGCACAAGGTACCGTCCTGATCTGGAACCGGTGCTCAAGCATGTGTCTTTCCGCATTGAGCCTGGCCACAAGGTCGGGATTGTCGGCCGAACCGGAGCGGGCAAAAGCTCACTTGCACTGGCTCTGTTCCGAGGTCTCGAAGCCGAAGAGGGTAAAATCTTGATTGATAATGTGGATATTGGACTTGTTGGACTCCAAGATCTACGTGAGGCCATCACCATTGTCCCTCAAGATCCAACACTCTTCACCGGCACATTGAGAAGTAACTTGGATCCTTTTGAACTGTTTACCGATGAGGAAGTCTTTACCGCACTTCGCCGGGTGCAGCTGATACCAGGCGCACATGGAAGTCCAAATCAGTCGGGACAGGCCACACCATCGGAGGCCGCTGGTAGATCGCCTACTCTGCACGAGGCCTCGAATTCCGATAGTCATGGGTCTATCCCAGCGAACGGAACGGTGAAATCGGACTCGACGCTGGTCGGCCCCGCGAGCAGCAGCAAAGACAACCGAAATATCTTTCGAGATCTCTCATCGCCCATCGCAGAATCTGGCTCCAACTTGTCTCAGGGTCAGCGACAACTTCTGTGTCTGGCAAGGGCCTTGTTGAAAGCCCCGAAGGTGCTGGTCATGGACGAAGCAACGGCTTCCATTGATTACGCCACAGACTCCAAGATCCAAGACACTCTACGAGAGCTAAACAACAATACGATTCTGACCATTGCGCATCGCCTGCAAACGATCATTGACTACGACCGAGTATTGGTACTTGACAAGGGCGAAGTGGTGGAATATGCTGACCCTTTCACGTTGATTCAACAAGAAGGTCATTTCAGGTCAATGTGCCAGACAAGCGGCGATTTCGACTCGCTGTATGAACTGGCGAGAAAAGCGTGGCAGGAGAAGAGATTGATCGACGACTCATGCTGAAGGTCAAGAACGAAACAAGAAGAAAAGGAAGGGATTGGCAAAATTGACTTCTTTTCCATCTCGACGTTGTTCAGCGAAGGCGGGGCGTTTGGTTTTGTTGCTTAAAGGAGAGGAGTTGTATTGATTGGTGTCCTTGTACACGTACTACAGGGGGACAGGTATGGTTAGTCCGTCTATAATGTTGCACATATGTACAAGGGCTGGGAGGTTGGCGCCATAGCCATCGATAGAAGGCCAATAGCATAGAGACTGGTGGCTTAGGGCCTCGTTGGTTTTGACCAAAGCATTCACTTGCTGCCCAAGCTGTACATATACATCTGTTGATACACATACTGCACCTATCTTAAAAGGCCTGAGCCAGATCCCTGTCTGCACCCTTCTCTCTAGGGTCCCTACAACACAATTTGGGTGCCTCCGTGGAGGATATTCTTGTGTGTTGTACTATTGTGTTGGTTCAAGCTTGTTCCGAAGGCCTATTTCTCTCCTTGACGCGATGAGAAGACTCGCAAGCCATCAAACAAACACCACTAGGCTCTAATTATGCGAGACTTGTGCCGGTCCAGAATCACCTCTTTCTTAGCGGAGGAGGTACAGCTTTTTTTTCCCCACAAGGAAACCCCCTTGGCTCTAGGCAACAAGAACACACACAGTTGGGGACATGCGTACTGCTTACTCACTCTTATACTGAGGTTATTCGGTGTGCTACGCATGATAGCACTCAGGCGTCGGACTCGGATATCTCATTCGAATCGAATCGTAACAAATACGTGAATTTAGAGAATTGAAGTGGCATGGCTCATGGCGCCTGAACGTCCTCTCATGCCGTTTTCTGTACACTCTTTTCTCTCTGCTGTTGCGCGTCTTGTAAACTGGCGTGGTCGTTTTATATGTACATGAAAGACCGCTTCTGCCCCCAGCCTGTCCAGCGTCTGCGTCTTTTGGACTGGCAGCCATACAGAGAAGCGGACCAACTACTCCGTACAGATTGATCGTGCTGTCGCCTCAGGCTCTATACGATCGGGCCATTCTCCTCTTGGCAGCCGGGGGTGAATCTGGGCCTCCGTCCGGGTTGGTGACTGCCCCTGCGAACCCCAGCAGGCTGTTCCAGGTGTCGGCGGTAGTCTTGTCCCGGGTGCCCAGGGCCTGGATCTGAGACTGAGCATCTCGGCAAAGGGATTTTGCTGCGTCGTTGGCCTCACACACGTTGGTCAATTGGTCGCAGATTCGGTTGGTAATGATGTCTGAAAAAAGGTTGGTATTAGTATAGTACTTGGGAAACGTGTAGCAGTCAAGTTGGACATTTATCCCACACAGCCGGGTGAAGAATACGTACTTGGATTGAGGGCCTCTTGTTGCCCTTGAGCGCAGAGTGGGTCTATGGGTAGGAAGGTGAACTCGGTGGGAGGTCGGCCCCCTAATCCACCTTCGAACTTCATGGTCGGCACACACAGACCAAAGTCCGCTCCGGCGACGGTTGAAGTGTCCGTGGCGTTGCCAGTCGAGGTAGCACTTGTTGACGTGGCAGCGGCAGCGGCAGCGGTAGTAGTCGAGGCTAAAGCTAATGGTCATCAATGGCATGTTCGCAGTGAACACAAAATGATTGCACTCACCTGCCGAGGTTGCAGCACCACAATCACTAACCGTAACTGTGACAGTCTCGGTGAGAATACTGGCTCCATTGCCAGCAGAATCAGCGCTCGTTGTCGTGGCCGCGGCAACCGAAGAAGTCGTAGTGTCGATGACAGCGACAGCGGTGGTGAGAGCTAAAGCAACTTGTCGTCAGCGTCGTGCTCGCCGTGGGCACAAACCGTCGCACTCACCTGACGAGGTTGCGCTACCGCAATCAATAACAGCACTAGTAGTTGCGCTCCCAGCGGCAACACTGGTTGAAGCCGCACCTGAAGCTCCGCTGCCAGCTGGTGCTGCCCCCGCATTGCCAGACGCGTCCTGACTTGTGAAGTTCGTGAAGCCGTTTTCGGCTAGCAGATCCGCAACGCTCTTGCCGGTGGCGTCCAAAGGTGTCTTCACCGTCTGAGCAGACAAGGCGTTGGCAATGTCGGAACCAACGACAGCTGGGTCGATCAGCGGGGTGATACCACGAAGGATGTCCGTGGTCGGCAAAGTCGGGTCGCTGCAAATGGTGGGAATTGACTGGACGAAGGGATTGAAGTTCTTCTCGGCAGCCACAATGCCGATGGCAGCAGCAACCGCATCTGCCCCGGTTCCAAGCTCGGCAATGATTTGGTCACCGCGCTTGAGCTTGTCACAGGCATTAGTCGCAGCCAGCAAATCGCTGACAGCGGCGCCGGCAATGGTTTGCGCCACGCCAGGAGAACCGCCTTGGACAGCAGCGATGGCTGGTATTGGAACTTGCTCCTGGCCAAACCTGGCATTGGCCACGGCAATCACCGCTGCCAGCATGGCTGTCGTCCTCTTCACGAACATATTGGCCGATGACTTTGTGCTGGAAAATTCAAGTAAAGACTGTAGGGCGAGTGTGAGATTGGCCAAAAGAGAGACTAACTCGCAACGATGGAAATGAATGGACCGACCAGCGGTGTAAACAGCAGAAAGCGAAAGACAACCGTGAAGAGAAGATAGAGAGATAGGTATGAGTCTGAAGGGTCACTTTCCTTTCTTATATTCAAGTTTATGTCTAGGGTCGCTGCTGTAACTTCTCAGACGGCCGTCAACACTCCTGGGTCAATAACAGAGATCCAATATCAGGTGCATGATCTATCCTGAAGGCGAATCTGTCTGGGAGTAGTTGATACAATCCTCTCAAAGGGCGCACCGAAATAGTGCCGGCGCCGATAACCGGGGTAATGAGTAGCAATGGACATGGTAATGGCGTCATTTAATTCCCGGCGAAGGATGCTGTGAGGTGTCAGGCTATCATTCAACCCACAAAGGATAGCTGATGGATTGTTTGGAAAGGCAAAAGACCCAAGTGGTCGTTTAGAAAGTGACGAGATGAGGCAGACGTTGTATGGACTCTGGTTTCACGTGGAAAGCCAGGAGCACCCCTGTCAAGGGGCCGAAACAGCCTAGAAGATATCGACCCAGCCTCGGTAGTTTCCGAGCGAGACAGCCAAGCGCGACCCCACAGAGATGAAGCTGTGATCTTGAGTGCAAGCTGAGATGATGTTAATCGAGACCCTCGTGGCCCTATCGCTGGCTGTGCTTTTTGTTTCCAGGATTCGGCGAGGCGCCGGACCATACTCGAAAGGGGAAGGGGAACCTGGCGTTGGAGGGATTAATCTGTGCTCACAGGATACCACGCCGGTGGGTTTGAGACGTGACGTTAGAGCGGAGCGAAGGCTCATGCATCTCAATGTTTGGAGACTGCGCTGACACAATCATAATATCCTTTGCAGCTGTTGGAAAACGCCTGAACAGGCCAGGCGGTATCAGCATCACCACAGTGGCCAAGCTGGCTGTACAGGATACAATGAGACCAGCAACTCCTCCTGCACAGGGGTTGTGCCGACCTCAAGGCTCGAGGGCCCTGACGTGTCACTGTCAGAGAGAGAGAGAGATCGAGACAAAGAGAGAGATATACGGAGGAGAGGTGTTTGAAGTCGTTCGTGGATGTCACGTGCAGTAGGTCACGTGGCAGAATGCCAAGGCTACGTCATTCCGTCGCGTCGCAATTCGACGCAATTCACCTGCGAGGCTCGAGTGAAAGTCTCGCAGCCTGAAGGCATTTTCAACACGTCGCCCATTCGCAGCTAATGGCATCCCTCGTCCCTGCAGTCGCGTAACCTGTTTCAATATCCCCGTTCACTCTCAAGCCAGCCGATATGACGGACTGGAGCAAACTCAAGGTCGTGGAACTCAAGGAGGAGTGCAAGGCGCGTGGAATTCCTCTGACAGGCCTCAAATTGAAGCAACAATATGTCGATAAACTAGAAGAGCATGAAGCAGAGAATGCAGGCGGGGATGGATCTGAACATGAAATCAACGCTACTGAGTCGGCGAGCGCTGAAGAAGCAATTGAGACACAACCGAATGGCGAAGACGCGGAGCCTCACGACGAGGCCATACCCCCGTTGAATGAGACGGAGCAAGAGCCTCAGAAGGCAGAAGGGGTTGAGCACGAGAGGCCACAAGAATTGCGAGAGGAAGATAGCCACGCCGAAGACGTGCTTGAGGGTTCCGAGCAGAAGGCTGAGGCAGAACAGCAGCCTTCAGCTGATCCTGCGAATCAAAAGGGATCCGACAGCGTTGACGAGCCGTTTGATACAACCAAACAGGAAACAGTGAGAGACACTGAGCAGAGTGCGCAACCAGACGTGGATCAAGATGAGCCGGTTGAGAAAGAATCAGCGCCTGTTCCTGGAGATACCAGTCCTGGCCCAACGCCTACGCTACAACCAACCCCAATGCCACCCAGTCAAGCTTCGTCTGATTCTACCCTATCAAACGACCAGGCAGACGATGAAAGAAGACGGAGGAAAAGAAGTGCAACACCAGTCCCATCTTCCGAAGAAGTCGCGCGTAAGAAGGCTCGCTTGAGTACAGGTGGAGAGAGCCTGACTATCGAACAACTGTCTGCCCTGGACCAGATGAAGTCAGCGACGGAGGCTGCAAAAGCGACTCGTGGAGAGACCACAAACGGAGCCATTACTGAGGTTATTGTTGACAAGTCGGAGGCTGATGTGACTATGACCACCGAGGCCCCAGGAGAGCTTCAGGATAATAGGCCTGAGAAGCCCAGAGACACAGAGATACCGTCAGCCTCACCGCGCAGGTCCCAAAGCCCTTCAGAAGAACGGTACATTGCTCCTGCCATCCATCCGGCAACATCAGCTCTCTACATCCGGAATTTCAAGCGACCACTGCACATCCCTTCGCTCCGCAGCCTCATTGCATCAGTGGCGAGATCACAGTCGTCTTCTGAGGATTCAGATCCTATCACCCTGTTCTACCTTGACAGCATTCGCACCCATGCCTTCGTCTCATTCACCTCTGTCGCTGGAGCATCCCGAGTCCGCTCCGCGATGCACGATGTCCGCTATCCCAACGAAAGCATGCGCGAGCCTCTTTTCGTCGACTACGTGCCCAACGACAAGGTTCAATCGTGGATCGACCAAGAAACAGGCGGTACGTTCGGAGGTCGAGGCGGGAGCGGCCGGCGATTTGAGGTCAGATACGAAGAACGCGATGACGGAGTTGAAGCCATCTTCCAAGAAGTCGACGGAAACAGACCTCAACTTCCATTGCAGCCCAGCCGGAGCTCCCGTATGTCAATCGACAGACCCGGACCCGAATCACTTCCTGCAGCAGTTCATCCGGACCGGGCAGCATTTGTTCCTAGGGAGAGTGACCGAGACCGAGATCAAGATCGAGACCGCAACCAAGTCCGTCAACCCCCCGCCGCGCCCAAGAATGCCGAGTCGACCGGTAGAGGCTTCAAGGCACTGGATGAGCTGTTCAAGTTCACGACCGCAAAGCCCAAACTGTACTACAAGCCCGTCCCCGAGTCCGTTGCGGCTGACAGGATCGAGCTATTCCGCAGTCTCCGTGTCGGATATGGTGATATGGGTCGCAGCGGCGACGAAGGCATGAAAAGATACACCTTTGAGCAGTATAAAGGAAGGGATGAATGGGTTGGCAAAGGGCCCGAATTTGGTTTCGGAAAGCGCGGGCAAGATCGTCTGGCGGGTGTACGTGGAAGAGGCGGTTACAGAGGCAGGGGTGATTCATGGCGCGGAGGCGCCGCGAGATAATGTCTGCCGACTTCGAATGAACAGCCGTGCCTCGCGATGCGCGTGATGGGATTCGGCTTCGTGGGTTGCTCCAGCTTTGGCCGTGGAATGCGTGTACGAACATAAGGAAACTAGCTATTATATTGAATGTGTATTACAAGAAAGTATGTCTCTAGACCTCCAGGTCGCCCTGTAGTAGATTTGAGTGTTACTCTTTATAACAGTGGTTGATCCAGGCATGTTTTTTCTGCATATTGTGCTGTTGCTGTCTATGCTCTCCTCAACACCTCCCTGAATCACAAGCAGATCGCTAGCCCTCCCGTGGTCATCACATAAATCTATTCCTTCAGGCGCTTGCCCGTCTTATCTGCGTCCTTATAGGGTGCGATTGATCATCCCGAGTCCCGCCGCAATATAGGCCTGGCGTTCCGACACGTTGGTAGCGGGACGGCCACTGCTGGAGCCTCGCTGTCCAACGTGTCGTCAGGACATTGGTCCTTGGGGGGTTACCGTCGAAATCTGTCCTAGGGCTCGTCGAGAGTTGTGGAGCCCCCTTCTACCAGTCGTCACCCCAGCCATCCTCCTTCGTCTTTTTCGGAGGATTTGCGAGGGGTGCCTTCTTCATTGCACTGGTGCCAATGCTGCTGCTAGACTTGGGGGGTTCTGAAGGCACGCCAAAGCTGTCCCAGAAGTCCTTTCGCTCGGGCTCCGCCTTTCGCGAGGCTGCCACGGCGCTGGCCCTCTCGTCCTGGCCCTCAATGAACTTGTTGAACGACTCGGCGGCCCCTTTTGCACCGCTCTGGATGCCCGAGCCTGCTACAAGGGCAGCGTTGCGGGCTTGTGCCGCAAGGTCTGATGAGGCAAGCTGGAATCCCAGGCGGTTAGCACTTTTGTGTGACAAGACAAAACCCCAGCAGAAACAAGAAACATACGTTTTTCGCCGTAGGTTGGATGTAAGTCTCGCTTACTATCTTGGCCTGCTTGCCGACTGCAGCGCTGAACCAGCCAAAGCCCTTTGTCAGCGCACCCACGGGGTCCTTCGTAAACTCATCCGCACTAGGTATTCCACTCTGGGACTGTTGCGGCTCCGGGGGCGCGCTGCCGAATCCGCTGAATTTTCCACCTTGGCTGGGAGGCAGGTGGTCGGGCCTCGAGGCATTCGCCTCACCCATCCTGGAGAAATAGGCCTCGTTCTGCGACTTTTGCTCTGCTGTAATCCTGCTCTTGGCCGACGCAGGAGAGGCTGTTCGACTACCAGGGCCACTGGCAAGACTGTTGTTCCTCACGCCCGCGGCCGGGGTCGCTGATCGACTAGCCTGCTTCTGCAGCACGGCCTCTCTGTCCTTGAGGAAGGCGGCCTTGTCAAATTCTCTATCTTCCACCTGGGCACTGAGACGCTCTTTCCACTCCTCACCGATCTCACTGTCGTAGCGTTCTTTGATCGTGGCCTCGTCGAAGGGGATAGCTGCACTTTTGTTGTAGAAGTCCTGCCACGCCTTGTTCCCGCCGTATTGCATTCGGAGGATCTCGTTCTGTTTGAAGGCGTCCATGGAGACGGACCGGACGAAGGAGACGTGGACGCCCAAGCCACGGTGGATGCCGGCGCATTGGAGGCAGATGAAGGTCGAGAACTTAGGAGAGGCCTGTAATATTGACAGAATCAGAGCGATGGTCTCAAGGCATACGGTGTATCTTTCCTGAGGTTACAGGGTAAAAAAACGCACCCATTGCGGTGACGGGGCACCGCAGTCGCAGCACCTGTCGTTCCCCGCGCCCTCCTTCTTACCAAGTTGCGCAAGCTATACACCTCAGTCAGTCGGAGTCGATGGAGAATAGACGGTATGTAGGGGGGGTCACCTTGCTCCTTGTCTCCGGGTCCACTTCCCACATGGCCTTGGAAGCCATCTTGACGGTATTGGTATGAGACTCTTTAGATGTTCGATGTTCGATGGTGAGGGGCCCGAAAAAAGGGAGGTGGCGTGCTCAGTCTTCCCCAGGGGTCATGCCAGCGGGCGCATGCTGGCAGGATCTCGAGTCTTTAGAAGGAGGAAAACAAATAACAAACGTGGTGGAGGAGTAGAAGGTATTGGGGGGATTTTATGGAGTTGAATGTTATTCGTGGCTCCGCGTAAATAGACTACGGCGTATGTTGTCGAGCGTCGACCACTGGAGTCAACCCCTGGCCTAGGTCCTCGAGTGACACACGACACTTCTTTTATACAAATCCACCTCGCAATTCTTGGACGAGGGCCTTCTCCCGTTGCCCCGTGATTTTCTCAAACCGGTCTACACTCATCACGAATGTTCCTCTCCCTCCTGTCATACTCCGTAGATGCTTCAGATACCCGACCATTTCTTTCAAGGGTACCCGTGCTTTGACCGTTCTCTCAAAGTTTACCCTGTGATGGCTTTCCCCTGAGCGAGATGACCCAGACTCGAACGGGTCTTTAGGAGCATATATCTTGCTCACGTCGATTCTTTTGGAACTGTCCGCTGACATGCCATGTTCATCCCCATGGTCCCCGAGGGAAATGATCTGACCACCACGACTGGAGGAGATGTCCTGAATCACGTTCCCCAGACTTGCCTCATCGACGCTGATATCCACGTTCATCACCGGCTCCATCAAAGTGCTTGGCCCGTTCTTGGTGGCATCTTTAAACGCGGCAATCGTGGCAAGCCTGGCGGCAGCTGTGAGAGACGAGTACGTTGTCTCGGAGCCAAAGATATGCTGTTCTGGGCGTAGGGTGAGCGTGACCTTGGTGTTCCGCATCGGATACGAGTAAGACGGACCGCGACTCAAGGCTGCAAGTGCACCGTTCAGATAGGCTGTTTGTATCTCTGGCACTGTCAAATTAGGGGGCAAGGCGACGTCGTCCGCCCCTAAAGGTCGTCCTTTTTCATCCAGTGTGGGTGTTTCAATGATCACAAGATTTCCATCTTGCTCGTAACTGAACACACCTTCGGGCTCTGTCAAGGTAGCATCGCCAACATCCGGCAGTGGTTCCACCAGCGCTGTACATCCTGCTTTCCCTTTTGTGGCGGCACGATCCCCCTCAAGCACTCTTGTGATCGAGGTCGACGCTTCAGGTAAGGTCTCACGATAGCCGATAGCAATCTTTCCCATTCGTGCTTTGGCTTTGAGCTCATTGACAAGTCTGTCCGCGGCGATTTCAAGATGAAGTTCGCCCATCCCACTGATCAGAGTCTGACCCGTATCCTCGTCCTGGGACACTTGCAGGCTGGGGTCTTCTCGGAGCAGTAACGCTAGCTTTTCGTGCATATCCTTCTCCTCTCTCAGGCTGTTGGGTTCGAGGGCCGCGAAAAACACAGGAGGAGGCACTTTGATGGGCCTCAACTGTAACTTATTAAGTGGCTCTGGAGGAGTAGGTCTGTTCCCAGAGTAAGAGATGAGAGTGTCTCCCGTCCGGGCGTACTTGGAACCCGCAATGACCCCGATCTCGCCAGCTTGCAAGGCCTGGACAGGAACCGATTGGTCTGCGTACATTCGTAGCAGTGTGGTCGCGCGCTCCGAGTTCTGAAGGGTGGTGTTATATAAAAGAGCATTGCGGTCTATCGAGCCTGAATACACTCGGATGTAGACTAGAACACCCTTCCGTGGATCGTGGACTACCTTGAAGGCCAGCGCGCAGCCTTGCAGAGTATTACCGATCGCCACCGGGGCGGTTGCTTGCCCTTTCTTCTTAGAGTTTGCTGCATTGCCGTCGTCACGTCGGATAACCAATTCGCCGTGAATCAATTGTGACAGTCCCCCTGAGGTAGATCCGATACTGATATCCGGATCGGGTCGCTCAACGGGACTTGGTAAGAGATTGGTAACGGCATCCAACAGTGGCTGGACCCCAATGTTGCGGAAACTGGCGCCGGCAAAGACGGGGATGATTGTGCTACCGGGAGCCAGAAGACACCGTCTCAGACTGTCCAGCAGCTGAGCAGGGGTAATGTTCAGATGGTCCTCCTCTGCTTCGAAGAATGCTTCCACCAATTCATCATCGTGCTCGCTCAGAAGCTCAACCAAAGCGGCTCTGGCCCGGCGCAGTTCTTGGGCCAATTCTGGATGCTCCTCGTCGAGACGGGAAAGACGGTAGCGACGGATCTCTTTTCCATCTCCATCATTTTCATACAAAAGTCCTTCTAGGTTGATGACATCGCCAACCCCTGTAAAACGACCTTTCCCACCCTCAAACCACGGGATTTGACAAACGGCGGGCCAACCACCTAGGCGTGAGCCAATTTCACGAACAGTTCGTCCAAAGGCAGCGCCATCACGATCCAGCTTGTTGATGTACACTATCCGGGGAATATTCCACTCGGCAGCCTGGGCCCACACCTGCTCAGTCTGTGCCTCAACTCCTGCGACTCCGTCGAGAATGCAAACGGCGCCATCCAGAATCCGGAGTGACCGTCGGACCTCAAACGTAAAATCGGCATGGCCAGGGGTGTCTATCAGGTTGATGGTATGAGAACATTGTGACAGAGGTTGAGTGTCCGGGAACTTCCCAACCAAGTCTTTGGGGTTTGAGGATGACCCGGCTAGTGATGGAGGCCATTCGAATGTGATTGCTGCAGACTGAATGGTAATTCCTCTGGCTCGCTCAGCGGGTAGGAAGTCGGTGACGGTTGAACCTTCATCAACATCGCCTATCCGTCGTGTATGGCCGCTGTAGTAGAGCATGCGTTCAGTAGTGGTTGTCTTGCCAGCATCGATATGAGCTATGATGCCAATATTCCTCGTTCTTGATCCATCCAGGTCCTTGAACGCAGCCGTTGCGACCGTACCAGCGGAGCGCTGGCAGGACGAGCAGAACTTCCGAAGGTATGCATGATACGGCGGCAAAGGCCTGGACTGAGCCGATATCAAACGGACTATAGGAGTGGAGAGTGAAAACGCCCGGCCATAAACGACTACCATTCCCTCAGAACACCGTACTCTGAATCAAGCATGCAAGGTGGCGAAGGCCTTGATAGGTATAAGTCCGAAATCAAAGCACAAATGCGAACTGAAATGAAATGAGTGACTGAGTCAGGAACTGTAGCTGATAGTAGAGAGAATATGGAATGCCAAAAATGCCTTACCTTGGGTCTTTTCTGGCTGCGGAAAATGCCGGATATCTGACACCGAGATATATGTCCACCACGCAGTCTCGGTACGTGCTACGCTCAGTGATTTACGTGTCTGACACGGCTTATTTTTGGCCACTCCCAGTACGGAGGAGTACTCCTTCCGACCACTGCCAAGGCTGGCGAATCGTCTCCGTCTCCGCCGCTTGAAGGCTGGTGCAGTAGTGCTACGCCGACCAGTTGAACCTCCAACCCATACCTACATACGTAGCCAACAGAGCTTCCTTTCCAGATACCGCCGAATAGCCCACAGCGCGTTGCTTCCTAGTATCGTTGGAAACGATCTAATTGTCGCCGCCACGTCCTTCGATCACCACCTTCCTAGAAGCACGGCAGGCATGTGCGGTCTCCACGCATAAGCGACCTATCCCACCGCGCCCTTCATTCACGTCGCCGAAGCCTACCTTGCCATAATGGACTACTCTGTGGTTTCAAGCGACGCCGATGCCCTTCATGGGGCTTCCCCCTGGGGCTCTTCTTCACCGCGAATAGATCGAGGTTTTCCTACGCCGGCGGCCGGGTCACCAGACTCACCCGCTCCAGTCCGGGGACATTCTTACAATCAGTCGCAAGATAGTATCCCAGGAACTCCTTATCTCTCCCAACCTGCCGATTCCGAGCCGGCGCAGGCAACGGATGCTCCACAAACCCAACAAGGCCCTGAGTCACCCGAGGAGTCGCAGTCTGTCCAAAACACCCAACAGGATACCCAGGCACCTGCAGCTGGTCAACCTCCACACCGGCCAGGCGCGGCCAGGTATCATAACACGAAACAGCAGAGGCCTGTACCGCAGTACAAGCTGCAACCCAAAGTAACCGCCTTGGAGAGGACAGGCCGCAAAGACCCGGTCATTAGGTTTGATATCTATGTACGCTGAGTCTCCTATACCTTTACTCAACACCCGTATTGATGGCCATGGCAGACAAATCTCCCTAAGTTCCGAACCACTCAATTCCGAGACGTCCGTCGAACGCATTCCGAGTTCGTCAAGCTTGCGGATCATCTGATCTCATCTAACCCAGAAGCACTTGTTCCTGCTGTTCCTCCCAGCATCACGTCCGCTGGCGCAGGGACCGATGAAGATGAAGCCAGGGTCAAGGCATCCATACAGAGATGGTTAAACGTTGTCTGCAGCAACGACGTTCTTATGCGTGATGAAGAGATGGTCTTCTTCGTGGAGAGCGATTTTGGGTACTCGCCGGTGGTGAGAATGAAGCAACCTGCTACAGGCGTGAGACGGAAAGTATTGAAGCAGTTCGCGCCCCCTCCGGATGATACGCCTGAGCTGCAGCAAGCTCGACCAATAGTCAAGATGTTCTATCTGGGCACGTTGGACACTAGCCAGAAGCTGGAAAAGCTCGTCAAGGCCAGAAGAGGTACGTACTTGATTATATTTGTCATGTACAGTACTAATCCTCAACAGCACTTGGTCTCGGAGAGTCTTCCCTAGGTGAGAAATTAGGACAAATGCATGTCCAAGAGACGCACCCGGGTCTAGCTACAGCCTACCGCAAACTCGGACGGATTATTCAGACGTGTGGTGATTATCATGCGGCGCAGGGAACTGCTGAAGCTACCACGCTAGGCGACGCTCTTGCTTACCACTCCTCTGATGCATTCATCGTGAAAGAGACTTTGACGAATAGACACATCTTGCTGCGAGAACTGCTGCAAACCGAGGCATCGCGGCGCAGTAAAGAGAATGCAGTTCAGCGATTGAAGAGCAGCTCGAATGTTCGTCGGGATAAGGTTGATGAAGCAATCTCTGCGCTTGACGAAGCTGTCAGTCAGGAGAACTATCTACGGGCCAAGACGCAGCGTGTAACCGCGAACCTATTGCTTGAGAAGCGTAGGTGGTTTGAGCGCACCTCAAACGAGTTCCTGTTCTCCCTGCGGGAATATGTTCTACGCCAGATCGAGGCTGAACGCCGAACACTGGCAACACTGGAGTCAGTCCGGCCAGATGTCCGTGCCATTGACGCATCGGGCGGATTAAGCAGACTCGGGCGAGAAAATCATCCTACAATCCGTAGAGTCAGTCTGGCAAGCAGCCAGAGCTCTAAAGGTGACGCCTGGAGCGGGGTTCCAAGGAGCAGGGATTCTTTGACTCGCAGCATGAGTGGGAGCTTTGGGGCAGGTGGTATCCCTGAGGTGGATGACAAAGGTACCGACGGAGACGGGCCCCTGCGTGGTCGACCGCGAAGTGCAACGGGGAGCGCAAGTTTAGAGCGGGTGCAAGAGGATGAAGGTGATGACCGTGTCGATGCTAGGAACGCGGCGAGTCGGTTGGCCCAAAGCACGTTCTAGAGTCTTGACACACTTAAATGCAAAAGACAAGCGGAGAGTTGGTGGGATAGATTTACATTACTGAGGTTTCTATCCAAGCCCACTGTATAGCCGTCCTGGGATGTAGCCTCTTCAGCTACCTACTAAGTAGTCAGTGTGGGTATCAATGAGAATGGAGCTGTCAACGGCAACTCCAACTCCATTTTGTGCTGACGCCTGCTGCTGTGCGGTCCATGTCGTTTTCGTTGTCAATCGTACATCACTAATAGCCCATGAGTATTATGGCTCTGTCCTCCTCTCCAGACGTGTGAAAGGGGAGAGGGAGAGAGAAATAGAGAACAAGCCAGGCCAAGTCATTTGTGTCCATTACACCGTACATTTTGCGCATCCAATGCCTCGTTCCATGCGCCTTTCTTGCTTTGATTTGCCCCGCTTTGCAGGAGACGGAGGTCTCCATTTGTTCTGTTCTGTCGTGGTGATTGCACCGGATTCCACTTCGGAACCATACCATGGCCCCTGGAACGAAGGTCGGTCCTCATTGTCGCAAGGCAGATACTAGATGGGTGGCACCAAGGTGGGATAGGTTCCGGTGGCGCCAAACTGCACCGCTCAAAAAGTCGGGCCAAGACTCCTCAACACGCTCTTCAGCTTCTCGCCTTCATTGCCGTCGCCGAGCGAACTGAAGTCGTTGCTGAGCCGGGCGTCCGGGCTGGCCTGTGGCATTGCCGCAAGGTCCAAGGCGGCATGAGTGCCAATGTTGTTGACGAGGCTGCTGTTGCTGGGTTTGTTGTTGGCAAGATCTGTCGACCCGTCACTGACCGTTCTCTGAGACTGCTGCACACCCTCGACAGGGCTAGGTCGCCGGCTGCCGATGGCGCCCCAGGGGCTTTGACTGAGACTTGGGCCGAAGCTAGTAGTAGGGGAGCGCATTGACATGGCGTTGCTACTGGTATTGGTGAACTGCAGCTTCTTGACCGTGGCCTGCAGAACCTCTCGCTCGAACAGCAGATTGCCGCGATCGCTGGACATGGCCTCAATTCGGGACTGGAGCTGGAGCTTCTCCTTCTGCAGAGACTCGATGGTGTCGACGAGAGCACGCTTCTCGCGCTGCGTCTCCTGGACCAAACTGCGGAGAAAGTCGTTGTCTGTTTGGAGTTGTCGTGTGGCTTGTGCCTGGCCCTGCCCAATCTCCAGCGGCGAAGGCGTGCTAGACCGGCTGCACTCGACCGCCTGAGGTGTCTCTGGGTGAGAGCTTGGGTCGACATTTGTACAGACGGCGTTATTGTGTGCCTCATAAGCCTGAACCGGGGCATTGGCAAGCGACGACAGCGAAGCCGAAGAGCGGTTGGCAATTGCGAGTTTGTTCAGGGCACGTTCGAGCGATTTGCCGGCTTTGGCTGGCTCACCGGGAACCACCTGCCGTGGCGCAAGGGTGTAATGGCCGGTGTCGTGGTGGGCGTAGAGACAGTCTTCCTCCGAAAAGCGGCATTCTCCTTTCTCCCACCACCAGAAGCATGTGAGATGTTTGACGGAGCGGCGATTGGCGTTCGGGTTCAGAGGGTTGAAATTGGTCTCGTGGGCGCGGCCGTGGGCACGAGGCAACGGTGAAGTGGCGCGAGAGTGAGGTCGAGTGCGAGCTTGGAGTTGGTGGCCGCAGTCAGGCTGTGAGTCTTCTTCCAGAGTGCGAACAATGATCGGGACAGATGAGGATCGCGACTCGCCTCGCTTCCGGCTCTCGTGCTCGGTGCGACGGGAGCGACGGGACGGTGTCTGTTGCATCATCGGGCTGGAGTTTGAGGCTTCTTCTGACGCCGAGTTCGGATATGCTGGAAATGACTGCTGGAGCGGGCTGTGGACGATGGGATTGCTGCTGTGGCGAGCGCCAGAGGTGTTCCAAGCTTGAGGTTGAGGTTGAGAACGAAGTCTTGACAAGGCCATGCTCGATGAGGAGCGGAAGTGTCTGGGTTCGGTGGGAGCCAGGAGCGGCGCTTTGGACGGAATCTCTGACATTGTGGGCAGCATCCGATGGAATGATGCACCGCTTGGGCAAAGTTGATGTACGGGATGGTGGCAATGGCCAATTCAAAGAGGGAGGGATGGGCAGATGTAGGTAGAGACGGTGAAGGAAGTAGGACACAAGAATGCAGGTGAAAGAGGGTGAGGCAGAAAGAGTCAATTCACTCAATGGGCAGAATGGCAGTGTTCAAAAAAGTCCAGGTTGGTTTCACTGGCAGTCAGTCTTGTTTGCTCAGCCTCGTCTTTCTTTGCGATTGACTTTGCATTTGTCTTTTGTCATTCTCATTCCCTCCACCACTTCGAGGACGAGTAGCTCCTCTTGTCCAACATTACAACTTGGGCCGAAGTCTTTGGCGCCGCCACTGAGCCAGCTCCTTCTCGAATCCCGGACCGAACCCGTCCCATCGTTCTGCCCCGTCGTCTGGCAGAACAACCCATGGTGCTTTTTCCTTCAAGAAGATATGGGCTCCTATCCGAGGCAGAGCGGTGCCGGGCTCGATCGTCCCCAGTGTCACATAGGTGATGTCTTCGACGTAGTACCGCATCGACACGCTCGAGCCACACACCTTGCAGTATCCGCGGTCGGCGAAGTCACTGCGTGCCCAGAGGTCAGGTTGATGAATCCACTGAAGCTCAGAGGTTGGGAAGCCTGCAAACGCCAGGAACGGACCGCCCGCCTTTTGGCAAGTGCCGCAGTGGCAGGCAGTGACGGTACGAGGTTGGGATTGGGTCTGATATTGGACACGCCCGCAAGCGCAGCTGCCTTTGATCATGATGGAATTGGCTTGATGCTAGGTGCGCCGATGCCAGTGCTTAATATTACATGTGGAGGAATCAACGTTTCGGAGTTGCGGTCGGAGAGCTGAGAATACTACGGAGAAATACTCCATACCGTCATCATGTTTTGCCAAGGACGTCAACAACTGCTTCCGAGGTATACAAAACCCGAGCATGTCGAGTATGGAAGCGTCCTGATTTCAAGAGTAGCCTCGTCGAGGATGATGTTGTCAAGAGCCGTGGTGATTAACTTACCCATTGTGTTCGGGCTAAAGTCACATATAATTCTTCATTCGCAAGCGCATTTTCAATATAAATATCTACTCGATTGCTCAAATCAATCAACTCTGACAACAATCTTCGTCGCACTAACCCCAGCCTTGACAATCTCCAACGCTTCCTGCGCAGCTGCGATCCCACCATCTACAACCCTCACCTTCGGCGCTGGAACGATTTTCTTCTGCTCAATAGCTTGGGACAGGTACTCGTTAAACATCCAGCTCCCCATCTCGACATGATGTACGAACGCCAAAGCGGCTATCGTCATCGAAATCTCAACACCAGCAGGCTTCTCGTCACCCGCAGGCCAGGGGCTGGTGAGCGCTAATTTGCTTCCTTCCCCGCCGGATGCGAGGAGAGCATCAGCAGTAAGTAGAGAACTGTTTCTTTCGCTGATGGAATCAAATCCGTATCGGAGAGGCGTGCCGGCCTCCTTCGCGAGTTGAGCCAGTTTTGAGACAGCATCCGGATCGCGATAGTCGACCACTTCCGAAGCACCGAGAGACTTGACATACTCGTGATTCTTCGGGCTGGCAGTCGCAAAGACCTTGAACCCTAGCTCTTTGGCTAACTGCACAGCAGCTGTCCCCGTAGACGATGAGGCGCCCCAGACCAGTATCCCAGACTGCCGCTGCTGTTGCACCTCCTGCGAAGAGGAAAGGGGACGATCAATCCCCAACCTCTCAAAATACGCAACAGCAACAGTCGCAAACGCCATCGGAAACGTAGCCCCATCCTCGTAGGACACAAAGTCCGGAATCCTGATCGTCGCATTCTCTTGTAAAAGCGTATATGTCTGCCAGGCCCCATGCTCCGGATTATCATTGGCGATTACGAGCGCAAAGCCGGCGATGCGATCGCCGACTTTGAATTTGCTCACTTTGCTGCCTATGGCAGAGACGATGCCGCAGACGTCGCTGCCCAGTACGGTGGGGAATTTGTTGAGATGGCTGGGGAAGTCGCGGAGTTTCCAGTCCGCGGGATTGGCGGCGATGGCATGGTTGCGGATTAGGATTTCGTTTTCACCTGGGGAGGGGATGGATAAGATGAGGGGTTTGAGGGCCGTGCCTACTTTTTCAAGGACGGCGGCGAGGTTTTCTGTGGACATGTTGAGGGTTTGATGATATGTCTCTACAGATTGGTTCCTGGCCGAGACAAGCTCGTGTTCTAGAGTTGTGCCTTTATACGTAATCAATTTGGGAATGGTAGAGGGGATCTTATCGAGGGTATGATTGTTGCCTTGAGAAAGAGTACAGATTACGCACGTATACGTACGTATTAAAGACGCTAATATGACTAAGAAATAGGCACCAGTGATACAAAAGGAGGTCGCGAGGTTTCGTTTCAGCCTATTCTTGAACCAGGTCCACATGGCTTTTGATCAGCCCCAGGAGACGAGCCTCGCTCTCTACAGCGTCGGGAAGTTCGTCCTGGATGCTGCGCATCGTCGGCTTCCAGCCCAGTAGCTTCTTCGCTCGAACGGATACGCCTCTTGAATTGGTGCCGAGTTGATACTTCCCGTGAACGAAGATTCTGTCCACCTCATCCTGGGACAAGCTTTCCACATCAGAGTCTGGCAGGAGGCCCTTCTTGTGCGCGATGTCGGCAATTTTCTGTATGACGTCGCCCCAAACAAACGATCCATTCTCTGCGAGGTAATATCCTAACTCGTTCCATGTAGCCGGGGAACCTCCGTTGAGCGCAGCTTCGCCGAGCAAAAGGTAGAGTTTTGAGAGATCTTGGACGTGGACATAGTGCCAAATATTCTCAGCCTTGCCGACCTTGAATGCCTTTTTACGCTTCAAGAATTCTGCAGTCGACCGGTAGATTTGCACAGAACGTGTATTGTCTGGTCCTCGGCCAGGGCCATAGATCGTAGGAGGACAGACAATGGCGGTCTTGACCCTGTCTGAATAGGACGACAACACGATCTTGTCCACATTTCGATGTGCCGCTTCATCGGGGTGAGAGGAGAGTTCTTGGATATGGTCCCAGTCATCGTATATCTTGTCAAGTCGGTTGCCGAATTCTGCAAGAGCTACGGTTTCGGCCCCTAGAATCAGTGTGCCAGAGGTATGAATCCAATACCCAGGCCCGTCATCTTGTCGACGAGCGAGCCCTTTGGCAATAGCTTTGGCGGATGCCTCATGGTCACAGTTTGCGAAATGATAGACAATATCGGCATTGGCTGCGGCCTCCTCGATGGTCTCCACAGCGTCCAGATCACCATAGATAAGCCGCACTTTGGGATATACCGCAGCCACTTTGGCGCCTTTGTCACTGTTTCGAACAAGACATGTTATTTCCCAGTCTGGGTGCACCTGAGAGACTAGATAGAGGAAGTCGCCGCCTATATAGCCGGTGGTACCGGTGCTATGATAACGTCAGGCTGAGAGAATAGGGATGTGTTGAAGTTACGTTACAGGAGGAGTTTCGGAGCCATTCTCAGGCTTGCTCTCAGAAGAGATGGATTTTTCAGACAGACAGTAGCAATGCCTCTCAAAGCGAATGAAAGTGACCGAGCGAGTCTTCGAGGATTCAGGCCATCTCAGGTTGTACATAGAAGAGGGCACCGACAGCAAGCACAGGCTTGTGTAAGCAAAGGGAAGTTCGATATGATGTAAGATGCTGTCGACACCACTAGTAATCTACTAGGCGGAATGTTGTCACGTGATCGTGTCGCGGGCCAGATCGCGGCCCGTCAAAGTTTCTGACCCTCGCTGTGGCATTGCTACACATGGTCCTTGTAACAACACCACCATCGCCTTGATCAGTTAATACCCGTTCCTTCGCTGAACACAAGTCTGTCGCTTTTGGATCGCCATCCACCGCGATCGTGAGCTACAAACTTGGCCCACTCGATTCTCCACCATTCTTCGTGACGCCGAAGTTTCACTCGACCGAATGATCGACCTCGTGAAGACCTACTATTTCCTCGCCGAGGTCACAATTTGTGGCATTTGGGAGTGATGCCCCCTCCAGCTGGAGCTAAAAGAAAGCGAGGAGACAGAACTTACTCAGATGACCAGCAGTATTCCCGTCCTTCGCCGCATCGACCAGGCAGCCTGAATCTCGCCCACCAAGGCTCTTACCAAGGATCGGGCAATGATCGTGACTATAATCAGACGCGTGGCAGGGGTGGAAAGCGGTTCAGCAGAGGAGGTCGGGGCGGCAACGTCTCATCCAGCCCAGTGAATAGTCCTGGCGAAGTGACTGCCACGGCTGTGAAGACAACTGCAGCAGACCACGAGTCGAACAACGCAAACGGCACTATGGCACTCGATCGGAGCCCTGACTTTCTGACACCGTCTTTCGCAAGCCCTCCTTCCGAGCCTCAACCCTACAATTACACGTGTTTCACCAAGGAAGCGTGTGACTCGTGGCAGACTGGAGGCAAGGAGAACGTGCTACAACAAGGTCTAGCCGCTTTGCAAGAGGAGAGTGGCACTGCCCTCACGGCCATAATGCAAGAGCTAGTACAGTCTGTCGTCTATGGGAGGCTTGGCCCTACGGACGCTGGAATCTTGGTTAAAGAGATCCTCCAGAGCGAAAATACGGGCGGGGATTCTCAGCCAGCCTGCTCAGCAACACCGCTGCAGGCCGCATTGCTGGATACAATATCAATCATGTTTGAAGGGAACAGTGCGATGCCGGTTGACCGCTTGTCCGCATTCCTCGTCGCAACCGATATATCACCCGAATTGCTGCGCCTTGAACTTGATGCACCATTGCTTGAAAGGCTGGACCTGATCAGGAATACCTTCAACCGGATGGGCATAAGAAAACAAACCAATCTATTGTATCGACAAGCCAACTTCAATCTGATGCGGGAAGAATCTGAAGGATTCGCCAAATTGATGACGGAGTTGTTCACTACCAGCGGTAACAAGCCTCCTACCGCCGAGGTTGTCGAGGATACGGTTGAAAAGGTCAAAGCGATGATTGGCGCTTTTGATCTTGATGTTGGTCGGAGTCTCGACGTTGTCCTCGACGTTTTTGGCGCCGTTCTTGTGAAGCAATTTCGCTTCTTTGTCAAATTTCTCCGGGCTAGTCCCTGGTGGCCACGATCACCAGGCCTGGGGAAACCGGAAGCTATAGTTACCGGACTGCCTCTTTGGGCTCTGCCAGGCTCTACAGAGTGGCATCTCACTGAAGCGCAAAAGCAGCTGGTTGAGGCAGAAACTGAATCGCGTGACCGGGACTTTTGGCCACGGGCTAAGAAACAGGGTCTTGAAGCATTCTATCTTCTGGGCAGATCACAACTTTCCAAGGATCAAATCGATCGTGCAGCTTCGTCAGGAGACGAGGCGTTGGCGCAATGGGTCCGAGAGACGGGCACTGCACCTCCGACAGGAAATCGGGATGCTGCTCAACTCTTGGGATTCAAGCTAAGATTCTACTCATCGTCTCCGGCACGGGATGACACTGACGTACTCCCGGATCATCTCATCTACCTTGCCGCTCTTTTGATCAAAATTGGCTTTATCTCACTCAAGGATCTTTATCCCCACATTTGGAGAACAGACGAAGAGATGGAAGATCTCAAGCAACAAAAGCTTAAGGAGAAGGCGGAGAGGGAACGAGCTGCAAGACCTGGCGCAGGGATGAAGAACGCACTGTTAATGGCGGGTGCTCTGGCCGATGACACCCTTCCTGTCCCCTCTCGCTTGAGGGATTCGACTACACGTGCCAGCACTCCCTCCAAAGAACCCGAGGCCCAGAAGCCTCCGGCTAAGGACCTAAACGGGCCCGCAGATCAAAAGGTGCTGTTGCTGAAGAGCTTACTCGCTATTGGGGCTCTGCCAGAAGCTCTTCTCATTTTAGGCAAGTTCCCATGGCTGATCGATCTCTTCCCTGAGCTTCCCGAGTACATCCACCGGATTTTACATCATTGTTTGAGTAAGGTGTACGGTGAAGTGAGGCCTCTGCAAGACCGTCCGAGTCTTCGCGAGCAGAGGCCAACCTACGACACCGACTTGCCAGGCCTACAAAAAGGTCAAGTCAAAATTGTTGACACTCCTGAGCGGAAGATTCTGCGCTGGGCACTACTTGACAAGAACGACAGTCCTGACGGTACTGATTATCGATTCTATTGGGACGAATGGAGCGACCAGATTCCCGTCTGTCAGACTGTTGAGGATGTTTTTACACTTTGTGAGACTCTCTTACCTCTTGTTGGTGTCAAAATTGGTCAGGATCCGGCGCTTCTTCTCAAGATTGCACGCATCGGCAGGCAGAGTTTGCAAACCGACAAGACAGAGCACAACCGTTCGCGCTGGTTGGACCTGAGCAAACGGACCCTTCTTCCGTCTCTCAGTCTGACCAAGTCGAATGCTGGTGTTGTCAATGAGGTTTTCGAACTCATCAGCAATTTCCCGGTTAGCATCCGCTATCTGATGTACTTGGAGTGGCTGACTGGAAGAACATCCCGCAATCCCGACATCAAGACAGCATACGACCAGGCAAAGGCCGAGACAAAGGATATTCTCAAACGTATCTCCAACACAAATGTACGACCTATGGCGCGGGCGTTGGCCAAGATTGCCTTTGCGAATCCCCACGTCGTCATCACGACTGCCTTGACACAGATAGAAGTTTACGACAGTATTGCCGAGGTGTTTGTTGAGGGCGCACGTTACTTCACAGATCTCGGCTACGATGTTCTTACCTGGGCAATCGTCAGCTCGATGGCCAAAGCGGGAAGGAGTCGGATACAAGAGGGAGGCATTTTCACAAGCCGGTGGCTTTCGGCTCTTGCTCAATTTGCGGGGAAGATCTACAAACGATATGGCATGATGAGGCCTGGCCCAATCTTGCAATATGTTTTTGAGCAGCTTGAGCAGGGAAACACAACAGATCTGAAAATGCTTGAGCAAATTGTGGTCTCCATGGCAGGGATCGCAACCGATACAAGCTACAACGATGCACAGTTACAAGCCATGGGAGGCGGACCGCTACTCCAATCGCAAACAATCTTGCAGCTACTTGATCGGCGGCACGATTCCAAAAAGACCTCTGAGCGATTGGTGAGATCATTACAGGACACCGGCTTGGCCGCAAAATTTTTGATCTCAATGGCTCAACAGCGACAAGCTTGTGTTTTTGAAGGAGGCGACATACCCTTGAAAGCTATCGGCAACACTTATGACGAGATTCACCGTGTAGTGGTCCAGTATCTCGAACTTTTGCGAAGCAATCTCTCGCACGAGGATTTCCGCGAAATCGTCCCCGACGTGGTAAGCCTCCTTATCGACTATGAAATTCGCCCAGAGGTGGCTTTCTGGATCAATCGACCTGTTATTTCCAAGCAAATGCTTGAGTATGACAAGGACCATTCCAAAGATCTACGTGCCGATGAAGTTGGAAATAAAGAGACCAACGGAGACGTGGATATGTCTGACCAAATCCAGGGTGTTGAAGAAGATGGCGAAACTGTTGAGACAGAAAACGTCGCGGATGGATCACCCATTGCAAGCGACACCCTGGGTTCGACTCTAGAACTAGATTCAAGCAGCAGGACACCCGGTCTGCCTGAGATACCTCCCGATGATTGCTGGCATCCAGTCATGAAGGATGTCATGACATCCATTCAGCCTGTTTTGCCTGGTGACGTGGTGGAAATCATCGGCACTGGTTTCTATGCGACCTTCTGGCAGTTGTCATTGTACGACATCACGATTCCGGGAAAATCGTACGAGGATGAACTGTCTCGTCAGCACAAGAAGATTGCTGCAATCTCCGCAGACCGTTCGGACGTAAGCGTGTCGGGAACCAAGAAGAAAGAATCGGCAAAGAAGGAGATCACAGATCTCATCGACAATCTACTGGCGGAAAACAAGCAGCATCTGAAGGCGTTTGCGGAAAGCAAAGCTCGCCTCCAACGTGAAAAAGACCAATGGTTTCATGGTAAAGCAAGGATGGACAAGCAGCTTAACACTGCACTGATGGAACACTGCTTTCTCCCTCGGATCCTGTTCTCGCCTTTGGATGCTTATTTCTGCTTCAAACTGGTCAAGTACCTCCACGGAGCTGGTACGCCCAACTTCCGCACACTCGGATTTTATGACTTGCTCTTCAGGCCAGCCCGACTTGTGTCCCTGATATTCATATGTACTTCGAAGGAGGCCGATAACCTTGGCAGATTCCTTAACGAGGTACTTAAGGATCTTTCACGCTGGCACGGTTCGAAGACAATCTATGAGAGAGAGGCCTGGGGTAGCAAGAAAAATCTACCCGGGTTCGCCATGAAAGTTGAAAGCGGAAAGGTCGTGTCTCTGCTGGATTTTGAGAGCTTCCGGAGAGTGCTCTATAAATGGCATGGCAACATATACGCAGCACTTCAAAAATGTGTCACCTCTCCGGAGTACATGCATGTCCGGAACGCAATATCTGTTCTACGTGCTGTGTCGACCGTCTATCCGGTCGTGAATTGGCACGGGACGGGCCTGCAAAAGGCTGTCGACAAGCTGCGCGAATCCGACAAAGAAGACCTGAAAGTCTCATCGCAAGCTCTACTCGGTGCCTTACATAGAAAAGAGAAGAGCTGGATGATCCCGCAGGCTTTCCGTCAGGGTCAAGACAAGAATGGAGACCATGACCAAAACGTTTCACAGTTGAAGACTAGACTCTTGAACGAGACGACCTCTGGTGAGACCCTTTCGAGCAAGGTCAATGAGGGGAATGAGGCCCACGATGTCGTGATGACCGATTTGCCGTCTGAAACAGCAGCTCAAGCAAATGCGGAAAATAATGAGCCCGGTGACTCTGCGAGGACCGAAAAGTCCCAAGAATTGACCGAACCCTCAAAACCAGCTCCCCGGACCCTTTCTGGGCAAGGTTCGAAGCCGTCACCCTCCAACGGCGCTCATACACCCTTGCGACAAGATATAGAAGCATCCGGAGCTCCGGCAAAACGAGACTTTAGGCCTCCGCGTGCAGACTCGACCAGGCTGCATGGTCAGTCTCGACGACTGTCACCACCTGCCCTACCGCGGCCGCTACCAGCGAGTCTACCCAATCGCCCAGAGCCGGCCGATGGTCGGAACGGCCACCGCGACAGTCCACGTCTCTCAACGCGCCCTTCGAGTGAAGCTGGAAGGTCGCTGCCCGATGCTCGAACCAGCCACAGTCGAGATATGAGGTCGGGTTACCGTGGCCCTGAACCTCCTTTCGATGACTATGACAGGCATTCTCGAAGATATGAGCGCCCTGAAGGCCCCCCACATAGTGGTAGAGACGATCGTGGCTATGGGCGTGAACACGAAAGAGTCACTCCATATGATCGGGGCGCGCCGCTAGACAGAGAGCGACCACCTGTTCGACCTCCACCGGTAGAACGTGAGAGAGATAACCGAGATGCCAACCCAAGAGTGCGGTCTTCCCAAACCAGTGAAACGGCGCCATTTGACACATTGTCCTCTCAAAAGAATGATGTGTCCGCCCAGCCGTCACAAGTCGCCATCAACCCGGCACGTGCTGCACTGATCGAGAGTGGTGCAGAGCCACGGTACCCCCAATCGGTTAAAGGCCACACCCAAGACAGGTCTTTGAGATCTCGTCCAGCCTCTCCACGAAGAGACGATGACCGTCGGTCATACCCTCGACGTGATATGGATGAACGGCCCTATGCTAGCCCGCGATCAGAGCCATCGTCAACTCGACCAGCCCCTTACATCTCATCATCCACGGAGCCTTCTCCAGGTGGTCGGGCTACTGGTCCTGGCAGCTACAAGAGAGATTCGAGACAAGCACCACCCATTGATATGCAGCACGGCAGGCTCGAGCAGGACACCTCGCAGAGAGCAACAACCTCAATCAATGCAGACCGCCCTCCGGAGTTTGATGCGCCTTCCGGTCCTCGAAGCAGACCGCCAACAGGGGTTGGAGCGAAGATGAGGGCCCCCCAACTACTAAACACGCAGGTCTCTCCATCTTCCTTCCCAGAGCGACCGACTCCAACGGGACCTGCTAGGCGGCATGGGCGGACCAGTTCATACAATGACGCACCATCTGCGACGAGCACCCCAGCCGACGCAGCGAGTGTTCACCCTTCCCGCCTCAACCAGATCGACCCTGCCGGGAACGAAACGCCACGAACAACGCAGGGCCAACAGCAGAGTCATCCAGCCGGCGCCCCGGCAGGGCCTAGAGGCAATGCCCCCCCTGGCGCTCCGTCTGGACCCTCGCCCACAACTCGAGGTCCCCCTAGCGGCCCGCATGCAGGTGATATGGCGGCACAAGGTGGGCGGAACAACCGTCATCCGCTCACGGCCGTCAATAACACACTGGCTCAGGCTGGAACATCGATCCGAGGACGAGGAGGCATGAGGCAAAACAGCTCGACTTTTGGTTCTCACATGGCACCGCCCCCTCCTCCGCCGCCCCCAGGTGGCCCTCTGAATGGTCCAAATCCCAACGGGTACCCACCGCAGCAAGACCTGTTTGCATCTTCCAATCCAAACGAAGTCCCAGTTGCTGCAAGACCATCCTCGGCGCGGCTCGATAACACCCGGGATCGCAGGAACGAACTGATTGATGATCGGGGGCAGGACAGGAGGTCATCTCGCCATTCAAGCCGACACGATGAGGCCCGGGGTGATCGTGAATATAGAAGCGACCGAGACAGTCGGGATGCCAAAGATGATAGACATGGGGGTACGGACTCATCTAGGCGAGATGAGAGACCGAGTCGCAGGGAAAACTACCCCCAGGAAAGCGACGACAGGCGGGGAGGATATGCTAGATCCGGCCCTCCGAGGGATGACCAATCATCGTCACGGAAGCACGGCAGAGGAGAAGAAGGTCAGCCGTATGGTGGTAGCAGTCTTGGTCACGGAAATGTTGGGTCGAGAGGAGCCTCTAGGGCTGCAAGTGAGAGCAAGCGGGTAAGGCGCGGACCATGATGATGGACCGAGTGGTCTCACCGTACTTGAAGGACATGGGCCCGTTTGACCAGCCGAGAGGTTGACGAGCGTAGGAAAAGGAGAATATGGGTTTCTAAAGCGAAGAACTCCCAGGGATTTTGGTTCCGACTGCGGAGTACTGGCTATTCTTCCCAAACAAAGTGTTTTATTAGTTCGTTGGAACTTCCACGTCCGTCTTATATCATACATACGGCGGGTTCAAATGGAGTGCTAGTACCCGTATTTCCAACCGTCGACTGCGACAAAAGTACCTGATTACCGTAGTTACCTGGTAGGGCCATGTACGGATAGTACTACCTTAGGTACACTCCGTATACAACACGCCAAGCAACACCAGGAAAATTGGGGGCTGTCAGACTGACAGACAACCCCACCCTCAAAGGCTATCTCCGCACTGAGCTTTGTGTCAGACTGTGCCCTTTTTACTCGGCGCAACTCGAAGTTGACACTTCACTCCATCCAGACTTCAAGAGACTTGTTGAAGTTGTTTGCCAATCCTGTACCACTGGCCGCCGTAGACATCTTGTCTTGTTGTTGTGCAGATACACCGGCCCAGATCCCGCAGCTCCTCCCACTACTCTAGGAACTCTCCCGGTGCCACTGCATCGAACGGCTCGATTGTTTCTTGACATCACTATGAAGCGCAGACAGTCGGTTCCCTGATTGCTTCTCCGGCTTTATAACAATGGCCAGCTACGGTGCACCTTACGGAGGAGGTACCGGCCAGCCGTACCAGGCCAACCATGATCCAGCATCCAATGATCCTCGCTCACAACCGAATGCTCTTCATTTCCCCCCGTCGATAAGCCCGCAACCGGGTTACCAACTCCCCGGGACAAATCCAGGCGCCCAACAGGCCTACGCCACTTCGCAGCAGCTGCCCTACTCCGGGCAGGTCCCAGGGTATGCGCCTGTACAGCAAGATGCCATGAATGGCCTTGCCGCCCAGATGGGAGGGTTGGAGATGTCGGCCGCGCCCGCACGATCTCATAGAAAAAAAGAGAGGCACGCATACCATGATATAACGGCGGCGCCTGGGCTCTCCTCAACTTTGGAGAACGGGCCTGCAGGTCCTACAGGAGGATCGCAATTCCTTGGCGGAGGCCCTGAAGCCGGATCAACTGTTCCTGGCCAGCAGCCACAGAATTCCTTCGTAAATCCTGCCGATAAGTTGCGGATGGGAGAGGAGGCTGTGGCAACCCAAGGTCGCGTCGATCCAGAGCAGATCCCTAGTGTGGCAAGATCAAGAGATGTCGCGACGCAGTATTACCAGGTTAGCGTTCATCCTACCATGGAGAAGCATCTGCCACCTCCGGCCGCCGTCTCCTTTACAGCGATCGATCAAGGGAATTCCTCTCCAAAGTTCGCGCGACTGACCATCAACAACATTCCTTCGACAGCTGAGGCACTCGCGTCGACCGGGCTCCCCTTGGGTATAGTACTGCAGCCTTTTGCTCCCCTGCAAGAAGGAGAGCAGCCGATCCCTGTCCTTGATTTTGGCGAGGCTGGACCCCCTCGATGTCGGAGATGCAGGACATATGTCAACCCTTTTATGATATTCAGAGCGGGTGGAAGCAAACTCGTCTGCAACATGTGCAGCTTTGCAAACGATGTTGCCCCAGAATACTTCGCACCTACAGATGTGGCCGGGGTGCGGGTGGATCGTTTACAACGACCCGAACTCATGATGGGTACCGTGGAATTCGTCGTACCTAAGGAATACTATACTAAGGAACCGATGCCTATGCGGTGGTTGTTTCTGATCGACGTCACGCAGGAAGCAGCCAACCGTGGGTTTCTTGAGTCCGTTTGTGCTGGCATCCTGAATGCTCTCTACGGTGACGGCAAAGAGACTGGCACTGACGAGGACGCGGATAATTCCGCCAAATTCCCTGTTGGAGCCAAAGTCGGGGTCGCTACATATGACAAGGAGATCCAATTCTACAATCTCGCACCTGGGCTGACCACTGCGCAAATGATGGTAGTGACCGAGCTTGAAGACCCCTTTGTGCCTCTGGCGGACGGATTATTTGTCGATCCACAAGAATCGAAAAGTGTCATCACCTCTCTTCTCCAGTCGATACCAACTATGTTTTCGAATATCAAGAACCCCGAACCTGCTTTACTACCTACCTTGAACGCCGCGTTGGCTGCTCTGTCCTCTACTGGAGGCAAAATCATCTGCTCGTTGTCGACACTGCCAACTTGGGGACCGGGGAGACTCCACCTGCGAGATGACGGAAAAGGGCGTGACACAGATGCCGAGAGAAGACTGTTCACAACAGAGCACCCTGGCTGGAAGAAGACCGCTAGTGCAATGGTGACAGCTGGCATTGGCGTCGACTTTTTCCTCGCAGCCGCTGGTGGTGGATATCTGGATGTTGCAACAATCGGGCATTTATCACGCCTGACCGGTGGAGAAATGTTTTTTTACCCCAACTTCGTGTCGCCGCGAGACTCTTTGAAGCTCAAAACCGAGATTACACACTCAGTGCACAGAGAGACAGGCTATCAAGCATTGATGAAAGTACGATGCTCCAACGGCCTGCAGGTATCCTCCTATTACGGCTCTTTCCTCCAACACACCTTCGGGGCAGATTTGGAAATCGGTACAATCGACGCCGACAAAGCCATTGGCGTCACATTCTCTTACGACGGCAAGCTGGACACCAAATTGGACGCTCACTTTCAAGCCGCCCTTCTTTATACTTCGGCTACCGGGCAGAGAAGAGTGAGATGCATTAATGTGGTTGCGGGGGCTAATGAAGGTGCCGCCGAAACCATGCGCACCGTCGATCAGGACGCTGTCGTCAACATTATTGCCAAAGAAGCGTCGCAAAAGATAGCGGAAAGGTCCTTGAAAGATATCCGCGCCAGTATCACGGAGAAGACGATCGACATACTCGCTGGATATCGAAAGAACTTCTCGGGGTCCCACCCACCGGGACAGCTAGTCCTACCAGAGCATCTCAAGGAGCTCGCCATGTACACTCTGGGGTTGATAAAGAGTCGAGCTTTTAAAGGTACGTGTACGTGTATGTACTTGAGAATTGGTCTAACATACACATTCTCTAGGTGGCGTCGAGCCCACAGACCGTCGTGTGCACTCGGCTCGAATGATGAGGTCTTCTGGAGTCACCGAGACAGCTCTCTACCTTTACCCTCGAATCTACGCTCTCCACAATCTAAACCCGGAAGACTGTTTTGCCAACCCGGAGACTATGCAATTAGTTGTCCCCCCGTCGGTTCGAGCATCCTTCGCTCGTGTCGATGAAGGCGGAGTATATTTGGTGGACAACGGACAGATTGTCCTCATCTGGTTCCATGCTAAAGTGTCCCCCAATCTGCTGCAGGATCTCTTTGGGGAGGGTGTCAACAACCTGCAAGATCTCGACCCGATGTTGAATGAAATTCCTGTTCTGGAAACCCACCTAAATGCCCAAGTTCGCAATTTGCTGCAATATATTTCGACGATCCGGGGCAGCAAAGCTGCCGCCTTCACGCTGGCCAGACAGGGGCTTGATGGTTCGGAGTTTGAGTATGCCCGTATGCTTGTGGAAGACCGTAACAACGAGGCGCAGAGCTACGTGGATTGGCTTGTCCACATTCATCGTGCCATCCAGTTGGAGTTGAGTGGACAGAGAAAGAAGGAAGACACGGGCGACCACGAAAGCATCTTGAATAACTTGACGGGCCTCAAGGCACCGTATTGGACATGATATGGAATAGAGATATCATGTCATGTAAAAAGGAGGCCATCAAGGACATGATCCGGACGCTTCACGGCAGGAAATCGCCAGCCCATGAAACAATAAAATTAACCTACCACAAGGCTGCGCGATCGGGCCAATACAAAAGCCTTGCCCGAGGCTATTCAGAAGACGGACCTGGTCGGTTGCATGCAACATACCTAGTTAGTTTGATTAGAAAGGCCACACTGACAGGCAAGACTCCGTCCCTTTTCTCAATCCATTAGTAAGGCTAGGACGAGGCGATGCCTCTATCAACTTTCACGGGGATTGGAGGAGTTACAGACGAGGCTGCGGCTTGAAGTCACGTGTCGTCCGTACAATTCGTGGGCGATGATGTGATTCCCCTGCAGGCGATGACTCAAATGTACCAGGACGTCTGACAAAAAGGAAAAGCCGGCACCAGGTATCTTTAACCTCAAATGCCCCGGTCTTCCCCTACAGCAGCAAATTATTGCACGTCAGACCGGCATACATTTCAACTCCTCACAACCACCTGGAAACGTCCTTCAAGCGACGGCAATACCACGATTTCATCAAGTGGGCGCTACTTATCCACATGTTCATGTTGGTTCAAGTTGGTCTAAACATTGTTGACTCATAATCTCCAATCCATCAAAGATACAAAAGAGTGCCCTTGCTCAATGGACCTCATTTAATATCTTCTCCTTATCTTTGCACTGCCGCTCCACATTTTTCCTTCGTCCCCCGGCAGAAAAGAATTGTATGCAGAACGCCCGCCAACGTGAACCTCGCAATGGCGTCCACGAACACGAACACGAACGGCGACAGCTATGCTTCCCCGAAACTCCGTCAGTATACCCTACCACTTCTCCCCTCTTGTTTTCTGCGCGCCGCAATGCTGAGTCTACGGCTACTAAATCCCGTAGAGATTGTCAAGGAGCAACCTGAAAACCCTTTTGCCAAACTCGTCTCCGACCAACAGATCGCCATCGTTCCATCCTTCACCCTCGAATCCGGAGCCGTCCTCACGAACGCACCGGTCGCCTTCACCACTCGAGGTCAGCTCTCAGAAAACAGAGATAATGCCCTGGTCATATGCCATGCCTTGAGTGGCAGCGCAGATGTTGCAGACTGGTGGGGCCCTTTGCTGGGAGGACCAGGCCGGGCCTTTGATGTCACAAGGTTCTTTATTGTCTGCTTGAACAGTCTCGGGAGTCCATACGGGAGTGCTAGTCCTGTCACGTACAAAGATGGCGACCCTGCGCTTGGAAGATACGGCCCAGAGTTCCCGCTGACAACGATAAGAGACGATGTGAAGTAAGATACCGCGGCCGATCAGTGCCTGCCGAGGCTGACCACGCTTGACAGTATTCACAAGATCGTGCTAGACCATCTCGGTGTACGGCAGATTGCATGTGTGGTGGGCGGTTCTATGGGAGGCATGCTGGCCCTCGAATATGCTTATTTCGGCAAAGACTATGTGCGGTGCATTGCACCCATAGCCACTTCGGCATGCCACAGTGCTTGGGGAATCAGCTGGGGCGAGGCGCAACGTCAGTCCATCTATTCGGATCCTAAGTATGAGGACGGATACTATTCATTCGATGACCCTCCCACTGCAGGGTTAGGTGCGGCTCGCATGTCTGCCCTTCTCACTTACCGGAGTCGAGACTCTTTCGAGGCTCGATTTGGTCGGAACACTCCTGATCTATCGAAGCAGCCGTCAATTAATCAGGGAAATAACAGTCCTCCCCTGCCTCACAACGAGCATTGGACCATCCACAACGACGGTAACAAGCGAGCCAAAGGACCCCGTGACTCGCGCCCTCCCTCTCGCAACGGATCTCTAGCTGGATCACAGTCACAATCGGATTTGACTACACTGCAACAGGCACCGCTGACCTTCAATGACCCCCAATTTAACGGTACGACGCAGTTCGCCGTCCCGGAGCCTGTGGCCAAGCAAGCAAAATCCCACCCGACAGACCATTTCTTCTCGGCGCAATCATATCTTCGGTACCAGGGCAACAAGTTCGTGAAACGGTTTGACGCCAACTGCTATATCGCGATCACGCGCAAACTCGACACGCATGACGTATCTCGGAACCGCGCACCGGGCGTGAAGGAAGCTCTGGCACAAATCACGCAGCCAGCTGTGGTTCTGGGGATTGGATCCGACGGTCTATTTACGTTCGCTGAACAGGAGGTACTTGCCAAGTATATTCCTAATGCGACCTTGGGCAAGATCGAGAGCCCTGAAGGACATGACGCATTTTTACTACAGTTTGAGCAAGTGAACAGCTATCTGCTTTCTTTCTTCCGTGAGTTCCTCCCGGACATCATGCACAGGCCAGGCAATGGCAGTGGACAGAACGGCGAAGTTGAAGATGGGGTGGGCAAGATGACCAAGAGCAGCACGTTCGGGGAGGCAGAGGTTGAGGATCTCACCGCTTGGTAAGAAAGAGGGAGATAAATATCGGACGATCAATACGAAACGAGACGAGCTACAGACCAGTTCAACTCTGGTCAAATGAATCTTTGGGTATAACGACTGCACTGGATTGCACAAAATAAGAAGCTGTACCTGTACATATGAACGTATCGTTGTCGTCGGCCTTGGAGGCCGCATTCACAAGATACAAGATACCCCTGGGCGAAGGTCAGGAAAGAGAGGAAAGAGAAGGCCAGGACAAACCACACCAGTTGAATGAGCATTCGCTTCCTTTCCTTAGTATTGTACCTTGCACTTCATCTACCCGCACCTCTGTAAGGGGGTTGATAACTTGGCTGTGGGGAGTACAGAATACGGAGTACGTAGTAGGCAATGACTGCTGCCCAAGGCACCTACGTAGGTAGGTAGGTACCTATGCGGCACACATTACACAGGTAGGTTCAAGAGTACTACGTACATAGGTACGGAGTACGGAGTACATAACTGCAATGACCTTGTGCAGTGCTATGTTAAGTGACAGACTGGCCTTAGGGCTCCTGAGCCCCTCGGTGTCTATTCGTCTTACATCTCACCTAAAGCCTCAGCCACTCCCTTCGCCCCTGGATTCCACCCCAGCCACCAGCACCGCTAAATCACTCGCCAGGGTCTGTCGCAGATATTCGGCCGTTTCAGCCGTGCCGCGTAGATTACTATCCACCACCCACCACCCACGACTTGCCTCCGACCTGCCTTGCTACAACGCACGGGAGAGAAGAGAACCTCACTGCCTTGTCCTATCCAGATTCCACGGTCTTGATCAAAAAGGCCCTAGCCCCGTCATCTGTGTGGCGCAGCTCCCTTCGACCTCTTTGTTGGCCCTGCCCTTGGGCTCCTAAGGCCTTTGCCGACCGACCCTCCTTTCACCCTCCCTCCAACCAAGCCGCGCGAACGACAGCGACACCTCTCACCGCGCCTCTTGCGCTCTTTACTGATCTCGCGATAACTCCCTCCGCGTCTCTGCCGATCGCCCTGGCCTGGCGCCATTGCCCTTACCCTCACCTCGCCCTCCCTCAGCTCGGCCACGCTCATAAGCGATGCGAACGAGCCATTGAGCCTCAAACCCCTCGACGCGCTTCCCCTTGAGATTTCCTGGAAACTACACTTCCTCGACTGTGCCAGAATGGGCTGGCCAGTATGTAACACCACGTTGGAGGACATGACCATCAGCGAAGATCCTATATGGCATGGCTACACTTTCCACCGTCTGGGCTTGTGGCTTGGGGCCATATTCACCATCATCGCGGTCCTGGTCTCCTTCCTCCTGATATTCCTGCATGCGACGCACTACCTGAAACCGTGGGAACAAAGGCACATCATTCGCATCCTCTTCATGGTCCCGGTCTATGCGGCTGTGTCGTTACTCTCCTTCTACTATTACAACCACAGCATCTACTTTGAAGTGATCCGTGACTGTTACGAGGCGTTTGCGATCGCCTCCTTCTTCAGTTTGCTCTGCGCATACGTAGCTCCGGATTTGCACCAGCAAAAGGTCTACTTCCGCACCATCACACCTAGGAAATGGGTTTGGCCCATGAAATATTTTCAAAAGTGCACCGGTGGTGCTGAGAAGGGTTGGTTAAGGACGCCTAGAAGTGGTTTGACCTGGTTCAATGTAGGTGCAAGATGTTCATCCTCTCTCAACCCATACTGACAGGTCGAAAGGTCATCTGGGTCTCCATCTTCCAGTACTGCTTCATCCGAGTCTTGTTCACCATCGTGGCCGTCATCACCCAGGCCTTGGACAGATACTGCCTCGAGTCTCTCAGTCCGGCATTTTCGCATATCTGGATCATGGTAGTAGAATCCATGGCTGTCACTGTTGCCATGTACTGCTTGATCCAGTTCTATTTTCAAATCAAGAACGATATTCGACAACACAAACCGTTACTAAAAGTCGCCGCCATCAAACTGGTGATTTTCTTGAGTTTCTGGCAGACCATCTGCATCTCATTTCTGACCAGTGCCGGCGCTGTCAAGGCGACCAACCATATTCAGACACCTGACATCAAAGTGGGGATTCCGGCGCTCCTGTTGTGCATTGAAATGGCAATCTTCGCCGTCTTCCACGTCTGGGCTTTCAGTTGGAAACCTTACACGCTGGGTTCGAAAGAATACATGGCCGAGACAATTGCAGGCGAAGGCGAGCGTGCATATAAGGGCGGTTTCTTGGGAATCAAAGCCCTCTTTGACGCATTCAATGCCTGGGACATGTTGAAGGCGACAGGTCGAGCAGCGAGATGGTTGTTTAAGGGCCGCAAGTATCGCCACACCGACTCGAGCTATGACTTGACCAGAAAGGATACGCAAGCTGGTGGAAGGGACAATTTCGGTGCCGAAGGGCAGAAATTGTCGTCCAACTCGATCTTCAACACGCCCACCGGGTACACCGGTGGTGCTGGGGGCGGCGGTGGATCCCGACCTCCGCATTACATCAACACAGGAGGCGCCGTCGAAGGAGGAGAAGCCGACAACTTGCTGGCCAATAGCCAGGCCATGCCAATGTCGCGACCTCCAGTTGCTCGGATGGACAGCGACAGGGGCAACGGCGGCGCTGGGCATGATTATTATGATACAAGCGACATTGGTCTCGCAACTTCAACATACGATGACGCCTCATATTCAAGGCAACACCAATATCAACAGCATCAACAATACCCTCCCTATCATTCACAGCCGCAGTACCGGCGGTATCCCGAACCAAGCGGTGTTCAGGAGACCGGCGTAGTGACGCTAGCAACCCCTTACCCGGAAACACGACCAACTGGCCAGCCGAGTCGAGACAATGACCACAGAGTCTCGATGCCGTACATTGCGCCACCTCGGAGTCCGGATCCGCGCAGCCGACGCGATGATACAGCACGAGGGGGCTATGACAGCAATAATGTTTTTTAAATATTCTGGAACTTGTACTTTTCATGCCGTTATTGACAGGCGAGGGTTGTGGCCTCTCTCCTCTTTCTCTCTCTCTCTCTCTCTCTTTCTCTTCTTTCTTGAGCGAGCTTTGAGCACCAGGATGGATATGCGGACATGGACACGGACACGGACACGGACGTGGATTAGGACTTGGGATTTGACGACTAATGAGCAAAGGAAAAACCCACGTTGGCCTTCTCGCGGCGCGAAAACAACCCCCGGCGGGTGTTGGTGTTTCCAACCGTCTCATGTAAACTAGCTAGCTGCACTGTACTGTACATACTTTAGGCTGTTGGTCTATCGGATCGTCCTGCCTTTGCAATAGTCTATTTTTATATACGTATACCTCGAGACACCCGTCCTAGTAGTAGTAGTAGTAGTAGTAGTAGTAGTAGTAGTAGTAGTAGTAGTAGTAGTAGTAGTAGTAGTAGTAGTAGTAGTAGTAGTAGTAGTCGAGCTGGGCTATTCTCTATTCTCATTATGGTCATAGGACAGGCTATATCTATCTTGTGTCCCTAGGGCCTTAGCCCTCGCAATGTCCCAATCAAGCCACCATCCCATTCAAGGTGAATGAATGAATTGAGCGCATTCGTTGTAGTCATCCCAAGTCCCTGTTCGCCCGTTGTCTCGTCGCAAGCCCCTGTTCGCCCGATGTTCTCATCCGGTCTTCGCCGCGCACGATCCGAAGCCGGGGCATGGGCATACTGCCAGTTTTGTATGTAATAGTACTGTTCGCGTACCTAGTGGTGAATGGTGGTAGGTAGCAAGAATGCAAAATAGCATGGATTATAGAGTATAGACTTTTCGACTGGGACGGGGCTGGCGGCCAGACACAGGCACAGGCACAATCAGCCGGCCTGGCCTCACCCTGGAAGGAATTCCGCACCGGTTGGGTTGTAATCCTTTGATGTTGATCACAACTTGCTCTTCCCCGGCAGGTCGGCCGGAGAGCAGCAGGCGTCCTTGCCGACAGTGGTCTCCAGGGCAGGCTGGTGGTGCTGCAGGCTAGACACCAGGGTGGACTGGTTGAAGGCCTGCTCGGAGGGCGGGACGTCGAGTGCGGGGTTCTTGTCGAAGAAGTTGACGGGCTTGAGGCTGACCTTGAGGATCTCGCACGGCATGACGGGGAAGTCCTCGATGCGCGGGACGTGGTTGATGCCGAACTGCAGCCAGACGACCAGATCGGTGTCCTTGACGTTGTCCTTGCGGGCGGCGAAGCTGCGCACGCCGGTGCCGCCGCGCGACTGGTTGGTGTACCAGCCGCCGGCGAAGAGTTCGCGGTCGCGGTGGGTGGTGACGTAGATGTTGTGGTCGGCGAACTCGGCGCGCTTGAAGTGGAAGGAGGACGGGTGGGCCAGCATCTTCTGGAAGGGCGGCGCGTGGATCTTGTACGCGACGGGCTTGCCGTTGACCGGGTTCAGCACGTTCGGGTTCTGGATTTTGAACACGCGGTTCACGTCCGAGTCGAGGTCCAGACCGCCGGCCCGCTCCACCACCGTCTCGGACACGGTGTAGCCGACGCCGTGCGGGTTCCAGTCCTTGTCGATGGGCATCGGGTGCGCCTCGTCGTACACCAGTCGGTTGGAGTGGCCTTCCAGCATGGGGTCGATGCGGAGCGAGAAGATGTGCTGGTGGTGCGCGGCGAGCACGCCCGGGTGCACCACCGTGCCAAACGGCACGCCCACCTTGTCCAGCTCGTGGTCGATGGGTTGCGTCGACAGAATGCCGGTCGCGCGCACCTCGTAAATCACCTCGCCGGCCTGGTTGAACATAAAGGCCAGGATGTATTCGTAGTTGGACACGGTGATGATGCTCTGCAGCACCAGTTCGCGGTTGCGCACAATCGCCGCCCGACCAGTGCGGTAGTTGGTGTGCTTCCAGCCGATCCCGGCGTCCTGCTCATGCACGCACACGCAGTTGTCCATGTAAACGGGCTGGCCCTTGTCGTCCGACAGCACGCCGGACAAGTACTGGATGTGGCCTAGGCAGTCGCACCCCAACTTGAGGTTGTTGGCCATGGCGCCCGCGCCCACGTCACCGAGATCGTACGCCGCCTTCTTATGGTACGGGGCGCGCGGGTCGGCGTAGGGGATGTTCATGTCTGACAGCGAGAGCCGGTAGAACAGAGGCCGCGAGTCGTAGCGCACGTCGTACAAGACCATGCCTTCACGCTGGTTGTAGCCGACCCGGAACGACCACTTCTGCCACTCGAGCACATGTCCGGTCTCGCCGGTAGGGGTGAGGGTGAATGAGGCGCCTTCGGGCTGCAGCACGCGCAGCGGCTTCAGATCTTTGCGGAGCGACGGTTGCGCTTCCGGAATGTATTCGTTGGCCGGTACTGGCTCGTACGGCCGTGGCTCGTGGATGGTGTTATCCGCGCCCGTGGGCAAGTAGTCGATCCGGATAACCGAGTAGTTGTTGCACTCGAGCACGGGCGAGATGGGCAGAGGGAAGGCATAATGGTTGGAGTCCAGTTCGCTGGGATTGGCAGGGTCACGCATGTACAAAAACACTTGGAAGAGTCGTTCGTCGTCGTTGACGCCATCAGAGCCTGCATGCAGTGCACGATTGATTAGTCTCGTTGCCAAAAGTGTAGCAGGGAGAAGGGACACGGGCGGCCATGCGATAAGGGAGCTGTCATACCGTAGATCCAAGGGTCAGCACAGACGACGGTGCCTTCAGGTAGTTTCAACTTGGCCAGCGCGGCCTTGACGCCCGCATCTTCCAGGGCGTTTTTCTCGACTTGCAAAATCTCCTCGGCGTCTCCAGCGCCGTGCACGTTGGGGCCCAGGCGGACATTGCTCTCGACCTTGCCGCGGGAGAGGTTGACAACAGCCTCGTGGAACCGGTCCTAGAGTGGGGATTATCGGTTAGTTTTGGTCTGACCGGAGACAGCGAAGGACTCCTTCATGGTGCAAGCAGATTATTCGGGAGTGACGAACCCTGCTCCACATGACACTAACATAATGTAATGGTGGTACTTACTGTGTTGCGAATATAGTATGAGACAAAGGCCTTGCGGGGAATCTGAGGCAAAGGTTGACCGCTGTGCTCCGCGTCGAGATAAAGGACCATCTGCTTCTTTGCCGGCTCGTCCAGCGTGATGACCTTGAACCGCAGGTCAACAGTGGATGGCCAGACCGATCTGATGAGGTCAGCTGTGGTTGTGATCTCCGAAGCCGTCAATGGGCTCAGCGGATGGAACACGCTCGACTTGGCCGCCGAGGGCGTGGCGGAGAAGCCTTGCGTGACAGCAGCCATGGCGGTGACAGTAACGGGTTCCCACTACAGTGATGCTAACGATAAGACCGAAAGGGAACGAAAAGGAACAGGTTCAATCTCGAGATGGCAGGAGAGGGGATAGGAGAGAAGTTCCGAGAGCAGGCGATGGCTGTAGACACATATATACATAATACTCAAGCGAGCCAAGAATGGATGTGCAGATAAGAAATACCGAGGACGGAGCCTGAGGAGGAAGAGGCGGAGGAGGCGGGATAGCCTGAGGTCCAATCAGGGCTCACGGTGCAGAGCCATAGCGTGTTGTGCACATTGGTGTCGAAGATATCCACAGCCTGGTGGGCGAGAGCGAGGAGCGAGGGGCGTTGGGCCAGGGCAACGGTGAACAGGCACAGCTAAAGACGTGGGAAGACCAGGAAGAATACGGCCCAAATAGGAATGTGAGATGTAGCCAGTGCTGATTGGCCGACTGCGCTTTTGTGGTCATCGAATTTGAATTCAACGCTAGGCCGAGTATGGCGAGTCCTGCCGGCCAGCCAATTGGTGAGGGGCGGCAGCAGCACGACTGATATGGCTCAATATCTCGCTGTTTGAGATTTGCCCGGGAGGGGAGGAGAGGCCTCACTTGTAGCTTATAGCAGGCGCGCAAGTCCGTTCCCGTTCCCGAGCTGGCATTCAATGCTCGGTCCTCTGTCCGTCATAAGAGCTCGGCTACAGAGATGTTATGCAATCGAATCAGAGATAATGGATGATAGACACGCTCTGGAGTCTGGACACCAGAGGGGGACCTCGCCATCACCCATCACCCATCACCTAGCACCGGAGCTGAAATAGTTGCCACATTGAGCATAGCCTGCAGGTCAATTCTTGATCATTAGTGTCCCTTCGGAGACTGCGTTCTAGTGGATATGAATAGAGTCGATATTTGTTAAATGTCTTGACTTTGATGCAACTTTTGTTAAATATTGAGGAAGCATTCTCCAGTCTCATCTACAAGTCTCCAGGATTTGTCTGGATAGTCAGGCTCCCCAGGCCCCTATAATAGAGGACAAGAAACTTTCCAACTGTACTTTGAGAACTTTGACTGAGAAGGACTTGTATATCCTAGACACAAACCCGAGACAGCTGCCATGGCGGCCTGTTCCTGCGCGCCTGAACAGCACGCGCCGTCAATAGACGCCAATCCAATATACACCGACGATTCCTTATATACTGATCGCACGTCTCTGACAGCCAGAGTCCAGGGTCCAGGGTCCAGGGTCATTGACCCACACTAACCCATTTAGGCAACTTTTCAAGCTCAAACTTTAACGTATGAAGCACTTGCTTAAGCAAGTGTGATTGCCGGATATGTCTACCGTAGGGGTCACCTACAGCACGTACAATCCCGAGATCAGACCGTCGCAAAAAGCGGAGCAGGATACTCTTCTGACTCCACATATCCAATGTCTTCGCCCGAGGCCATGGCAAAAAGGTAACCTCTTTATTCGATGTTATGATAACCTAGACTATGTGCAGCGAGACCAGCGACCAGTGACCAGTGACCAATGCCCGCATCCTACCCTAAGCCCTCATCGTCAATCAGAATCCCGGTCGCTTGCCCCTATGGAGGAAGGAAACGAGTCAGCATATATGCATAGGAACGAAACATAGATATGGGCATCTATCCACCCAACGGACTGTCTTACGGCATGCGGATCAGATATCGTGGTCGAGACTCGCCAGCCTCGCCAACACTCTCGCCCCAGGCCTGTTTGATGGTCATGGATGACTGTGGCTCGTCGAGAAAGAACTTGGTCCCAATCTGAAACCAACCGTTTCCCACGTCGAGCGTTTCTGCAATCCCAATCGCATATCGCGGATAGCCTGCCGGCGCGTCGTTGACGCAGTCCAATTGCTCAATGAGTTCTTCAATCGGCATAGAACAGGACGCCGTCATCACCCGGAACGGCTCGCACGCGTGGGGCGGGATGTAGAACTGGCCGTTTGCGTTGACCGTGTACTTGTCCAGCACGTTGTAGGTAAAGAGGTGGAACGTGGCGTTCTGCTTGGACGCGACGTACCCCGTCCCGCTGTCCTTGACCACTAACAGACGATCTTTGACCCGGTTCCCACTGACAGGAGGCTCGGGTGCTTGGGCTGCCGCGTGAGTCACAGCACCTCGCACGTCAGCAGGCCCTGTTGGAGGAGGGGGAGGAGCGGGAGCGCCTGCAGGTGGAGCTGGCGGAGGAGGAGGTGGCGGTGGTGCCGGTACCGGTGCTGGTGTCGGTTGGATCCAGATCGCTCCTGCGGATGGAGGCGGACCAGGAGGCGCCTGACCGCCGTTGGGGAAGCATACCGCACCAGGAAACCCGGAACTCGGTGGAATGAAGAATGGGCCGCTGGGTGCTGAAGGTGCTGGCGGCTGGGGCGGAGGTAGGAACGAATATGGCGGCGGCAGCACACCCGGTCCTCCTGTCGATGGAGGCCCGCTTGGAGGTGCCCCTTTATTTGGCGGCCCGCCGTCTTTGGTGAAATAGTGATACTGTGTCCTGCCGATCAGGCCAGGTGGAGGTGGAGGAGGTGGTGCTGACATGGCGAAGGGCAATACAAATGGACCTGGACAAGCCATTGAAAAGACTGTAAGGGCCACGACGCTTTTTAGCGGGAGAAGGGTGGAGGAAACGGATGGGCTGGGCCTCACTAGGAAGGAGGAAGTCGAGTCGTTTGTGGAGTGAGAGCCTCAAACAACGAAGGGGGAAACAGGACATATTTAAAGGGTGAGAATGATTGCTTCTTCCGCGTTGGCTATCATTGTCTCTTGACCAACATCTGCAATATGTGTCACAGGCCATGACTGCATAGACCGAGGCCATCAAACGGCCGATAGGGTTGCCACGACCGTGGCGCGGCAAACCCATTCATAGAGTCAGTGGTTGTTGGGTCGCTTGGTGACCCAATGCAATGAATGTATAGGCAGTGCAGGGTGGGAAGCAAATGCAAACAAAAATTGATCATGACCCAAAGGCTAGAAGTGCCCAATTTTCAGCCCGCCGCCACAACCGCAAGACCCTCATAGACCTTTCGCTTCACCCGGGTGTAGGTATCTGCCCGATTTGCAGTCATGGCGGCTCCGCTGACTGGGATGCCTTCCACAATGATCTTTCCGGTGCCGAGTTTCTTCACTGCAACCAGTCCGTCAACCAACAAGGTGCCTTCGCCGCGGAATTCTGCGAGATGACCATCCATGGCAATGATCCTTCGTAGGTCAGCCAGGCGCAAGTCACCCACGTGGATGGGTTGTGTCACGGCTCTCGTGGAAGCTGCCAAGCTGGCAGGCAAGAGATCGAGGACGGGCACTAGAGGAGGAGGAGGTGGTGCTTGTGTTTGGCGAGCTGTTTCCGTGTCCAACTTCGGCTTTTTCAGGAGGGGATCTTCCTCCACATCCATGTCCTGGTCGCCCTCACCTTTCAACTGGCCTTGGACCGTGACCACGCCCATGTTCTTGACAGTCTGCCAGTGCAGTGTCTTGACTAAGGCACGACTCAGTTTCACAACCCAGGCATTGGTGTCGACACTCGCATCGACGGTTTGCCCTTGGCCAGGAGCGAAAATTTCCGTGGATGTTTGCTCCTCTGCGCCGACCATCTTCATGCCGAGGAGCTCCCTGCAATCTGAAGCCAGACCAAGCGTTTCCGCCTCGGTGCCTCCAACCAGGATCAATTTCTTGGGTCCGATCAGCGGGATCAACATCTGCAGGCTGCGCTGATCGTGCAAGCCGGCAAAATCCACAAACGCCAGCCTAGCATTGACCGTGATTTCGGTAGTCGAATATACAATCTTCGCCGGGCCTTGGAGCCCTTCCGCTTCGACTTCGCCTTCGACGTCCGAGGTCTCCGAGTCCGACTCTTCGCCAGAGTTCCCTGCTGCCGTGGGTTTCGGAGCATGCCCTCGAGCTCGCTTTGAGTGTGAGTCTCTGGCGTTGTTCGCTTCGTCCCATTTTCGCTTCAGCCCCAACATGCCTCCCGTTTTGCTGTCATCCTGGCCATCTTGTTCCTCTTTCTCTTCCTCCCGCAGAAAGTCCTCGGGTTTGATGAAGTCCCCAAACTCATCGCCGCGTCTCCGCGAGTGAGCATAGGGGAACACAGCGTTCCGTCCCTTCTTATTCCGCACATCGTAGTCGTACACCCCTTTCTTGCGCAGCAGGACACTCACCCCTAAGTCTTCATCGCTCAATGCGAGCTTGTTCCGCGCTCCGTGCCCGAGAGCAGCGGAAACATTCAAGATTCGGCCTTGCTGTTCATCGTCTGATTCATCAGACGAGGACGAGCTCGATTCGTCATCTATATTGTCGTCTGCCACCGTTTGATCTCTTTCAGTCGCCGCCAGCGAGTCCTGAATTTGCCTTTGGGTGGCTATGTACTGCTGATATCGTTGAGTCTCCTGCGTGCTAAGCGGCACCTTTTCTGGGTTCTTTAGCTTCAGCGTTCTCCCACCGCTGTGCACCTGTTCAAGTTGACCGGTACCTTCAGCTCGCTCGAGGGCAACACCATCCTGACGCTCGTCGAACCAGTTCCAGAAGATCTGACCAGGACTATCAGATTCCCGGTGGCCATTCAATCTCTCTGTCAAAATGACGAGATTCTCCGGCCGTTGCACAACATGTTGCAGTAGAGATCTCGAAAAGCCCCAATCCAAGCTGACGTCGCTGGCCAAGATGACCTGCGGACCTTCCACTTTGAGCAGCTTCTCCAGTTGATGCTTCCGCTCTACGACCTTGACATTTTTAAACTCAAACGGTCTGGAAGGCTTGGTTGCACCATTGGCCTTTTCGCCGCCGCCCCTTCTATAGTTTTGAGTGCCTGGGTTTTCGTCTTCTCCTTCAAATTCCCGCACAATACTGTCGTCCATCCATTCGAGAAGACTCCTGGCGTGGCGCAACGTTGCATTGCCCGATCTGCTCGCCATGTATACTTTGGCCGGCTTTAAAGAGGCGGCATGGGCAGGATCTGACCACGACTTCTCCAGTAACCAGGCCAACTCGAGCACTCGAGCAGCCGAATCGGTAGGTATCAGCACCGTCCCACCCTTGGCGATACTGCTCTTAATGTGGCCTAGGAGCGCGTCATCTCGAGCTTTGCGACCACCCGACAAGGCTACTCTTGTTGCCCCAACGCTGCTGCATACTAGAGCACTAGGCTTGCGCAATTGTTCGATGACCTCGGCTCCTCCGACCCCACCAAACCAGGCCGCGCCGGCCACCACATTTTCTCTTGCTTGATTCCAGTCCACCGCGTAGACAATCGACTCCAGACCATGCTGTATATGCCAGATTGTGCCGCCGAGGGTATGTCCCGCATTGTACGCAGTCACGGTCAGCCCTTCGACGGGGGCGGAGAACTGGGACGGTGTGGGTTGAAGTGGCTGTGAGTATTTCAACGGCGTGATCAACTGAAAGTACTTGTTTATTTCTTCGAAAGTGGGAGCCTGGCGGAGGATGTTCGATCGAGACTTATCATCCGAACTCGAGCCATCTTCCGGAGAGCCCGAGCCGGGGATGAAGGTTGCAGCTAGAGGAGAAGAGGAGTAGAGGTCTTGCAGCAGGGTGCGACCGAACGCAATCACAGGCGGAGTAGCGTAGATGGGAATCTGAGCGAAGACGGGAATGTGTTTGCAACAGTGTGCAAAGGCACCAATATGAACAGTGGTGGGATGGGTGAGCAGAATGAAGGATAGAGTCGACGTATGCTTTTCTATCTCGGCCAATTGACGAGTATCGAAGCGTTCATCCCATCCAACGTCGACCAGGACTTTGATCCCGCCATCTAGCTCGAGAATGGACTGCGATGCCCGCGAGTCGCTTTGAGCCCCAAGCAAGGGAGTGAAGGTGAACATTGTCGCGGGCGCGCGATCAGGTGCGAAGAACGAGTCGAATTAACGAATAGGAGGATACCTCAGAATCGCCATAAAGAGCGACACGTCTGCAAGCCGTGTCCCAGCACCAGTATCGAAGTCGAGAGTAGAAATACGACTTACGTAGATGTGAAGGAAGCCCGTCAGCGCAGTTTAGACACGGGCAGTGGGAAATCTGCTCCGAACTCGCCTCCTTCGGGACGTGGGTGATGCCGCTTTATTCTCACCCCCGGCGCGCGTTCTGCTAGTGTAATCTAGTGTAGTCTACCTAGCTGCGTGGCTGGTGCTAATGCACAGCCAATGAAAGCTTGCCCTCAGAATCAAGTAAGGCTGGAGCCTTGCGTCTACGGTCTTCCACATGGCCGTTGAGAGCAGCCTGACCACGGTAGAAACCGTCGAGTACTTACAAAGGCTCTAGGCGCCACCCGCGTCCCAAAGCAGAATGCTTCGCCGTCACTTACACTTACAGACGGACAATTGACTGTGGTACTACCTACCATATATACCGGGCCGCAGCCCGTACTATAGAACCTCCTTTTCACAAGAGCCCAGACTCCATAGTCGTGGGCTTAGGCCAACCCAACTGCCACTCCTTTCATACCTAGGTAGGCGTGGGCATGGAGAATCATAGTCACCAGCCTCCGCGCCCACTAGCACCATCAGGCACCGGCAATGACACTGGCATGGATTCATGTACCAACAGTGTCTCTATACCCACGACCAGCGGGACGTTGCAAGGCCCTGATAGCATCCAACGGCCACAGAGGGAGAAGGCAAGAGACACCGTTTCTAGGACATCATCTTTAGATACAACTATGCCGAAGTCTGAAACCCCGAGGCCAGGAGATGAGCCCGTGGCCTTGCTTTCTCTTTCGATTGCGCCTCCGCCTTCGCCTTCGCCTTCACCTTTTTCAGGCACCCGTTCTCGTGGTACCGGGATCAGAACGAGCCTGAGGCCTTCGGTTGAAACACTGCGATCTAATATCTCGTCGACTCAAACGCAACTTACTGCTGTACTCCATCAAATCCGCAAGCTCGAGTCCTATCCTCCACACCCACAACCACGATCAGAGACGCCAACCCTCCAAGCTGCTAGTCTATCTTCAGCTCCAGACAATCAACAACGTCTTTCCCTTTCTGGATCGGAATCTTCTTCGTCAACGACGACGACTACTACTGATAGAAATACAGGTACGTGCAATGAGGTGGAAGCAGAAGCAGCGATGCACCACGCCAATGTCATCTTCGCTCGGCACATCTCTTTGCTGAAAGAATACAATGAGATCAAAGACGTCGCCATGGGAATGCTGTCGCTCATTGCCGAGAAAGAAGGGCGGCGGCTGGTGGAGATCATGGAAGAACGAGGGTTGAGCGAGAAAGATTGAGAGGAAATGTGGAAGTGGCCACACCAGCACTGAAGATCCATTATGTGTGATATACTGCATAAACAATGGACAGCCTGTCCAATGCTGTACTCTGTAAAATAGTGGATTTGATCGAGTCGAATCGAGTCGACCTGCCTTGAGCAGAGGGGAGTTTAAGTCATGCAGCAAGGGCAGAGCCTTCCAGTCCCTATCCCGAGCATATCAGCCATGCCCTTGCAGCGCCGCGCTCATGTGTACATGTACATGGAACGGAGTACGTCATCTCCTTTTGTGCATCTTTTACATGGAACGGAGTCCATGGTATGTTGACAAGAAACCCGTCAGACAGCTCCTGTGGATGGACAATGTCTTGTTTCCTATTGCCCAGGTCCGCGTGCTTCATTGCCGCTTCTCTAAACTTTGCAAGCTGACTAGTTCGCGGTAGCGGCCCTTCTGCGCCATCAACTCAGAATGGGTGCCATATTCTGCCACCACACCTTTGTCGAAGACGTAAATCATGTCTGCTTTCTGTATGGTACTAAGTCTGTGTGCCACAGCGATTGTGGTTCTGCCTTTGGCAGCGTGGTCGAGGGCGGCTTGTACCACCTTTTCGGACTCGGAGTCTAGAGCAGATGTTGCTTCATCCAGAAGAAGGATCTTGGGATTGCGGAGCAAAGCGCGAGCGATAGCAATCCGCTGTTTCTGCCCTCCAGATAGCAGGGTAGCCTTGCTACCAACCTCAGTTGCAAAACCATCGCTAGCAAGGGTTAGCTTTCTGACGTGCACGTGTACCGGACAAACAACAAGACTTACGGCAGTGACATGATGAAATCGTAGATGTTTGCATCCTTGCAGGCCTGAATGACACGTTCATCACTGACCTCGCCCCTGTCCGCACCAAGCAGCACGTTTTCTTTGATGGTGCCTTGGTACAGTGTTGGTTCTTGCGATACAAGTGCTAGATTTGACCTGTAGTCGTTGAGGTTGAGGCTGGAAATTGCATTGCCGTCCACATAGACTCCGCCGGCTAGTGGATCGTAAAAGCGTTCCAGTAACGCGATCGTGGTGGACTTGCCGCAGCCTGTGGACAATGTGGTCAGATCTATGAAAAGCGCGTGCAGGGACTGACTCACCAGAAGCTCCAACAAGAGCAACGTATTGGCCCGGCTTGACGGTCAAGTTCAGACCACGAAGAACCGACACCTCCGGCCGGGTTGGATATCGGAAATGGACGTCCCTGAACTCGATGTTGCCCTCAACCTCGGTGAGGGATTCACCATCTTCCGACCATGGATCAATGGTTGGTTTGCGATCATACAACTTCTTCAACGCGTCTGCTGCATTCTTTGCGTGCGACATGTCTCCTGCAAAGGAAAACACCGTCCCAGCAGACTGCGCACCAAAAATGATTTCAGAAAACACAATGAAGAATTGAAACATGCCATACTCTCCCCGGCCCATGAGTCTTCCACCGTACCAGAAGCCTAGGGCGAAGGCGAGGAACATGGCCGATTGCGATGCTGCGTAAAGTGACGAGTTCCGCAGATTTGATCTGAGGGAAAGCCGTAGTTGAGTTCGAAGTTGGTTCTTGTACTCCAGATAGATCTGCCGCTCCGTAGTCAGAGACGCCACGGTCCGGATGGCATTGGTGTGTTCGCAGGCATATCCGGCGGACTTCTCGTAGGATTTTTGAGCAGTGGCAGAAAATTTGGCCAGGATTCGGAACCTGAAAAATCCAGTTCCAAGGATGATCGGTAATGCGCACATGCAGACCAGCGCGAGCTTCCAGCCGACGGCGAGGGCTATCACTATTGACACCACTAGTGTTGTTGCACAGCTCAGGAGTGTCCCCAGAGTCGCTCCGGATATTGATGCCAGGTGAGTTGCCTCGGTGGACAGGAAAGAAGTCAGAGCACCGGTCGAGTTCTGCTCTTCGTCGAAGAAAGCGATATCTTGTCTCAGGAACCTTCTGAATGCACCGTCACGAGCACGCTGGATCAAGCTTTCACTGCAGAATGCGAACGCAATCCCTTGCACGACCATGGCTAGTAAGTCGACCAAACCAAGCATGAGATACATCAACGCCCAGAAGTCGACGTCGTGGCGGATCTGATGTCGCTCACTGAGCGGTCGAGATAGTGAGACGATGGATTTGGCAAAGAAGACTGCCTGGACTGGTTGGGCGCCTCCTGCAATACAGGTGAAGACAAAACCGACACACATAATCTTCCATTCTGAACGATTGAAGGCTCCCATGAACTTGATCAGGGTCCAGAGGGGATATTTGGCATCTTCTTGGGGCTGCCTGTCTGCAAGAACCTTGGAGGATACGGATTTCTGACTCTTAGTCCTTCCAAGGGCGAGTTTGATGTCCTCAGGAGCCATTGCCGCCGCACTCCCCGACCTCGATGATTGGATTCGCGTCAGCTCCTCTTCACCAATTCCATCGCCCCTTTCCGATCGGTCATCATCAGTGCTGGAGATGTGCTGGGCTGACACCAAGCTGTGGTATGCCTTCTTCAGTGCCAACAATTCGTCATGGGTGCCCTGCTCGATAATACGGCCGTTCTGCATGACCACGATGTTGTCTGCAGTTTTGATGGTTGAAAGGCGGTGAGCGATTACAATGGTGGTCCGACCCTTGGCCGCCTCGTCCAAAGCTTGCTGAACGACCCCTTCAGATTTGGTGTCCAGGGCCGATGTGGCTTCATCAAGCAACAAGATTTTTGGATCGCTGACGATAGCTCGGGCAATCGCAACCCGTTGTTTCTGGCCTCCGGATAGAAGAAAACCACGCTCACCTACATGAGTATCGTACCCCTCCGGAAGAGACGAGATGAAGTCGTGTGCGTTGGCCTTTTTAGCAGCTTCGATGATACGCTGCGTCTGCTGCTCTTCTGGTTCATCTTCGTATTTGGATCCAGTGAGACCGTTTCTGATGTTGTCTTTGATGGTCTGACTGAAAAGAATGGGTTCTTGCTGCACTAGCGAGATTTGTTGTCGAAGCCAGTGGAGGTTCAATGTGCTGATATCATGACCATCCAGCAGAATCGTTCCGCCTACTGGATCATAGAAACGCTCAACTAACCCAACGATGGTCGACTTTCCAGACCCAGAGGCGCCGACAAGAGCGGTGGTCTTGCCGGCGGGGATCACGAGGCTGATGTCCTCCATTACCACAACTTCAGGGCGTGAGGGATAGATGTGCTTGACGTTTCTCAGCTCAACAGTACCATCGACGTGGTCCAACTTCTCGCCTGCCTCTGACTGTGGATCTAGGGGACACTCCCGGTCAATTGTGGAGTAAATCTTTGCCGCAGCGGCAACACCAGCTGCGAAATGCTGGATGTTGGGCCCGACATTGCCAAAAGAGAAGGCGCCAATCATGACGGCCAGGATAATAGTAAGGATGTGAGATAGGTTTGTTTCGCCGCTGACCAAGAATCGAGACCCCATCCAGAATGCTAGACCGTAGTTTAAGAATACGAGGCAAAGCATAAGTCCAATCATGCAGGCCAGCATACTCTTGCTACGGATACCCCATCGCCGGGCCTCAAGGAGGTGGACGTTGTATTGCTTTGCCAATTTATCTTGGGTTCCGAAAGCCACTGCGTTGCGAATCGATGCCAGGACTTCCTCAGCCACGGACCCACCGACGGCGTAGGAGGATAGAGACTTCTTGTTCCATCCGGCCATTCTTCGCCCACCGACGCCCATGATAAGGACGATGGCCACGACGGTGGACATACAGATCAAAGTCAGTTTCCAGAACTTGATGAATCCAATGACGAATGCGGAAAAGAAGGCAGCGACGCCTGTCAGAGTCAATCCGACCTTTTCACTGATGGCTTCCTGAACAAGGTTTGTGTCCGAGGTGATACGGGTAGTGACCTCTCCGGCTCCCAGTTTGTCAAAGTACCCAATGTTCTGCCGCAAAATCGCCCTCAGATATTGTTCTCGCACTTTTGACGTGATATGCTCGCCGGTGTAGATAAACAACACGGTGGAGATGTAAACCAGGAAAAACTCCCCGATGGCCAGATAGACGAAATACAGGACATATCGGTTCAAGATGGAATCGAACGACTCTTTGAGCGATCCAAGAAAGAGACCTTGAAATGTTCCACTCAGATTTCCGAAAACAACCGTCATCAAGGGTTGGACCACCCCTGCACCGACGGCCATAACAAAGGCAATGGCAATGAAGACCAAGTCCCATGTTGTGGCATACCGATATAGACTCTTGTAGGTAACATTGACATCGGGAGTGAACAATTGTCTTCTCAGTACGGCTTGCTCATGCTCAGGTAGATGGGCGAATGCCTCATCGCCTTCTTGCACCTCGCGAACTTGGACAATCTTCGAGTCATACTTGTCAAGCTCTGGCCCATTGTCCGAATTCGAGGACGACGACGCGATTGCAGTGGGAGACGTTGGACTCGCAGGGACGGGTGTGACCGGCTGTTTCTCGGATAAAGATGGTAGTTCTGTGTCCTTCTCTTGTTGTGTGGGGATCCCCAGATCCGATCTCTGTTTCTCTTCTATATTTTGGTCGACAGCGGCGGCACCGACTGGCAGGTCGCCTTGCCCGCTTGGATTCATGATGTGGTGCTATTTGACAATACGGCTTAAGGATAGTCCCGATTTGACACCGGCTCAGCACATCATGTTGCCAGCCTCTCTCTTCGTCGAAAGGGGTAAGGAGTATGCGCAGGAAGGGAGTCTGGTCGTAGGGAGTATGGATGCTGATACCTGTAGCGATCGAGTTTGGCGGTGCAATCCGACTGGGATTTGAGTATGGTTGTACGCTGCTCAGGCGCAGGATGGATGAGACGAGGAGCAAATATATGCCAAACAGTAGGCAACAGTAAAATGAAAGACGGAACCGGGAATGTGCTATTAGCGAGGATGTATGTATGAGATACGGAGTCCTTGGTTCTGGGTTCTGGGACTTTTGGAAGGCGATAAATGCAACAAACAACCCTTGAGCCCCGACGGGCCCGAAGGCCCAGGTCCGAAGGGGGAGCCTTAGGCCTGTTGAATGCGCCACTATGGCACTACGACTATCTGGGCAACGTAAACGAGTACGAGGCAAGCTGCGACGGCTCCTAAGGCCTGGAATTACCTACTAGTTCGTCACGGAGGCCGTGCAGTTAACCCCGACGATTACGTTGATATAACTCAACCCATCTCACAGCATCTCATTCGCTCTGACCCGATCTCAACTGCTGGAGCCTGCGGCAAATGGTACAACGTGGAGGGCAGCGCTAAGGGCCGGGCGTTTGGTGGGGGGCTTAGGTGCCTCTATGTAAAGAGCCCTCAGCCGATGTTCTTCGCAACACTTACCTAGAAGGGTTACAAACTGCGCCCGCAATCTGCGCACAAGTCTGCACAAGTGCTCAGGGCTACTCTGTATGGTTTATGCACCACATCAAGGCCTTTCCAAGACCTCACGAACCTGCTACTTCTGCCAGTGTACTCCGTATATTCAAAGAGTCATCATTCTTGGAATGGAGTCATCATCGACCAATGCTGTCGGGGTGCCTGACGCATATCTCATCGTGACAGAGACGTTTTCAAATTCTTTTCTGCGGCAGCTATGAATCCGAATACGATATCTCCCATACATGTAGGTGGCAGCTTTCGGTCATGTCTACGAATGCTGCAGCCTGGAACATGCGATTGTTCTTAGGTGTCCCACCGGAGATGATCGATCATTTGAAAAGTACGCCGTAGGTCTCCCAGTCTTAACACGTTTATCAAAGCATGCTTGGTTGGGTACCAGTTCACCTGCTATCAGAACACAATAAACACCGTGATCAATGAGCACACTGTTAGTGGAGGCAACTCGCTTCTATCACAGCTTGGCTTTCTGCAGTATAGCCTGATAATCGTCGACTCTCTTCTTCGCTTCCAGATTCCTGCGGTCTCGGTCCAGGTCTCGAGCTGTCAGTATCTTCGTTGCATCAGCTGCCTCGTCCAAATCTCGGACCACTTCCCGGTACAGTTCCTCCTTAATCTTCCCATACGACCTCCCTTGCGCCTTTTGGGTTAACTTCATCTCTCCAATGAAAGCCAAGGTCTCGTCGACACCACCAACACCGTCGATGATCCCCTCCTTCAGTGCCTCCAGCGCCGGGAATCTCCTGCTCTCGAGGACCATATTTCTAAAAGTTGTCATGTTCAGTTTCACTCGGAAGACTGAGGCCATGGGAGGCTGCAGAGGCGCCCCAAAATCGAGCTCGTTCAGACACAAGAAGCCCTTGTGCGGATTCATGATGCGGTAGTCATGCATGAGTGCCGTCATTAAGCCGCCAGCAAAGGCGTGCCCGTTCAACAGAGCGATGGTTGGCATCGGGCAGGTGATCAAACGGCGCCACAAGGGGAATAAGCTGTCCGCGAAGAAGGTGGGATCCCTAATGGCGTTCTCATAGTCCAAGCCATTGGAATAGAACTTGGTGATGGAGGATGTGGTGATGACCACCCCACGGGGCAATCGGTGCTCGATGATATCGAGTGCTAGAATAAATGTTTGATTGAACGCTGGCGTGAGGCGATTGTCGGGACGGTGTTCGAAGGAGAGAAGATAGACTTGAGGGGCAGCCTGTGTGCACACGAACTTTCCCTCCTGATTGTCGGTAGACGAGGTTGCCACCGACAGCGGAATTGGGAGGACGAAAAGAGGCGGAATGGGCGGCATACTGCTGCTGATCTTGATTAATTGCGTGGCAAATGTGTCGATGCAAAACTGTCTTCTCTCCCAGGAGGGCTAGTAGTCCTGCGACAAAGATAGGGAGCTGGTGAGAAGAGAAAGTCGACTATCATGGGTCTATCGTGGTGTGCACATGATTACATCCAGACCCAAGTCAAGGGGGTCGTGAATCAGCCGAGGTGCGTGTTGGGTGCCGGGAAGCCTATAAGGTGCCCTATGGATTTGCCTCGAGCATGCGTCTGGTGCCCAAATGTTCCCAGCCGTCGCCCCCGACATGCTTACTTGAACCCTGACTAAGATGTCCCGCTTGGAGCAGCTTACTACTAATTACTACGTGGTGACGTTGCCGCCCAGGGTCCTTTTGCAGCTAACTTATAGTATCTGACTATCCGGCGGCCACCGGATTGCCAAAGTCGTCTGCCTCTGCGGCTGGAAGGTCGCTAGTCTCTCTCCCTATTTCACGCTTTGTGATCCTCGAACCTCGACGACATGCGAAAAGTACCCTCCGTACCCCGTGGTCAGCCGTGTACGGAGTAGCATGTCCTAGCGAAAACTCCTTGCATATTGAGCAATCCTTTCAACACCAGCCACCTCGCACCATGGCGGACTCTCCAGGAGCCTCCTCGTCCAGGACGTCTACCGGCGCAGTCATATGGGAGAAGACCAAGGACTACTCAAGCACCGCCTACACGAAGGCTCTCAAACCTGGCTTTAACAAGGCTTATGCTGTCGTCGACAAGCTTGGAGCCCCAGTAAACCGCCTGTCCAACAAAGTCGGCTCCGAAGCCTTCTGGCCGACAACATTGGATAAGGAATCCGAAAAGGCGGCCCGAATTCTGCGCGGCTTCTGCAAGGATGGATTTTACGACCAAGTCGATGAGAAACAAGAGAAGCTGATAGAAAATCGCAAGGCGACAGCAGACGGTGTTCCACAAGGCAAGCAGAGGGTGTTGAAAAAGATTCCTACAAAGGTCATCAAAGAGTGTGTCGGCCTGGCGATATATACAACCATGCGAACCGGCTGGCTTTTTGGAGGCTCTGGCGGTGCCGGTGTGCTGGTTGCGCGACACCCAGAAACCGGAGAATGGAGTCCTCCCAGCGGCATCCAGACGCAAAATCTGTCGTTTGGATTTCTTGCAGGAGTCGATATTTATGACACAGTGTTGGTCATAAACTCATACAAGGCCCTGGAGGCGTTCACTAAGTTACGGTGCACTTTGGGCACAGAAGTAGGCGTTGCAGCTGGGCCCGTCGGAATGGGAGGCGCTCTAGACACAGAGATCGTCAAACGACAGTCCCCAATTTGGTCATATGTCAAGACCCGCGGCCTCTATGCTGGTGTTGCCCTTGAGGGGAACCTTGTGATTGAGCGAACTGACGAAAATGAAAGATTTTACGGTGAGCGGGTGGGAGTATCGGATATTCTTGTTGGCAAACTTCGGTATCCGCCAGCCGAGAAATACCAGGTGCTTTTGGATACATTAAAAGCGGCACAGGGTGACCTGATTGACGATAGTCTGCTTCCAGAAGGTTTAGCCCCCAGTGATATGGAGCTCCTGACCGAAGGTAAGAGCTTCCAAACGCTTTTCCGATTATGTGCGTGCTGACCAGCCTAGGAGCACCCACCTTCGGTATTCCCGCTGAAGATGATCCCGATCCATACGGCGTCAAGGCGTTGGAGGCGGAAGGACTGACAATTCGGGAGGCCGGGACACATCAAAGGCCTAGTGCCGAAGTGTTCGAATTCAGACCCGCCCCGACCAGCCCTATCTTCGCACATTTCTCGCGCCGGAGTGTTGATGGCTCAATCAGGAGCCGAAATTGGAGAGATAGTACTCACAGCCTCGCCAGTGTCGATCGAGCAACTCAAACGGACGAAGACGAGGCAAACAGTGCTGGACGCAGTCCGAACAGAAACTCAGGGCAAGGTATCGACCCTCCCACAAAACACAGCCAGCAGGTGGACGAGGAAGATGAGCAAGATGGGCTTTCGCGACACCGCGAGGGATCTCCTTCAGATATGGAATCGGATGCCGAAATCCAGACCGCGGTCCCAATGGTGGCACGAGCCAGAGTCGTGGAAGTACCGAAGCGTGCACCTCCCGCACTGCCACCGCGACATCCTAATCGAGTTGTATCACCTACGTCAGAGTCGCAGCCCCCCGTGGACGGGTTTGACAAAGTCTCGCTGAATGGGAGTGTCGAAGAAAGGCACGAGGCTGAGAGTATCCGATCGCCGACACCCACACGGGATGCTGCTGAGTCAACTTTTCATTCTCTTCCAGCTACGCCAGACGAAGAACGCAAGGAAATGTGAGATGAAGATTTGCGCTGCCCGTCTTCGGCACCGACGCGAAATTCTGGAGAGGATCTCTGTAGGACAGGCAGGTGCTATGCATGGTACTTCCGTCGCAAGAGCTTGTCTCTTTTCCTTCCCGTCATCTAATTCTACATCCTTCACATCTCTCGACCATGATCGTTTATCCGCATATGTACGACCGCATCTTCAGCGCAATGCATGCAGGCTTTGTACTTGCGCTCCTTCTCTCCCAGGGGGCGGCCTTCGGTCAGTTTCCGTTGCCACTCTATGCGCCTTGTAGAAGACCGCCGTCCAGTGTCGCCCTTGCCACCACTCTTTCCACTACCTCTGGCTCATTTCTGCCCCCGTTTGCCTTGTCAGCCCGAGATGGGTCCAACAATCCTCCAGAAAAAACCTGTGGAAAGGATGGGGGCAGCCGCATGTGTACATTTCCCGAATGCTGCTCCCAGGCCGGTTTCTGTGTCAGCTACTCTTGCCCTCAGGTTCGTGAGGCACACTAACATGGCACAGGGGGTCGGGAAGAATTACTGTGCAGTCCCTAATATCTGCCAGACCGAGTTCGGCCGGTGCGACTCGGACGCAACGCCTGCTGGATACAACACCTCCGCAGATGACCGCGGACTCACAGGTGCGATTGCATATGGCAGCATCATCTCCAATTGTAAAATCCCGCGAGTGGTTGCTCTCACTTATGACGATGGTCCTACTGAGAACACGGAGGAGCTTCTTGATATTCTCAAGGAGGCGGGTGCCAAAGCAACATTCTTCGTGGCCGGCAACAGCAACGGCAAGGGGGAAATAGACCAGACTGCGAGATGGACTCGCCTAATCAAACGCATGGCTGAGGAAGGCCATCAGATTGCTTCCCATACCTGGTCTCATGCAGATCTGAACAAGATGTCTTCGAGAACCCGCAAGCACGAAATGCTGAAAAACGAGCGGGCTTTGACCAACATTCTCAACAAATATCCGACTTACATGCGACCTCCGTACCTCCGATGCAGCAACGAGACAGGGTGTCTGGGAGATATGAAAGCTCTCGGATATCATGTTATATCGTACTCCTTTGACAGCACCGACTGGATGCATAGGAATGACCTTGCCGCCATGACTGCAGCTTTCGATCGTATCCTGGAGAGCGTCGAAGCCAAGGATGGTAGGATGCTAGTCATCCAACACGACACAATCCGAACATCGGCCATCGATCTGACGAAGCATATCTTGGAGCGGGTGGCGCAACGAAGGTGGAGAGGTATGTGCTATATGGCCTTCGGCATGCCTTGTCGTATCGACTAACAGATCTGGAAGCTGTGACGGTCGGAGAGTGTCTTGGGGAGGAAGCCGATGGCTGGTACCGCAGACCGAAATGGACCAGTCCATTCTCGACTGCGGAGCATGGCTGCATTGTCTTCAATGAGGCATTCTGCGGCAAGTTGGCCGGCTTCCAGACCAAGGCGGAATGTTTCAGCAGCAACGTCAAATGCTACAAACAAGTCAATCAGTGTGGAAAGGCAAAGGTAGACAACAAAACGTGCCAGTCCTTCAATGAGGTTTGCAATCTGCAGTCCTTGTTTTGCGCGCAGTGCGGACGAGTAGAGAAGGATTCGCCGGCGTGCGAGATTAAGCAGTTCAGCATCTTCAACGAAGGCTGAAGCTGAAAGCCCCCGGGTGTTGGATGTGATGGAGGCAAGGTGTTAGATACCATGGTGGTGTGTGAGCTGGAAGTATTGATGATGCTTTCGCCTTGGTCTACCCAAGTCTGTTCTCCTCTCAGCAATTAACAATGAGTGACACGGCTACATGCATGTGCAAGGAGGTATCCAGGTAGTAACCACCGCCGTGAGAGTACAGAGGAATATAGTAGACACCCAGTAGATATGTGATTAGCATCACCATCGTGAGGTTGGTCAGTCCACCCCCATTTTGCCGTGGTGGAGACTCCCGCCGGTTGCGCCGGCGTCACTCGCAGTCTTTCCACTGCAGCACCACAGCACCACAGCATCAGTCCAGGAAATCATCGCCTCCCATACTGCAGTCCCTCTCAATTACTCCCCAACCACCAACGCGCGCCTATCGACTTGCCATGAGCGTCTATTGATCACCGGCAACCTGTGCCTGCTCCTCCCGACTCTCCCGATCTCCTCTCCGCAAGGTCCGCGACCATGACTTTCCTGCGCCCAAAACAAACCCTCCTGCTATACCTCTCGCCGATCCTTCTTGCGGGCAGCGCCTCTGCTCATGGCGGGCATACCGATAAGATTCCAGAAGGGGAGGCTATCTCCCCCGATCCGCTCGACTCTAGGCTCTGGACCCATATCCTGCTCATGATTTTGTCCTTTGGCATGATATTCCCGTACGGCATGGTCTTGGGCATTGTTAAGAGCAGATGGCACGTTCCCGTCCAAATTGTGGGCACAGTCGTTGCCACCGTGGCGTACTTTCTCGGTCATATGCACCGCGGTCGACAGTTCAAACATCCGAATATCCACGCGAGTTTTGCGAATAGCTTGGTGTTGATGTTGGTCGTGCAGGTCGGGCTAGGCGTTGGGTTGAAGTTACATCTCGAGGAAAAGAGCGGATGGCTGGGGAGAGTGTTTGGAGGCAAGATTGGGAAATCGGGGAGACGCGGAGTGGTCCTGGTTCACAGCTGGGTGGGCAAAATGATGCCCATCGTATCTTGGGCGCAGATGCTCTTTGGCGGAATCGTCGCCATGGGATACTGTCGCGGGGACCATCTCGGGCAGTGCCTGGCTCATTTCATCATGGGGTCTGCCTTCATCGCGTACGGCGTGATCATGACACTTCTGCTGCTCGTAGGCCAGGCATGGCTGAGACGGACCGGCCGAAGTCAAGAATTCTTTGACAGTATCGTCATCGCGGCGTGGGGCTGCGTAAACACCTTTACTGAGCATCGCTGGGGTCACCCTTGGGTCAAGAACGATCTCCAACATACAAGCATGGGCATTGTGTGGTGGTGCGCTGGACTGCTGGGAATCTGGCTATCGCGGTCAAGGAACGGTCGACCTAAGCGAAACCTCCTGCCAGGAATTGTCATCTTCATGACGGGCTGGGCTATGAGTGCGCATCCTCAAGACCTACCCTTGAGTACCATGGTTCACACGGTCTTTGGATACACGCTCATGGCGGCTGGCGCGACCAGAATCATTGAGATCTCGTTTCTGCTTAGAGACAGCAGAGGTGGCGGCGAAGTCAACAGCTGGCAACACCTTCCACCCTTCGTAAGTTTCAACCGCTCTCACTTTAGCATTGACGGACTTCCGCTGACCTCCCCTGCAGCTTCTCTACGCCTCCGGCTTCATGTTCATGGGTGCGACCGAGGAACAGATGGAGCTGTTATCCGGTGCTCAAGTCACGCACGTCAGCTATATCCTGATTCTCTACTCAGTCGCATTCCTGCTGTATCTCTTCGTCAACATACTGTCATATGTCTACGCCTCGCACGTCTGGCCCGAGGACGAAAGCAATGGAACTCGGCCCTCCTCCCACCGCAGCACTTCATCCAGGAGCTTGGGCGCCTCGGCTCCTGGGCATTCTAGGAAACTGTCAGTCATTCCCACTCACCACGCAAACGGCAACGTACCTGGTCCAATAAATGGATCCATACGGCTCCCCCGGCACCGTGCGACGGATAGCCAGCAAGTGCGGGACGCAGAAGAGTTTGAACTCGAAGGCTTGATCAGTGAAGAGGAGGCCGAGGGGATCAAGCTAACGACTCCAATCAGCCAGCTGCCAAAAACGAAACTGCTGCAGTCTAGCTCTAACGAACAGTGTCCCAGGGGGTGATTGACGGCCACGGTCACGCTGCCATCTGGGGGTTGGGTCTGGCTTCTGATTATGCATAGTCAAGGCGTGGAATCTTGATAGGGGCTTGAATAAGCGTAGAGAAGCATTACCGGCATGTGACCGGTTTCTGGGCGTATATAGGGAGTACACGCTTTGTACTAGATGCAAGATGTATGTTTATATTGGATTTAATTTGATGAACATTAGCCTATCTGAATTTGGTTGATCGAGTGTTTGTGTCGGGCTGGCTACCTCGTTGATGTACCTATTGTAGCCCTAAGCCTCCAGCTCTCAATGACTGGCACGTGTGGAGAATATAGAATACGGAATTGTCGGGAAGAATGAAGGGTGGGTATATTGAGTGTACAGGTAGGTATGTTTATACTATACTATACTAGGGAGGCAATGAGATCTTTGATGTTGGTGTTTTGGTCCGTGAACCTTGACATTTTACAGTAGGACCAGGTGGCAGCTGGCCATGAGCCATTAGCATCAGCTACCAGCTACCAGCTACCAGCATCAGCTAACCGCTACCAACTACCGTAACGCCAAGGGTGAGCGTAAAGGCAGGATCTTCTGCGGCAGCACGCTCTGTCTGCACAGTGGACACTCGGTCTTCTCCTTGACCCAGTCCTGCACGCAGGTCCAGCAAAAGACATGGCCGCACGTCGTGGCGCTAGGGTCGCGCAGCGGTTCCAGACACAGTGTGCATTTCCGCTGCTGGCTGTCGGAGATCCAGGCTATGAGGTCTGGGTCGTTCAAGTCGTAGCGGGCTCGTCCGTTGTCCAGGATCGGGGTCGATGTCGTGGCTGCAAGGCCAGGTGGGAAGTGTGGAGGAGTGTCGATATCGATGTCAGAGTCAGTGTTTGAGAGGATCTGTGCTTGTGTGTGGGATGGCGAATCGTCTGATGCTGAATGCGACTGGGGCAGAACCGGCACTTCGATGCCGTGTCCAACATAGAGAGGCGGTGCGGTGAGGCCGGCGCCACTCTCTACGCCATTCAAGTTATGGCCGCCGAAGCCGCTGCTGCCAGGTGTAGAACTACTCAACATGGCACCGGCACCAGCACCCCTGGCTTCCAGGTACGTCTCACGAACATGCAGCGCCGTCTGGACAGCGATCTGCAGCACAAGCAGGACCCCCAGAACCTCGTATCCAACTCGCTGCTCGTCCGGTTTGATCTGCTTGGTGAAAATGTACCGTAGCCCGAACAGCCGTTTGGAGATATGGTAGTATGCTCCCGTGAAGTAAAACGTGGCCAGGCTGAGGGCGTAAACCGGGTTCGGCGACGTCAGAGTATCTAGTTGGTTTAGGATGTATTTTTGGATTTGAATGCTTCTGGTATTTCTCTTTTTCTTCGTTGTCGTCGTTGCCGCTTGCTTCTCGGCGTATTCGATATTTCCCTCCAATTTGCTCCTCAGCCTCCTCCGCAGCGCGGGCAATGTCTTTCCCAGCGCCCACGGCGCAAACACCACGCTGGCAATATAACCGACCCTTCGACCCAGGCCCGCCAGCCGCAGCGTGTCGGCCTCTACTTGGATCACGTCGCAGTACTCCTCGCCCAACGTCCGGTTGCCCAGCAGCGTGGTCAGGCAGAGATACAGAAGCTCGCTCAGATGGTTCGTCGTGGTCGAGTATTTGTGCGCTACCCTGGCGCCCAGAAGCGCTCGCAGAATCGTTGATGCTTCCGAGGATACCTGGCTGATCATATATGCGTCCTTTTCGTGCGTGCGTAATATGTCTGGCGATGGCGCGAACGGGTATTCCGTTGACCCTGGGGCGGTAGGGGACGACATTTTGCCAGCCAGGTTCGGAATAAGAGGTGGAAGGTGGCTGTGGAGGATGCACCGTGAGTTTCGATGCGCCGAGGGGAAGTGTGCTGCGGCCCACGAGTTGTCTGTTGATGTATACCGTTACGATGGATGCTTGATGCCGATGAGAGTAGTAGAGAATGGAGTACGACTTTCATACAGTGTGGAAGCCGAGGCTGGCGCGAAATGCCGCTTCGCATGCCGTATTGATAGCAGAGAATATGGCAGATCATAAGCGTCGCTGCGGTCGAAAAAGGGGTCCAAACTCCAAAAGAAATCCACCTCCTTCAAAGCGGCGGTCGGACCTTCCCCAAATGGGTAGACGGTCCACACGCGCAATTGACAAGTGTGCATGCGACTTTCCCAACGTCCTCGACCTTTCTACCTTAGTTGTCGTTGACCTACCATTCTTTTCCTTTTGCCTTTCTGCGTATCTGCTCGTGGAACTGAAGCATGATAATCCTCGGCCAACATGGACGGTGACCCGGCTGTCGAGCCAGAGGTCGATGCCTTTAGTCTTATTCTGCCACTCCCTTACAGGGTCGCGATTATAATTGTCTTCGGTACGGCGATTGCTTGAGTGCTGAACTGACGCGACTGATACTTGGGTAGGAATCTGGGGTTGGGGCTTAAACTTGCATTATCTGCACCTTATTAAGATTGTATGCCTGGTCCAGCAAGATCACCACCGTCATCTAACTGCTTCAGGATGTCCCAGCGCTCATTCGATACCCTGCTCGTCAATCGCATCACCATGTTCTTCACCACCACTCGACGTACCGACTTGCTACGATCCTTACGGTCCCTTTGGTCGGCTCTCTTCTTTTGTTCTGGACTGTTACTCAACGTTCCAAACAAGCCGCTCTCTCCTGGCAAATTCTTCCGCAGTCTTACCTCCTGTTCCTCACGTTATGCTTTATCCTACCATTTAAGCGCATGTCGCGCTCGGGTCGCCTACACTTTCTCCGTACATTGAAAAGAGTCAGTCTGGGCGGGTTGGCAGAAGTTCAAGATGGGAAATTCGGCGACATTCTGCTGGCCGATGTCCTGACGAGTTATGCAAAAGTGCTGGGAGACCTGTTTGTGTCCACGTGTATGCTGTTCTCCAGGAACACAGCCAGCACAGCCAAGCCGGATCGTGGGTGTGGCGGTGCATATCTGGTTCCGTTAATCATCAGCATCCCCAGCATGATTCGGTTGAGACAATGTCTGATCGAGTATTTTCGGGTTCGAAGGAACCGTATGGCTTCGACGGGCTGGGGGGGACAACATTTGGCAAACGCTCTCAAATATGCTAGCGCGTTTCCTGTCATCATACTGAGCGCTTCGCAACGTGGTTATGACCCCAAAAAGTTTCACACCAGCGAAGCTGGATTGTTTAGACTATGGTATGTACAGGCTCGCGCTTCTGCCTTGACCTTTGTCTAACTGGTTCAGGCTGCTTTTTGTCTTCATCAATTCCTTTTACTCCTTCTACTGGGACGTGGCTAAGGATTGGGATCTGTCTCTCTTTTCCTCCAGCAAAGAGAGGAACAATCCTGAACATCCATATGGCCTGAGGCGCCACCGGTATTTTCATGCCAAGGAGGTGTACTATACGGCGATAATCATCGATCTAGCTTTACGGTGCACCTGGAGTTTCAAGCTTTCGCCGCATTTGGATCATTTTAACGACCTGGAAGGAGGCATCTTTTTGATGGAGTTGCTGGAGGTTATTCGCAGATGGATGTGGATTTTCCTCCGGGTTGAGACTGAATGGAGTAAGTTCAAACCCCTTCTCCGTCTCCTTCTCTGCTGACCTTTGATAGTACGCAACAACCGCGGGCCTGCACCGGATGACATTCTGTTGGGAGAATTTGCTGGCAAGATAGATGATGACTGAATGGGGGGGATTTCATGGCAGTGCCTCTAGTTAGCACCTAGTTCAACAGCGAACATAAACAGGATGACATGTAGCTGTCAATGGGCGCGGCCTGACATCTAGCAGAGGAAAGACATCACCCCCTGACGCTCAGCCTCAGAGTGGTATCTCCCGGGTAGTAACATGATTTGACTGTACGGATGCCGCAGGCGGTGCCCACTTTCTGCAGGTACCAAGGAGATCTGCACATGCATCGACTTTGCTCCACCGCCACTTTTCTGTACACAGTATACTCAAAATGTAGTACTCAGTACGGACATACAACCTCCTCAACCACCCTCCGACCATAGCATTGCACGACATACTCCTGCTGACACCATGGCCAAGACACATTCGGAGTCCTCTGAGGACTTCGAGTTCATTGAAACGCCAGCTGCACCGTCGCCGCAACCTGCTGAAGACTGCGGTGTCCGTACTACTGCTGTATGTTTGGTGCCTGAGAGCTTCCCCCGGCTTGTTGTACAGAGACTTATGACCATCAGTATCCCGCAATCAAGAATGCCCCTCTGCCTGCCGACGGTGCTGGCAGCGAATCGTTCAACAACTACGTATTGATTGGCCTGTTGATCGTCGTACCTGCGTACCTAGCTCGACAGCTCCATGGGGGACTGTACACCACCCTCTTCCTTGCCACCCTTACCTCTATCCCTATTTTGATGGGCTTTTGGACCGTAGCGTCTTCACTGTCTCCTCGGAAAAACGAAAAGGCCCTACTGCCGGGACGTCCTATCGAACACTACTTGCATTTCCGCAGTGAAGAGGACCGTGCTAAATATCATGGCAAGCACCGCATACCAATGGAGACATTCCACGAAATGTACTTTGACCAGAAGGTTGACTTCAAAGGAGACTGTCTGGACGCCTTGGAATACAGGCACGACTGGGCCAACTTTCGATTCACCCTGAGCCTGTTCAAGTTCTTCTTCACTGGTATGATCCCTGAGGTCATCATGCACACGCGCTCTCAGGACGAGGAGCAGGTTCGGGATCATTATGACCGTGGGGATGACTTCTACAGCTGGTTCCTCGGTCCTCGGATGATCTACACCTCTGGCATCATCTCGGACATCCACCGGGAAGAGTCGCTGGAGGAACTCCAGGATAACAAGCTTGCCATCGTCTGCGAAAAGATTGGCCTACAAAAAGGAGAGCGTATGCTCGATATTGGGTGCGGATGGGGCACCTTGGCCAAATATGCGAGCGTCAACTACGGTGCTCACGTCACCGGCATCACCCTCGGCCGCAATCAGACTGCATGGGGCAATAACGGTCTCAGAAAAGCCGGCATTGCGGATGACCAGAGCAACATCTTGTGCATGGATTACCGCGACATCCCGGTCCCCGAGGGTAGGTACAAGAAGATTACCTGCCTCGAAATGGCCGAGCATGTTGGTGTCCGGCACTTCGGGGCGTTCCTGACCCAAGTCCACAACATGTTGGATGATGATGGTATCTTCTTTCTGCAATACGCCGGACTGCGCAAGTCGTGGCAGTATGAAGACCTCATCTGGGGCTTGTTCATGAACAAGTACATCTTCCCCGGTGCGGATGCCTCGACTCCGTTGGGCTTTGTCATCGACAAATTGGAAGGAGCAGGATTCGAGGTCAAGGGCATTGACACGATTGGCGTTCACTATTCAGCCACTTTGTGGCGATGGTACCGAAACTGGATTGGCAACCAAGACAAGGTCAAAGCCAAGTATGGCGAACGGTGGTACCGCATCTGGGAATTCTTTCTGGCCTTTTCCACCATCATCTCTCGCCAAGGTAGCGCCACGTGCTTCCAAATCACGTTGGTCAAGAATATCAACAGCACGCACCGTATCGAAGGTGTCGAGACCCAGTTCGGTTTGCACGCAGCGCTGCAGGCGGGACGGACTCGCTTGGGGGCATTGAAGACGGGTCTCGGTGTGAACGCACTCGGGAATGCTGTCAAGAGTGAATAGAATAAGACCGGTGAACGCAGCCCGGCAGGTCTGTTGATATGTGATTCCCGAACGGCCCAACGGGGTGTCATCATGACCATTCATGAGGAGGGGGAGCAGGCAGAAGGGAGGGCAAAAATTTAGAATACCAAGGAAGAATAGATGTGGCTCATATAGTACGGTAGCGTGAGGTGTGGCTAGTGAATGCATATGCTGTAATGTCGATTCTACGCGACAACCGTGCTCGTATGACAGTGTGAGAGGGGCCGGAACGGAGCTCGCCCAGTAGGTACTGCCTTGATCGTCTTCACGACAGCAGGTCTTGTCCATACGGGTCCAGCGAGCAGAGCAGTTGTGTATCGCGCGGCATTGAGAGTCGACGGCCTTACCGGGCAGCTTTCCCACCCTGTCCGTGCCAGTGGAGGTTGAGGCTAAGCCAAGGAATGCTTTTTCTCTAGTAGCAGTGTTGACTCTTGAGTTATCCGTGCACTCCGAGCACTAACTACTCCATAGTTAGTGCACCACAGCAATATGACGATGCACACCAATATGATAACGTGGTAAGCGCACCATGAGGTTTTATGATGTTTACAGGCGCCACAGTGCTAATATTCTATTGTACATGATGCAAATCCTTAGTAAATTAGTACTATGATAGCATCAAGTCTAATTTTTCATTACTCGACGTACGGTGGTTGAGATGATTGCGATCTCATATAGCACAACCGAGCGAGGTTGTCAAAGTGCTCAAATCGCAACAGGTGGTGTTGATATAATATCGATTGAGATCGACTGTTGATGGTGCCGTACGGTGGTGTCGTACTATAGGTATATATATAAGCGCTTACAGCCATTTCTGAGACGTCGTCGTCGCCCTATCGTCGTCGCCGACGCCCTCGGCGGCGCTCTCGGCAGAGAAGTTCCTGAGTATCTTGATAGCAACCTGCCTATTAAGCGCCTCGAGTGCTTGTTCTCTCGTCTGGTAACGACCTTATAGGCCCTGCTAACGCTAGTCGAGAAGCCGGTCTTATATATATAGGAGATATCGTCGTCGATGATCGCGTACTCCTTGATCTTCTCAAAGCGCTCGAAGTGCGCTGTAATCGAGTTATAGTGGTCAGTCTCGAGAGATAGACGATACGTACTAACAGGCTTTCTCTTCCTGACGATAAGCTCGGGATACCTGGCCAGAAAGCGCCTGGTCTATTCATGAGAGAGTGCTGGGAGTGCTGGTGGGCTATCGATATTCTTATGCTCGTACGCCTGTTGTAAGATATGATTAGCCATCTGACTATAGGGCGTACGGATAGGCCGAGGTCGTTATAGCGCTTTATAAGTGTATAGAGAGCACTCTCCTGCTTAACTGAGAGCCTCTTATTATGTCCACCTCTTGTTGGCGCGCCTGGAAGGCCTTGGAGCCTCCTCCGTACGCGCTGATAAGGAGCATCGAATACCTCCGCGGCAGCCTTGATATTGCTATATTCGTCACGTTCGTACGCGTTATATGCCTGGAGGACCCTCTCCTCAATCAATTGAGCGTTGGAAGGCATTGTTGGTTGAGATATTACGCGTTTTATTGAGAAGTTGTTGAGTTAACTACAAAGTTATCATATTGGTGTGCATCGTCATATTGCTGTGGTGCACTAACTACCTTATGGAGTAGTTAGTGCTCGGAGTGCACGGATAGTGATATTGTCATTAGCATCTTGAGAGTTCGTCCGACACCACGTTTCCACCCACGTGGCTTCTGGGAGGAGAAAGGCACGTCGGCATCAGCTAGCTGTGTCTGGGTAAGGGTAGAACACTGGCCACGGGGAGGCCAGACCCGGAAAGGGGCCGTTTGGAGTGAGGGAAATGCATGAAATGCCTGATTTTTTTATGCACTACGGAGTAGACATTAGACGTTACCTATACTACAGCCCTTCTGTCAGTGTAGTGATCCAAGAGTATCGAGTGGATCTTAGATCTGATATGCAGGTGTACTGTGGTTGCAGTGGGTAGCTCTACCACCTTGGTGCCAGATCCATTTGAAAAGGCAATAGCTCGTGGCAGTAGTGTGGTGAGAGAGGAGTCTGTGTCGGTACCGGTACAGGTACACAGAGGCCAAGGACCAGAATCGCAACCACAACGGTGGTCCCTTGAAAGCCATTGCGGGCGATCTCGGTGTTGCACGGACACTATATCAGAGTAGATGTGCCATTTTTTTCTTTTCAGGTTGTGATCGTGTTGTAGGATCAGTGGGGGTCGTGGTGGTCGCCACAACACGTTTGTATCCATTATTTGTTACGTAGCTGTATCCGTACTCTGTAGAGTTGGGTTTCCGTAATCAGGTGAGCTTGCTGAATACGACTGCCTGCTCCAGCTGGTAGGGACCGATTTGCTCTCTTGTATCGAGATCAGGCTGGTAAAGCCGTGCTCCGTAGTTTGGTGATAGTCACGATCATCGTCCGACCAGCAGGAGGTATCTGTGCCGAGCGAGATCGAGATGTGGTGGAGGACTGCGTCCGATTGTTTCTGGATTCTGAACGTCGATCAGGAAGGCGAGAACGAGGGAGCAGCAGCCTACCTCGGATGATGCCGTGCCGCGGGCTGGATGGTTCAGAATGCTTGATCACTTGGACTTTTGAGCCAAGCGAGCGCTGCAATGTTCGCAACCGAACCGAATCCGGTTCAGGAGATGGCCACTGCCGACCAGGCGGCATGAGAATGAGAGTCAGACTCGGCAAGACGCAGCCTAGCAAGTTGGAGGTGGGGATGGAGTGTAATTGTATTCTCGACACGTGGGACTCACCTTTCGTCGCCCTCGATCAAGTCGGAGCTTAGTTTAGCATGGGCGTCAATGCAACACCGGCGCGTCGACTTTAGGCAACCGATCAGAGTGTCGGAGAAAGCGTGTCGGGAGCAGCAGCAGCAGTTGGACGGAGTACTGCTTAGTACTCCAGAGTCTGTAGAGTACCTTAGGTAGGGACCCAGGCAGGTACTTTTTAGTCGTCGCAGTGCGCAGTGTGCAGTAAGGTTGTGGTTGTGGTTGGTTGTAGTAGCGGGTTGTTCTTGCCTTTTCTGGTGCCGTGTTACTCAGACGTTGGTTCACAGCCAATCAAGAGAAAACGTGTGCAGAGGCCGACCTGCCAATAGCCAGCACGTGCCTGCGCTAGAGCTGCATCGGGCAAAGCGGCTATCAACTCGACCCCCGCCCTCGTCCTCGTTCTCATCCGGCCCTGACCCTCCCTGACCCTGACCCTGTCCCCATCCCCGTCCTTTGTCTGATCTGCTTGATCTCCGGTGCTGCGCATGTGTCAGGCAACTGCACCGCAGGCGACAGACGAGACGAGAAGAGAGGGATCGATATTGCAGATCCACGCTCATCTCTGTCGGGCTCTCTTTCCTTCACGAGATCAGCCTAGTCGCGCGTTATACGATGCGATACGATGCCAAACGGACTGCCAATCGCGAGGGACGATCAATTCGCGCGGCTCTCAGTCAGTGCACGTTCCGTTATCACCGGCTTTGGTTCGCTGCCCTGCTCCCTATCGCGATCGCGCCTTGTGAGCCCGTGGGTTAATGATTTCTGATTTCTGATTTCTGAAGTAACACCACTCTGGACGGCGCGCTTGGCTGCTTCCACTTCCACGCCTGAGCTTTCTTACCCCAATCCACCGCCGTACAGGCTTCTCGAACGAAGTGGCACCTGCAAGCGATGGATCTAGCCACGAGAAGTGGCCGAGATGGTGCGATACAGGGGGCGACCCGATTGAATTTTGCACCAACAGTCAACGGAGAGCAAATCTCTGGTGCTGCCCTCCCGTCCCATACTGGGCCCCTTGTGCCTTTTTGAACGCTGCGTGCCTATTGATGCCTCCCTCATTGGCCCAGGCCGGTCGAGAGCCCGGCCTAAACAGGGTCTATCGCCAGTCTTTAGGACCCTGTTCGGCGTGGGCGATGCCGCTCACCTACAACTCTCGAGGACTCACGTTGAGGCTTGAGTTTGCTATGCACGAATCCACTTGCTCCTCGATGGACCCGCCCGACCTTTTCTTTTCTTCACCCCATAAACAGATACTATATATGTAGGACACGCCGACCGACCTTGGTGTGGTGCCGCCGACTCCTTTTCCCACACCTCTTGTTGGGAACAAGCTTTCTTGTCTCTTCTTGACTTCCTTGGTCCTTGGAAGCTTCTGGGCAACCGGCTGCACGCGATGGCTACCAAAACTGCGGGCGGCAATGCTGCCTTCCACAACTTCCACAACGACTTTGCCCATATCCAGGACCCCAATGAGCGACGACGGCTGGCCCTGGCCGAGATCGACAAGGCTCCCTTTGGCTGGTACCATGTCCGCGCCATCGTCGTCGCCGGGATTGGTTTCTTCACCGACTCCTACGATATCTTCGCCATCAACCTGGTCACGGCCATGTTGGGTGTCGTGTACTGGCAGGATGCTCCCAATCCCAAAAACGCAGGCAAAATCCCGTCCAACTCCGACACCGCCATCAAGGTCGCCACCTCCGGCGGTACTGTCATTGGTCAGGTGGCATTTGGCTACCTTGCCGACGTGGTCGGCCGAAAGAGAATGTATGGCCTGGAACTGATCCTGATTATATTTGCCACGCTCGCCCAGGCTCTCTCGTCGGATTCTCGTGCCATTTCGGTGGTGGGACTCATCATTTTCTGGCGTGTTATCATGGGTGTCGGTATCGGTGGTGACTATCCCTTGTCCTCCATCATTACTTCCGAGTGAGTTTTCCCCGATCATTGGCAATCACTGGCCGACCATGGCTGACCACGCCCTTCCAGATTCGCCACCACCAAATGGAGAGGTGCCATGATGGGCTCCGTGTTCGCCATGCAAGGTATCGGCCAGTTCACCGCCGCCATCGTGGCCTTGATCGTGACCGCCGGCTTCAAGCAATCTCTCATTACCGCCAAGTCCGTCGACCTTTGTGACGGCGTTTGTCTGCTGGCCGTGGACAAGATGTGGCGTGTCATCGTCGGGTTTGGCGCGGTGCCAGGCTGTATCGCATTATACTTCCGGCTCACCATCCCTGAAACCCCCCGCTACACGTTCGACGTGGCCCGAGACTCGGAAAAAGCAGTGGCAGATGTCCAGGCCTACAAGACGGGCATGCGCGAAGGCCATCCCGACGAGGTCAGCCGTGCCGCCGTCCTTCAAGATTCCCGTACGCGTCTGGACCCCCCCAAGGCTTCCTGGCGCGACTTCTGGCGCCATTACGGCCAATGGAGGCACGGAAAGGTCCTTTTGGGAACGGCTGGGTCCTGGTTCTTCCTCGACGTGGCTTACTACGGTCTCGGTCTCAACAACTCCGTCATCCTCAGCGCCATCGGGTACGCGAGCGGAAGCAACGTGTACCTGATTTTCCGCAACACCGCCATTGGCAACCTGATCATCGTCTGCGCCGGCGCCATTCCCGGGTACTGGGTCACCGTCGCGACTGTCGACACCATTGGTCGGAAACCGATCCAAGTGATGGGCTTCTCCCTCTTGACCATCATCTTTGTCATCATCGGCTTTGCCTACCACAAGCTCCACGAAGGAGGCCTGTTGGCTTTGTACGTCCTGGCCCAGTTCTTCTTCAACTTTGGCCCCAACAGCACCACCTTTATTGTCCCCGGCGAGTGTTTCCCCACCCGGTACCGATCCACCTCGCATGGTCTCTCCGCCGCCGCCGGCAAGGTCGGCGCCATCATCGCGCAGTGCGTGTTTGGGCCTCTTCGTACCAGAGGTCACCCGACCAAGGCGAACCCATCTCCCTGGCTCAACCACGTCATGGAGATCTTTGCCCTCTTCATGCTCTGCGGTGTCTTCACCAGTTTGCTCATCCCCGAGACTAAGCGCAAGACGCTCGAAGAGCTGGCCGGCGAAGTGCCTGGCACAAAGAACTACGATCCCGAGAGTGCCGGTCACCGCAGGGAGTCCTACGCGTCTGCCCACCCGGTCGCTTCGACTCCCGACGAGATTGCTGAACAGAAGCCGACCGTCTAAGCAGGCGAGCAGAAGGGTTGCATCCGCCGGCCTGTCCAGGTTGAAATTGTCCATCCTATGCCGCGGGAATAAACCTTGGGGGGTTCAGTGGTGGTTGCAGTACGTCCCAAACAAAATACCCAGGTTGTGAGGAGGGTGATGGTGTATGGGCTCATTGAGCAATGTGGATTACATATTTAGGAAGTATACTCCGTACGTATTCATTAATCGCCGGCGGCGAGGAGGTATCCTGGCCGCTTGTTCTTCTTCGTCTACTACCTTGTCTCTCACGCTTGGGTTCAATGCTGGGCTAGATATCGCGCACCGGTCCTACGGAGTACGTGCCCGGCTTGGCCGTCGCCTCTCAGGTCAGGCTGTCCGAGACCAATGATGACCTCCAGACCATTTGCATGGTGGCAGTTCTCCGTTCTATTGGACTCGTCAGGCCGGAGGGCCAAGGCACCCAATTCTTCGGAAACGATCCGGCGAGGGTTTCATAAGGTATGTGGCACCGCCTTGTTCCCAAGGGCCTAAGGCGTACTGGGGCTTAGGGCCCTTCGGCCTCCTTAGCCCTGGACTTCAAAGCCTTGTACCGCCAAGGAGCTACGCAGCAGTCGAGCTCGAGCTACAGCAAACGGGGGAGCATCATTGGACTGGGAGGGCAGCTGATAAAAGACTCATGCCGGCCATGACGCCGGAGGCCCAAGGCGTCTTTGCATTATTTGGTCATCAGTCTTCATACTTGATCCATCGTGTCTATCAGGGCAGCCTTCCAGAATGCAGGTACACAGTCCACGTTGCCGACTGCCCGCTCTTATTTGTCCGATACGAAAGCGTCTCACGGATCGAGCAAGTGGTTGCCTATCAAAACCGTGACAAGGCGATTGCTATCTCTGCCGCGCCCCTGCAAGTGCTGGGCGATGCTCGCAGCTAACCCGCCCCGTCTCCAATCCAAAGACATCAGCGGTGTCGTGAGAACGGAGAAGAGCTCCCCAGCTCCCATTTTGGTCATGATCGGAGCGTGTGCGCGCTCTCGATTCGTCCACGTGGTGCCGGATATGAGCAGCTTGGCTCGACCTGTACCTGAAGCTGCTTCGGCGTTCGGGATACGGCGGTACGAGTGCGAGCTCGAGCGCGAGCTACAAAACGTCGGCTTTTGTCACAAGATGCTTGGGGGTTCTCGGTCTTCTTCTACAAGTCGATTGACAAGATCGGCCTGCTCCCCTCACCCTCAATAGGCTCCAGCTCCAGCTCCAGCTTCTCTGCAATGCATGCAGCAGTCGGTCGTTTGGCCCTGACCGCCTGGGTCGCGGGCCTGGGCCTCGCGGGCGCCTTTCCTTTCGAGCGTCGCGGTGGACAGGGACAGAAGCCGGTTCCAGATGATTACTATGTCTCTCTAGGTCCTCGTCCATACTACCTCATCCAGAACATGACCGACGGACCCCTCAAGTCCAAGCTGGAGTCGTGTGAGAATGGTCCGTTTGAAGTCACCTCCTGGAGCATTGGACACAGGTACGCATTGCCCACCCGTGGTCTAGAAGCATGACACTGTCATATGCTCCCACCCATGTTCTCTAGAAACATGACACTGTCATATGCTGAGAGATCTCCATCATGGAACAGAGGGGGAGGCACTCTACAAATCCCGGAGGAGACGGTGCAGTCGACCTTGGCCGGAGCGAGAATGGGAGCCGGGATCTTGGAGTGTGACGTGTCTTTCACCAAAGATCGAGGCCTGGTGTGCCGGCACGACGTGTGTGATCTGCATACCACGACCGACATCTTGCTCCGGCCCGAGCTGGCGGCCAAATGCACGCGACCGTTCACTCCGGCCAACGCGACGCACGCGGCGTCTGCTCTGTGCTGCACCAGCGACATCACCACGGAAGAATTCACGTCTCTTTGCAGCAAGATGGACGGGTTCAACGCGACGGCCACGACGGCCGAGGACTTCCAACATGGGGTGCCCTTCTTCCGCACCGAGCTCTACGACACCTGTGGCCAAGTCATGACGTTGGACAGCTACATCGAGCTGGTTGATTCTCTGCCGGGCCATCGCAACTTCACGCCCGAACTGAAGACTCCTCCGGCGGCGGTGCCCATGCCGTTCCACGGCTACACGCAGGCCCAATATGCGCGGGACATGATCGACACGTTCATCGCGCACGGCATCAGCCCCGCGCGCGTCTATCCGCAGTCCTTCACGCCGGCCGACGTCTATCTCTGGCTGAACGAGTACCCGGCGTGGGGGGCACAAGCCGTCTTCCTCGACGAGGACGGCGACGACCCGGCCAACTTCACCACCGCCGTCAATCGTCTGCCTGCGCTCAAGGCCAGCGGGGTCAACATCATCTCTCCACCCATCAACTACCTGCTGGCCGTGGGCGGGCCGGACAACAAGACGGTCGTGCCGTCCGACTATGCGATTGTGGCTAAGCAGGCTGGCCTGGAAATCATCTCGTGGTCTTTTGAGCGTTCGGGGCCGCTGACCCGCGTCCTGGCTGATGATGATTATTACTATTCCTCCGTGGCTCCGATCATGCATTACGACGGCCAGATGTACGAGGTGCTGGATGTGCTGGGTCGTCAAATCGGTGTCAAGGCCATGTTCTCCGACTGGTCCGCTACCGTTACTTACTATGCCAATTGTTTTGGACTTAAGGGGCCGGGGCATTAGACAGACAAAACGTGGAAGGAGTTAGAAAAGACCTGGAAGGAGATGGGGAGGCGAAAACGGAGAGGGGGGATGAGGGTATGGTATCTATTGCCAATGCCAATGCCAATGCCATGCCAATGCCCTACAGCATCTCGCCGCAAGGGGATTCCAGTCTTGGGTCCAGCTCAGTCAGCTCAGCTCAGCTCAATGCCCTCTCGGGTCCACCAGCCAGTAGGGAACTATAGATAAATAGGTACATAGGTACATAAGGTAGATACTATAGGTACATAATACTACAGGTACATAGGTACATACTACTAGAGGTATATAAGTAATACAGTAACAACGCTACGGAGAACAGCTATACACCCAGCATTACATTAGGTTAAACTTCCAAGACTACATGTCCGGATAGGTAGCTAGGACCTGGTATACAGTATACAGTATATACTACTCCTTAATGCTAGTTCCACTGCCATTGACTACGCTACTATGCTACTACACTACTGCCCTACTGCCCTACTGCCCTCCTGTCCTACTGCCCTCCTGTCCTACTGCCCTCCTGTCCTACTGCCCTACTGCCCTCCTGTCCTGCACTACTGTACTACCGCACAGACTTGACTAGATACGAGCGACAAGACACTGTCTGACATCTATAGCCGACAAAACAAGCGAGCTGGGCGACCGTCAGGCCAGCCAACCCCAGGTTGTCATTAAGATACACGAACAGCGCCGAGCCAAAGGCAGAGTTTCCTGCAGAGTTTCATACAGAGCACTGAGTACTGTACTGCTGTGTCAGGCTTGGGGTGTCTATCATCCCCTAATCCCGATCCAGATGTCTTGGGCCAAGCTATAGCTATACCTCTTGAGACGCCATTGGTAGTGAACCTCGAAGCTATAGATAGCTATAGCTCTTCCACGTCTTTGGGAATGAACCTCCAACGCTCCAGACATGATACATAGTACGTGACCGACCCGACTCACTGTCAAACATGAAGTATTAGTGCCTGACCGACCCAACATGACAGCACTATCAAACAATGTTAATGGTAATGGTAATGGTAATGGTGCGAGCACTACATTGCGGAGCCATTGCGGTTGGGCTAGTCCTCCTCGCCGTTGCCATCACCTTCACCTTCGCCTTCGCCTTCTGTCTGTTCCACTTCTACGCGGCCAAGCCTGTCCAAGGGACCTGAAGAAGTGGCCCAAGCCCAAGAAACAGTCAGTAGCTGGAATCGTGGAATCGTGATCGTGGAATCGTGATCGTGGAAGTGGACTGAATAGACCATCTTCAACCGAGACGCCTACCCTACCTACGTACCTACATACCTACGTACCTATCTACCTACCTACGTACCTACCTACCTATATGCTGTACAGCAAGGGAAGGACACGGCCGACTTGAAGAAGGAATCCGTACTTGCTCAAACAGCAGCGGCGGTATATCGTGTTCGTGTTCGTGTTCGTGCTCATGTTCATGCTTGGTGCATCCGATCGGGTCAGTATCAATATCAATATCAGTATCATGTCAAACTTAGGCATTCCCAGCCTTGCCCTTCAACCAGAAAGCTGGTTTAGGCATGCTACACACACTATATAGCATGCGCTCCCCCTGCGACCCTTAATAGAGAACATGGAACATTTCAACCTTTGACATATCAGTGGTTTCTTCTGCATGTCATGTCAGGGTGTCAAAGGTTGAATTCAATGTTCCATGTTCACTATTAAAGGGGTATGGGTATGGGTATGGGGGGAGCCTGAGCCTAGACTATATATATAGGTGTGCCTATATTAGCCTTATAACAAGCCTTCTGGTTAAAGGACAAGGCAAGGCTGGGAATGCCTACTGTGATGTTAGTACCTTAGCCTGAGCCTCCTGTAAGTTTGACACAGGGTAGGTACTCTGAGTGAACTGATACTGTCGAGGCTATGGCTACCTATGGCTATGATATCGCTATGGCCCGCTCGCCGCGGAAAGGGGAAAGGAAAAAGGGGAAACCGCCCCCGACGGTCCAGCCTGACATCCAGCACGACATCCAGCACGACATCCACCATGCAGTGCAGATAGTGTCGTGGAGAACCCCATTTCCGTGCCGCCGCCCACCGCCCGCCGTTGCTGCTATCCAGGATTCCTTGCCGCTCTGAATGGAGGGTGGAGGGTGGAGGGTGACGATGGGTTCTTGATGAAAAGCTATGAATGTTTGAATGTCGTGTCAGGCAATGTTGTGTCAGGACAGGAGTAGGGGCGGAAAAGGAAAAGGAAAAGGAGAAGGAGAAGGAGAAGAAGGAGGAGAAGGAGAAAGACAGGCGGATATTGTACCGCTAGGCAAGATGTTGGTTGCTACATACATAGATATCATTGCTCATAGATATCATTGCTACATGGGTATCATTGATGTGATTATATAGCAACCCAAGATTAGATTCGAGGCGAGGCGAGTCTGGATCTGCCACTGCCACTGCCACTGCCACTGCCGCTCGCTATGCTTGGAATCTAACATGTTGCCTCTCTCTTGTCTCCGTCTTTCGTCTCCCTCCCCCTCACTCTCTGTGTGTAAGATGACAGGAATGTGCAGTCGTAGCCAGCGTCTGAAGAGCGCCGAGGCCAGATTCTCTCCTAGCCTCATGTGATCGCCGGCCTGGATCATGCTGAGTGGCTTGGCCGAGAGCACATAGCCGGACAGGACAAAGAAGACCGTGAGTAAGATGGAATGAATCGAGGATCCAAATGCATATGCAGATCCAGACCCAGACCCAGACCCAGACCCAGACAAATGATCGACCCAACTGTATTTCCAGCATTACCATCACCATCACCATCACCATTATTACCACTCGTCGCCACTATCCGGTGCTGGTGGTATTGATCCCCAAATACTGAGCGAGCCCAGCATCCTCTAGGGCCTTGATGACGTCGAGGCGGATGGTGACATTATTAGCTTGCAGGGCCTGCTCGTAGTAAGGCAGGTGTTTGCCGGCATAGACGCTGGTGTTGCCGACAATGTCGATGGGCAGAATTCCCGACTTGTAGTTGGTGAAGATGAGATCAACCACGGCGGTCTGGTTGGTGATGGCACGCATGGGGAAACTGTTGTTGCCGGGCTTGAGGAGCACATCGGGGAGCGTGGCGGTGCCGACCGGCAGACCAGCCACTGACATGGCCAGGCTGACGTTGCCGAGCTGGTAGGTGGCGATCGAGGGGTTCGGAATCGTCACAGTACCGTTGGCGTTGGCGCCGTCCGCTTGTGTGGTGGTGAGGATGGCGAAGTCGGTCAGAGTCAGACCTTTGAGGCCGTTCAAGCCTGCCAAGTGCAAATACCAATACGGGTTAGATAATGCGCATTAAGTGCAAATTAAGTGTAGAATGATGGTGTGGGTGAGTCTAGAACCCCTGGGCTGTTTTTGGTCATGTTGTGCATGGGCCAAAGTATCAAATCAAGTTTGATGGGATGGGGACAGAGACGGCAGGGACACACAACAGGGACACACAACAGGGACACACAACAGGGACACACAACAGGGACACACAACAGGGACACACAACAGGGACACACAACAGG